ATCAAAGAGGGCGACGAATGGAAGGCTGCGTTCCGCACAAACCGTGGGCTGTATGAGCCCTTGGTCATGTTCTTTGGCCTCACGAATTCTCCGGCCACCTTCCAAAACATGATGAACGACATACTTCGAGAACTGATCAACGAGGGCCATGTGGTAGTTTATCTTGACGATATTCTGATCTTCACAGAAACCTTGGACGAACATTGGCGGATCACGAAACGAGTACTCGAATTGCTCCAAAAACACAAGTTGTACCTGAAACCCGAAAAGTGCGAGTTCGAACGCACAGAAATCGAATATCTGGGTGTAATTATTGGGCACAATTCGATGCGGATGGATCCAGTCAAGATCAAGGGCGTGATGGAATGGCCAGAACCAAAGAGCGTCAAACAGGTCCAAGCCTTCCTCGGATTCACAAACTTCTATCGCCGCTTCGTTCGGGGATATGCGGAGGTAGCCAAGCCGCTGACACGACTGACAGGAAAGGCTGGATGGTCATGGGGACAGGATGAGCATGCGGCATTCAATGGGCTGAAGAAGAGAATCGCGGAGGATGCGGTCTTAGCACTGCCAAACGACACCGGCCAATATCGTCTGGAAGCCGATGCTTCGGAAGGGGCAACAGGATCTGTTTTGAGCCAAAATCAAGACGGCATTTGGCGCCCAATCGCATTTATTTCGCACGCATTGACCAAAACCGAGCGAAATTATGAGATCTACGACAAGGAAATGCTCGCCATCATGCTATCGTTAGACGAATGGAGGCAATTACTGCTGGGGGCCACGGAAACGTTTGAAATCTTCACCGATCATCAGAATCTCGAGTACTTCCGGAAACCGCAGAAACTCAACCGACAGCAAGCATGATGGATCACGGAGCTAGCGGAGTTTGATTTCACCCTACGACACCGGCCCGGCGCACTCAACCGCAAGGCGGATCTCCTATCTCGACGAGCGGATCACGATCAGGGCAAAAACGACAACAAGGACGTCACGTTACTGAAGCCTGAGTTCTTCCGATCACAAGAAGTCACATTTGAGGGGCAGGATCAGCAGCTAATCGATGAGATCAAGGCCACTCGATCAATTGATGGAAGCGTCAAGGCAGCCTTGGAGAAGTCACTCACTGGATGGAAAAAGGAAGACGGGCTCATCACGTACCATGGAAAGCTCTACGTACCAAGAGACGAGGAACTGCGAGACAAGATCATTGGGCTACACCACGACACACCCCTGGTCGGACATGCAGGGATCAACCGAACGCAGGAGATGGTGGAAAGGAACTACTGGTGGCCAAGGATGGGGAACCAAATTCGGAAATACATCCAGACGTGCGAGGCATGCCAACGGACCAAGACCAGAAGGGCGAGAACGGGGACCCTACACCCGCATGCGGTTCCAAACGCACCATGGGAAATCATCTCCATGGATCAGATCGGACCCCTACCGGTCAGTAACGGGTATGATGCAATCCATGTGTGGTGTGACACCTTCACCAAAATGATCCATGTCGAACCCATTAGTACTGACATCAGCAGCGAAGGAGTAGCACGGTTGACAAGGGACCGGGTTTTCCGTTATCACGGGATCCCTCGCAAAATCATCACCGATAGGGACTCACGATACATCAAGGGCTTCATGAAGGAGACGAACCGGATGTTGGGCGTGGAGATGAACCCGGGGACCGCATATCACCCGATCACGGATGGGCAAACCGAGCGCATGAATCAGGAGATCGAGCACTATCTCCGCATATACGTCAACTACCATCAGACGGACTGGTCGGAGTGGCTGGGAATGGCGGAATTCGCATACAACGACAAAATGAACACGTCTACCAAAATATCACCATTCTACGCCAATCACGGATATCACCCATGGAAGGGAGTAGAGCAGCGGATGGAATCGAGAAACGAGTCGGCGGAGGAATTTGTAAAAAGAATCAAAGAAATACAAGACGAAGCAAAAGCAGCATTGGAAAAAGCAAAAGAAAAAATGAAAAAATACTACGATAAACAAAGAAAAGAAGTTCCGGAGTTGAAGGTTGGGATGAAGGTGTACATAGAAGGGGAAAATATCGAGACGGACAGACCATCAAAGAAGATGAGCAACAAGAGATTAGGACCATACGAGATACTGGAGAAGGTTGGAGCGGCCGCATGGAAGCTGAATCTGCCGGATACGGACCGAAGACACCCCGTGTTCAACGAATCACTGTTGACACCCTATCACGAACCACCCCCCCATCGCCGAGAGAAGAGACCCGTAGCCAAGATGATCGGAGGAGCAGAGGAGTGGGAAGTCGAAGAAATCGTGAAAGAGCGAAAAGTCGGCCGAGGAAAACAGTACTTGGTCAAATGGAAGGGATGGCCGCACAGCGAGAACACCTGGGAACCATCACGCCACCTTACCCACGCGAAGGACGTCCTGAGAGACTGGCAGAGGAAACAATCCAACCCAGACACACGCATTCGCCTCCTACCAACTCTCGAAGCTGGACACTGGGACTATCTTATTCATCGCTATAAACCCAGGGATGAGCGCCTCCCCTATCCCCAACGACAACTCTTTGACCCTTACGAGAACGTCTTCACGCCCATTGGCCTAGTCGATGAGGACATTGACCCTAGAGAGGGGGTAATGTCATAGTTCGGCCACTTTTTCATCTTATCTTCGACGATCTTATCTTATCACGGATCCCGGCATCAGATGGCCCGGGCTAGGGGTTCGAGGGATTATCCTTATCGATTCAAGGCTGCGCAACATATGCTCTGGAAGGTTCTATTACAACCCATGACCAGTGTTCCATGCGGTACATAGCCTTATGACTCATTAGTTGTAGATATGACTCAGACTGGATTTGGGTATAAATACTGTAGCTACTTGGTTGTATTCCCCAGTCTTCGAATTCACTTCTCTTTTCGACTTTGTTTTTGGGTTGATTGTCACAATGCCGGTCTTGTACCTAGCTACCACTATTAACACTTTGGATTCTCCCTTGCCAGAACTCTGAGATCGGGTCTCGAGGTTGCCCTTACAAGGACTTTACTAAGCACTGTCGTAGACAGTATAAGTAGCGCGTTGTTTCTTTGTATTGGGGAGCTTTCCCCCGGACTGTGAATCATACCCATATCAGATTGTTTTGTACAATTTGCGTGTCGCGTGATTCTGCCCTAAGAAGTTCTGTTACCCCTGCCCGGTTGCGACGAGTTGCTCCCTGAGCACTTGTAGCTACTGTGATTTGAGTTTGAGTTTGAGATATCAGAAAGTTGGATTCACCACTTCTGGTTTTGTTGCAGCACTTAGTGTCGTTGCCTTTGGGCTTTGTTGATATTGTTTCCACACCTCTAGCTTGGCAGTGCATCGACTAGTTGTGCTCGGGTAGTTTTGGTCAGTTGGCAGTGCGCTGACTTGAGAACTTTGGTTCCACACTTCTTGCTTGGCAGTGTATCAACAAGTTGTGCTCAGGTTTTGGACATTTGGATATTGGCTGTTAGTTGGCAGTGCGTCGACGTGGCATTTTGGTTTTACTAGTTGGCAGTGTGTTGACTCAGTACTTTGGCTGTGTCAGTTGACAGTGTGTCGACTTGACATTTTGGTTCTACTAGTTGGCAGTGCATCGACTCAGTATCTTGGTTGTATTGGTTGGCAGTGCGTTGACTCGATATTTGGGCTTTGCGTCACCATCGGGACGCTGTCGCTACAAGGGATCTTAATACTTTGTATTAAGCTCTGACTTGTGATATTGTTGGTTGTGGTTGGATTAGTGTTGGTTTTGACTGTATAGAAGATACTGGTTGAGACACCATTGTTTTGCTATATATAAATTCTTGTTGTCGACTTTGTCTTCCGCGACTATTGATCTGTGTCTATTGAGAGTTGTGATACTGGTGCTCTGTCCACCCCAAAGCCCTCACATCTTTCACACACTGAGAAGCTGATTACAAGGAGTGTGAATGTGTCTACATTTGGGTTTACTTTCATAGTAGATTCACTTGTGAGCACGCCCTCAGCATTTCAGTGTTTGTCCTATAGGCCTTAAATGCACCTCCGGGGGGCTATAGGCCTGTTTATAGGGCTTAAAATTTGCACGTGATCAAAAATGTGCCCAATCAATACCAAAAAAAGAGTGTTGTACAAGATTAACTAGAGCTGGAACTTGTCTGACAAGTCGATTTTAATGGCACCATCATCAGGAATCGCATCCTCCACTTCATTAACAAGTTCCCCCATGAGTCTTTCCTCCTCCATGACATGGCGCGATGGCTTGTGGAGCCGTGGCTTGGTGGCTTTGCCAAATAGGATCTTGAGTGTAAGCGGTTTCCATGGGGGAATTTGTCGAATGCTAAGTAACATACTCAGCGTGATGCGCCGATACTCAGGAATCGATCATACAATGCATTAATTTTAATTAATTGATCACGTGTTGGGACCTCATGTGGCCTATAGGCCTATTATAGGCCTATTAGATGCTCTTGGTGACCCTATAGGCCTTAAATAGGCCTATAAGCCTATAGGCCTTAAACCTATAGGCGAACACTGCAGCATTTCACCAGCATACCTGGCAAGGGAGAATCCAAAGAGAAACTGTATTAGGGATTCTCCTTACCAGGTGCCACTATGTATCTGATACAGGAACAAACAAGAACAATAGGAACAATAAGTACAAAGGCCATGACAAAATGTGTCAGGGGAGCCCCTGCTTTAGACCAATCAGCCTGGGATCCGGCATGTGATCATGCTCATGTGACCTGGCGGCTGTCACATGCAGCAGCCCAGACTGCCGCGCTGAGCGCTTCTCTTCCAGTATGTGTTTTGGAAGGTTGTACCAAAGCTCATGACCAGTGAGTGTTCCATATGGTACATAGCCTTGTGACTCCTGGTAGATATGACTTTGACCAGGGCTGGGTATATTTACTGTAACTACTAGTGTTGTATTCTCCAGGCTTGGAATTCACTTTTCTTCTTGACTTGTATTCTTGGGTTGATTGTCACATGAACCACCTCAGACAGTTGATAGTGGCTTCTGTTTCGAACTCTCATCAGTTTGCAAGATGACCAGCACTCATAGATGCACCCGCTTTTGTTTGGATGCCCTGCCAGTCTCAGATTGCGCAAAAAAAATTGAATACCTCGAATGATGTTGGTGGATATGTATGGGATGCACTGTCTGTCTACTGATGCTGTGGATGCTTGAAAATAACAGCTGTAGTACCCTTTTATACTGCGAAACGGGACTTGGCCCTCAACTCAGGACCCATGCGATAAAAAATGAACCTGTCGCAAGGGTATTATAAATGCAGTCACGGAAAAGTGAACAGTGACTTACGGGAGAGGCACCATGATGGTGGCCAGGCCTGCAAGGAGCGCCGTTGCACCCACAGTTCCCAATTTGTTGTACATGGCGCCAGCAAAGAGCGGAAAGGCGGCAGCAAAACTTGAGCGGAGAGCGCTGTTTGCGGCCATGGCACTGGCCGCAATTGGACGATACGCCTGCCAATGCACATCAAACCACATAAGAGACACCAGGATATGGACCTACAGTGACAAGATACGTGAACGTTGCCGTGAACACGAAGAAGGTCCCTGTGCCAAAGGGAATTGAGGCGATAATGGGCACAACCCAATGCACGCGCGGATATGTCGTGAATGCAAACCAATACAAGGCTGTACCAGATTTTAGTTGTCCTAAACAGTCACGAGAATGGACATACACAGCGGAACCATGATTCCCCCGACTTGCCCCATGACGAGCAACGTCTCGGGAGGCGCCTTGCCCCCATTGGCAGCAGCCGCTCTGGCATGGTGTCTGTATTTGTGTTTAGCCAATACACTAGACGCGGAAGCTAGGCTGAGACTTGCTTGTCCCAGTATGGCTGTGTACAAAGACCCGCGACCATGCCGATGCCGATGCCCAGAAAGGTGAGGCCGGTGCTCTGAACGTTGAAGTGGTGCCCTTGTTCGAATATGATCGGAAAGGCCTGGAACATTAGGTACAAGATTCCGAGAAGCAGAGCAGTCCTAATCAGAGAGCTGTCAGCATGTACCCGGCTGCTCCAAAGGCACGACCAGACCAGGTATCGAGCAGAAGGGCCATTCTGTCGAACATCAGAAGCTCTAAAGAACAAGTTTAACATCGCGAAAATGAAGGGAGTCGAGTGGCTCATACTGAAAGGAACATAACAACTGAGCAGAAGCGACCAAGCAAAATTTATTTCATGCCGATCCAGTGGCGCCCAGTACCGCTCATCGCCGGTTTCTTTGCGAAGTCTGTCAGAGTTTAGCGGATAGATGGACAGAAGCCAAGTCTCGTACCGGCGCGACTTTCTTCGCAGAAGGACAGGGGCATACGTTTCTGGCACAAACTGCATCGAACGTTTCAATGGGGTGATATGATACTTGAAGATAGAAAACAAACCAGGAAAATGGCAATAAGTTGGACAAAGCTCCAAATAATCAAGATCCGATACGTCCATCTCCAGTACAAATTCTAGCAGTCGTGAATGAGGGAAAGTTTCCACATTCGGAACAGCCACAAACCTGATTGATGAAACCAGACAATAATGGCCCGAAGACTAGGCACAATCAGCACGTACACCGACTGTCTGATCGTGTACAGACCTGGGCCCAAGAACTGTGTACCTTCAGTACATAACAGCCTTCGGGAGCCTCACAGAAAGGCCTTGCTCACCGGAGACATGGTATAAGCTGCCATGGGCCTGAGGTATCGATCAGGAAGACAGACGTAACCAGTTCACCGAACTCGACTGACATTCTGACCTGTGGACCGGAGAACAAGTCTGCTATGCTTCCTCCGGCAACACTGAGGAAAGACGCTCCAGCCGCACCGAGTAAGAAACGGAACGTAAGCGCGACACCTGCGACGCGAGTCTTCAATATCGTGATGCTGAACCAGGAAAAACGCACCCAAATCCGGTGCAAAGACCACCGGAAGACTGAATAAAACCAGTAACACGTAAGAGACTTGGTAGATGATCGAGCGCCCATAAACCTAAACAGACAAAGGATCACCTGGTGCAACGCGTTTCGCGGGCATTGCTTACCTCCGAGAACGGTCCGGTAATCAACGGACCCACCCCGAGCCCAAGCACAAAGAGACTGATCATGAGGATGGTCGGCTCCCGGGATACATGGAATTCTTCGGCGAGGGCTTGCTCGGTGAACGAGGCCTACGATAGCCGGAGTGAGGTGAGGATCACAGGAGAATGAGAATGACGCACCATAGACGATGCACATGTCACACAGAACGATCCCGCCGAAATGACCATGATGACGAGCCACTTTTTGAATGGCGAGAATAGCACTGGGTCCTCAGAGGGATCGAGCTTGACGAGAAACGAATCATCCTCCGAGTCTTGGGCCTTTTCGAGCTCATTCCCGGTGTGAGTTTCCGTCGGGGTTGGGCTGCGTTCGTGTTTTTCCGTCAGGTTCTCTTCATGCAGTGTCTGGTTGGAAGGTGTATCCGCCTCTTCAGTGGATATAGCAGAAGACATGCAGGAGATAGAAGGTTAAACAGTCCTCCGCCGCCGAGACACTCATCATAACTTCGGAAACAAACTTGTGACCAATGTCATGATGACGCCTATACCTTTTAACAGACTGCTTACGGCAAGGTTTGAGGTTGAATTGATCCCTTTCCTGCGCTCTCGCTCTGGCACGGTTCTGATTCAACTTGGCCAGTGAGTCGTCTTCGATGTGCAGCTTCGGCGTCTAGTCGGTAGAGCAAGAGTATAGTAAGGGTAAGTCAGTCTTCCTGCCATGTATAGTAAGTGCTATTTTGAGTGCAGGGTCCCTTGATTCGAGTGTTCTATGGTCACGTGATTGACATTTGACTTAATGAGACTCGAGTAGACTTCAACCTGCTTGAACACATCCTCAAGGATCTCAATGACATCGTCGCGAAGACCGTGACGGAAGTGCACGGCGCCATCGTAATCACCATCTCACTCGGACATGAACTCGAGGCTGTCCCACCACGCACGAGCCGGCGGCCCAACATGTGCTCAAGAATCTGCCTTTTAAAGGGCGCGTCAAGCATAAAGTCTATGCCACTCTTTATCTCGACCCCAGGCCCTGAGCTCCTGGACCGAACGCTACATCTTCTCTTTGGGCTTATTCTTGCGCTTCTTCTCTTTCTCAACATGCCTCGGGACATGAGCTACAGAAAACCAGTCCCTGCTTACATTCCTTCTCCTCCACCTTCTCCAGCGGCAGGCTTCCGCGAACGCATGTCGTTTGGAGATGCTAGTGGCTACCCAGAAGACGTGCCGGGCAGCGTGGCTGACTCGTTCTCCAAACATCCTAATTCCTCATTGTCCTCTGTACACACACTGCCGAGACATCGAAATGAGCTGGTCTCAGGTGCTCTACAAGTGCCACGGATAGCACCGCCTGTATACGTCAGAACGAGCTTTTTCCGGGTGCAAGTGCGTGTTTCCTTGCAGTTGAGGTCGATCATGGCTCACGACTCCCAGACCTACCGACCTCCTACCCCACCCAAAGGACGAGAACCTACACACTTGCCCAAATACCAGGTCAGCATCCTCGAAGCACCCGCTCATAGCAACTCTAAACGCATTTCTCCAGCCTCGACCGTCAGGCATGTCGTCGCAAAACCAGTCCTTTTCACACTGTTCCTCAATCTTGACATCGTCCACCTACGTCGACTTAAAACTCGCCACCGTAGAGAAATCTGGGAATCGCTCATGGTGGCAGAAGCTCAAAGATTGGGGTCGCTCGATTAGATCTCGTGCGGGGCAGCGCTTTCGGGTCTGGTTACCTTGATTCAGGATGAGAATGTGGCCCATTTGTGTAGGTCCATTTACTCAATGTAGCCATCAGAGTTATGTATCTGTACGTACGTACGAGTTCAAATGAATATGTATCGCCTCCTCGACGTTGTCGACATCAGCGATTAACTCACAGGCTGCATCGGATTACACTACAGTACCCCTATTTTTAGTTTCCTCGGCCCGGAGACAGACGTGGTGACCCGATTGATGCATTGCAAATACGTCAACCTTGCACTCCAACTCTCTGTTCCAATGCATCTATAGGCTGAGCCTTCACCGACACAGACACTGAACCTCCGCGTCGATGGGTGGTGACCCGAGCCAGGCGAGAACGCTTGACGGATTTAGAGAACTAGAGGGACGCGAAAACCGTAAAACGCGTCTGAAAGCTTTGTGGCAACAACTCGCGGCTCTACACGATAGCGCGCAGTGCGCAGAAAGGCGGCGAGGCGATGACGGCGGGCTCAGCCCCGAGGCGGCTCAACGGCGGATGGGGGCGTACGAGAAGGAGCTCCTGCGTAGATGTGATGGTCACAGCTCATCGTTGTCGCCGATGAACATCGGATGGAGGGAGTTCAGAGAGTATGCGGAGGCTAAAGAGACAGGTTGGTTCCCTTTTCTGCGGCGTTCTTCTCAGGCTGAATGTCCCGTCGCAGAGCTGTGGCACGTCTTCCACGACGAGTTGGATCTAGACGGCAATGGGCGGCTTGACGCGCAGGAGCTGAAATCAGCGCTGTTGACAGTTGGTTCGTCGTCTGAAACACCGTGTCGATATTCTGCGCTCAATCACGACTCAAGGAATTTCGCTCTCTGCGCCTAAACTAGAAGAGTTTATCGGTTTTCTGACTTCTTCGCCTGGGTCAAAGTCTATTAACTTCGCCCAGTTTCGCGATTTTCTTTTGCTGCTACCTCAGAAGGCCTCGCCACTTGAAATATATCGCTATTATGAGACGAGGAGGTTTTTGGGAGACGACTATCGCGGGGCTTCTCGTGTGACGATGGAAGGTGTGCATCCATTAATCTCTCGAGTATTTGCATGCTGACAGGAAGTAGGTGACGTCAGTTTGAGTGCCGAAGACCACCGGCCAAGTCCTCAATCAACGAATGAGCACGCTCTCCCGCGCACTGCCAATCACGCTCCAGCTACCGAGGACGCGGCTGAGGGCGGGCAGCATGACCATGGATGGCTAGACGGACACACTGCCATCAAATTTCTTTTGGCGGGTGGTATCGCAGGCGCAGGTGAGTTATTCTTGGTTCGCATTGTACGAAATCTGATATCCGTCCCAGTTAGTCGAACCTGTACAGCGCCTTTCGACAGACTCAAGATCTTTCTCATCACGCGTCCACCTGACCTTGGCGGTGTGCCTTTAAACTCGCCGTCTCTCGGTGGCGCTCGAGTCATCGCTGGCGCCATCGCACGGATCTACTCGGAAGGCGGCGTGTTGGCTTTCTGGACGGGAAACGGTCTTTCGGTGGCCAAGATCTTCCCTGAATCCGGTAGATATATCCGTCTTGTCTCATCTCTTCCGCGGCCATTGACGCGTCCACAGCTATCAAATTCTTCACCTATGAGTCCTCGGTTCGTATTTCGCTCTCGTCAACTCTGATCTGACTGAGGTGAACTGGTAGAAACGCGCCTTCGCCAAGTACTGGGATCATGTCGATGACACTCGGGACATACATGCTTCCAGTCGTTTCCTATCTGGTGGGATCGGAGGCATATGCAGTCAACTCAGTAGGCGATGGCCTGTTTCCACGCATCGGGACATGCTGACAGTCTAAAACCAGGCATCTATCCAATTGAAACTCTGAAGGTAAATCCCTTTGTAGTCCCTCGCCAAGGTTTACCAATCCAGCATCGCAAAGACCCAAATGATGAGCCGAGCGCGCGATCCCGCTAATTACGGTGATTGCGTTACCTGCCCCTACTGCGGTTGTTGTTGAACGTCTCTACAGGTCAAGGAAAGGGCCTGTTCAAAGTGAATATACGCCGTCTCATCACCTCTGTATTAACTCGAACTTCTCTCAGCAAGGCAGAATCATCTCCGCTGCCAAACACCTGTGGTCTTTGGGAGGCATGCGTGCATATTACAGAGGCTTGACGGTGTGTTTTCTGATGTTGTCCCATCCCATATCTGATGACGTCGCTACAGATCGGATTAGTGGGCGTTTTTCCATATTCCGCCATCGACATGAGCACATTCGAGGCGCTGAAGATTGCGTACCAGCGATCGACAGGCAAGGAGGAGCCAAATGTGCTGGCCCTCCTAGCGTTCGGCAGCGTCTCTGGCAGTGTGGGAGCCACCAGCGTGTATCCATTGAATATGGTCCGGACCCGGCTACAGGCGTCAGGATCCTCCGGTCACCCTCAGACTTATACGGGTCCCATGGACGTCGTCTATAAAACTTGGGAACACGAAGGCTGGCGCGGGTTCTATCGCGGTCTTCTCCCTAGTCTGGCCAAAGTGGTGCCCGCGGTTTCGATATCCTATGTTGTTTATGAGCACAGCAAGAAAAGGTGGGCATTCTTTGAGACGGCTCTTCCGCGGTGGACTGATGACTTTCAGATTGGGGGTTTGACTGGACTTAACATAGTGCCTGTACTGTTTGACTCATCTACACCATACATCTGCTACCGATACAATCTTCTCGTACTTATCTATCTATTATAATCTGTGTACCACCAGTATCGGGCGCATATCAATGCTAGCTATCGAGAACATGATCAACACATTCGCCGCCACATTCAATGCCGTTCCACAAGTGCACACCCTCTCTTCGCCTGCGTCCGAGACATCTCTTACTCTCGAAGTACTGCTTGATCTTGTTCGGCTGCTTGCACAAATTTTCTGACCAGGGTGCATACGACCAGTGATGCAACTTACCGCCAAGGCACAGTCTCGACTTACCCCACGTCAACGCAGAGATGTCCATGTTGTCTGCAGCGATCGGATGCACAAAGCTAGGGTTGATCGAGCTTCGTGGCAGAGGGCATCGCCAGGGAAAAGATCACACACCCCTATGAATGGCTACCGACAGACTGACATTTTTTGCATCGAATCCTGATCGAAATAAAGCGGCTCAACGGGCACACGAGCGGTCTACAGAGATTCTAGCTGCCTGATACCTTCGCAAGCAGGAAGTGGGATAGGGGCTGGATGTTATGGAATCCGTGAGTGGAGATGGTGCGGGAAATGCATTACATTTGAGTTTACTATGTGGTATAACATCTATGATATGGACGCGAAGGGTGGTGTAGTATTCAATACATAGTGAAGATCCGGACTGACATTAAGAGGCGTAGTCGTAAGTAACGGACGATAGATGGGAGCCGATAGATAGGGTGATAAATGCGACATGCAGATGGCGAGGTATGTGATGCAGAAAGCGAACGCTGCAACGAAGTGGTATGGACAGCACGAAAACCGATGGACAAAACAATCAATGCCGAGCTTTATGACTGTCGAGCCTCCAGGACCCGTTTCTCATCAACCAGCGTCGAAAGCTGTTCATCCAGCGACGGTTCTCGAGAACGCGAGCTGCCGCGGATCTTCGTTCGCCAATCTTGAACCCATCCCACACTCCATCTGCCAGAACGCTTTTCAGAGCTCGGAGACGACTTTTCAGCCTCAGCTGTCAAAAAGCTGCGCAGATGGCTACGACCCAGAACGGGAGCCAAAGACAGGAATGACAGAAGTACAAGCTTGATGATGATCTCCGGAGAAGTGAGAAGAGATGAGACGGTCTGGGGTGTCGGGGACGGATGCGAAGCAACCGTTTGGAGAATATCTCCGATCTAACAAGACATCAGCACACAGCAAAGGATAGACGGGCAAGACTGACCTGACAGGTCACCGCAGTCCACGGCAGTGATCCAATGAAACATCCCATTGCGCAGTCCCACAGTGTTACACCACAGACACCGCATGCAATGTTGATCCCAGACCATGGCACCACGCCAATCAATCGCATCACGCACAGTCGCACCCAAGCGGGCGAACGCGCAGTCGTGTCCGTGTCCGAGGACGACGCGTCAGAACCGTCGAGGGCACGGCGCGTCACATCCAGTGCACGGGGGAAGAATCGGGTTATGACAGGTCCTAGGGGCATAGCAAGGAGAGTAGCACACAAAGAACCGATCGTCGTCAGTGTCGTCAGCAGGATTGTCGCAAATGCGGGTGAGAATAACGCTCCAGCCAGGACGTTCTGACGTAACAAGGTGGTCAGCAATTGCCTGGGCAGATAGGGATTCGGAAGGCGCGCACCCATATGACGCTACCCGGAACAGACCATGCGTGCTTCCATATCGCCGTAAGGGAGAGGACCGCTACGACATGGGCGGTCTGAATCGGCCCGCTTTGACAATACCCGTGGAGCTCCCTGCCAAGCTGAGCAAGATCGGGCAGGGTGTGCGGCCATGAAACGGTGATCGGCAGAGTCGTAAGACTGAGTAAAACGAGCGCCGTCGAGAGCGGGAATAAGATAAGAACAAGGATTGCAGGCAGGTGCGCCTTTCGAACGCAGCAGTCAGTCTGGTGGCCAGTACAATCAGCATTGTGAACTTACGGAAGAAAACCGGGACTGTGACGCAGGGGGCGGCGCCAGGTCCGTTTTGGAGAAAGCAGTTTTGTAGGCTGGAGTGGAAAGAGGGAGCACGAGTTCTGGAGTCCCAAGATGGGGGGAGGGACGGGAATGTGAGGAAAGATGGGTCCAATCCAGGATGCGAGAGGCAACGAGGTACAACATGGGGGACTCGGGAGCATCGTTAGGTGCCTGGGCAGCTCTCCGTGTACATACAGACAGAGTCTTTGACGTCGACGACGAGCGCGCACGCGTGAAGGATGGTGGGCTGAGCATAAAAGAAGAGTAGAGGAAGAAGAGCCGGGAACACAACCAGAACTTGGAAATTGTCAGCATGTACATCATCACATCCCGATTTGGAAGCTGCCGATCTGGAGCCTTAGATATCCCGGCACAATTCGTCCGCCTAAGAAAGAAACAGAAGTAGAATGGTGCCCGCAGGCCTTCCCTAGTGCTGCCTCCAAGGCCCCGATCGACCGTACGGAATTTTCTGCTGCATATGGGTCGTACGAGGGAAAAGATCTCGAAGGAGTCAGTCGGGGTTCGGCTTGTGTAGGTCAGACAGTGTGCGTCAGCAGCGTCAGATCTCTGTCAGTGACTTTTCACATCCCGAACGCGCCGGACGACCTCACGTTTCTGCATTTACCCAGTCTCAAAGATCATCCGATCAACATTGACAATTCGACAAGGGCAGGATTCTGGTCTGTCCACCAAGGCTCACAAAGGCAAACTCCAAGGCAGACATAAAACTGCCATTCATTTCGACGTCAGGGAACATTCTACGAGCGTGTGCGCTGTCACAGACATTGGCTAGATTCTCGATAGCCGGCACTTTGATCACAACGTAACAGACATCACGGATTATTGGAGGCGGAGAAGAGAGGGAGCAAAAAAGTCGTGTGCAGGCCCACATAGTCGCATGAGAAATACAAGGCAGCATAGGGTTCATATTGATGCAATCCAACGCTCTAGTGGCCCGCCCGTCTGCTCTCCTGGATGACACTCTGCAGCTCCTCCAACTTGCGCTTCGAGCGCAACAATGTCCCAAGCTGAGAAAAGGATGAACGATGCAGCAAAGCGATTGATGAGATAATACACACCCGCTTTTTGGTGAGCTTGCGAGCCTTTTTGTCCTATTGGTCGGGATGGTAAGGCAGGAAGGAAAGATTGCTTCGAGGGACACACCTTGGAGTTCCTCAACAGCTCCATTACCCGACGCTCATAGGCAGAGAATCCGGCAACCTCACGAACGATCGACCGAACGAACTTCGTTTTTGTGGATTGAACGCCTGTGATCTTGTCAACATCTCCGTAGCAGGCGCGAACGAAGAAACAAACCCTTGCGCTGGCTGGGACGGACGGTCTTGGGGATGGCCGTGGTGGGGTGGCCGCGGTTGAGGCCATAACTGATGTCTATGCAATCACGTCAACGAAACCAGAAGAGTGAGAGCGGAACGGGCGGCATACTGGTACGGGCCATGGCGTCGACTAGTCTTGAGGGGATGCTTGGAATTTGCAAGGTCGGCCTTGTTCAGACGCTGATGCCGAGCTTGCTAGTAGCACGTGATCTTAATCACGTGTGATGAAATCGATAAGGACCTGATTAGATTGACCATTGTTATGTAGATTATCGGAAACTGTTACCAGAAAAACAAAAACAAAAGGTAGACAACTAAGCCAGCCCCATGATCTCTGCCGGCCGTCGAACAATCTTTAGCTTTCCTGGGGTCATGGTGACAATGGCTGCCTTTGAGTCTCCCACGACTATTGGAACGGCTCGGACTGCGTGGCTCACTGTCACAGGGACATTCGCTTGTCTATGGCCATGACGCGTCTGGCCTTGCATTGCTTCCCTATCGTCGTCTTCCTCCTCTTCCTCCTCCTCCTCATCGTCTTCATCGTCGACTGCATCCTGTGCGAGGTGTTTGATTACGCCGACAGGAACGAACGTTGAGAGCATACCGGATCAAAGTCTTCCATCTGCCTGTCCCCTCCGTCCTCGTCGTCCTCGTCATAATCTTCCTCATCTATCCATCGACCTCGCCAATCTACCTGATCCAGTTCCTCCGGAGATTCCGGCCGCAATCGTAGCCACTGCATTCTCGGCCCACACTTGGCTCGTTCGCTGACTTTGAAACCGTAGATTCGTGGAACATAAACGTATCCATTGGCCCTCTTTTGCCCGCCGTATGGATTTGGGTTGACGAAGGGTGTCCCACGGTTCAGTGCAGCACTACGTGGAGATGCCTGACCTGGCGGAGGAGGTTTCCAAAAGGGGGCCGGAGCTGATTCACGGTAGTTCTGGAAGAAGAGATGCGCGAAAGTGGTTCCAAAGAAGGCCCCTGTGGCAGCAGACCTGAGCACGATCTGAGTATCGATGGTGGTTAGTACTGACCATCGACACCCTGGAAGCGACTGCTGGGGGGAACATAGATGTCGTTGCAATTTGGACAGAACAGTTTCACTGTATCCAGTCCGGGTATATCAGAGCGTCCACAAGGTACAACGTTGCAACCAACGCAGTATACGCGGGGACATGAGCCAAAAACACCACTTTCGTACTTTTCCACCTAAAGCAATCCAAATGTCAGTTACAAGCAGACATTCAGACGGGTCAGAGAGTTACCATAGCTTGCTGACCTGCCCTTCCCAAAATGTATCGTTGATGCACCATCCCATAGAGCATCTCTGCCGATGATTCTACGATGGACACGTCGGGTATCTTCGCTGCATCTTCATCTACGCGTTGTTTGCATCGGACTGTCAAGCTGATATAGATTCTTCGCACCTGGTTCAACGTCCAAGACCATCTCCATCGCTTCTTTCCAAAAAGGCACCATCGAGTTCAGACCAGTCAAATTGAAATCGTCTTCGATGAACTCTTCGCTGACTTCGCAGAAGTATTCGTGCCCGGGGAGTGAGCAAAACCAGGATATCCATGTCAAAGTGGAGGTAGGAGTAGACGACGCTATGAGACGGCGCGTGGCCATTCGTCATTGAAAGATGGGGAAGAGCAAGACGCTGCAACGCACTGTATCCGTCCTCCTGCTCATCTTGCTCTTCCTGCTCCTCCATGACTTCATCCCCTCCACTTATGAGTTCTTCGGTTGGCCGCGACATTTCGGAAGACGCGACGTGATGGTAGAGGTGAAAGGTGTGTATTGTTGCAATCAAAAACTACACCGGCTAAACAAGACTTAGAGATCTTGAGAGCTGACTCTCACAAGCGCGCAACTCAGTGAATATCACGTCTGCGACCGCTCACTTCCTCTATTTGCTTTATTCCCGCACACGATTTATTATCAGATGTGATTCTACTGGGCGTTGTGGATGGCGCCGGGACTCGCGATGAGCCTCAAGCTAGTCAAAAAGACAGGTCTGCGTCGTCGAAACTTTGCCACCCCAAAGTGGACCGCCAAAGATACAGATAACGATAATTTGACCCAGGATCCCTGTGACCAGTGCGTATCTATATCGGTGCCCAACGTTCTTCAGCGTCCATACTTCCGCGAAGAATGTGCTGATTGTAGTCAGACACCCGCAATATCCATCCGCCAACCCTTGCAAGATATCGCAGCTGGCAGGAGACACAGGATGGTTCGATATGCTCTGTAGGCTATGAAAGGCGGACAGAAGCGCGGTGCCCAACATGTTGGCAGCGAACGTCCCTAGCGGGAATGCTGGGACGACAGGGTTGAGGAGAATCCCAAGGACGTAGCGGGTGAGCGTGCCGGGGAACGAAAAGAGCATAGCGGCGGTGGCGTCAGGGCGATATGCTCTGGGAAGGAGGAAAAACGTTGGCAATGTTGCAGCATAAACACACACGCTGATAACCATGAATGTGACACGTGCAAGTTTCCCTGGCGGAGAGAGGGTAGGGAAGAGCTGTGCCTGGACCGCAAGCCGGGCGACGTGCATGCCATATTGAAGGGACGCCAGCGACACTGAAACAGTGAAGACAATTTTGCATATGCCATCTATTGCCTGGAGCAGAATCAGAGTGCACGCGGCAGAAGATTCAGACACAAACATCGCTCAGCCCGGAACGCGAATCACCGCCTGCGCTGATCCATGATTTGTATATGTCTAGCTGCCAGCTAGAGAATGTTGTCAAGGAGCCACAGAAACCTGTCCGCAGATAAGAGAGCAAAGGAGGCCAGAGAGTTGAATTAACCGGAGGTAAGAGCTGTGTACGCTGGGGGATAGCTGGTCAAGCTGAGGGATCCACTCGAATCATCCTGTCAGGGAGGACTCACTACCGGCTGAACGGATCTTTCAAAGCCAAACAGAACCCCATGACGAAGCAACCGAGCGCTTGAGAGTATATGAGCGCGAAGATACTTTGTCCATTGTATGTCGTCAACGCAGTCAAACCCAGTCGCGCAAGCACTCCGAACACGGAAAAGGGCATAAGCAATGCGATAACATCTGGAGAGAAAGGATGGAACGTCTTGGGAACCAGTGGGGGTTCAGATTGGGAAGGGAGGGCAGGGCCCATGCCACATGAGTCGAAGGAGGGAAGAACGACAGTGAGCGTCCGAAACAATCACTTCCCGGTCGTATTGGTCCACCAATCACGACCGCACTCATTAGCATGCTTGCCAACTGTTCGAAAAGACACGAGCAGTGATAGTAGTGAATATAAAATCTTGATTGGATCGATTGTAAAAAGTTTTTTTTTCCTACTACACGCGACATCTAAAATCCAACTGCTTCCGTACCAACAGAATAGCTCCCACTCCGACGGGACAGGCAAGTGATGAACGACCCAGGTACGACTGCCGCATTGAGGAGGCTGATGGACAGCGTGTTCGAAGGAAGCGAAGCTCGTGTGCAGTCGGAAGAGACACGCAAGCATTATATCCGTCAGTGTCTTCTAGGGCCCCGCCATTAGGTGGAACGGCATCAACATTGCCGTGCACCTTGGTTTACAGTAGCCCAAGATGTAAGATGAGAAAATTTGGGGGAGGAATTTTGCTTTTATAGCTGGTGCTTGCGTAAGCCCTTACGTCAGACGTATTCGGCACCGGCCCCCTTCATCCTTCAATTGGCCTTCGTGATGCGGTTTCATCAAGACTGGCTTTCGCGACGACGTGTTATAAATGGCACAAACAAGTATCAGGCACCGTTCTCTCCACCACTCTACCTATACCCCAACCTCCACGCCAACAGCTTGCACGGTGCCGTCAGCTCGATTTGCCAAGTCCTCGGCATTTCATGGGCAGTCCCCGCCGCAATCCTTCAGATTTAGTTTCTCGGCTCAAGGGTCCGTCGCCATTACCCGTTCAGCGCGGGGGGCAGCAACCCAAGATGCGATCTTCATCCATATCCGCGATACCCACCCACTATTATGTGCTCTTTGCCATATATGAACCGTGTCTGACCACGATCGGCTTTCTGGGCGCGTTGATGTGAGTGCTGGTTCGTCCCGTATCTTGTGCGTTGTGCCTGACACAACCCAGAGATCCCAAAGCTGTACGTCGTTCCATGCCTATGACCTTGTCGCACTCATCTCAACTGCCTCCCTGAAGACCCATGATTCCCAAGCCCCCTGGCCGAAGTGTGTGAGAATTTCCGGATGTATGCGCACATACCGAGCTTGATTTTCACAGCGGAATCGCTCCTGATGGGCTACCGCTCGCCACGCGATTAACAATCGTACAACTTGGACATGTCTGTGCACTACTGGGCTTAATCAACGTCTGTATCCTTTCGGCTGCTCGCAAACATCTGGCCTTCAATCCGGCTCTCCAGGAGAAGGCGCGTGCTCCCGGGTCTCACTCACCTGCATAATCTCACGCGGTACAAAAGATTGCTTCGGCTCTCCTGATACCCCTACTTATAGGGGACATTGCGCACCTATATCTGTCACTATACGCGCTTGGACCTGGGCGATGGGATGTGCTGAAATGGAGTCCAATGCTGGTCACGACTGTTCTCCTTGGGTTTTCTCTCCTTATTCCACGGGTCATGTGGTTCATGGGCGTCGGCCGTTATGTCGACAGCCGCGATGGGCCAACTACGAGATCATCAGCATAAATGTAATTGTACAGGTTATCTTAATCCCTCCTAGGAATACACAGCAAAGCATATCACCCTGAAATGCAGACAGATTAGACTAGTACGGTGCATTGACTATGGCAGAGTGGCTCTGCGAAACCCGGCGCGGAACACCGAGCGAGGCTCGGGTCGGGCGTTTGAGATGTTGCTTGTTCACGGCAACGACATTGTTCTTGAGGGCGACAATCTTCAACCATGCGTTAGCTCAGCGGTCTCGCCCAAACAAAATTTCAGGCCTTACGATTTCTTTGTCGTCTCCAAACCTAAAGTTATCTTGAATAACCATATCCTCATACTTTTTGATTTCGTATTTGTCCAGCAAGCCCTTCTTGACTTTGCTGAAGTCCCAAGCAATCACAAATTGGCCAGTGGACGTGACGATAGTGTTCTCAGAGTCGGTCTCAGATTGGTTGAACCTGTGGGCTCATGAATACTGGAGCAAGTCATCGGAGCGCCACCCACCTAGCTGGTGAGAACGAGATGTCGTGATTCATGTAGGCCACGTGTTCAGCGCGAAGCTGCAATCGACGAGGAATCGGCTTGGCATTCGCCGGGAAGCTCCGGTCGAAGCCTAGGCTACCTGCATACCGGCCCTCACCGATCAAGGTATCAATCAAAAGCAGATATGTTTTCGTAGTGGCCACAATGTAACGTCCGTCGGCGGTGACATCGACACCGAGAATGGGGTCGCCCAATGGCGGCAGGGCTGTCTTGGCATTTTTCCCGATCGAGTCGAACAGCCGGAGGTCTCCCTTCTCACTCGATACGGCTAGCTTACCGTCCTTGGTCGTAGCAACACCGGAGAACTTGTTCTTGGCAACATACTGCTTGAACTGACTCTCAACCATCTTCGTTCCCGAAACACGCGGATCAATCCTGAACAGCGCGTTGTGAGAGGCGCCGACGAGTGTTTGCTCTTGTGTCGTAGGCGCAAACTTGCTCTCGGGAGCGATATGATCCACTTGTATGTCGTCATGCACCTTCCATTCTTCCACTATCTTTCCGCGCTCCAAGTCCAGACTATAGAGCGAATGTGGATCGAGTGGATTCTTCAGGACCATCTTGGTGTCTTGATCGTGCAGCATGACCTTGGCCTCTGTCAGGAACAAACGGATGGCCGCAGACAGGTCGCACCTTGCTGGGGCGGAACTCCTTGCCCTTCGGTGTAGTAAGCTTGTCGATAGTGCCCCCGTATTTCATATTAAAATCGCTGCCCCTCGTGAAGAACCCGATCTTGCTGCCTCGGACAACGTAGGATCTGTCTCCCTTGTATCCAACAGTGAGCTGTGAGTTGTGTTCACCGTCAGCGGGTCGAGGATTGTCCTCGTCATCTTCTTCCTCTTCTTCTGTCTCCTCGTCTTCCGAATCACTGGGCTCTGCAGTGATGCTTAGTGAATTTTCGACTACGCCGCGGTCGAGACAAACCGTCAGCGCCCAACTCCGAATGGATCTGATCTTCGTCTTCCTCGTCATCAGATACATCAGGCATGTCCACGTCTTCATTTGCGCTCATCACATAGCTTTGCTCATCAGGCTGAAAAATTGTCAATGGCGGGATCAATAACCATGGAGCGACTAACCTTAGCTTTGGCCCACGCCGTTTGGTATAGCGTCTCCCATAGCGCTTGCGTGAAAGTTTGGAGGAAAGGCTCGTAGTCTTCGAGGGAACCAAAACGCATGACCCAGCTGGTCATGTTACCGTCATCCCCCATATGATTCCATGTGAACGATCTCATCTTGCTTGTCCATCGCTGGTTCATTTCAGTGCGTATCTTGTGCGCTAGCAGTTGTCCGTCCTCGTTGGAAGCCGTCAACCAGCTTTCAAAGGATTCCCCGCGTAAGATTCGTGCCACAACTTGACCGTGCTCAACAAATTCAGCGATATCGCTGTCCCAGAAGAATAGAGCCGCCTCTTTCTCAATTAGAACAGGAAAGTCGGCAAGCGCAGAGACTGCTGCTGGGGCGACAGGAGCAGATGCGACAACAGTCTCTTGAGGTGCAGCGACTTTCTTTCGGCGCACAGGTGGATTCACAATAGGAGGTCTGGAGGTAAATGAGATACAATCATCGGATGATAATAAACACACTTGAATACAAACTCCTCCAGATCCTTATCGCTGAGATTGTCTGCGCCAGCCTTATACTTGCGCTCATACATGGCTCGGTACATGCAAGTTTCGAAGAACGCACGGGTCGGCGCGTTCGTGCCGACCGCCACATACTCGTAAAACTCGTCCACGTCGCCTTGTAGATCGCGCCAAATGAAATGCGGTTCACCGTCAGTTTCTCCAGTTCGGAATTCAAGCTCTTCTGCGATCAGAAATGTCTTCTCCTCGTCCGCTATGTTTCCATGTCAGACGAGTGCAGAAGGAAACAATCACCAGGGGCGTACTCTCGTCCTCATCTTCCAGTAACTCTTGGTCCCCTTCTTCGTAAACTCGTGTGATAACAAGCTGGAAGTGATGTTCCACAGCAGAAACGCGTCGGATGGTAGCCATGGCGTCATTGTATCTGGAAGTGCCACACTCAGCTTGGTGCATATCCATAGCACGAAAGTACCCACATGCATTCCCGGGAAGTCCGGATGTTTCCTGTTGAGTTGAGATTATATCCCCGCTTACAGTGGCTCACAGACCTGGGCGAACAAGGTAAAGTTGACCGGCGGGAATCTTGACGACCTCGGCGGCATTGGGATCCTCTGGAAAGAGTAAGCGTTTGATCCTAAAGATTGAGGAGCTCACGGACGCCACACTTTGCCGATTACTGCAGACGAGGTCAGTGGGTTCAGCGGATCAGGGATAGTGGGCCACCCACAGCTCTTGAAGATGTTCATGCCTACTCCAATGATGCGATCTTGCAAATACGAGAGGAAGCAGCACGCTTTAATCGAGGGGTTGCCTCACGATGTGAGATGAAGATCGAGATAGACACTAACAAGGAAGTAGGAGAAGGTGCAGGTACTGGGCAAGTCAGGTCAAGTCACAAACGCGTGACACATTCACCACGTGACTGCCGGTTTGGCTTTCATCTGAACTTATGGCGACTGGGACGACCTCCTCAAATCCTCTCTTTTCATCGACGTTTCCTCATTCACCAGGCACATAGAATCTCCTTGAATCCAACTGATGCTGATGTCAGGTCTCTAGGCAACGTCGGCAGCGTGCCATCCACTCCTGTGCAAGGTCATTCCTCCCGGACAGCTGGCTCCGAAGTGAGGGCCTCGACGCGATTTTCTTCGTGTTTGATGCTGAAGTTCTCTCCAGTTCAATAGCCAACCCGTTGGGTCGCCAACATCCACGCTTTCTGGTCTCGGTGACTCGACCTCTCGACCCATCTTCCGGTCGAGCTTTGTTCAGTCAATGCAAGCGCCTGGTACACCTCTAAGGCCCCAAAACAAGATTATCAGATCCGACCCCTCACTGCTCACGGCATTTGACCCGGCGGATCGCGAGCTATACGATCTTTGGGCACCGAAACACTAGTAGGCAAGGCTGTATTGTCATGGAATCACAGAGTATCAAGGAACATGGCCAATCCTGAACCAAGTGCGTTATCCTTAGGCTTCTCCTGCTTTTCTCGCTGCTTATTCCGTTCCAGCAGAAACTCCAATCCTGCCTTCTTAGATCTCGAGCGGCCTGGTAACATCGTGCCGGCTTTGGTATCGGTGGAGGATTTTTGTGCTTGGAGAGCGGGGTTGGCGATAGAAGACGAACTAGATAATGGCGGGATCGGTGTTTCAACGGATTGTGTTCTCTGTGGTTCAGGAATGGGATTTGCAAGTTTAGGCGGCGAAGATGTGCGGGCTGACGACTTCCGCGACGGAAAAATTGTGGCATTCCCTTCGATCCTCGGCGTATTCTGGATCCAGCCACATATCAGGCAGGTTGTTTGCATGACCCGGTCATTCTTCGTGTTCCGGGGACGCTTCACACGGACGCTTCGCACGGAGCTATCTCCGCGATGGAGCGCGCACCCGCACCGCAGGCAGCAGTAAAGAGTCGAATGCACGCGAGACGCATGCAGCGAGGATAAATTGGGTGCAATGGGCAATAATGTAAAGGGCAAAGCTAGCTGGAAGCGCCGAGTCGCGTCGTCCATGAAAGGAAACAATGACCAAATGACCAAATGACCTATAAACCAGGGTAAACACAGTCGACCCATTTGGCAATATGCTTTTGTTCTTCTTGACGCTTCACGAAACAAAGACATGCCTCGGCCCGTCAATAAAGACAAGCCTTTGCCCTGGCCCTTGTTTCCCTCCAATCCCCACGTCCGTAACGTTTTTTACTCTCTCATACCATCATCATCATGCCACCTCGCCCCTCCCTGGCCATGCCTTCCCCACCTGTCTCCTACACCTATAACGCCAGCCCGGCCTCATGCGAGGCGGTCGACAGTACTCCTCGCTCACCCACCCCCACTACAAGCACACATCACAGTCGTCGTCCATCCATAACCAATCCAATGCATTGGCTTTCTCGTAGCTCGACGCAACTCTCGCTGAAACACACAGCACGCATCTCAGAGCCGAAGCCCATCTCAGCGGACCTATTCTCTTCCCGTGCCGGGACTCTTGGGTCTGGGGCCACGGTTGTGAAGACCCCGGAGGAGGCACTCCGCGACACTCGAGTGCGCTTGACGCACGACGGTTACTGCTCAGAAGCTGGGAAAAAGGGACAGGATCAATCGCCCCGTACTTCGTCTTCGTCCTCCGAGGACGAAGACGAAGACGAGATTCCATCCCCTCTTGACAGCCCTCCTCTGCCGGCTGTCCCAGTAGACAGGAAGTCGTCGAGCAGCACACTCGATGAGTTTCCCAGCCCGCCGGCATTCACGTTTCCCCCACGACCTACTCGGGCTGTACCTTTGACCCCAGCACTATCACTGCGCTCGTCCCTCAAGTGGTCTGGGACCAAAAGTGCCGAATCGCTGCCTAGTGCTTCTGTGAAAATGAACAGCGCAGAGCATGTTCCGACCCTCACCGTTCCCTCGTTGCCGGCCAACATATCACCCACCCCCAGCCCACCACCTTTCAACGCGATTCTGGTGTCGGAGTCGCCGATTTCGACCCACTGCCCGATGATTGTCTCTCTAGAGACTTCGACGACGACACTGAAGACGACGATGGAAACACTGTGCAGTCGACCCTCCTTCCTGTCGCAATACATGGGGCAGTTCGGTCGGCGACGGGTGGACTCATCCGCATCTTCTGTGTATTCCACCGCTAGTGCAGACCAGGACGTCTATCGCCGACATCTCGCGTCACAAGGGCTGTTACCTCACTCGTCGTGCAGCGTCCATATCTTCCTCGATCGGCCCAGCGAGCCGTACGCGCATATTCTGGCCTATCTTCGCTCACCGTGTGGTACGGCAGAATGCCCAGAGATGCTGCCTACTCGAGCGAGTTCAGCTGGCCTGGACTCGTTGCTGGAGCTGCGAGATGAGGCAGCCTATCTGGGCCTAGACGGCCTACATAAACTGTGCGTCGACGAAATCGGACACATCCGCTCGCGAGGGCTTGCACGGCATCGTGGTCCTAAACCGGCTTCGATGCATAGCCTGAGTGCTTCTATCAGCAGTCTACATACGATGCTCGAGCGTGTAGAGCGGCATCATTCGGATGATGCGGGCAGTCGCTCGTTGCCTACGCCAGACTCGGCTTTGTCGACAAAGCTGCCGCGACACGCATCCTTGCGAACTCCTCCAGCTGGCTGGATCTGAGAACCCACGGCTGGAATCTTGACACAGTATTCTATTTATCTCAGGCTTAACGCTTAATCGGTAGTCCCTCGCAGAGCATGATAAGTAATGGCATTGTTGTTTAAGACTTCCTCGTGCGAAAAGATACAATACACAGTTCGAGAACGAATCAGTATGGCTTGCGACAAAAAAGGGGAAGAGGCATAGAGAGTAAAAGTACATGGTTCGAGAAAGTTTCCCCCGTTCACTTGTTTTGTTCGGCATAGGGATTCATACTGTAGACCTTGATGACCGGGGGACTCTTGGTCAGGTCAGCAGTGACAATCACCTGCACGGGATGATGAGCGTGCAATTCGCATAGACAGCTGGAACACGCACAGGGACAGTCATGAGCTCGCGGATGTCCTGAATCTTGTGGCCCGCAGCAGTGGTCCGAAGCCCTTCGAATTGGGGCTGGACCTTAGCAATTGACAACAGCCGCTGCGCCGATGTCTCCGGAGGTGAGGGAGCAACCTCGGCCCGACCAAGAACGATCTCGTCGTCGTCACCCTCGTCCTCGTCGAACAGCGCACTTTCGTCGTGAACAGAGCGAGACGCGACCTCCATCTTGACCGCATGCTGCTCGGCATTCTCCTTGACTTTCTTGAGGTGCTCGTCGTCGCTGTTCTCAGCAAGCCACGTGATCACATCGCGGGTTGACCAGTAAATCTGCAACGTGTGGGTGTGATCATCGTAGACATGATTCTGTTGGATGTGTCAGTGTATAACGAGAGCCGTTTTAATATAATGACGTACGTCGATAGGCATTTGGTCGACATGCACACGCTTCTCGATACCGAACTCGGGAACCAACACATCGAACGCCGCATCGAGGACACCCACAACCTTGGCCTGTCGGACAACAGGCCCGAAGCGCTGAGTCAGATCGGCGATCAGGACACAGAGGAACAAGTGCGCAGATTGTTCCTGGGCGAGCGTCGCTGAATCTCGTTTGCTGCAAGCACGTTCAGTCAGGGAGGCTTCTCAGAAGCAAAGCTACTTGCATGTTGCATTGCTGGGCAACCTTGGCTACAGCATCGCGATCCATGGTGAACTTGGGCTCTGTAAATACATCAGATCAGTAAGCTTTGTCAACAGCACTGCTCCCACTCACCGGCGCTGGCAGCGCCCTGCAAAACCGACTCGAGCTGGCGGTGGACCATGAGATCGGCATACCGACGGATGGGAGACGTGAAATGGGTGTAGAGCGGAGTGTTCAAGGCATAGTGACTGTATTTGGCAATGTCAAGCATGCCGGCGCAGAAGTACTTGGCTCGCTGCGTAGCCTTGAACGAGAGTAATTGAAGAAGACGACGAGCAGTAGGATCGGCAACTGCGTCAAATGATTTCATCAGTGCACCAGCTGACGATGTGTCCATTTGGTATCCCAGTCTCTGAGCACGCTCAGTGAAGGCGACCAGACGGCGTTCGATCGGGTTGTCGTGTCGACGGAGCAACGCTTGCTCAGGAAGGTGGACAGCAATCTGCTGCGCGACAGCGATGTTGGTCATGAGCATAAACTGGAAAAAACGGTCAGTGCATCATCTCTTGGCCCGTTTCAACTGGTCTCACCTCCTCAATCAACTCGTTAGCGTCAGTACGTTCGTAAGGTCCACAGTCGACGGGCATGCCGTTGTCGTCGAGTTCGAAGTGAAGGCGAGGAGAATCCAAGCTTAGCGTGCCATTCTCGAAGCGGCGAGCACGAAGCTTCTTAGCTATACCCTCAAGAATTTTGATGTCGTGCTCGATGTCGACGGCGGCATGCTCAGCTGCAACAGCAACGCTCCCCAACGACTTGCCCTCGATCACGTTCTGGGCGTCTCGATATGCGAGCTGGGCTGCGGACTTGATCACGGTCTTTCCAAACCACTTCTTGAGCACCACTCCTTCGCCAGTCATCGTGAAGACCGCAGAGAAGGCCATCGCTCCTTGCCAGGCACGAGACTGCACAGTTCTTCGCTCAGCGACGGAGGCAGCATCGGCACTGCACGTTGCACAAGGTACACACTCGTGGCACGCTTGCGAGCATCCCGATCCAGAGCAGTGTTGGGTTTGACGAAGAAAGATACGTCAGCGATGTGAACACCGACATCGTACGTTCCGTCTTCGTTCAGCTTGACTGAGACTGCGTCATCCAAGTCCTTGGCCGTCTCCGGGTCAATGGTGAAGACGCGCTCAGCACGAAGATCCTTGCGTGCCTCAAGCTCTCTCTCGGGAATGCTACCAGGAATATGAGGAATGGAGACAACGATAAAGTAGAACACTTACGTCCAGGGGGTAGGGGGCAAGCACTTGATAACATTCTCAGTAAAGTCCTCAGTGGGGAAGTTGCAATCCTTGAGTAAAGCACTGGTCTCGACCTCAATGTCGCCGATCGGTCCTAGCTCTTCGACCAGGGTCCCGAACGGATGGAGAGAGCTGATGGGCTACAATAATCGTGAGAAAGTGCATCAAAATTGACTGGATAAAGCTCACGTGGCGCTTGATGCAAGCCACAAACAGCTTGTCGACATAGCTCTCTGAGTTCTGCACGAAATCGGGAGGAGCCTGTTCAGTCGGGATCGCAATCAACGGGACACGCTTGTCGGTAGGCTTGAACCAGACGATCTTGGGGCGCTCGATCGGGGCACGACGGGGTTCGTCACCCCGATCACCTTCACGCTCGCGACGTTCCGCCTCCTGCTTTTCCTTGGTAGCAGCAGACGACGGCCGGAGCAGTCCGAGCGTGCCAGAGAAAAGCTGGCCAGGCATGCGCTCGACGACGGCAACGACGTGGCCCGCAAACTGAGGCTTCACATCATCGGTAACCCTAGTAGAATAGCTGATCAGCAGACACAAGAACACGAACTGGATGTACGCACTCTTCATCTTCAATTAGCATTAGGCCTTGCCCCTCAACTTCAACATCGTCCTTCTTCTTGTCATCCTTGCGGCCGGCAGTGGATTTCAGATCGTAAGCAGCATTCTCCTCCTTTTTGCGCTTCTTCTCTTCCTTCTCCTTCTTCGTTCCCCAAACTTCATCGACATCGAGCAGCTCGACTGCGACAATATCACCTTCGAGAGCGCGGTTACGGTCCTTGGAACCACAGATGTAGATGTCCGCGTCGAGCACCTCAGTAGCAACGTAGGCATCCGACCGGTTACGTTTGTTGACCCGAAGAATGCCGACAACGAGCTTGCCAGCAGCAAGAAGAGGGGGGAGAGAAGCTTGTGGAAGATAGGGAGCAAACAACGACTTGCGCTGAGGCTGGTTCGTCTGCTGTTGAAGCTGAGACTGGAACTGCTGGTGTTGTTGCTGGAGCAAGTTCATTCCGCCGAGTCCGAGGCCCATCATGTTAGCAGCCATCATGTTCGGCAGCATATTCGGGAAGCTGAACGACGCCATCTTCTGGTGGTGGCCACCAGCTGCCGCACGGAACTGCTGCAAGCTCTGCAATTGGGCCTGTGCCTGCGCAAGATCTGCGGTGAATGCGCCGTTGCCCTGAACACCACCGACACCGCCATCTGATAGTTGGTTAACAGGGCAAATTCAAATCGTGAAAATTACATACTGATGCGCCAACTCGAGTCAACTGCCCGCGAAGGTTGACGCGAGTGACCACCAGGGAACGAAGGGGGGTTGAAACCATCGTCGTAACCCTCGTAAGCATTGAAAGGAGCACCTGGGCCCGGTTTGACGACGTTCACACTGTGACGGCGACCGTGGCCTCGAGGAACACCCTGGGGTTGGCCGTCCAAGCCGAGGGCCCCAAGGGCACCACCGAATTGACCGAGGTTGGGTCCGGCAAACATCCCCGCGGCCGCAGCGCTCATCGGAACAGTGCTTTGCACGCGACGGTGAACCCCACCGCGGTTCGGCGCCAATCCCGGCGTCTGAAAAGACAAAACTTGGTTCGAAGCCAGCTGTTGCTGATACAGAGCTTGTTGCTGCTGCTGCAGGTGCTCGATCTGGTTCTGGAGCGCGATCTATGCACATTTTTCACGGCTAGTTCGGACATCTGAGCATGCGTCGCTTACCTGCTCCGCCATGATACCGGTGATCTCGCTACTCTCAGTCTTGCGATGTCTCGATTGCGCCAACCCATCCCCAGCAAACTGCTGCGGCTGAGGGAACTGGAAGTTCGCGTCTTCCTCGTTGATCGGAGGACCCATGTGTCCACCACGGCTGGGCTTCCGAGCACCGGCGCTGGCACCGAACATAAAGTTCGGCGCAAGCTGAGGGCGTCCAGTCGGTCCGACGGCCTCGCCTTGGTCCTGCTGGGCCGCAAGCGCCGCGAAGCGAGGAGCCATGAAGCTCTGAGACTGCGAGCGCGGCTGGTGATGGAACCGGTTCTCGGGGATCTCTCCGTCCTCGTATGACATATTCACGTCCTCGGCGTCCTCATTCATGGGCCCGAGATGCGGCGCGTATGAGTTCAAGTTGTTGGACAGCCCAGGCCCGACAGAGGCTGCCTTGCGGTGCTTCGCGTCGCCACCCAAACCGGGGTACGCAGCAGCGCCCGGCTGGAACACGGGCGCATTCACGGGCAGGTTCGAGTGTGGCTGGGGAACAGGCATGGTGTAGTTGCTTGAGTTGTTACCCGCGCCCGGCTGGGGAGAGGTCGTCTTCAGATCGGCTATGACGCGCTGGAGTGACGACAGCGCGTCACTTGACTCGCCCTTTTGACCTGTCGTGGGCGGCGACGAGCTCTGTTTACCTTCGCGAGAGCCATTGGCGTTCGAGTTGGCGTTGGGGTTGCGGCCACCCTGAGAGGCAGACGATTTGCGGTGCGCTGGTTGACGATTACCATTGTTGTTGTTGTTGTTGTTCTGAGACCGATTGCGCTGGTCTGGTTTGCGACCAGCGTCGGAGCCCTTGCGGGATGCGGTGTCCGATCCGGACTCTGGGGGAGGACCACTCGGCTGGGGCTTCCGGTTCCCTCCAGTCCTGGAAGAGGAACGCGGCGCGCCCTGATTGGGTGGGGCGTTGCCTGCAGGACGACCGGAACTCGAAGGGTTTCGTTTGGAACCCCGATTGCTAGTAGACGACGGCGCTTTCTTCTCGTCCTTCTTCGCCGGCTGCTGAGTTTGAGGCGTAACTTCGTCGGTCATATCGTTCGTAACGAGAAAGAGAAGGTGTTTTCGAGTCTTTTTGGGTTTTCGATTTCTGTAAGTGAAGTCCTGCTGCAAACTTGTCAATGGAAGTATGAAGGAAGGAAGAGTATGGACCTGGAGAGTGGGTGTGTTGTAGGACGGAGTGCCCTGTGGGGCGAGTGAGGAAGGAATGCAGAGGATGGAGCTGGCTTATCTCAAGTCGCCTTGGGGCGTAACCCATCATTTTGCGCCGTTGTTATGCTCCCACGTTCGATTCGCTTAGCCCTACAACCCAGGTGCTCGTAGTCCTGTACTTATTGAATTCGAGGTGTATAGAATGCCAGTGACATCTAGTATAGTAGTGCTACGTATATTCTATGCATTATCCATGAAACGTGGAACCCACGTTGCAGCGCTTATGCACGCAGTTTTTGGATGATGGCGTCGGTATATTCCTTGGTCGAAGCCTTGCCACCAAGGTCCCCGGTGATGCTCTTACCCTCTGCGATAGTCTGATGGCTGATGAGGGCTGGAAAACAAAGGACAGAATAGTCGCTTACCGAAAGAGCGGCCGCCTCGATCTTGTCAGCATGCTCAAACAAGTTCATGTGGCTGGGCTCTATTCAGTTGGTGTCATAAACGTGGAACAATAGCACGGACCGCAACATCATAAGCGAAGAAAGCAGCAGCGCAGTCGGGTTGGCCAGTCCTTTTCCCGCGATATCGGGAGCAGAACCGTGGACCGCCTCAAAGATAGAAGCATCCTGGAGGACGAGTTGAGCGATATTAAACAGCCTGATAGACACAACGCACCCGGCCGATATTGCCGGACGGCGTCAATCCCAGTCCGCCAATGAGACCGGCACACATGTCCGACAAGATATCACCATACAAGTTGGGCATCACCATGACCCGGTCAGCAAAAGGCTTCGGGTTCTGCACGACCGAGAGGCAGACACGGTCAAGGAGATCCTCGTCGTAGACAACATCCGGGTACTCCTTCGCAACCTCGCGGCAAGCGGACAGGAACATGCCATCTGACATTTTCCTACAAGGGGCGTTTGATGAACAGGATCTGAAAAAGAGACCCGTCCCACGCACATGATGTTGGCCTTGTGAACCGCAGTCACTCGGTTACGGCCGCTGGTCTGTGCGTAGTTGAAAGCATACCGAGCAACGCGCTCGGAGGCCTCCCAGGTAATCAACTTGATCGATTGCACTACACCGTCGACGATCTATTCTCGGTCAGAGACGGGAAAGATAGGCAACGAAGAAATCCACCTCATGCTCGATACCCGAGTACTCGCCCTCAGTGTTCTCCCGGATCAGAACAGTGTTGACATCATCATACGGAGTCTTGAAACCCTTGATAGAAACACAGGGCCGTACGTTGGCAAAGAGGTTGAATGTACGACGCAGGGTCAAATTGAGCGAGACATGGCCCTTGCCAACTACCTGGCGTCAAAATGGGGGTCTGAAGGCCGCCAGGAAAGCTTACTGGGGGTAGCCAAAGGACCTGAGTAACCAAGCAGTCAGACTCGTGTCCACCACCCATTACTCTGGGAGACACACCTTTCAGGGCGACGGTGTTCTTCCTGACAGAGTGGATGGCATTGTCGGGGATGACCGTTTTCCCGTCCTTGAGGATCGGCGTGACGCTGACTTCCTCCCACTGGATAGGAACCTAGAACGCCTTCAGAAACCAAGGCCGAGTTCAATGGAGGGGGAAGACGACGGACATCGGCAGCAACGTAGATGTCCTTGATAGACTCGCTAATTTCCGGTCCGATACCTAGTCCAACGCTCAGCCCTCCATGCGCAGACCGTATCGTGGCAACAAACCGTCTCCAGGGATCAAGGTCACGGTATATTTGCCCTAATCACGAGTCAGAGCGCCGTCCGACAATGCCCGGTCGGAAAACGGGATGACATACATTCGCATCTTTCTGGCCAGCGAAAGCGGCGGTGGAGGCGGCAGAGGCGTATCTGCGGAGGGCCTGATAGAGATGTTAAAGCAGCAGGAGCGCGAGCTGGCTGGCAGGACGAACGGAGGGCGCGCGAGTGACACCAGCGAAGGACCTGCTCAACATGGTCGTTGTTGTAGATCGAAAAGAGAAGCGATTTCTTCCGGAAAGCACGTGCAAATTAGCGCGTCAATCATAAATCTATCGTACACGGCCGGCAACATGTGGGGTATGAAGGCTGCCTAATAGTATCCTATCGCAGCATGAGAGTAGTTTATCCGCTGAGGAGACCGTTTAGTTGCTCGCGGTATTTCTCCATCGTCCTTTCCGACTCTTCGTCTTCCAACTTGTTTTGAAGCGACTAAGTAGAAGTCAATGCACAGCAATGCCGAAAGAGGGTCGATACTGACCGGGAGTTGGCCGACTGAACCAGCCATTCCAAGTTTACCGTCCGTGAGCTCAGCCAGCACCTTGTCGACCTCTGCGTCGGCCTCCTCCTCCAGTTCCTCGTCCTCGTCCATATCAATGACGTCTTCCAGCATGTCCTCCATGATTCCTGCCTACACGCGACAGATGAATGAGGTAACGCCGGCACGACGCGGACACCAGCGCACCTTCGTCATCTCCATGCTCATCTCCCTCATCGTCTGGCTGATTTGCGGCAGCTTGATGAGTTGATTGGACAGCTTCATGATCTCCGTCGACTTTTGCAGTGTGCCAGTGACTTTCACCATCGCTTCAGGCACACGGATGTAAGCCACACAGTCGAAGTAGCGAAGAGCACACACACCCATTTGCTGCGTAAGCTGCGTCCCGATAGAGTTGAGCCGGGCCTTGCTGACGGACAACCGATCCTTCTGCTTCTCACTCCGCACAACCTCACGCGCCAGTATCCGTGCAGACTTGACGTCTCCCCGGGCAGCATGCTGCTTCACGATCGCACGCGCGTCCTTCGTGGCTTTGTCGAGCTAATATAAGGCACGTTGGGCTCTGGAATAAAGCAGCGGGACGCAAGCTGAACCTCTCTCATTTGGCGATCAAGCTGACGGGATTCTGAGCGCAGCTTGACTTGCCATTGTCGCACTTTCTCTTCTGGGGTCGGTCCGTACAGAAAACGGTTTATGCTCTGCATCAAGAGAAGTGGGTGTGGGAGAAGTTCAAGAAGCACAGCAGGTCAAGTGCGGAGTGCAGTCCGAGTCACGAGAAAGATTAGATTAGATTGTGAAATGGTGGGTGCATGATCACATGGTTGTTTGTATGAATAAGAATAAATACAATATGATCCAGCATGGTACATGTCCTACTACTTGGGATTACGATATGGGCCTCCGCATAGGCTGGGGGACACTCCTTGGCGGCATCGGAAAGTCGGACAAACCATCCTCTAGGATCGTTGGCTGAATGGGTTCCTGGTTCTGGAAAGCTCTAACGCGCTGAGCGACCAAGCTCTCCCGTCTCCTGGGTGGAGATGGCAAAACCTGGTCAACGGCATCCGGTGACCTCCCGATCGTCGACATCTTGCGCGGGAGCATCAGAGACGACGAGCGACTCAGCGGGGGTCCGTCGTTACGCAGCATCGAGTCGGGGGCCGCACTGCTGCGCGCTGACGTCGAATACGAGCGGCGAGGACCATCTGGCGATGCTACCGACATCGGCCGGGGACTCGGCCGAGCTCCGAATGCGTGCGGCCGGGGGATGGGAATCGAAGATGTGGTGTTCAGGGGGGACGATGCTGGCGGAAGAGGCAAGGGCAGGTTGGGCTGTGGCAGCGCAGGCGGTGTCCTGCCAATCGGTGAACGGGAAATCGGGGACCGGGGCCGGGCTCCGACAGGTCTCGGGGAGGGCGGAAGGCTGGCGCGCATCACTGAACCTACACGCAGGCGGGCAGTGGGGGCTGCAATCCGGCTCGGAGACGGAGTAGGATCCACCCTGGGCTCAGCTGGGGACTGAGCTGTACGTTGGACATCATTCGAAAACACTTGGTTGTGGAGCTCCAAGTGTGTTTTGTTAGGGCGACGGAAGGTTCCGCTGGGGGTGGACACCTCATCGGAGAATATCAGTCGATGAAGATCAAGATGGGTGCGCGGTGTAGAGAGTGTCGGTGCCTCGGCCACAGGGATCGGTGCCTCGATAACGACACTGGGCGCCTCAACCTCGAAGATGACAGGAGTCTTGGCCCTGAAATCGACCGCCGAATTCTGTTTTTCGGGTGTTCGCGAATGTCTGATGAGTGAAGCCAGGTCGGCGCTTGTGAATCTGCTCTGCCTCCGCTCACGAGGCTGGACTGTGTCCGCTCGAACCGATGCGGCGATTTCACCTATCGTCGTGGGCCACAGACTGAAGTAAGGATACGTCGCTGGATCTATAGCGAGTCAGATCCCGTTCCCTGTTTAGCCTGGTAGTCACTCACAAAGGTCGAAATATGGATACGACGGAGTCAGCCGTACTGAGATGCCCCGAGACTCAGATCTCGAACCACAGACTTTGGGGACAGAAGGGTAAATCTCGAGAGCAGGGTAAACATCAGGATCTGCATGCAATCCGTCAGCGTAGACAAAAGAAAATCAGGGACTGCACACACATATTTCGAAAGCAGGGTACTCGGCAGTAAGTCTAATAGTAACACCGCGCGTTGAACTCGAAACGCAGTCGTGTGGAATAGAACGATAGATGTCAAAAGCAGGATAGACAGCGGGATCTGCAGGACATGAGCGCTGCTCTAATGAAGATTGTATGAGCGCACAGATATCGAAGCACGGGTACGCGACTGCGAGGACAACGTCAACGCCCCGTTCAGCGTTTCTCCTCTTAGGAACTGCCGGATAGATTTCGAGAGCTGGGTACACCGGGCGATCTGCGAACCGGTCAGGGTTGGAAATGGAAGCGATGATGCATGGCGCACAGATCACGAGACAGGGATACCGGCTCGGCAAATCGACCGTGAAACCTCCGTCTGACTTGGCCGTCGCATAGTTGGCAGGATCTTCAGAACACTTTCAGAAATCAACAGGTGAGAGTGAACTGGACACGCACAGAGATCGAAGTAAGGGTAACCAGATCCAGTCACACTAGTCGACTCCATGATCGGGATCGGCTTGTCGAGGATTGCCTTAGTCAAGACAACTGCAGCTAACGCGGACGTAACGGCGCCAGCGGCAGCAGCAGCATCGTAAGCGGGCATGACAGCAGGATCTGAAGACATATCCAGCAAATAACCGTAGATGCACCTGAGCGACTTACAAAGATCAAAGTGAGGGTAGCCTGTTCGCTGCTTCGAGGTCACAGCATCGAGTTGAGCGACCGGGTACGGTGCGATATGCGGGTAAGCAGCCGGATCTATGGAAACGTGTGTCAGGGACCACAGTATATCCGCTGGAGGAAAGCGCACAGATGTCGAAGAACGGATAGCTCATGCTCAGCGACACAGAAACCTCCGAAGACGAGGTCGACCCAACGACAGGATAGATCTCCTTCATGCTGGCTGGGTATAGCGCTGGGTCTGATACACGTCAGACTGAAAATAACAGAAAAAATGACCAGCTGACAAATCTCAATGTTGGGATAGACGGCGGGCAGTCTAACTTGAATAGGAGCAGGGCTGGAGCCCGTCGATTTGGCCACGAGCAGAGGATCTAGCACTAGGTAAGCACATCGTCGCATAAGCAGAGGGGCAACACACAAGTGGCCACCTCCATCTCGACTGCCACTCCCGGGTACGGCGCAACATACGGATATACTGCAGCATCTACACAACATCAGTCAGTCCCGATGCCGTTGCGAACGAGAAACGACCTACAGAGCTCGAAGAAAGGATACACCGCCGCGACAGCAACAGAGATCTCGCTGGCCGATTGGGTCTGTTCAACGGGATAAATGGCCGCAAGGTTTGCTGGGTACACCGGGTCTGGCAGGGATGAGAGGACGTGGACATAACAAACGGTCAAGACGCACAGAGGTTGAAGTCGGGATATTGCAGCGTAGGCAGAATCTTCACAGGCCCTCTGCTTCGTTCCCTCGCTGTCGGAGCACTAGTCGTGACCGGGTAGATCTCGTCCAGATTGTCAGGATAAACGGCAGGGTCTGTCGCAGAGTCAGTAACAGTGCTGAACAGATGCTGCATAAAACTTGCACAGTTTGAACGCCGGGTACGATGTCGGAAGTTCGAGAGTCACAGGTTTGGCCAAGGGAGCAGCAGCTGGCTTGCTCGAAATAGCGGGGTCTGGTCCTTCATCAGTATGAAATCTCACAGCAGCAGATAAACTTACAGAGATCGAAATGAGGATAGCCCCTCCCCTGTGGAACCCGTTCCTCATACACTGCAGGGTACAGGTTGAAGTGGGGGTAGACCGCAGGATACAGATTGAAGCGAGGATAGTTTGACGGCAACGCAGTAGAAAGGGAAGCAGTGTTGAAAGCAACACTGTGGAACGGCCAGACCATGCTCCAAGGTTTCACCGTGTCCTGATGTGTGTGGAAGGGCCAAACCGAGCTCCAGGGAACCTCAGGCGCAGGGTGTTGTAGCCCATGGGCTGGCCATACCATGTTCCACGGACCAGCCTCGCGCTGCTGCTCTTGGTCCAGTCCATGGCTCGGCCAGACCATGTTCCACGGACCAGCTTCACGCGGCCGTCCTTGCTCCAATCCATGACTCGGCCAGACCATGTTCCATGCGCCAGCCTGACGAGGCTGTTCTTGCGCAATCCCATGGGCCGGCCACACCATGTTCCACGGTTCAGTTTCACGCGGCTGTTTGTTCCAATCCGTGACTCGGCCACACCATACCCCAAGCTCCAACGGCCGGCAACGCACCCTCAACTGCAGGCCAAATGAGGTTCCACGGCTGAGCCCGATGGTCATGCGCATCAAACGACCGCTCCCCAGCGTCGGGCGTGGTCACGCGGATCGGCGTCGGAGGGCCAGACGGCAGGTACTCCGGCGCGCCCCACGACGTCGCGGTCATCGGGGTCACTGGCCTGCTGAACTCCTGTCTGTCGCCGAGGTGGACCGACGGTACGTACGGACGGAGAAACATGGGGGATGTGGGCCGAGACGGTGCACCCCATGAAGTAGCCGTCATCGGCGTGACCGGCCTGCTGAACTCTTGCCGGTCACCGAGATGGACCGACGGTACGTAAGATTCGAGCAATATCGGTGACGTCGGTCGAGTCGGTGCACCCCAGCTGGTGGCGACGGACGGTGTTGGTGGCACATCTTCCAACATGCGCTGGGCGATATCAGGTGTATACACTAGATCCCGGTCGAACTCTTCCTGATACGGAGACAGCGTGTAATCAGAGGGCCCGAATGAAGTCCGCGTCGTCGGAGTCAAGCATACAGACCCAGCCGCGCGCTGGCCCATGTGAAGGGACGGGTCGTAGTACCAGTCCAGCGGAGAATAGGGGTCGTAGTCCCCAGGGCCAGCGGATGATACCGAAAACGCGTAGTCTTCCAACCTGAACTCCTCTTCCTCGCGCTCTTCCGCCGGAGCCGGAATGGAACTGTCATTGAAAGGCGAGACCGGCAGAGTGGCGCCAGCCAAGAGAACCTCAGCCGCAACAGCAGGCAGCACAGTCGCACTTGCGCGCCACGACTTGACCCGTCGCTCGAGATCGTATTTGGCTGTCTGCGGCTCGTCTTCTTGTTGTATCGGCGTCAGATTTTGGGCTGGCGGCTGTTCCGGTGGAGACAACCGAGGATGCAACGAACGAGTCACCGAGCGATTTGACATCACGTCGAACCGATCCACCAACGACAGCTTGCGAGGGACATGGCGCGAGCGCCGAGCTGGGGTAACAGCCACCGACTCCTGGTCATCTCCATCCCCAAAGGTCGTCCCGCTCTCCTCCCGGTAGTGGACGATCGACGGTGGGGCCGACGGCGTCACCGACATCGGGACATCCACTTGTTCGCGATGCGAAGATGCGAGCCAAGCCCCGTACCAACGCGCCAACCGCATATCAATGTCGAATTCCACTTTCCCACAGATGGGCAGCCCGGGCTGGGGATTGGCTGACGCTGGATCAAGAGCATGGGCCCAGATCATTTGCCAAGAGTCATCGGCGATGCGAGGGGTGACAGTTGTCCCATGCTCAGTGTAGTGCACATACAAGCACAGACCGGTCGTGCTCGGGAAGCTGAACTCCCGCGCAATGGCCGTAAGCTGAGCGAACATCTGCCCAAAGAAGTAAGATTACCAGGCTGAGTAATTATATATCAGATGCTTACCGTAGGAAACAAGGGCATCAGCAAACCCTGGGACAGCCGATGCCGGGGCCCAGAGGAGAGTGTATGTCCCAGAGTCCCATGTTGCTGCGATAACGACGCAGGCGGTATCACTACCAAGAATGACCGAGAACTGCGCTGAACTGTCCGTTCCCGGGACTCCCGCAGGTTGCTGTTGTGGTACACAATGGACGAGGCGGCGCGACGGAACCGCGAACCAGGTCCCTCAGTTGCACTAACCGAGGCAGTAGGTGTCTCAAAATAGTCCCCAGAGTGAAAATCCTGCCCTCCAATGACACTGGTCGACGCAGGAGTAGGCAGCGAATGAGCCGGCAAAGGTTGACTTTTGGGCTGTCTGAGGTCCCAAGGTGCTGCGGAAACTCAAACGGAGAAGGCTTGTGGAAGGGCGAAGAGGTGAAGTGGGCCATGGTAGGATTAGGATGTCGAAACGTGAGTCAAGGTTGTCCAGACTACATCGCGTTCATGAGACTTGGAATCACTGCAAGAGGCTGAAGCTCACCTCTAGTGAAATGAAGAGACGTGTATACGACAGAGGCCTGCTCTCCGTCGTCGGGGAATAAGAAGATTGCCTGGAGGAAGGGACCGGAGAGAAGGAGAAGATGGAGTGCAACAACGGATACGATTTATTGATGGCCTGACATGATCACGATTGTCATCTCGGCACAGCCATGACGGGGTCTCCGCCGGACAACTGGCCGCTCTCGTGCTGATAGAGTCGGTTCCTAACCGAACAGCGCGTTTATCCGTTGCTTTGGTCGGCAATAGCGTAAGACTTTTCTTTTTACGATTACCTACATACGAACGAAACTCTGTGTTCTCGGGTTTCAGAATCGCCGCCACATGATGATTTATTCGTACAACTATACAAACATTGAAACAGGCACTCAATCTGTCTTCTTGTTTGAAGAAGATGATCTGTACGGTAGAGGTTGCGCGCCCAGTACATGCCCGGATCCGGGCATCCGGCCATGTCTGAGGGCCAATTCCTCCTCTTCCTCATCGACCCCATCGTCGCCGCCCTCCTCCTTCTCAACGGCTGCTTCGTCCGCCCGCTGCGCCTGCTCCTCGGCCCGACGCGCTGCAGCGGCCATGCGCGCGTCGCGCCGCTCTTTCTCGAGCTGATCGTTCTGTAATTTCCGCTTACGATCGTCTTCGTACGCTAGCCGGACCTGTGCGTGCGTGCCAGTTTAGCTGAGCGAAGGATAGCATGCTTGAACGACAGCACCGACCTTGTCTGCTGCGGCCTGTATCGCCGCCTTCTCCGTCTTCTTCGCGTGTGCCTTCCGCGTCTCCTTCTGTGTTCCTAGCTCTACAGCCTCCTTCAACATGGCAGCCCCGATGCGTAGATTCACCATCTTGCGCGGGTTGAAGACGTAGTATGGCTGGAAGTCGTCGACTTCGGGAGAGAACCCGAGCTGTAGGATTAAGGACGTAGGCCGAGGAGAAAGAGCTAGAACAGGACGCACCTCGCGAGCATACTCCACAGTCCCTCTAACACCTACAGCGTAAGCGACTGCGTATAATTGTGGAGACGCGTATCCCGCACTTGGGATCGATTATATCTCTTTTGATGATACTGTTCGTCGGCTTGAATTTCTGATATTTTGGATTGTCCGGTTCACGGAGAAGGTTCTCCGATATCGTTAACAGAATCTGCACGCGCAAGGCTAGGTTTCTAGCACAGCGCAAGAGGGACCGGGACAGACCTTGAGAGACGCAGCAGCTTGGGCCTCGGCATTGGGCCGCAGAATCCCTGGATCGATCAACCGGCGGAACTTCTGTCGGAGGTCATGTTCAGCCCCAGAGAATAGCAGCTCGTCCGAGTTCGCCGCCGCGGCTTGCTGTTGAGCAAGTCGTCGTTCTACCGCCGCTAGTGCTGCAGATGGTGTGGGCGTGGCGTCATCAGTAGACATAACGAGTGGCAGATGGGTATGATCGCTATGGTGGACGCCCACAAACAGGAGGCGCTGTGATTAGTCATGTTTCTCACGTCGGTCCCCAAATGCTGGACGCCTGCCAGCTCAAAAAGGAAGGTGCTTCATGCATGACCGACTACCATTACTCATCGGGTATCGTATTGTCTCTAACAAACACCTCGCCCTCAGAAGATGTATCACTGCTCCACGTGTCATCCGCAGACACCTGCTCCCTTGGTATGGCGGGGACCGCTAACGATGGAAATGAGCGTGTCCGTAGCTTACTAAAAAAACTGTCATCGTTGGGGTTATCGGCCGCGTTCGTATGCAGGATATTGGAAGCCCATTTACGACGGGCCGCGGGTGAACGCAAGAGATCTCGTTGCCGTCCATCGTCCCGGGGTGTGGATGTACCCGAGTGTGGTCGTTTGTTGGAGACGAGAGGCCGGGGTTTATGCAGATGCGCAGCTTCTGCATCAGTATCCACGGAAAGCGGGGGGTCAGACCCCGTCGCTGGTGGTGTGGTTGCCGGAAGAGCTGCAGCTTTGGCGTGAAGGCTTTGTCGGACGTACTGCCTTCCAAGGTATATCTGCTTTTCGATCTTGGCTCTGTTTGAAATCATGTGAAGCTGCTTTTGTCAGTCAGAATCCAAGACTAAAGGACGGCAACGCACTTTCGGCCATGTCACCAGCTCGCCAACCCTGATCATCCTCTGCAGTTCTGTGGGATCGGGGTCGCTCAGAATGCGGATCCAATCCTACTTATACCGTAAGACTAAACTTCCAGAATTAATGAGAGCCCACCCAGAAACGTGTCCGTGGCCATATTCTGAGGAGTTTGAGAACCGCATCGAGCCAGGCGGCGATGCAAACACGCACGTGATATTGCCATCGAACCTCTGCAAGAAAACCGAGGACCAATCTTGTCCAAGCAGCTGAGGCAGGAGTCTGGGCAATGGGTATGTCTGATAAGTCAGATTCAGAGTACGTTCGAGGCAATGCTCACTCCAAGTCCCGAATCAACTTGAAATTCTGCGCCAGTCAGCAGATGTACGACCATGACCACAACCGGCATACCTTCGTCAACTCATGTTTCAACCACTGCTCCGCAGCCTGAAGAGCAGTTCAATCATCCGTAGATCTGGCAGTATCTGGTTTGTCTCACCGACAAGATGAAGTTTCCTCGCCAGCCTGGAACGCAGTTCAAGATATTTCACAAGGCTTCATGCATAAGATATTCTTGCCTTTTCCCTTTCGATGAGCGACAGGTTTTCCGGCAGAACCTCTGCCAGCCTTCAGTATGCCACCCCCGGAAGAGAACCCTGTCTTGAGACGCACCGTGGAGCGAAAAAGAACAAGTGGACGTGTGGGTTCACTGCAATCAAGCTCAGATATACTGCGTTTACCAAAACATACAAACACCTGCCTTGGGAGACAATCGGACTCGTCACATTGAAGTACGTGTGCAGACCCTGGATCGGAACATCGACTCGCAGAGAGCCGTCCTTAAATCTGCTACCCCAATTCCAAGGGACGACGCTGCCATCCCGGAGCTTCTGCATGAGCACCACAGGTGGTAGGATGCCAGGAACAGCTGCAGACGCAAGCAGGGCACTCCAAATAACAGTGTCGGGTGCAGTGAGATAATTCAAAAGCCGAGTCGGTGAATGGCGATCCGCCGGAATGACTGAGATGTTCAGAACGCGACCTGAACGAGCGTCAGTGTCAGTAGTGTCCTGAATCTGTTCCGGCTGTACCAGTTCTTTGATACGCTTCTCTGAAAGTGAGAGAGCCTCTTGTAAAGAACGTGCATTTCTTGGCCCATCTGACGTGGATTGATTCAGTTTGAGCGAGCCATGAAACGAGGCCAGTCGCACATGATTGGATCGAAGCGAGCACCTGTCTTCCATATCCGACCCATCCATACTTTCACAGACTCTTCGCATGCAGTGATTCGATTGGCCAGCTCAGGAACAAGAACGTCTTTCAACTCGGCATCTATAAACGTTGAATACACGTTTGCATAACCGAGCAAATCTATACCAGTGCGTGTGCAGCATAGAGCAGCGATCAATCCCCCAGCGCTCGTGCCTGTGATGACTCGAGGCAGCAGAGACGAATCAAGGAGAGCCTTGACTACACCGCAGTGATCTTCAATACCGTGAGCATTGAAGACAATCAGACATCGAGTAATTGACTTACAATAGCCAAACGATGCACCCCCTGAAAGACACAAGGCGCTGGCACCTGTCCTGCTGTCAGAGCGCGAGCAGATGTTCTGTTCAACAACATACCGAGATTTGTATTGGCTGCTTTGAAGAACCGTTTCTTCTCGTCTATCGTCAGATCTGGGGTCTCCCGTATAAAATCCAGAGCTTTCTCTTGTTCGTCGAAGTAGGCTGATATACGACCTCAATGTCGCGATCGAGGAAGATACAGCTGGGTGAACACACACCTTCTATCAAATCTTTGGTTCCGTAGAATGTCTGAGTCGGTTAGTTCAAACAGAGAGCTTGAGGACGGAGTGCAATTAGTTACTTCACTGTATAGCCTGATTGGGAACGTCAGATCGAGTATTTCAACTGGACAGCTGCAACCTTGAGGATTCCACAGCAGCAAAGTTGGCGCGGATACATGTCTCCAATACGCCGAGACACCCACGAGCATCGTTTTTCTCAGAAAGGTTGGTAAAGCTTCGACATCAAAAGAGATTGCCTACTTCTCGCAGGCTCTTCAGCGAACGTTGCACCTTCCGAACCAGCTTCCAGTCGTAGAACGCATCCTCGTCTTCCTTCTTCCATTCATTCTGGTGAAACGATAAGACAGGCAATTGAATCCAACGTTTGTAACAACATACAAACTTCAGATAGTCATCCATGACAAGCTAAATGCTCGCTAGTGAGAAGAATACATCTCTTTGAGTCGAATGAGCTCACAGCTGCTTTCTTCCATTCCTCGTATGACTTCGACCCGCGTAAGTTCTTCCGGAGAAGCCCCTTCTTCCCCCTCCCTAGATTGAGGATTAGCTCTTGATTGTGACCCCGAGCCACACTTGCATGCTGATATCCACTCCTTTAGATTGACCAGCTGCCTCAGCAGCACATATGACCCAAATTCTGCTGCTATGAACAAAAAGATGAAGGCAAGAAGTGGCCACCGAAATACAACAAAAGTCCAATCATGGCGATGCTTCGAAGATTTCTCTTTCCGCTTACGCCTGTGAAGAATTTTATTAGGTTTCAATACAGTGACTCAAGGAGCACATAGCGCGCCTCTTTGTTACCCGTAGATTCACGGGTGCAAAGTCTGACAAGGCAGAGACTTTGCGGATTCGAGAGGGAGGTGTGGGCTGCACTGGAGAAGGCGGCCCAGTAGGATCGACAGCCTTGTCATTGAATTCGAGTTCGAACGAAAGCGCATCCGAGAATGCGCGAATGTGTCTGTGGATGCACCAGTTGCGGTCAGGTTACCATGCGTGATCCCATGCCACACACGCTTCGTTCACGTAGTCGGCGGTATTTATCTCGTTCTGCCCATGCATATGAGAGATTCTGGGTCGGTGCTTTGTGGACGTCGCGTGGATGTAGCGTGAATGCCAGTGGTTGTGACACAGAGACTTGGCCCCGCCCCCTGTGAGTGACGTCAAAATCACGATCGCTTCTTCCCCAAAGTAACGACCAGTGCGGCTGATCTCGCCTGACCCGGGCCGACTTCTGAGCTCGTCACTCGCTTTCGTCCATCCAGGACGATGATTATCCTCGCCTCAACATGTCTCCTACTCGCCGGCTCTGCATCAGCTCTACCAATCCCGTCCCGTGAAAGCATTCCTACAGTGGCAGTTTCTTGCGCAATTCTGGCGGCGCTACTGCTCTTTCTTATGACTCTTATCTTCCTCAAACACGTCTTCGTTCGCCAGCGCCGTGCTCTCATTTGGGAAGCACGCCAGAACTCTGCCTTGTCACTTTCAGCAGGCTCAACCTCCGTCGACAGTGCATCTAGTATTCAGTCAGAGAAGAAAGCCTTTGTCGTCGGATTCCTAGGATCGCCAAACGTTGAAATCCAGTGCGCATTAGAGAAGGCAGAGTTGGCTCAACCTCGATATTTCCCTTCTGATCCCCGCAAGAGCGTCTCGCATTCAAAGTATCCCAAACATCCTTCTGTCCTCGAAATCACGCGTCGTTTCGAACGTTCGGTATCTACCCCCTCGCGTGGAGATTCTGAGTCGCTCACAATCCGGATGCCTTCAACGCCTGATCAGGCGCACGTCAATTCTTCTTTACCGAATCGCCGACGTTTCTCTCTTCCAAATATGCACCGCTCTCATACAGCCCAGTCGCATAGACCCAGACACTCCAGTCTCAAAACCAATAGCCGTCGCTCCTCGGTGAATTGTTCAGCGCCAGCGTCTCCAAGAACGAACCACTCCTCTCAGAGCCAGAGCCAAGAAATACACACCCCAACTTCAAATCCTCAGACGAGTCCCAAGATCCCTGCTCATTCTTTCATCCCGCCCCTTCCGCCCTTGCCTCTTGGAATCCATTCCACGCCTCGTAAAGGCACCATTCAGATCTCTCATCCATACGCACTTTCCCGTCGCTCCAAAAAGCATGCAGCCCCTTCCGAACCTAGTTCTAAGCTCGGTACCCGTCGTCGTTCTGTCCGTAGCACGGCTTCCGGCGCACTTTCTCCGACACTCAATGCTTTTCCGTCGCCTCCACCGAATGTTGCAGCTTCCTTGAATGCTCGAGTGCGGCCCCGTTCTCATCGAACCTCGGCGATAGTCCCTGTTGGACCGTCTCCGCTTCGGACGATGATCTTGCCTGATTCAACAGATGGCCATCTCGCAGCAGCTCTCTCTTCGTTCCTGGCCTCGAGTGGCTCGCCCTCTGCGGTTACTGACACTTTGGGTGCAGGCGATCAGACTCGACGTGGAAATGTTCCCTCGCGTGCCACGCCAAAGCCCGATGAAGATGACCCGGAGTCTTTATTGGGAATGATCCGAGAATTGGTCGAAGAAACCAGTGCCTGGGACACGGGCACAGTGTTCATGAGTCAGAATTTCAAGAATCTCCTGGCGCAGCCATCCGCTCCTCATGGAAGAGATTTGAACGCAGAAAACAGTGTTCAACCATCGGAGCCCGCCTTCATCGAGTCTGATTCCAGCCGTTCTACAGAGCTAGATCTTGCAAGTCTTGGTATCGAGATGATAAACGCCGAATCTTTCTACTCTGGTTTCCTACAAGAGAAGTACGCATTGACGCATCCTCTGACACCCGCTCACATTCTTTCAGTGTCGATGTGAGCACGGTGGGAGTCGCTTGGTGAAGCATCCGAATATCCTGCCTCGGCAGTTTGTATTATACCAGACGTATCGTCAGACACACTATACCCACAGTCTTTGTAATGAGAACGATTTCGCAGCCGCAGTGTTTCCACCCCGCAGCCCGGCAATGATGTGCTGCGGCGATCTGATCACCTTGTATCTTCTCGCTTTTTACCACCACCATCATGGCCTCAAGTGAACTTCTCGCACAAATCCAAGCGGGCAGAAAACTCAAGAAGGCTGTCACTAATGATAGAAGTGCGCCTGCTGTCGACGGTCCCAAGGGAGGGGCGGGTGGTGGTCGTGGCCCAGCTGGCGGAGGAGGAGGAGGGCCGTCTCTCGGCGGTGGAGCGGGACCACCGCAGTTAGGTGTGCTCTGAATCTGCTGTGCCTATACTTACTCGATGACTGACTGAACTAGGTGGATTATTCGCGGGTGGCATGCCAAAACTCAAGCCTGCTGGTCAGAATAATCTAGGTATTGTGTTTCACTATCTGTCTGCGATCCGAGTCTTATGGGCTGGGCGCAGCAAAACCACCTACAATAGGAAAACCGCCTACCATTCCCAAGCGTGATGTCCCCAGTCCTGCGCCTCCGGTCGCGCCTGCTGCACCCTCACCACCAGCTCGGCCTTCACCTGCCCCGCCAGCCCGTTCTGTTCCGCCTCCCGCCCGTGCAGTTCCACCTCCAGTGCGCGCTGTGCCTCCTCCGAGTGCACCCAGCATCCCAAGTCGTCCTGCGCCGAGCTTGCCCTCACGAGTGGTGCCTGTCCCTCCGTCAAGTGCTCCTGAACCACCCAGGAGAGCACCGCCGCCTATGCACAGCGCGCCAGCGATCCCTGCACGTCCTTCACCTGCTGTTCCTGCACGCACAGCATCCCCGGCGCCGTCACCTGTGGTCCGTGCGCCGCCTGCGATTCCTTCACGGCCGCCAGTCCATTCTCCGGGACGAGTCGTGCCACCGCCGCCGACTACGCCGGGGCGCGCTCCTCCTCCCCCTCCCCCGCGACCGTCGAGCGTGGCGCCGCCGCCCCCGGTGAGATCGCCCCCCGCACCGACACCTCCACCCCGGAAGCTTACACCGTCGGCGCCGACTCCACCTGTACGGGCTCGGGCACTATCAGTTACAGAACCCGATGAATCTCCGAGCGCCGGGCGGCTTGCCCCGCCTCCGAGCCGGACGAGAACTGTTTCTGCGGGCGCTACCAATGGAGTAAACAATGCGCGGCCACCCCCTCCACGCCGTAAAAGTAAGCGGAATGTTTGCTTAGTGATTTTGGATTAATGTTCTGATAGTACCATCCCCTCCGCCTACGGTTGGATCTCATACGTTCCCGGTATCAGATTTCCCACCTCCACGGCCATTTGGTACACAAACTCATCAGTATCCTAGCGGGCGTAGTCGGGGAAGTGATTTTGACCTCGACTCCTTGTAGTTAGCGCTAGCGAATCAATCATTTGAATGAATAATCGAGCGGAAGAACATCGCCAAATCCACGTATGAAGGCCGAGCACAGCTTTGTCAGATTTGGGTTCTGTCGACGTGTCCACCCAGATCACGCGTCCTATAAATCTGGACACTGGCGCCAGTGCCAACTCACTTCCTTCTTCCGCCACCATGCGCATATCCTCCTTTCTTCTCCCCTCTCTTTTATCTTTGGTCTCCTACGTCGCTGCCGAAGAAGCGTCCGACGTTCTCAGTCTCACTGCTTCTACTTTCCATGACATCGACTCCGAGTCCCTGATTCTCGTCGAGTTCTTTGCGCCATGGTACTGTCACTCTGCAGTCTCACCATGCAACGTCTGACACGCATATAGGTGTGGTCATTGCAAGGCGTTAGCCCCACACTATGAGGAGGCTGCCACGAAGCTCAAAACCCGCGGCATCAAGCTCGCCAAGGTTGACTGTGTCGACCAGGCTGATCTCTGCCAGTCGAACGGTATCCAAGGATACCCGTACGTCCCTCTCATCCGAGTCTAATGGCGCCCACTTAACAATATTGTCTCAGCACCCTGAAGGTCTACAAGAACGGCACCCCGAGCGAGTACACTGGTCCCCGGAAGGCGGATGGTATCGAGTCGTACATGATCAAGTGAGTTTTACGACATGATGGATGCGTCCGGTATGATTCAATTCATTGCTAAGGCAATCTCTCCCGGCCGTGACCACTGTCAATGAGCAAAACTTTGACGAGTTCAAGATGGCTGACAACATCGCCGTCGTCGCCTTTGTCGAGTCGACCACATCGGCACCCGCCGCCGCTTTCAGCAAAGCCGCCGAGGCTCACCGTGACGACTATCTTTTCGGTCTCTCCACGGATAGCTCCTTGATGAGCGCGCAGAAGATTAGCGCACCCTCAATTGTGGTATACCGCAAATTCGATGAGCCGGTCACCACGTACCCGTACCCCGTGCTCGACGCGACTGAGGCTGACATTACTGAATGGGTGACGGAGCTCGCCGTCCCCATCCTCGGCGAGGTCAGCAGCGAGAACTACGCTCTGTACGCCAACAGCCCGAAGCCTCTGGCATACTTCTTCGTCGACCCGTCTGTTCAGGAGCTCTCCGCCCAGCTCGACCTAGTCCGTTCTATTGCGGGCAAGTTCAAATCGAAGATGAACTTTGTCTGGATTGATGCCATCAAATACGGCGACCATGCCAAGGCTTTGAACTTGGCCGATGTGAACTGGCCCAGCTTCGTTATCCAGGATCTCAAGAAGGGACTGAAATATCCTTACGACCAACAGAAGGCCATCACCGCTGCTCCTCTCGAGGACTTCGTTAACTCGTACCTGGATGGTCACCTCGAGCCTTCGCTCAAGAGTCAGCCCATCCCCGAAGAGCAGGTTGACAACGTGTACGACCTTGTTGGCAAGGAGTTCGACAAAATTGTGTTCGATGACTCGAAGGACGTTTTCATTGAGTTCTATGCGTCGTGGTGCGGTCACTGCAAGCGCCTGAAGCCTACCTGGGACTCTCTTGCAGACCACTATGCTCCCCTGAAGAAGACTTTGACAATGTATGTTTCCTCGGCGGTCCAGATTAACTTGGTACTAAGCATACATCTAGTGTCAAATTCGAGGCGACCGAAAACGACCTGCCTCCCTCGGTGCCGTTCTCGATCTCTGGCTTCCCGACAATCAAGTTCAAGAAGGCTGGTACACGCGATTTCATCGATTACGAGGGTGACCGTTCGTACGAGAGCCTCTCGGACTTTTGCATGCGCATACCAGTTTCTCATTGGAAGTTCCTGAACACGTCGACGAGGAAGAGACCCAGGCGCACTTCGAAGCTCCGGCAGACTCTGAAACTGCAGAAATTCATGACGAGCTGTAATTAAAGTATCATTAACAGACTTACTTATTCACATGGCCTCTTCTTTTCATGATTTCTTCCGGTAGAACTCGGAAAACGACAATCGAATGCCCAGGAAACGACAATCCAAGTCCGGATGGCTTTGCAGCTGGTGCACAATCGTATGGACTCGTTCTGAGAACGACGTGCTATATTCTTTCACTTGGTTCACCATGCGCGTCGCGGCTTCCGGGTCCTGGGTTGCATAGTCTTCGCCAGTGTGAACACCCTGTGAATGATTCGGAACGCAGACACCGCAGGCAGTCTGAGGGGGACTTACCCGTTGTGTATCGAGCTGATTGTCGCGTCTCGCAGATTCTGACAAACAGAAGTTGTAGAAGTTGTCCGCCGCCTCGCGAAACAAGAGGATAGTCGTAAAAACTTCTTTCACTTGGTTCAGAATCACTTCCTGAGCAGGAATCAGTCAGTCGCCTTCAGCAGTGAGGGAGACACGGACGTGTTTTCCGGCTTTAGGGCTTAGCAACAAAACTTTGTTGAGCATGCGATCGAGATATGCTCGGTGCGCGAAGATCATAGCGTCAAGATCTCCTTCCTTTTTGTTCAGAAAGTCGAGCAGGGCCTTCCACGAGCATTCGATTACATCCAGATGGCAGTAGGCATGCATCTGCCGCATAAAATGGACCATTTCAGCCATAGCAAGCCGGATTTGATGCCAGTGATGTTCCAGCTCAGGCACTCTCAAAAAGGTCCGTGCGCCGCCAGCCATCTTCATCCAGCCCGTGCTGAGCGCTCCTTCGACTCGTTTCATCTGCCACAGATGGTTGAACAGTTTCAGATATTTGATGAGCGAATCTGGATCGAGCACTGTGTCCAATGGCGCGTCGACTTTGTACTCCAGAGTGAACACATCCCAGCCGATCTCCCCATGCGAATATTCGAGCATTCGGGCGTCAAGTCGACGTAGTACGTCTGAAGGATCATTCTGAGCATTTGACGACCGGATCGCCGCCTCTAGTGTGGCTGTGAGATTGTGGCGGAACAGGACATTGGCGGGTCGGTTGAGGCTGGATCCCAATGCTTCCATCAGCTGATCCGCAAAGTCACCATAGCCAAGTAAGATGTAATTTTTCAAAGCCCGGAGATGATCGAGCAGCTGAAACTTATCAATGAAGACTTCGAACAACCGCTGGCTGGCAATCTGATATGCGGCATCGATCGATCGCTCCAGTCCAGCGATGTCGCTGTATTTCAACGCTAGGTGCGATCAGTTGGATCCATCCGTTCAGGTGCCAGACAGACTCACTTCCTCCGGTGTTACTCATCTTCTCTCTGGTGACAACCCAGTCGCTATCATGGCAGCTGTAGCGGATGAAATTCAAACTTTTTCCGGTGGAGAAGATCTGTCTCAGAATCAAATGCTATTCGTATGCATCATGATACTAAAGCAAACCTTTCTGCCGAACGTCTCGCCCACAAACATCGGGAGCATGTTCTCCTGAAACTGATACTTGACTTGCCAAAGCTTGAGGCCATTGTCTCTTTCGATCGATACGTCATCGCCGTCTCCGCCAATCCCCCCGAATCCACCATCGCCAGCCAAGGGCCCGATGCCGCCAGCCAATGAAGAAGGATGCACGTATTGCACATCAGCCAAACTAGAATCCGTCGCAACGAAGAACTCAGAGAACGGGTCGTATAATTCGCCAGAGAACAGCCACTTGTGAAGTGTTGCAAAGAAAGGCTTTGAAACGTCTTCCAGAAGCTGATCGGTAAACTTGCGAACGAATGGATCGCCAGTGTCTGTATAGCTGTGAATGAGGTTGACCAGCGCGCCTCCCTGAGCGTCTATGAGAAGGTATTCAGCAAGGGATACCCGATAGCACATTACGTACCTCTGGCTCCTTCGACGCAGACGCTCATCATCCTCATCCTGAGCCGCCAGTCGTTGATCCATACATCGAGCCGCCGTAAGGTCAGGCCGGTCTCCTCCTCCTTCAAACTCGTGTCGTCATCCTTCATGCTCATCTGAGATTCAAGAATGGCGATCAGCCGATAGTATTCGGTCAGCTGGGCCTGTAGGTGGTGGCATAGACTTTGCTCAATCATCCCCACTCCGGTGGCACCCTCCCGGTCACGAACGAAAGTCTCAACACGGGTGTAAAGATGCCCGACTTCAGCCAGCCGATGGATCAGAGCTCTCGTAGGAGGGGATATGATATACCTCTGTCGTGATCAGAAAGGGTTCGAGTTCCACCAACAGTCACGCACCGAATCTTCCACAAAACCGAGTTGGTTCTCCGAATCCACCTCGTCAGCTGAGAACCTAACGTATTTCCCAGAAATTCCTTGTAGAAGATACAGCGTGTCACGGAGAAGCAGGTTTTCCGGAAGTTGCTGCCGCCCGAGTTTCGAACGGTATTCGCGCAATATGTCTGCCTTAGACCTGCCACGCGGCAATCGGGAGACGGGGGTTTCAACAGGGTTTGGCGGCAAATTTGATCGATTAGGAGGAGGCGGGGCAAGTGTCGGAAGGAGGCCGTTAATAGGACGAGAAGACGATGAGGCGAGGGATTGCAGGAACAAAATGGACGCGTGTTTTCGCGAGAGGATAGGCTGGGATCGAGTGAGAACTGATAGGGATAGATGAATCCATTCACGAACTTGATCAACAAACCGTGCGAGAAGATTCGTGAATTTCAGTGCTGATGCGCCGGAGGGATTGGACTGCAAGACTAAATGCATCGTTAGTTGGAGGTCATGACTGGAGCCGGATAGGTACGATGTCTCTTTATGAGTTCTGATAGATGCCCCAGATCTGGTTCGTAGTTATGGGCCCCAATATTGCTGATTGACGCGTGAGTGCACGATGCTTCGAGCGATGTGGGTCAATGCAGACCTGCTAAGAATTCCATGACAATGAGAGACAAGTTCGGCCTTGAGAGCCTCGTCGTTCCTCGACGCGGATACTAATGAAGTGACGAGAGATTCCAAAGCCTGAGACATAGTGAAGCAAACGGAGCGGAGCACAGGAAGTACCCAGGTTGTGCTGAATGTCTGTAGATCAGATCGTCACGTGGAGGAGGACCGCCAACGCCAAATCTCATTGCACGTGCTTTGAAGCTATCGAATTATGACATCCCGGTCATTGCGCATTTATCGCTTCCCCGCAGCCCGTAGCTTGTATCATCCTGAACCAGACTTGACCCGTCTTTATCCGAGTTAAACTCGATATTGTTGAAACATGTCATCCCTTCACCTGCGCTCATCGCCAAAATTTACAGCACGGTCTGACATGGCTCTCAAACTTTGGGAAATCAGAGATGAGATAGTCCACTTGATAGTTGAACGAAACTCGAGTCTGCGCACACCCCCACAACTCCGGTCCTGGCTTGGAAAAGCGAAAATGAGCTATTTGGCCAGCAAAATCCGACGAGATCGATGCAGCTATCCAAACAGGCAGTCGAGTAGTTTTAAACCTGGATTTGAAAGCTTGAACAACAAAAGTATACCATGTCGTTCGGCAATCTTTAGACGCCGTTTCTGGACCCTCCACATGATGTATTGCAAGTCACTTACATTTCCGGCACGATAATGACAATTTTAGCAAGACCTCTCGTTGGGGGCCTGCATCTTCGAGGACGGATCAGGTCAACGAAACCTTCACGCTGTGAAGAGATCAGGGGAAGGTTTCTACGTACGTAAGAGGTGCACACGTTTCCAATGGTCTCAAGTTGATCATATACAATTGAAACAACACTAATAGCACAAAGTCGGCCCCTTCTATAAGGGAACAGGCGTTTAAAGCTTGATCTCCTTGAGACCGTCCTTCCAGAAAGTGAAGTAAGCTGAAATCGGTGAGCTCTTACTCTTTGATCGGTATTTATCAGCTTACGGGTAACACCGTCCTCCTTTAGGCCTGTGAGCACAATCCAGACGAGATACATGACAAGAACATACGCGGTAGTTGAGAAGGGCAACCATGCCATCCGGATTCATGGTCTCACCGGTAAACTGCAGTCCTTGAGTACATGCTGATGGGCATACAAGAAGACGACGCACGAATTCGTAGTCCTTGAAGTTGGCGACGACCTTCTTCGCGAATGCGGCGGCATTTTTTTCGAAAACAGCGACGCGGGAAGGATTCGTCTCCTCAAGCTTGGTCTTCACAGCCTTCATATACGCCTGTGTGACGAGATGAAGGTGCTGCAAAGCAGTTTCCACGGTCGGACATACCTTGAGGCAAGTGAGGAAGGATTTTTTATCGAAGGAGGTGCCCTGGAGACGGAAAGAGTAGGCCACGTTATTCACGGAGACGGCTCCCTCTTCCAATGCCTCATCGGCCTCCTCAGCGGACGGGTTGGCACCTGATGCAACGTGAGCTTGGACACAGGATTGGCGCCATGCACTGACCAATGTCGACATCGGCACCAGGCTTTATGGTGATCATAGCGCAGTCCACCTCGAACACAGTGTCGTCGATGAGTTTGCTGGAGCCAGCGATTATGATTAGATAGATGTTGAGTGCTTGGATCGAAGCGAGGCGTACACCGGGAAGGCATCCGAGAACATCTCGTCGCCGGTAATGATGTCTTCATAGAGCAACATAGTCACTAGACACAGGAGGGAGGTGGATGAGGTAGAGGTCAAGACAAAGATGAAAAGGACTAAAAACAGATGGAATCGATCATCACTCACACCCGCTTACGGCACTGATCGCTTCTCTAGACTGCCAAAATTTTCATGACCGACTTCCAGCCCGTTGTTGTAAAACGATATGCGCGCCCAGCATCCACCAAGCACTCTCCAGAGTCCCGTCACTGGCGCCAATTCAAGCATCCTGTCTTTGTGAAGGAATATGCGCCAGTTACATCAGTTCACTTTTCACCATGTAAACCACACCGATTTGCGGTGACCGCTGCGACGAGAGTCCAAATCTATGCGCCTAAGACCCAGAAAGTCACGAAGACCATCTCTCGGTTCAAGGATGTCGCACGCAGCGGCTGTATACGAGCTGATGGCAAGCTTGTTGTTGCCGGAGATGATAGTGGATTGGTGCAGGCGCGTTGCTTTTTTCTGGACGGAAAACGCGTCTTACAACCCCGAAGGTATTCGATATAAACTCCCGAGCTATCCTGCGCACACTGGACTCTCACAAACAACCTGTTCACGTTACGAAGTTCTCCCTCCTCACACCGACGCAAATCCTTTCCTGCTCCGATGATACCACCGCTAAGATCTGGGACGTCCCATCCCAAACTGCAATCTCAACACTCATCTCCCACACGGACTACGTCCGCTCCGGCCAAGTTTCTACCTCAAATCCTAATCTTGTCCTGACGGGTTCTTACGACTCGACCGTGCGGCTATTTGACGCGCGTTCTGGGCACTGCGAAATGATCATGGGTGGGAATGCGGGCGGTGGAGATGCACCAGTGGAACAAGTGCTGATGTATCCTTCGGGCACAGTAGCGGTGTCCTCGGCCGGACCCATCCTTCGCGTCTGGGATCTTGTGGCGGGTGGACGATGCACGCGCGCTCTCTCCAACCACCAAAAGACCGTCACTGCTCTGGCGTTCAACAGCGATTCTAGTCGACTGCTTACCGGCGGGCTCGATCAGATGGTCAAGGTGTACGACGTGAGCACGTATAAAGTTGTGCACACGATGCGATATCCTGCACCTGTCCTTTGCTTGGCAATATCGGTGAGATTCTGCTCCCTTCCCATGATTTTGTGCACTGCTCACGTAGTCGTAGCCGGACGAGACACACATTGCAGCTGGAATGACGGATGGGACTCTTTCTGTGCGCAGACGACAACCCAAACCTTCGGAAAGTGCAGCCAATGCCCCGTTTTCGGCTGCGGCTCTCAAAACCGGGGCCTACGAGTCGTTCCTTGGGGCTATTCCTTCGCTTGGTCAAGGCGCTGTGAAGTCAAAAGTGAAATCGAAATCACTGGGCGAAGCAGACGAGATGCGTGTCGAAAGTCGGAGAATGAAACGGTTACGTGACTACGATCGTTTGCTCAAGAATTTCAAATACTCGGCGGCTCTTGATGCTGTGTTGCGCAAGGTATGAGTATTTTCTTGCCGACTGAGAGCATCTCACGCCTTCCAAAGCAAGTGCCACCAACGACGACGTTCTCCTTGATCCAAGAACTGATCCACCGAGATAGTTTGCGAATAGCACTGTCTGGACGCGACGACGTTCTTTTGGAACCCATTTTGCGATTGCTCATCAAACATGTGACGGACCCGCGGTTTGGCGAATTAGTTTGTGATATATCGGGGATTGTCATAGGTGTGCTGCGTCTGCTATATTGCCGCTGTATAATTCACACCCGCCAGATATGTATATCCCCGTTCTTGGACAATCGCCACTCATCGACACACTCTTCCTCCGCTTGCGCAAGAAGGTCGCTGCGGAACTGCGTTTCCAAAACGAGCTATCAAAAACCAAGGGTGCCCTCGACATGGTATTGTCCGCGGCTGCATCACTGGCCGGTTGAATTCGCGGTTCATTCAGACGGCTCCAATGATGTTATAAGCGCTGCGAGAATCTCCTTTTGGGTGGGAGCTCGGTCTTCGCTGTCCGATGTCTCCTCTGCGTCTACATTATCATAGAACGTTTTGAGGGTCTGTATGATGTCCTTCATGGCCAGGTTCTTTCGATCCAGCATTTGCAGCAGATGACCGCGGACCTGCAAAGAGTTATGAGTGTTTGGGCAGTCCATAATCATACGCACTCCATCATCCTCCATCGCAATCCATGCCAGAATGTAATCCACAGTTTGGAGAGTAAACAAACCGCCATCCAGCTTGCGAAGGTACCAAGTATCCTCCTCGTCGGCACCAATTTCCTCGCCGTCTGCGAGTAATTCCTTGAAGCGCGTATGAATGGAGGCACTACCGGCAATGCAAAACACTCACATCCCTCTCAGCTGCGATCTCCTTCTCCACCACTTTCAAACGTCCGGTTGCACCATCTCGGATCTCCAACAGCTTATCAACCTTTTCATAGTTCTTCTCCACAAATTTGGCTAACAGTCGGATTCGCGCAGTCGAGTCGGAGGGAAGATTGGAGAAGAGTGAGGAAAGAATGCCAAGCGAGTGTGACACGTCTTCAGAAGCAGGGGCCGCACCAGATTTCTGCTTCTTCATCTGGCCCATGAGAGCTGAGAAGATAGTTTTTAATCCTTGCGCCTCAACAAAGGCATCGCAGATGTCAGTCCCCGCTGTTCCAGACATTGCATAGTCCAGTGTCTTGATAGACCTCGATCTGGATTGGCGTTTTTCCCTGCGGGATAGGAAATGATTCAGGAACGGTTGGGCTGACGCATCACTCACTGCATGATGAGAACCATCAAATCTGGGCCCTCCGCAGTAAGAAACTGTTTCTTGATACTCTCTTCACCCAGAGCAGAGCACAAAGCATCGAAAACATTCTCCATGAATTCGGTCTCGTCAGCATCCACTGGGTCCCGTCGACGAAACTGCGATAGAACTTTCAAACAAACTTCGACACCATCCTTTTTTCCGAACTCGATTCGATTCGGCTTGTTGTTCTGTAGCAGGATGGATAAAAGTTCGGCAGCATAACCACGGTTTTCGTCGTGAGCTTTGTCTTGAACACGGGTGAGAAGCCATGTAAGCATGGTCGTCTTCGAGACGAGCCGGGTAGCTAAGTCGGGGTTGAAACCGAGGATGTTCTCAAATATACCTGACTGAAGTGAGGAAAATTTCGAGCGCTAAAAACAGAACATACCCAGAACGTGGAATACACCTTGCCGATCTGAATCCTCCTTCTCATTGAGCCTGACGAGGTTGTCTACCAATAGCTCCAATATTGAGTTTTCCAACTGGATGTCCAAGGTCATTCAAAGGACCAGCAGCCAACCCGTCACTCACAAGAGCTTCAATCAGTAGCTTGAGTGCCTCCTCGGCTGTCCTTTGCTCGCCGGCTTCATCTTCGTCGGCATCCTCGTTCCCGACGTCTTCGTCAGTCAGTTCATGTATGACTTCGACGACGTCGATGACTATATCCGCATTCTCGTGAGAAAGCAAGCCAATAAGCAGTGTGACTGCGCCTGCGCGGACCAGTTCAGGATATGCTAGCGCCGGGGATTGCGCGAGAGGTAAAAGGGATTTGATGGCGGCATCCAGGTCAGCCTCTGAGTCGATGAATCTGCAAGCCCTATGAGCATCCTATCAAGCTTATTTGAATGAGCATGGTTCACTTTGTTGGGTCGTTGGGATATTTTGACCGGTGATCTTGATTTTTATTGACGGCACGTTCGAAACGTAGCAGCATCCGCCGTACACTGGTGATGCTTAGTGCATCCGGCTGCCCTAGCATCATTAGCGGTTGCAGAAATGCCAGCTTGGCGCGTCGGACGAAACGTACATCGTCTTGTGCCCCCTCCCCCCCAGCGTGATCAAAGATATTGAGGATCTCTTTCTGCTCCGATGTCAGCCCACCCCCAAAGAAGCGTCCCTCGTCATCCTCTTCAACAAAGTAATCTGCGTCGTTCCCTGGAGCAAATCCTTCATCCTCGCCGACACCTTCCATGCGATCGTCTTCGTCCCGAACTTCTTCGACTCTAGGGCGCAGCTTTTTGGTTTCGTCTCCATTGGGTAGGCTAGAGTTCGTAGTCGTAGATGAGACGGAGCTGCCCGAGGTTTCGTCCATACGCATTCGCTTGAGCATATCCATAGACGGATTGTCCGGGAGTTTACGCTTTCCAGACGTCGGCAGTTTGGGGACCTGGATGAGATATTAGACTGCGGTATTTCTCAGGCGCAGCGACAGACTTTGAATAACTTGTCGATGTCCATGGTGTCTTGAAGACTGAAGAAGCGCGCGTTGTTATTTCGTGTTGGCCGGGGAATGATGGCACATGTCAATCCGATGTAATACTTGCTGACCATGTAGTCGAGGTGAGCTCAAAGTAAGTAAAGCTAACGACACTTGAACAGGACCATGATAAATAGGGTGTATCTCATGTTTCACTGCAATCCACGCCTGACACTGCAATCCACGCCCGAATAGGGACTGCGCAAGTACACATGCATCTTAAATGGACAATGGCGTGCCGCTGAGCCCATACCTTTGCTACGACATGATCAATGCTTACTGGCGCAAAGACGCGTCCACGAAGTATAAAAGTGAACAGGGAAAGTTCGTCGGCTTCGGGATTTACATGTGAAAGAAGTGTAAGAGAAATGAGCAAGGTCGCGAGGGGCATCGGAGGATTATACATTCAGATACAGATGGGACAAACGGCAAAGGACATACTCGAGTACGAACTCAGTACGGGTTGTGTCTGTTCTTCTTGAGATTCTTCTCGAGTTGTTTGGCTTTACGGTGGCCAATCTCAACCGGACGAATCGCGGTGTCGTCAGCTTTCTTCAGCTTGATAGGCCGATTGCCAACGTACTTGCCTGTCTGCTGGTGAGCCCAAAACAAGTGCCAGAGGGAGGGAGAGAGAGCCAACCATCCATCTCTCGCCATGCTTTAAGAAAGTCTTCAGGGTCAGAGAAAGCGATAAATCCATACTTAGCCTATACACCATCAGTTGACAAGTAGCAAAATAGACGAGTGTGATGGACCTTTTGGCTTAGTCGGTCGCGTATTACACGTCCTTTCTGGAAGGAAGGATACTTGTTGAATGCGTTCGAGAGTACGTCGTCTGAGACATCGTTGCTAAGATCGCCAACAAACAATCGGAACCAAGCTGTAAGGCATAAGTATGGGTCAGACTAAACGGAAGACGGTACGCACAAGGGTTCCAATCCAACAAAGTTTGGTCCTCCCACACCTTGCCACCACCTTTCCTGAGCACTGTAGTACGCTTGCCTCCTTTAGCAAGCTTGCCACCAGAGCCGCCGCGTTTGTCGATCATGGCGCCGGGAACATAAACACTTTGCTGAGCAAGGATTCCAACATCATATTCATACGCGTTAGAAGGGATATGATTATTGGAAGATGAGCCTTGCTGGTAAGAGTAGGGATTGTAATCCATGAGGGAAACGTGAAGGTGGTGGTTATTTGTTCTAGAGTGGTACAATCACTGATGTTCGAACCGATCAAGGGCAGTGCTGATTGATCCGAGTATTGACACCATCATTGATCAGCTATACAGCTAAACACAGTCTCAAAACTTTCGTTGAACCGAATCGCCGCAGGCCTTCAAGGTCAGTCTCTGTACTCTGCTGATTTGCCTTTGCTCATCCGTCTCTATCAGATGCCTTTCGTCAAAAAGCTCAAGTCCGATGCCTACTATTCCCGTTTCCAAGTCAAATACCGCAGGCGACGTGAGGGAAAGACTGACTGTCCGTACACTTTCTTCTACATGAAATCCACACCTTAATGTCGATCGGCAGACTATGCCAGGAAACGGCTCGTGACTCAGGCGAAGAACAAGTACAACGCGCCCAAGTACCGTCTTGTGGTCCGCATCACGAACAAGAATATCATCGTCCAGATCGTCTACGCACGTCTGCAGGGTGACTTTGTGCTTACGGCTGCAGAGTCCCGAGAACTCCCCCGCTACGGAATCTCGCACGGTCTTACCAACTGGGCGGCTGCCTACGCTACTGGTCTTCTTGCTGCTCGCCGTGCCCTCACTAAGCTCGGACTGGCCGACAAGTACGAGGGTGTGACGGAGCCGGATGGTACCCTTGTGATGACCGAGGTTCTTGATGAGGAGGATGCCCCTCGGCCCTTCAAGGCCTTCCTTGATGTTGGTCTGCGCCGCACATCCACTGGTTCGCGTGTTTTCGGTGCCATGAAGGGCGCATCGGACGGCGGTATCTTCATTCCCCACTCCGACAAGCGTTTCCCTGGATACGATCCGGAAAGCAAAGAGCTGGATGCCGACGTCTTGAAGAGCTACATCTACGCTGGTCACGTTGCAGAGTACATGGAGTCGCTCGAGGAGGAAGATGATGAGCGTTTCAAGAAGCAGTTCGCTAGCTACCTTGCCGACGGCATTGGCTCTGAGGATATCGAAGAGATCTACACGAATGCCCATGCTGCCATCCGGGAGGACCCGACGTTCAAGCCGACCGAGAAGTCCAAGGACTGGAAGGCAGAGAGTGTCAAATACCAGGACAAAAAGCTCACCTACGCCGAGCGCAAGGAACGCATCGCGGCCAAGATCGAGCGTTTCCACGCCAATGGCGGTGCTGCCGAGGAGGACGAGGACGAGGACGAGGAGTAGATGTATTAGCCGTTCCTGCTTTGTTTTCTCTATGTGTTCATGCGCCTATGACATGCAACTATGCATTGCTCCATCAAACTCGATTTTTCAGGCGTTTAACGCTGCTATCATCGTAGTTTCTATCCAAGCTACCAGCGACTGCTCCTTCCCATACTGCAAGTCTTTCAGGCCGTTTTTATCCACTTGGTGAGCCACACAGCTGATGCCGTTATGCTGGACCTTCACTCGAAAGTTTCTGGAAAATTTGAGTCACAATGAGGCGCATGTATAAGAACGCTCACAGCGTGCAGCCATCCCAGCGCCCAACACACCGATTGAGATCGATGAACCAAACTCCGCCCACTGGCTCACAAAGCTCGCTCCCCAGTTCACAGACTCGCCGTAGAAGATACCGCTCCAATTCGTCGCTAAGCAACTGTCGCAATTGTGTTATTGAAGCGATCGTCAAAGTTGCTTGAGAGAGATGCACGGTGAGCGATGACGGTGCTCGGAATGAGAGGCGGATGGTATGTCTATGCCGACTGGTGAGAAGTCAATCAACAATCCGAAAAAATCTACGTGCCTATCATCAATGCGCAACATTGCTTGTCCGCCAATCGTCCGACTGTCTATTTCAGACGCGTCCCACAGTCGGACTAGAGCATCCCCAGCTTGTCCCACCGCTTCGAAGCGTAATACAGACGAGATCCCAGTACTCGCTAGCAAGTCTCTTGCTGCGCATGTCTCTGATTTGACACGGTCGCAGAAAACTTGGTACTGCAGCAGATCGATGATCGGTTGCAATAGCAGCGGCGGTGGAGGGTCAGGCCCGCCGGTCACTCGGAAGATACCAGCGGTCCCCAGTCTAAGTTTCTTGTTGTGCTGGTGAATCTGTAGAAGTAGCGCGTGAAGCACATGGTAGATAAGGTCGCACTTTGCATGACTCTGGAAAGAATCAGACAACACGTCCGCGTCCACAAGTTCGAACTTCAGCTCGACCCCCTGTACGGCTTCGATGACAATGAGGCGCTCAGACACCCGCGCTGACGCTGTCGGGAGCTGTCCTGCTTCTCGTACCAGAATTGAAAATATTTCGTGCTCAACCATCTCGCTTTGCGCCAAACGAAGTGTGCCATCAAGAGAGGTATCGTCAGTGCGTGGCAGCGTGTTCTGAGACACAATTTGTTTATCCGGACCAAGGATAGTGATGATGAGGCGCGTCTTCTGACGGAACGGGAAAACCAGGGTCTCGGATTCTTGTTCGTATGTGGGCATCCGTCCAGTGGCGCGCCTGCGAAAGTGCGGAGGAGCTGAACATATTCAGGTACAGCTCTAGGTGTGAGAGCACAAACGCACATTCTTCCAGTCCAAAAGATATCAGGAAATCTTTCGAGGCCTTGTCTGCACCCTTGCCGGTTGGAGCACCAAACGGCAGAGGGGCTGGAATCAATCCCCAGTTTGCACGCCGCACTTTGAGTGCATCAACCCAATAGTTTTCAGACCGTACGCGCGCCCGTTCCAAACTCTCCGAAGCTGTTTTGAACACGCCAGCCGCCTTGCGTAATGCCTCATCCTTTCCACCTATTGTCAACTGCGCATCGAAAGCTTGAATGGAGATAATCGGAACCGGTTTTGACACAGTCGCTGAGGACAGAACAGATGGTGTTGATACTGCAGAGGGCAGGGTCGGCAGTACTCCCGTTAGAGCGGCCAAGGAGGTCGTTGAAGGGGGTACGGAGGACAGCAACATATTCAACAAATCCCTTGCCTGGGACATTTCTCCAAGTGAGGTACTAAACGATCGACTTTCACCTATCGTCCCCCAAGGAAACACTCACTAGAGCTGAGGGAGGACTTCCATACGCATCTTGTGCAGCTCGTCAGCCGTCATAGGCCCCGGTTTTGTCTCCTTCACGTCCGCCTCCTCCTCTTCAATTGCCTCCTCCTTCTCCGCTTGAGTTTCAGATAGCCCATGGAGTCCATGGTTATTTCGATCGAAGAAGTCAATACCGCGTTCGGCGAAGACGCGACGCAGGCGTGCGGCGAGTGAGGTTTCAGGATCGACTTCAGGCTCAAAGACGTGGGTCCCATCGTTCCCGATGTCCAAAAGCACTGGAATACGGTTTCCCGCATCGTCCTTGTAAGGTCGTTCGAGCTTGAGCATGTGGTCTTTTAACAGTCGACAAGCATGGAGATGTGAGGGTGACAGGTGATGGCAGTACACCTGACCTTGACTCAGCGACCCTCTTCGACAATCGGCTGTTGTTCGCTGGACACATCGAGGTCAATATCGTAGACGATGACCAAGGATAGCGACAGCATCTCTTTCAGCTCTTCTTCCAAGCGCAAAGTGAAGGACGACGATGAAGCAATGTCATCTTCGAAGAAGCGAACCAGAGTCAGGTATGCATAGGCCGATAACCCGACCGGCCGATGAACGACCCGCTACAGTTTTTCTTGCGGGGAATGTCACCGACGAAAGCAACGTTGTGATAGGTCCTTGATCTTTTGGTGCAACCTCTACCTCACTTAACCGCACTCCTCAGAAACATCCCTTGCACACATTGCGTCGCTCGGAAGGTCCCGGAGCTATGCAAACCATACATGCCCGGGAAGTCTGACCAGGACGTCTCGGCTCGCCTGGCTCGCGTCGAACGTATACTCGAGATTGCTTTGCCTCAGTTCTCGGATGGCCACTCTTACCGCTCAGCGTCCATTGAAGCAGGCCACATCCACCACGACGAGGACAGCGGCTCCCTTCCCGATGATCAAGACCCTCGAGGTGGAACGTTTCAAAGTGGGAAGTGGTATGGAAATAGCGCCTCGGGAAGCATTGCACCCGGCTCTGTGCTCGAACAGCTTGAGCACGTCGTTGCACCCGCTGCGGGAGACCAGTCGAAGGCTGATGGGCGGACGTATGATATGACTTTGCCTCCTCCCGGGCCGTCCGACGCACTTCTTATCGCTGTTCAGGATGGTCTCGAACCTTCCGCGGCAGACAACCTCAAGACTCTGGTACAAGAATGCGGAGTTTCGCCGCATAAGGTTGCCGAGTTACTCCAGGAACTTCCACCGACTAGAACGTCCACCGCATTGGTGGATTATTATTTCCGACACATGTGCGTCTTTCCAATGAATCATCTGATCGTTCTAGACAACTATTTCCCAGCAACTGGACACGATATCCGATCTCCGAGAAAGACTTTCGAGCATCTTACGACTCGATACGCGACCACGGCATGAATGGGGTCAACGCTCCAAATGACATCAGTTTCTTGCCACTACTTTTCATGGTGCTAGCCATATCTGTCCGGTTAGTGCCAGAGAGTATTGGAGGAGACGCCCGCACTCGCCGTGTCACGTCTCTGCGTTACTACTGGTCTTGTGGGTGACTGGTCGCTTATCTTGCGCATGTGCTGATTCTAGTCTGACTCTCAGCACGCCGTTCGCTGCTGATCGCTGCTGTCATTCAGCCCGATTCGCTGCACATCGTTCTCACACGACTTCTGGTGTGTATTTTCTTCTCAGTCTGACTCTGTCTTATCTTTCCCAGAGTGCCCGATTTCTGACGTTCGATCGGCGTATCACGGAATGCTACTCCCAGCTGGGTGCAGCAGTGAAGACAGCACAGGCACTTGGCATGCACCGGGATGGGCAGAGCATACTGGACCCCAGTGTCATAGAATATCGGAGACGGATCTGGTAAGTTGTATGTCTGATAGGCCAACGCTTTTCTCAATAGGCGCAGGTCCTATCTCTACCATGCGGACCGATCTTATGCATTAGTTCTTGGCCGGCCCAACTCTATCTCTGACGAATACACGTCCACCCTGCCTCCTTCCAACATCGATGATGACTCCCCCACCCCGCGCATGGCGATGCCTCTATCCAATCCTACCAAAATCACTTATGTTATTTTGAGGCATCAGCTCGGGGCCATCATTGGGAGGATGGTTCATCATTTCCAGCAAGTCCGCAGCGGAAGTCTTTATTCAGAAGCTATGGCTATCGACGACGACCTGCTCCATTACATGACCAGCCTTCCGCCCCACTACTCGCTAGACCCCGACCGTTCTCTGGACGAGGCAATGCCGTTTATCCCTGTCCACAGATTCCTTTTGGTCACTGAAGTCTTGTTCGTGCGAAACAGTCTGCACATGCCATACATTCTGCGAAAGCTCAATAGCGAAGGCCGTTATGCTCGCTCTCGGGCAGCTTGCTTCGAGTCTGCTATCAAGGATTTCGATGTCCGACTCGCTTTCCAGAAGACCGTGCCCAAGGAGACCCTCGAATCGCTTTCCAACGCATATCGAGCATTCCAAACGACTCTAATTGCAGTAAGTCAAAACCTGGATCATATCCCACATGTTGATCAATCAATTCCAGGGCATCTACCTTGTTCTCGACCCTGTGGGCGTTCACTCGGAAAAAATGCACGAAATTGTGGATCATTTCGTCTCCTACCACGACCAAATCAAAGAATTAGATGAGACGACTCGGAGAGAGCTCAAAACAATTGAGTTCCTGAGGAATAAAGCCGCCCAAATCCAGAAACAATCAGGAGGCACTCGTCGTATTCCAATCGATCCTGTGCTGGCCAACGACAGTGCCGAGCATCCTGCTCATCTCCTTCTGGGACTGCAGCATTCCGCTCCAGCTTCTGCTGGAGCTAGACCTGTGAATCGGCTACCTCACTCGTCGTCCACTTACCACCACCGTCTCCACCATCCCTCCAAAGACGATTTTCCGGCGTCGCCTGTTACCTCGGGAAGCTCCGAGGAAGAGGCTGCCCAGGCTTTACTGGATCACTGGTGCACCACGATGAACAATGGACCACCGATGGATGGAGCCAATCCAGCGATCACTCCCTCCTGGATGCCTGGCAGCTCAGACCTATCCGGATGGGTCGGCACGGCGCCCATGGTAGCCTCTTCCCTGCCCAGGACAATATCTGCGTTCGCAGAGGATGCCGATTGGAACGCTCAGTACTGGGAGACTCTCGTCAGCCAGATTCAGCGACCCTAGATTCTGATTCTTGTATTGCATAGAAATGTACTATTGCGTCTGTCTGTGTTCTTGCACGCACCAGCATCGCAGCCCTTAGAACTCCCGTCCGTCATTCTACTTGGCAAATTAGTTATATTATCAGCATTAGTTATAGGCGGACTGAGACGTGATAATTCTACTTTGCAAATTCACTCTTTCATGACCATTAGTGACTGGCGGACTGGGACGCTTTGATATCAACAAGGGTTTGTTTGGTATTCTCAGCTGCTCTGCAGCGCTCCGCAGAAGTAAGGTTTCTATCTTTCTTTCCTAGTCGCGCCATGCTCCTGCTGAGGCCTAAGATACTGCTGTTCATCGCCCCCATTCTGCTCTAGCTTGCTGCTCCATACTCCGGTTCTAAAGTGATCGTATCTGCACAGCCATCTGGACCTCTAATGGACTCGAAACTCGCGCAGCTCGCAGGTAGTGTGCCGCAGAAGGACAAAGGCGCAGGATTCATCACACTTGTCAATGAAATCCTCGCACGACCACCTGCAGAACAAGCTTCGGTGGTCTCCGACATCCACAAGGTGATCGACACGGTGGTCAATCAGGACAGCGTCGGTTTGGTGGTCGGCAGACAAGTCTTGTCCGATTTCGTCAAAGTGCTCGGAGATGGGCTGGTCAAGTCCACAGAGCTCCGAAAATCTTTGGTCGAGGATATCTTGTCCATCGTTCAGCCGCGGATCGTCAGTTACGAAGAGCAGGCGAGTGCGGACGCGTCTCATCAACCGCCGTGATATTCACAAGAGACAGGTGAACATACTTCGTTTTCAACTAGCGGACATATTGGAGGAAGAAGAGGAATGGAGCGAGGCTGCGCGCGTGCTCATGGGTACATCTCTGGATTCTGGTCAACGGTAAGCAGTCCAGCCTACTCGACGCGACGCGTTCTTATGACGATCATTCAGCACGATGTCCGAGACCGACAAACTCCGGATGTACATTCGAATTGTCCGTCTACTTCTCGAAGACGAGGACTCTGTTCAAGCCGAAACATATTACAACCGTGCCGCACTGCTCGTTCATTCTACAAACGACAAAGAGACTTTGCTCTCCTTCAAACTATGCCAGGCCAGGATCATGGACTACAGCCGGAAATTCCTCGAGGCGGCGAGCAGATATCACGAATTGAGCTACGTGGGGGATATCGACGAGGAGGAAAGGCAGCAGATGTTGTGAGTTGCGTTGTGAATTGTCTGCTTTGACGACGATTTATTTTGGCGATCAGACTTGCTGCTGTGACATGCGCCGTACTCGCTCCAGCAGGACCCAACCGATCCCGCGTCCTCGCTTCTCTTTATCGCGACGAGCGCACGATAGATCTCCCCACCTACAACATCCTCTCGAAAATGTTCCTTGACCACATCCTCCGCTCTGCAGAAGTGCATTCTTTCGAAGCTACGTTGAAGCCCCACCAACTGGCGAAGATCGCCATCTCCTCGAACGACCGACTGGCCTCTACCGCGCAGGACGATGAGCTTGCAGATGCCAACGAGCCGGCCATCAGCAAACGCACGGGGCCGTCGACCGTGCTGGATCGTGCGGTGATGGAGCATAATCTACTGGCCAGCTCCAAGATCTACAATAATATTACGTTTCGCGGGCTGGGCTCTCTGTTGGATCTGACGCCGGGTGCTGCGGAGACGATGGCTCGGAAGATGATCGAGCAGGGACGGCTGCGTGGTTTTATCGACCAGGTAGATCGGCTCATCTGGTTCGAAGGGAGCCGAGAGGAAGACGACGCGCAAGGCAAGGCTGGTGGATTGGGCGATGTCGAGGAAGCTGAGGACACCGGGGCCCCGTTCACGAAGCGTTGGGACAACCAGATCCGGCTGACGGCAGCGAACGTGAGTGAAATGAACGAAGATCATGCCCGCCCCGACACTCACATGGTCCGGTCCAGGTCGAATCCATTGTACAACACCTGACTGAGAAAGGGCTCGTGACCCTGTCCGCCTCGGCTTAGACGGTGCCCCCCTCCGCTTGCCAGTTCACAATGTATTGTAACACAATCGCACACTTTTTGAGACTACTCCTTCCTCTTCCTCTTCGCGCGTTCTCTTTTTGAGTCAAGTTCATGCCACTCTCCTTTCAGTGCGGACAGGCTGTGGGAAACAAGATGAGCACTCAACCTTGTGAACATGCCGGCTACTACGTACCCTGTTGGTGCCTCTGCAACTGGTTCCTCTTGAACGAAATAGGATGCTTCGAGAGCTTGAGCCGCGGTTGCACGTTCGAGTGGGTTGTAGCAGAGCAATCGGCCGGCAAGATCCAAGGCGGCGGGTTTCATCCACCTTGAGGTTCGATGAGAAATGCGCCAACCAGTAAGTACGTCAAATACTGACCTCGCAAACATGTCTCGAAACCGATTCGGCATCTCATTCTGTGGTTTGATCAGCTCATACCAAGGCAGGCCTGCGAGCTCAGGCCACCGCTCCGGGGTTGGTGTTCCAATGACTTTGTAGATGGTCGTTAATTGATGGATCTCGTCCTGGCCTTGGAATACGGGTTTCTTCGTAAACAATTCAAGCATAATGCAACTAGAAAAGGGTTATCGCATCAAATCAAGCCTCGAAACGAACAAAGTACCCAGCACTCCACATGTCGATTTCTGGCCCGTACACAGTGGCACCAAAAAGCAATTCAGGCGGTCGATACCACAGGGTGATCACGCGGTTGGTGTAATCACTTCGCCGTCGTTTCTGATAGAATCGAGCGAGACCGAAGTCTCCCAGTTTGAGCTCTCCTCGATTGTTGACCAAGATATTGGAGCCTTTGATGTCACGATGTATGACACCTTTGTGGTGCAGGTAGGCCAAGCCAGCGAGCATCTGATGATTGAAGGACTTGAGGTGAGCATCTGTGAATGCAAATTGGGTTTGAGACAGAATCCCAGTCAGATCGTGGTCCATATATTCGAAAACCATGTAGACGGAGCCTTACAACGCGGTCAGTAAAACACTCCAGATAGGACACGTGATCGCGAACCGTTGGAGACCATCATCTCGTACAAACGAACCACATTTTCATGACGAAGGGACTGCAAGAGCTTGATTTCTCGCATAGCAGTGACAGGAAATCCCTCTTTTTCGGATTCCATCCGGATCCTCTTCAGAGCCACGTACTTCCCGGTGACGGTGTTCTGGGCCTTGTACACTTTGCCAAAGGTCCCTTCTCCAACCTGGCTGAGGATCGCGTACAATTCACTTCGATGATACTGTTCTTGAGGAGTTGCCGGCTCGGAAGGTGGCGCCCTGCATCTTCCGAGACGACGACTGGCGTCACCGGTTCTGCTGCAGCTGCTGAACCGGGACCTCCATCAGCAGCAGGTGGCATCACTGGATCTGAAGAAAGATCCATGTCTTCCTCATCGCTCGGGAAGAACTTCTTTAGCGACGAACTGGCCTGGCCGATCGGTCTGAATCCGGCATTCTTTGTGACGAACCGAGCTGGAGCAAGCGGCCGTGTCAACGTCGGTGGCGGAACGAACTCAGCATGTGGTGCAGGAATGATGGTCGGAGGGGGCATGCTCATGTGCGCAGGCAGTGGCTCGGAGACCTGGACAAAACTCGTTGAGTATTCTCGGGCGCTGACCAGAAAATGAACGACCCACCTGGTGTCGAGATGACCCATTGTGTGAACCCGAACCGTTCCTATCAATGCCATTGTGAGTATCTGCTTCCGAGGGCGCACTCGTAATCGAGGTCGAAGGAGGCAGCGAACGGGGGCTTTCGCTACGTCCCGGGCTTCTTCGAGAACCATTCGACGATGTATCCTGAGGTGGCGGCCAGATGCTCTTGATCGCGTTGAGTGGAGGATGGCTCGTATCCTCTTTGTGGGGTACCCAGCCTTGCGGTCTGTCACTGTCATGCTCATCATCGGCATTTTCGTAGGTCTTCCTCCGTTTGGAAGCGGGAGAAGATGATGGAGATCGTGTCCGTCCACGAGACGAGCGCCGTGAATAGAATGAACCAGTAGGTGACCGCGAGCGAGATCTCGAGGGCGTTCTTGAGCGCGCGCGCCTTCGTGAGGCTGGAACGTATCCAGTATCGCTGTTATTCCCTCGTTTTGACCAGCTAGGTCAGAGTGATAAAAGATGAGGACGTGAATGACCTGTGTGAAAAAAGCGCACTTGTTGGGGTTTCCGCCATCATCAGACCGCCAGTCTCGCTGTAGTTGGGACCCTTCGTTATAATGTCGATTAGAAGAACTATTACCCCCATAAGAGCCGTTATAAGACGATTTTGAACTGTTTTCGTGCGGAGGGTTTTCGTGTTTTCGCTGTTCTTGGCGATCTTGCCAGCCAGGCGCAGGTTCCCAGGCACGTACCACCTCCGCCGCTTTTGGTTCTCTGGAAGAGTCCCACTGACCATCCCATGCCGTCCCTCTTCCCCTCGAAGGATGATTGGCCCATTCACGACGATGCTCAAAAGACTGCTGTCGGCTTCCTTGCCGGCCCTTGTGCGAGGGGCGGTCATCTTGTGGATGCCAACGGTCCTGATGACCGTTTCGATGATCTCCAGAGCTTTAGAAAGGTGAGAAAGGCTGTTCACACGGGGAAAAAGAATGTAGGGACCCGCACCGGTGTGTCATCACTGGTCCGCCTTGACGAGAGTCGTGTCCAGGCCATGACTCAGATTCTCTCGGTGCCTCAAACTCGTCTCGACGGTCACCCCGATATCCGTCATTAGCTCTCCATTCTGCATCGCGCTGCGCGCGAAACATGTTGGATTGGGACTCGAATGGATGCCTACTGGACGAGGCTTCATTTCGACGATAATTCGCCTGTCGACGGTGGTCACGCGAATAGAAGTTATTCTGAGGCTCGTCTTGACGATGTTGTGCCTCCTCATTTCGTCGCTGTTGGTGATGGTGGTGGTGTGAAGGCATGGGGTTCTATGCAAAGTTCAGTAAGAAGATCAAGTTGTGGAACAACAGTGTTTGCTTACATATGCCTGTTCGAAGCGCCCCCAATGCAACGTCGTTCAATGAACAGAAAGGCTTTGAGTGGTCGAATGCCAGTTGTGAAGTGAAGTTGCGTCAATCTAGGAGAGTTCAAAGGATACAACTAACATTGGAGTCGAATGACTTACACTGTGGGCCAAAGGTGGCTGGCTACACGCCCGGGATCTTGGATGGTAGGGTACCCAACAAGAATTACAGACGGATATCCCAGGATGTTTGAGTACAATCTCCGCCGCTGCGCGCTTGCGAGTGCACGACGAGAATGTCGCGAGACCTAAATCGGAAGGTCAATGATCGAGTGTAATACAGTGCACGCGCCTCACGTGCCTTCTTTCCTTCCTGCCACTACAAGCCTCCGGGCCACTATTTGGGACTGACGTCCCTACGCTCCCGCTATGGCGACAGTAGACGCGCCAATCGTTGGCAACTCGTTCGCTGACTTGGAGCAGCGCGTTGCACGGCTCGCAGACCCCCTCGTCGACATCAATCAAAAGTCGAAATGTGCTGCAGAAATACGCGAGATGCTCGACAGCCCGCGGGACAACGAATCGTATCGGGCTCTGTTCTACCTCATTCCCACTATCATTAGTCTCCTCGGCTCTGTAGCCGTGAGCCTGGACAAGTCCACTCCAGAATATGTCTTCAGACGCGCCTTGGTCGAAATCATCCACCGACTTCCGGTGCACGATAACGTTCGCCCGCGCGCCGATGATGTATTCAATTGCATGATAAACGTCATTCGGCACGACAACGAGGAGAACGGGGTGCTTTGTTGCAAAACTCTGGTCGATTTCGTCCGCAACTACAGGACCTCAGCTCCCCAGCACATCAACGACTTCTTCCTGTTGTTTCAAGAATGTTGTCGCAATATTCCGAGCCTGGTCAAGGAAGTTCTGTCAGAGGACTCAGCTCCGCTAAACCCTGATGCTCTCATGCCTTGTCTGCGGAGCTTCAAAGGGCTTGTTGAGATTGGGCAGGTCATGGCGTCTTTCATGTCCATCCAGAGACCCTCCACGTCGAACGACACATTGATTCCTGCTTTTGAGGTAGTGGGATTGGAGTCTCCGGCGCAGAAGGCAAATAGAGAGAACTATGAAGCCATGGGCGGTTTTTGGTCCGGAGTTGCGCCGACCGTTCGTAATCCAGGAGCATATAGTGATTTCCTATCTGCTCAGACGAAGGTCTGCGTGCATCATCACGTTTGACTACTCTCATTGGCTGACGTTGCTGATCAGATTCTGTCCTACCTGACCTACGTTATGCGCCTTGGAGTTGAGAACCAGGACCAGCATGGGGACACCCTCCTTCTAGCTTCTCTCCGCCTTCTGCAGGATTGTCCGACCACTGCAGTTACTACCAGAAAGGTCTGTCTCTTTCTGTGCGAAGTTTGAACAGGCTCTAATTGCTCTTAGGACTTGATCGTCGTTTTCCGCCACCTTGCTGGCCAAATACATCGGCGTGCGGTTATCCCACACCTGGACAAATTGTTTGACGAACGGGTGACTCTGGGAACGGGCATCACAGGAAAGGAAATGTTCAGGTGCGCTCCAAGTGCTCACGGGAGTGCAAGTTCTGACGATGTCCTTTCTATCATCAGATCGCACATCTACAGTGCACTGGCCGACCTCTTTCACCACATCCGCGGAGAGCTGTCCATGGCCCAAGCTAACCGCATCGTGCTCATCTACGCACGCATGCTGCACGTTCCTTCGATGGCTACTGGTCTCCATCCTATGTTTCTCAAGATCATCATCAGTCTCGTTGACACTATCGTCACCAAAGATAAGGGGCCGGCTCTCAAGACTCTCCTTTTCATCGTAGACACCTGTTTGGACCGTCTCGAATCGTTGAACATCGCGTTGGAGGACCTCTACAGTGCCGCCGAGCGTGCGAAAGCAGGAAAAAAGGATGATGTAGTGCACGATGCTGCGTTCATCGAGAAAGTGCGCCCTCTCGGTGGCTCGTCGTTTTTGTTGGAGAAACCGGAAGAGGTCATTACAGGTCAGTTGGTGTGCTCTTATTTGATTGCGCTCATGACAAAAGTCCTATTCCAGACATGCGCAATCTGTTCAAAACGCTGCTACACGGGCTGCGTTCGTGCTTGAGTGTGATCAAGAAGCTGGGTGGCGATGTCATTGACGGCACGCGCATGAACCGGCTTTTCAAACTGTCAACACGCTGTTTGACGTTGTTCGAGCCGTACAACGAAGACCCCACCGAATGGCTAGCGCTCGTTCTATGCGAACTCAACTTGCACGTCTTCCAAGAGGTCTGGGCGCAGAACATTGACTACTTTTTCCAATCTGCACGAAAACGGCCTGTGATCCTCAATCTTTGCCAAACGCTGTTCCTAAAGGACCCATTCTCTCCGACGCTTCTTGCGGCTGTTCTTCGGTTTCTGGTAGACCGACTGCCCATGTTGGGAGAGCAGGACGATATAGTCGCTGGTGCCACTATCAGGCTGTTCAAGATGGGCTTCAATTCAGTGACGACACACCAGGCGACGAATGAACCGATCTTGGCGTCCCACCTCCCCAAACTTCTGATGGACTGTTTCCCACTGGCCGCCAAAGCAACAAAGCCGACGCACTATCTGTTCTTGCTGCGGTCGCTATTCCGGGCCATCGGTGGCGGTGGCGGTCGATTCGAGATTCTGTACAAAGAAGTCTTGCCCCTTCTACCTGAAATGCTCGCGAACCTGAACACACAGCTGCTTGCATCGGAGGGGCAAACAAGAGATCTCATCGTGGAACTTTGTCTGACAGTGCCGCTACGGTTAACTCATCTGCTGCCGCACCTGACATATCTGATGCAGCCGCTTGCGCTCGCTCTCCGTGGGACGCAAGAACTGGTCGCCCAAGGCCTGAGGACGCTCGAGCTCTGTATCGACAATCTCACGCCGGACTTTTTGGATCCGACCCTGAATACAGTCTTGCGTGAGCTGATGGAGGCATTGCACAGCCATCTCAGACCCCTGCCGGCGAACCATCAGCTGGCGCATACGATCATCCGCATTCTGGGCAAGTTGGGTGGCAGGAACCGGAAGCTGCTGACGCTCGAGCCGTCGTTGAAGTACATCGACCATTCTCCGGTTGCGAGTCTCCCGATTTCATTTGGTGGAAGCGTGGGAACGATCGATGTTGGCCCAACGACATTGCTGGCCTGCAAAACGTTGAAGAAGGGCACATCGCTGGATCGCAAGCACGCATACGATTACCTGGAGGCCTGCATGACAATGCTGATGCAAGAGGTGAGTGTGTCGAAAAATAGCCTGCAAAACCACTGAACTTGCAACCACAGCAAGGTGTTCTGGCCCCAATGTCGAGTCGACATTTGTTTCTGCCCTGGAAGGTGTCTTTGATGCATATCTGATCCCGGAGCAGCCTGTTGAAATCAAAGAACGGGCGGGCACCTTCCTCAAAGGGATGAGCCGCAAGGTGCTCGAGATGGAAATGGGCCGGCCACCTCCAGTAGGCTTCACCAGGCCCGTGCTGAGCCCCATGCTGCACGCCTTCCTTGACGCGATCCCGTATGCGCTCGCGCGCGAGACCACGGGAGAGTGCGAGCAGGCGGAAGAGATGGTCAAGCTCTTTGTTCAACACATCGTGGACATCAATCCTTCGAAGAACCCAAGCGCTCCAGCCGTCGAAGTGAGCATGGTGCTGCATCAGATATCTCATCGCTTCAATTCACTGTGTCTTGACGGCCACCTGATGCGCAAACGGGCTGGATATCGCGCTCTGCGGCTCATGACAACGGCAGCAGAGATCGGAGCTCGTTGGACAGCTGAGCGAGAAGGAGACTCGGTCCACACCCTCATCCGGATGCTCAAGGATCTGCCCGCCGGTCTGACCCGCGATGTTGAGCAGGTCATCAGCACCCTGCGGGACGTTTTGCGCATCAGCAACTGCAACCTCGACTTCTCACTCGACCAGACGAATCTCAAACTCGTCAACCTCGCGGGGCTCTTCTGCTCTGAGCTCTCTGGCCCAAACGCAGTTGCTCGAGATGCAGTACAAAAATGTCTTGCGCTACTGGTCGAGATCAGTGGCCGATCTGCGCACTCCCTGCTCGAGTCGCACCGCGACCGGCTGCTGGGAGGGATCTACACCAAACCTCTCAGGGCTCTGCCATTTCCGATCCAAATCGGTATGATCGAAGCAGTGCGCTACTGTGTTTCTCTCGATCCTCCGCTCGTTGAGCTCAACGACGAGCTGCTTCGGCTGTTACATGAGACTCTCGCTTTGGCCGACGCTGAAGATGGCACTCTTCTGCCAAGAGGGAGTCTGCCCCCTCGGCAAGGCAGTCTCGAGGTCATTCGGCTTCGCGTTGCTTGCATCAAGCTCCTCACCGCGTCCATGCCTTTGACCGACTTTTTCTCGAGGCAGCACCAGACTCGTCAGAGGTGAGTAGGCTGATATCTGAGCGTGAGTATGACCGTGCTGACAAATCTTCGCAGAGTCACGAGTGTGTATTTCAAGTCGCTGTACTCGCCGTCTCCTGAAGTGAAAGATGTGGCCTACGACGGACTGAAGATGGTTCTTGGTCATCAAAGCCGACTGCCTCGCGAGCTGCTGCAGACAGGCTTGCGTCCGATCCTCATGAACCTGGCAGATCCCAAGCGACTGTCTGTTCCTGGGCTGGAGGGACTCGCGCGATTGCTCGAACTCCTGACGAACTACTTCAAAGTCGAGATCGGCCACAAGCTTCTCGACCACTTCCGCATTGTGGCAGACCCGCAGTTGCTTTCGAACGCGTCGAAACTGACGCTCAGCGAAAACGAAGGAATCACAAAGCTGGTCCGACTGGCCAACATCTTTCACCTGCTCCCATCCGCAGCCAACATCTTTCTCGAGAATCTGGTGAATGCGATCGTGCAGACCGAGTCGCAGATGCACCTTTCGGGCCAGACGCCGTTTTCGGAACCGCTCGCCAAGTATCTCAATCGATATCCTGCAGAAGGCATCGACTTCTTCTTCAAGCAGATTGAACTACCAGCGCATCAGCGGACTCTACGAGCGATCCTGCAAGCGGAAATGGCTCCCAATCTGCTGATCGAACTGGCGTCACGCCCTGCCATGTTGCTACAGTTTTTGCAGACCGAGGGCAAGCCCACCGTAGTGATTCATGCACTGAATCTCGTTTCTGATTTGGTTGAGCTCAGTCCCACGTGGATGTTCGAGAACGATCATGTGATGGACCGTTTGCTGGAGATATGGCGGAAAGAACAGCCACACCCGGAGAACAGTGCCGAGGTCGTCCCGCAAGCGATCGAGCGACACAACATTCTGCTCTCGATCTTCAAGACGGTGCTGAGCCGGACGCCTCGGGTTGACTTGGTTTTCGAGATCATCTCCATCTACACGCGCAATCTGGGCATTGACTTGCTGCGCACCACGCGGTTTTTGTATCGGCATGTTGCCCTCAGTGATGACATTTTCGTGCAGCGTAATGTGCTGATGCGCTTCTTGACCTGGTACGAGGATCCTACGGTCACGTGGCAACTCAAGCTGTTCATGATGCGCTATGTCATCACGCCCACGTTGCTGGTGCAAGCGGGCAAGCACGAGCTCGTAGATGCAGGATTCACCAGCAAGATTGCCAAACTGATGTGGGCCCGGCCGCCAGACGCAGAGACCGATGACGTTTTCAAGGTCGAGTTGCTCTACCTGACGACCGTGCTTGTCCAGCACTATGCGAAACATCTCGAGGACGTCAAGAAGGATATCATCCGCTGCGCCTGGCAGTACATCAGCTGCGAGGATGCGATTGTCAAACAGACGGGTTTTCTGCTGACCGCCCGGTTCTTTGTCGCGTGGCCGACTCCCCAGAAGTTTTTGATGAAGACATGGATGGGTCTGCTGCGGTTTGCCCCGGCAGAGGGGAAACCTGCCATCCGACAGGATGCACTTGCGATTCTCATGCCGTGCCTGACTGCCTCGGAAGGTCTCGATCGGGGATACCCACAGTGGGCGCTCAGTGCCAGGAAGCTCTTGCTCGAGGAAGGACTGGCTCAGTCGTTCTCGATCTACCAGCTGATTGCCAAGTACTCCGACCTGTTCTATCCCGTCAGAGGCCTCCTCGTGCCGCATCTCGTGAACTCCTTGAACAAGCTAGGCTTGTCGACCGCCTCGACAGCTGATTCGCGGGTCCTGACGATCGAGCTGCTGAATGTCATTTTCAAATGGGAAGAGCAGACCGCCAGTGCCATGAAATCCGGCCAGGAAATCGCCAACCCGGCCGGTGTTCCTGTTTGGACTACACCGCTGAGTTTCAGAGAGAACATCGTAAGCTATCTTGTGCGGCTGGCGACAAGTGCCGATCCTGCCTCCCGGAACAGTCTCGTTCCCAGGGCACTGGCGTCGTTGCAGAAGATAGTTGGGCCCCGCGGATGGCGTGATGTTGCATTCGGGTTGAAGTTCTTCATGAAAGCGTTGAGCAGGTGCGCATCGCTGCCTTGAATATTCGCGCACCGGCCGTACTGACCTGATTCCTCCAGAACGAGCTCACCAGCGAGCCCTTCGTGGCACAAGCTGTCGCCTCGGCCCGGGTGCTGCAAGTGATCGCATCGGAGCAAGATGATGCGTGGTACACGACGAACTATGAGCTCTTGCACAAACTCGTCCGCAAGGGCATGGTCACAGACGAATATGCTTTGCACGATGCTCTCCAGCCAATCTTCTCGCACCTCATCCGGCTGTTTCCGCTGCCGAAAGAGGATCCGGAGGAAACAGTGTCGGACGAGAAATCCGAGTTCCATGTGTTTGTCCACACCTCCATCTCTGACGGACTCAAGAACACCGCCACGCTGAGAGGCACACTTCTGATGCTCAAGTCGGTCATCCAGGTCGAGGCTGAGCGGATCGAGCCGTACTCCGCCAACTTGATGAGGCTGCTCGGAAGACTTGCTAAGGAACACTGCAACTCGACCCCGGCTTCGCCAGGATTCGAAAACAGCGTCCGGCTGATCTGGCCATTCTAGATGTTTGTCAGATGAGCGTTGCCTTCCTCGCTGACCAACGGCGCTGGCTGTTGAGCACGCTCGTGGTCCTGGTCGACAAGAGCAAGAGCCCCGTTATCTGTGCTTATATTCTCGAGCTGGCCAAGACATGGGCATTGGTCCGCCAGGATCCGTACCCGACGATGAAAGAAAAGGCAAGCTTGCTGCAGAAGATGGTCGCATTCGAGGGCAGGGCGGAGAACATCCACCACCTCTACCTCGAGCTCATCTACAGTATCTACACCCAGCCTGCGCTCAAGCGCAGCGATCTCACTGCCAGGCTGGAGCAGTCATTCCTGCTAGGATGTCGCGCCAAGGACCCTGAACTGCGCGCCAAGTTCATCGAGCTCCTCGACGCCAGTGTCACGCGGTCCCTCATCAGCCGCGTGACCTATGTGTTCGGTGTCCAGAACTGGGAATCACTCGCCGATAACAACTGGATCTACCTTGCGCTAGACCTCATTCTCAGCGCCGCCGACAAGGATTTGCCGGCGCGTCACGTCGCATCGCGTGATATCAGCATACAGAATGTGCTCCGCCCAATGCGCAGTCTGTTGTCGCTCGACGCTCAAGCAGCCCACGACACTTGGGTCTCGCTTTTCCCTGTCATCTGGCGTGCCCTGTCCCGTCGTGAGCAGATCGACCTGACGCAGCACGTGATCAATCTGCTGGCTAAAGAGTACCACATCCGGCAGTCGGAAGTGCGGCCGAACGTGATTCAAACACTGTTGACGGGTATTCATGCGTGCCAGTCGTCCCCGATGACACTGCCGCCGCATCTGGTCAAGTACCTCGCCAAGACGTTTGGCGCGTGGTTCGTGTCCCTTGAGGTGCTGGCCGGTTCCTTCGAACAGGTGCGCGACGACGAGCACGTGATCAGGGAGTATGTGTATGACTCGCTGGCGGATGTCTATGCGGAACTGGCTGAGGAGGATATGTTCTACGGCCTGTGGCGACATCGTTGCCTGCACATCGACACGAACATCGCCCTCGCGTTCGAGCAGAATGGGATGTGGGAGCAAGCCTCGGCTACGTACGAAGTCGCCCAGACCAAGGCGCGCACGGGCCAGATCCCGTTCACGGAATCCGAGTTCTGTCTTTGGGAGGACCATTGGGTGTTAGCTGCGGAGAAGTTGCAGCAGTGGGATATCCTGCATGATCTGGCCAAGGCAGAGAACAACCAAGAGCTCGTTCTCGAGAGTGCGTGGAGAACTATCCAATGGGTCGATCACAAGGAGATGCTCGAGGAACAGATTGCCCAGTTGCCGGATGTAGCGACACCGAGGAGGAGGATCTTCGAAGCCTTCTTGGCCTTGCTCAAGATGCCTGCCGCGTTGGACAAGAATGTCGAGTTCACCAAGATCCTCGAAGATGCGATGCAGCTGTCCTTGCGCAAATGGGTATCGCTTCCTCCCCACCTGTCAGGGGCTCACGTGCCGCTGCTGCAGCACTTCCAGCAGTTTGTCGAGCTCCAGGAGGCGGTGCAAATCTTTGGCTCGCTCTCGACCACGACGGCGCAGAACTTGGAGAAGAAGTCGGGCGATCTGAAGATGGTGCTCCAGGCGTGGCGAGAGAGACTGCCGAATCTGCAAGACGATATCAGCATCTGGAGCGACCTGATCGCATGGCGCCAAAACGTATTCCATGCCATCAATAGTGTCTACATTCCGTTGATCTCAGGTGCGAATCAGCCCGGCGGCAACACCCAAACGTTCGGCTATCGGGGCTACCACGAGACGGCGTGGATCATCAACCGATTTGCGCACGTCGCGAGGAAGCATGACTTGCTCGATGTGTGCTTCACGTCGCTCACCAAAATCTACACGCTGCCGAACATCGAGATTTCCGAGGCATTCCTGAAGCTGCGGGAGCAGGCTAAGTGCCACTACCAGAAGCCAAATGATCTGCAAGCCGGGCTCGAGGTGATCAACAACACGAACCTCGTCTTCTTCTCTATCGCGCAAAAGGCTGAGTTTTACACTCTCAAGGGCATGTTCCACGCTCGGTTCAAGCGGAACGAGGACGCAAACAACGCGTTTGGGCAGGCTGTGCAGCTGGACATGTCGCAGGCCAAAGCATGGGCTGAGTGGGGGCGCTACAGCGACAACATGTTCAAGGAGAACCCCGCCGATCTGTCGCATGCGGCCAATGCCGTCAGCTGCTATCTCCAGGCAGCGGGGTTGTACAAGAACGGCAAGAGCCGGCCCTTGATCGGCCGGATTCTGTGGTTGCTGAGCATTGATGACCCATCGCTGATCATCTCGCGCGCGTTTGACACCTACAAGGGCGATGCCGCATACTGGTACTGGATCACATTCATCCCGCATCTGTGCATGAGTCTGTCCAGCCGGGAGGTCAAGCAGGCTCGCTATGTGCTATTGAATCTGGCGCGGCACTATCCACAGGTGAGTTTTTGGTGGCCGAGCTGAACCTATCTGACGAACGCCTGTCCGACAGGCTCTGTTCTTCCATCTCCGCATGACGCGTGAAGAAGTGCTACTCCGCAAACAGGCGATGATGCGCGTCCAGCAGCAGCAGGCCGCCGCAGCTGCCGCATCCCAGCCTCCGGCGGAGAACGGAGCGACACCCGCTGACCACCCGATGCCGTCTGTCGCGGAAGAAGCCGTCGCGCAGCGCGCTGCCGCCAATCCCACCGGCGATGCAAACTACCCACGCCAGGCATGGGACTACGTCGAGGAGGTCGTCCAGCTGCTCAAGACCGCGTTCCCGCTGTTGGTCCTGAATCTGGAGACGATTGTTGAGCAAGTGAGCAGCAAGTTCAAGCCGTCGGGCGAGGAAGACGCGTATCGCCATATTTGTTTGTTGTTGAGCGATGCACTGCAGGTTGGTCCATCTGTGTGGTCTGTTCTTTTCTATATTGATGTCGACGAATGCAGACCTACGTCGTGCGTGTCAGCAGCCCCCTGGATGACGGACAACTGGCCCAGAGTACGCTCAATGCGATGCTGCGGTTTGGCCAGACGTTGAATGGGGCTGTCAAGGTACGTGTTTCTCTCTTCCTCCAGGCTTTGTTCGCGGGCTGATGACCCTCAGCGCGAATGGGACGAAACATTCACACCCGGTCTAAGTCTGCACGAGTACATCCAGAAACTGCAGAGTTGGCGAGGCCGGTTCGAGAAGAACTTGGACCTCAAGTCTCGTCTGCAGCCTCTCGACACGCTCAGTCACTACCTGACCGAGTTCCAGTACATGAAGGTGGATGAGATCGAAGTTCCCGGCCAGTACACCGAAGACAAGGACTCGAACCAGAACTTTGTGCGCATCCAGCGCTTCGGGCCGCGCTTCGAGAACTGCCGCACACATGGTTTCACGTGGAAACGGCTGGTGATTTGTGGCTCGGACAACTCCAAGATCAGTTTCTCGATCCAGGTCAATATGACCCGTTACACGAGGAGAGAAGAAAGAGTCATGCAGATATTCCGAACTTTCAACGGGTATGTTGTTTCCAGTCCAATTGGCTGATAGCAAGCTGATCGCCGATTTTCAGCACGTTGGCCCGCAAGAAAGAGTCTCGCAAACGTAACCTCACGTTCCATGTTCCAATCGTCGTGTCGTTCAGCCCCTCGGCTCGACTGTACCAGACTGACTCGTCCTATGTTTCGCTCGGGGACATCTACGACCAGCACTGCGAGGCAAGCGGCTTCGCCAAGGAGGACCCGCTGTTGTACGCGGGCGAAAAGATGAAGCAAGTCATGCGACAGTATCCGGCGCAGACGGGGATGGGTCCTGGAAAGGTCGAATGGCTCACGTTAAAGAAGGACATCTTCGATGAGATTGCAGTCAAGATGGTACCTGAGGATGTCTTCACCAAGGTGAGTGATTGTCATCTTATCTTATCACCGGTTTATCAAATCCGACAATCTCCAGTACATGGTTCGAACGATGGAAACACCGAGCGACCTCTGGCGGATGCGCAAGCAGTTTGCGCTGCAGCTTGCCTCGTGCAGCTTTATGACCTATACACTGTGTCTCACTCACCGGACACCGACGAGGTACTACATCTCGAGGAAGACCGGGCTGATTGCCATGTCAGAATTGGTTCCGGGTGTGTAGCGCTGTTTTCTGCGATGGATAGCTCTGATATCCTTTCCAGGGATGTCACAACAACAGGCGACTTTCGCTACCAACGACGTCGTTCCTTTCCGCCTCACACCCAACATGCAAAACTTCCTCGGGCCCATCTTCACGGAGGGCATCTTGACCGCAGGGATTCTGGCGATCGCTCGTAGTTTGACGGAACCGGAGGTGCGCCTTTTGATCTCAAAACTTTCGACAAGTCACTGACAGTCGCGTCAGTTTGATCTCGAACACCAGATCTGCTTGTTCAGCCGGGATGAAGTGCTGACGTATTTGCGTGCGCGACTGCCCAACAACGCGAGTCTGGATGCGACATTCCGGAAGCACTTTGCGTTAAACATCGAGGGCGTGGTCAAGCGTGCCGAGACGATGGCATGTAAAACAGAGCGAGAGATGACCGTGTCTGGCGGAAACGGCAGCGTCCAGCCAGTCGTGCAGACAGTGACAAATCTGATCAGCACTGCGACGAATCCGGTGCAGATGGCGAAAATGGGCGAGATGTATTATCCTTGGTTCTAGTCTTGTAATAACAGCTGCTGTGTGTATATTGAGTGTATCTAACGGAATCATTGTGCTTTTTGCTGTCTGCATCTTCATCTCACGTGCGGGTGCTTCCGGAGTCCATGCCACACGCGTTAGTGCCACTTGCTTCTGTCCATCATCGGACTATCATTCGCATCTGGATGCGCACATCCCCTTGGCGAGCGATGGCTTCTGTGTATCTTGCAACATGCTTCAGTCCTCGTCCCGTCCTGAGGCGAAGCAGATGCGCCTGCTGCGAATCGTCCGACACCGCCCATACATCTACGTAGCGGTCTTCCTAGTATCCCTCGTCTTGGTCTGGCATGTCCAACCGCACCAGTACATCTCCACCTCGTTTCTGAACGGGGCAGCGGCGGCTTCGGATGAGTCGGCGCCCTCGACCCCTGCGCTTGCGCCCGACCTGAAGTGGGTCCGACGCGCGGAGGATGTCAAGTCGGCCTTCCTGCACGCATACCACGGGTGGGAGGAATACGCTGCGCCCCACGACGAGCTGCTGCCGCTCTCCAAGGCTCACAAGGATCCGTGCGTGCCCTATTTCATGTACGCGTCCGGGGCCTGCCGCTGACCCTCCGCCACAGCTTCAACGGGTGGGGTATCTCCGCCGTGGACTCGCTCGACACGATGCTGCTGATGAAACTCGACGCGGAGTACGCGCGAGCTGTGGCGCGCGTCTCGAACCTCACGTTCCCGATGAACGAGGGCAAGTTCGCGCCGTATTTCGAGACCGTGATCCGGTATCTCGGGGGCTTTCTCAGCGCGTACGCGCTGTCGGGAGACCGCGTCCTGCTCGGCCTTGCCGAGGATCTCGCGGAGAAGCTCGATCCTGTATTCGATCACTTTGACTCTCCGTTTCCTGTGTATGGCGTGAATACTGTGAGGTGAGTACGGCTATGAATGCATCCGATAAAGTTTACCTGATGCAATCGTAGCGGTAAGTTGAAGGGAGGACAGATTGGGGGGTTGGCAGAAATTGGAACACTGCAGGTCGAGTACCTTTATTTGGCCAAGGCGACCGGTAATAGGCGCTGGTACGAACGGGCGAGTGATGTATCGTCAAGCATCCCCTTCGTTTGACTGAAGTGCTATCCAGGCCGCTGGAGTCATGAATGCACTAGCCACGGCCGATGTCCGGAAATATGGAGGGATGCTTCCTCTCGCTTGGAACCTCACTACGAGCCAGCCGATCGACTGTAACGCTACGACAGACGCTTGGCTCGGTAACGTGTGTCCACTGCACCTGTCGGTCGGCGCGATGGCGGATAGTGCGCATGAATATCTGCTCAAGCAGTATCTCCTGACCTCGTCAACCGACCAGCAGAGTCTCGACATGTGTAAGGATAGCTTTGGATCCTGGTTTACACTCGTCTGATTTCCAGAACAGATCTACGAGCTAGTACCCATATCCTTACCAATCTGCTTTACGTCTCACCCCAGCGGAATATGCTTTACATGACGGACACGTCCTCGACGACCGATGTCCATGGGGCTCGGCCATCGCATGATATGGAACACCTTTCCTGCTTCTTGCCGGGTCTTCTTGCCCTCGGTGTCCATGCCCTACCGCTCGACGAACTGGCCACACAGCTCCCGGAGCTGGGGAAGGAGTTTGGCTGGGCATCTCGGGGATACGATACGCTCTCCAAGGAGCCTTCCTTGAGAGAACTGCATCTATGGGCTGCCAAGGGCCTGGCAGAGACCTGTTACATGGTATATGCCGACCAAGCTTCGGGTCTCTCGCCGGACCAAATCACGTTTGATGACCCGAGCCTGCATCCGGAGACGACGCAGGATAGAACTTGGGAGCCACGACTTTGGATTGACGAAGTGCACGAGTGGAGGAAGACGCTTGCGACGAATGCGGGCACATTCAAGGGCCACCGGTTTCCACCCGGGGTCGAAGAGAAGCATCAACCCGTCAACGAAACAAGCAAGGGGCGTGACTATCTCGTGTCGGTCTCGAGATATTTGCTTCGACCGGAGGTGTGTTCGGATTCCTATTGGTCTTGTTCGGATTCCTCAAGTGTATTTTTACAGACAGTCGAGTCGCTGTATATTTTATGGCGAGTGACCGGCGAAGAGCGCTGGAGGGAGATGGGGTGGAACATCTTCAAAGCCATCGAACGAGAGACGCGAACATCAGTGGGCTACGCCTCGCTCGAGACGATATACGAGTCTCCTGCGCCGCAGGCGGATGATATGCCTAGCTACTTTCTGGCTGAAACGTGCGTTGATGCTCGGACATCTGGATTCTTGTCTCATCTCCTGGTAGCCTCAAGTATCTTTACCTGCTCTTCCTTGAAGACGACCCGGTCCCGCTCGACAAGTGGGTCTTCAATACGGAGGCTCACCCGCTGCCGATATTCCGCTGGACGGCAGAAGAGAAACAGAAGTTCCAGATGCTATGAAAGCTCGTATACAGATTTATACACAATCAGGTTCGACTGGGTCATTGGGTGCTTCTGCATTTCGAGTGTTCATCTGTCGAGCATATCAGAAAGTCGGATGTGTGTCTGGACTGGATGTCATTAACGTGATTTTCGTCTGGTTCGGGTCTGCATATGGGATTCTTGGATAGAGCCCCCGCGAGAAGCGCAACCCGACGTCGGCTGGTTCCGGAACCTTGCTCTTCGTTCGCGACCTCAGGCCATACAAGGCTCACAAACAGCGCGACGCGCGGTGGCGAGGAAATGATGCCCAGTCGTCGTAGCGACAAGAAAAGAACAACCGAGCCAGCGCGTTCGGGAGGCTGTTGGCACGGGGAATGAAGGCAGTCGCAAAGAGGTAAGAATTCGTACTCGGACCACGGGGTGAAAAAGACGCGTGGAGGAGAAGAGGGGTGGTGAAGAACTTCACAAATATCCATGTCGATACCTGAACCGCTTGTTCGCGCTGCAGAATCAGCTGCCGATGGTTCTGGGTTCATCTCGCTCGTGGGAGATTGTTGGCGTTCTTGGATTCGCCACGCGAGGACAGAGGGATCATTCGGACCGTAAGTCAGTCGGATCTAACGGTCCTTACTTACTGGAGGATCGCGGTGAAAATACGGAGATGCCATTGCATGCGGCGAAAGTGGTCGAAAGAGGGCCGGGTTACGTGGATCAACGTAGCACGGGATCGCGACGCGCTAGTGTTCGAGTCTCACTGAGCGCAGACAAAGTTCCTCCGAGGACTGAGACGCTTGCTGGATTGTTCAGCTGATTCAATGAGCCCGTTCAAGTGACCCAGAATTTCTGAAGCGACGCTCACCAAACCTGGTGGCAAACGTGAGGACGCGTCCGGCGGGCGCCGGGATCGATCAATCGAGCTGCGGGAAGCATCCTACGCTCGCACCGAAGCCGAGTCCACAGACTGTAGCGCGGTTTTGTGCTTTTACTTGACCTCTGCAGTTGTATGTTATGTAAAGACATACATAGCGTGTTAACGTTTTAACCGTCGAACGTGACACTAGTCTCCGAAGCCCCTATCTTCGGAGTTAATAAAGTGTGTGATGGCGCTGACAAAGGGCAAATGAATGAAAGCGGTGCCCCCACCCCCCCAAAAAAGTCTCACACTAACACAACTGTAACGACGCCAACCCGCTCTACTTGGACCCCTTCGACGCGCCAGGATTTCGTGTCGGATCTGGGGCGCATACATACTGCCCGGAACTGAGAAGAGAAAGAAGCGTTTTTGTTGGACCCTCAAATTCGATCGAGCCACAGGAACTTAGACAGCCACACGACCACCTCGTGTTGCGCACCTGCCCACATCCCCGTCCGGAACATACTCCGCGTACACAGCCAGGCCCACGCCATCTAATCCAATGGATCCTGGCGAGACATGCTCAAGCACGCCGTTAAGCGGTGGAGGTGCGTTGGTTGCCTTGCTATATATCAACTCGTGTGCTGATCTCGTTTAACATTTTTTCTGTCCCCCTTTCTTGTGTCCGCCCGCTTTTGCTGCTCACCTACATACACGGTGTACCACTTTGTGTCCACCACGCTAGACTTGCCGCCTCCGTCGCCGGCCCGCCTCCTATCGTCGAAACCGCCGTCGCCTTACATTAACGCCTCGCCCAACCGTAGAGGTCACAGGCATACACAGAGTCTTGGTCTTTTGTCCCCTCCGAGTCGGTCCAGTCTGACCAGTGAGGAATCGAGCTCGTCGGCATCATCCGTATCGCGATCGCCTGGAGGATATTCGGTGATATCCAACTCAAACTCCCCGTTGGCGCATTCTCCATCACGCGGGAGTCTGCCTGGTACACCTATTACTTCTGGGACGCCCGTCCTGTCTTCTTCAGCCAAAGCCAGACGCACTTCTCTGAGTAATCGCCTTCCGCCACTTCCTTCTCTGCTCTCTGGGCTGAATTTGTCATCGCTACTGCCTTCGAACGCGAAGACTGTCGGTATGCCTTCGAGTTCCATCACCCCTGCTTCCCCGACGTTGAACGCACATTCGCGGCGTGCGACATTCGGTTTCTACCGAACTTCGAACGAGGACGAGAACGTTCCAGTGCATGCTCCCCAGCCTCGTCGGGCCAGCCAATCGACTTTTGCACCTGGCACTGCCACGCCGTCAAGGTCAGAGCAGCTTCTCAGGGATGCACTGAGACGAGGGTCTCCTGTACCACAGCCATCGAAGCCGACGTCGCCAGCACCTTACTCACGGTCGCGCACTCCGCAGGTCTATGGCGGCCATGAGGAAGGCGGTGCCGCATCAATGCATTTAGCGAGGGCGTTGTCCAGACTGGAAGGCCGCGGTGGTAGTGCTGCTGAGGAGCGCGATCCAGACCATGAAGCGTTGCGCGCGCGACTGGAGCGGGTTTTGGCTGGTGGCAGCCCCCGAGTGTCGCTCGACGGGAGGAGGAAGACGGAGTCGATGGAGTCTACGTCATCCGCAGGCAGCTGTGAATCGCCGCTTCCGATGAGTCCGGGCCTGCCTGAACGCCGGACACCCAGGCCCCGGACTCCAGCTACACCAACACTCAGTACCCCGCATTCCAATGTGCGTTTATCTGTCGTTTGTTTAACTCCGATGCTGACTGTGCTATAGAAAGTGGTGAGTTGCCGTTCAGCTTCTGCCAGTTCTGTTGGTCCCTGGTTCGGTTGCCGTTGTCGGACTTTCTCACTCCAATCTCGCGATGACGAGCCGGTGATGACATGGCTGAATTAATCTGAACCGGGGAAAAGATGATGGCAAGATGCGCGCATAAACCCGAGCCGAAAGATGCCTGGTGTCTAGCGTGTGGCCTACAAACCATCGCACCTGATTCTTACGAGCCTCGCCGCATCTTTGCTTCTACCTCTTACTTCAAAGCAAACCCTGACCATCTTCCCAGACTCGCGCATATACTCAGTTACCAGATACAACGATGGCCACTCCCAGCTCGTCACCCCGCTCGCCTAGGTCACCACATGCAGGCACCCGTTCGCCGCTGCCACCATCGTCCCAGTCTCGCACATATACTCATCTATCGGACACGACTATGGCCAGTCTCAACTCGTCTCCTCGCTCGCCGCGGTCTCCACATTCAAGCACCCGCTCGCCGCCTCCACCGCCGATATTCCCAGATATCGACCTTGCACGCCGCAACACGGCACCGGCAGCAACACCTTCCCCCCGTCGTTCTAGTTTTGCGTTCAAAGATGTTGTGGACCGCGGACAGACGCCCTCCCCGTCGCCTGGGCGAGTTCGGACACGTGCGAGAACAGAGCCGGTGGGGGGCGACGCAGACTTGGCCAGATGGCAGGTCGAGCAACAGCAGATGCACCACCGACGAGGGGGACATGCCCGAAAAAGCAGCGCCTATGCTTCTCTGATGGCACTGCAAGGCCCAGGGCCGCATCCTGGGTACGGCGCTGCCCATCACGCGTATCCCGCTCAGTCAGCGTCTGCACGGATGACGTCGCCGGGGAGCACCCCACCGCTATCTGCCGATGTCAGGGACGAAGACACCAGCGAATCGGAGAGTGCCGGCGCGGAGGTTCCCAGGAAAATGCTATTGACCCCGCCGGGCACGCCGCCACAGTCGATAGTGAACGTCGCGGGAGAAGATGAGTTTGCCGCCGCGGACGATGATGAGGAAGATGTGCCTCGACGCCGAACCGAATACATGCACCTGTCTCCCGATGGGTCCCGGTCGACGTTCAATGCGCGAAAAGCTTCTGCGCAATGCAGACAGTTGGAGGGCTACGTCAGTTTCGCGGCTGTTGAAGGACTCGGGGAGCCGCCTAGCCCAGGCCCGGATGGCGACGGTGAGTGGATCGCGTGTAAGCTCATGGATTGGATGCTAATCTACATTGTTCTTCCAGCTTCAGATGAAGAAGATGCCACCCGCAAAGCTAAACGCGGGAGTCTGGGCTCCGGGCTGGTTGGCCTTCTCAAGACCGGGTTCTGGTGAAGCGAGTGCTTGGCTGGCCCATGCACTCTCCCACTCTCTATGCACTTATGCTGTCATCTGCCTTGCTATCGCTTTCTCCAATCTTCTGGGACCTTGGTTTACACTATAACACTAACTTGGTACAAACTTAACTTACTTGCTAATTTGTGTGTACGTGCATCTTACTGTATGTACATCGTCTTTGGCGGCGGGAACGGATGTTGTATCAGGTGAGTCTGGTTCCCTTCTTTTTTTAACGTGCGGCTAACAGGCGATCTTTCTAGACATGTACAACAGAACAGGCTGCATCCAACCGGCTGTCGTTCGTGCCCCACGCCTGTTCGTTCCGGATCTCTTGGCCCTTGATAGTCTCGCGACCCTGGAGAATACCTGCAGATGCAAAGCCATATCGGCCGTAACTTGATGGCCGCCCATCGAAACCTTGCAGGCTGGAATTTCCGATGGTCTGCGCTGGATCGATGGTTCTCCGCGATTGGTCATGCTGGACTTGCAATGAACGCTCTATCAAATGCCGAGACCGACCGCGATAGCTATCGACGGACACGTTCGGAGAGAATATGTCGGCGAACACTGGACCTCTTCACACGCACACACGCTCAATCACTAGACGCCGGAATCACTCCTGGCAGGAGGAACCGTTGGAAATCAATCAATAAACAAATTGTATCATTATTCTCACTGGCAAGCACCCATAATAATAGAACATTGTTGACATGAACATCCATGTGCTCCTCGTGAACCGGCCCACGAAGTCCGTTCGTCGAGCGGGATTTACGCCGGCGCAAATCTCGCATTGGCGCGCCGATATGGAAGTCTGGTCATGGAGTTCCGACGCAGATTAGATAATGCTATGCAAGAAATAGGGGTATATGCAACTACTTGGTCTCGCCGCCGTCGAAGAACGCAACGAGCTTGCCGACTCCAACCTTGCCGGTCGGCACCGGTTTGGGCAGGGTGTCCTTGGACTGTTTCCGCAACACCAGGGGATCGACAAAAGGGCCTACACTCCCAAACCGATCGATCGACTTGGAGCGCGCATGAGGTAGCCGTGAGCTGTTGGAGCTCAACTGCGCAGTAGTATTGGGAGACGCCTGAAGGATCGACGACATCCCGTAAGCAGACTGCGCCCGCATCCGGGGCTCTTTGTCATTGCGCCCACGGGACAGCTTGTTCGCAGTGGACTTCCCAATCGTGTCACCTCCATCCAGCTCCTCCCCATCAGAACCAGAGAACACAGCGGTTCCAATATCGAAGCCCGGATCGGAATCGGACTCGACAGAACCACCCAGCGCGACGGTGTAGCGTTTCCGGGGTGTGGGGCTGACGCTGCCCCGGCCAATGGCTCGGCTCGAGGGCTTGGGAATCGGCAAGTCCTGAGAACTCGAGTGCGATTTAAGAGAGTGGATGGAGTCCGTCGAGGACATCGGCAAACCGGACACAACAGCTTCTGGAGATCGCGTCTGAGATGCACCAAACACGTCCGGCGGAGGCGACGCATAATCTCCGCTGGGATATGGAAGCTTGGTGCTCCCCGTCGCGAGGGGCGTCGTTACGGGCGGCGACGTCGCCGTTTTCCTGAGACTGGGGCCCGGACTTACACTTGGGACTGCAAACGAAGAAGACGGGGTCGTTGGTCCAACCGACAACTCCGAAGGATAACGAGCCTGCGTGGCTTGGGACAAGTTGGCTGGCGCAGTGGCAAGCTTGGCCATTTCCCTGCCAAGTGACGTGACTCGACTCTGAAGCTCATGTAGTCCTTCCCGAATCTCGGTCAATCCAGCTTCGCCGTCCTCGTCGTCCTTCGCCTTCTTGGCAGAATTCTCATGGAGGGACTGCTGTTCTTTCTCGTTCTCTTTTTCCACCAGCCATCTCTCCACGTCACCCATTCTCTCCTCCAAAGCACGCACATGCCCCACTGTCCACTTCTCCAGCTTTTCGAAGCGTTTGGCGATTGTGAGCAGTGTGACATGCACATCCAGGGTCCCTGTCACATCGTCGAAATGTGCGTACAGTGGGGGTGTCTCTCGGTCTCGATCTCGCGGTGAGCCCGATGCATCGAATCGCATAGGTGATGGTGTGAGATTCGGCGGCATGTTAGACGCTTGGGGTCGGATGGGTGTTGTAGGTATGGAGTTTGAGGGTGAGCTCATCGGTGCCGGTTGTCGCTGGGAGGGGGGAATAAGACTAGTGTATGATGGATTCGTGTATTTGGCTTGCGAGTTTGCCGGCCACTCCTTCTCTTTCCCTTTACTGCTTTTCTTCTCCTTATCCCGAGCTTTCGTATCCTGTATGACCTGCTGTGCCGGAGTCAGGTCCTTGGTTGGCGTCAGTCTGTTTTTCGCCGCTGCCCACCACCCACTGCTCTCTTTCTGGGACGACGACGGCGACGGTGGATCCATAGACTGGGACCGCGCCGGGGGTGGTGGCAATCCCCTTGTGCTTTCCATCATAGCCATGACCCGGTCCTCGACCAATCTTCGGTCCTCCGCTTCCTTCGTCAAAATACGCTCCGCCTCCCTACGGCTACGGTCACGCGCCAGCTGCGACTCCGCTTCAAGTTCTGCGTCTGTCGGCATCCGCGCGCCTGTGGTGGGCATGACCAGTGAACCCATGCTTCGCGCGAAACTAGCAGCCATCTGGGACACAGAGGACGAGGGGGACGGTGATCGGGTCCACTCTGCTCGATCATCATCTTCGTCGTCGCCACTGCCTGAAGCCTCTGGATCGATCCCGGTGAACGTGTTGCGCAGTGGCGAGGGGGGTCGTGAGGAGTTGTTGCTCGGCAGAGTGCGTCCCTCGGGCTGCAACGAGATTATAACACGGGTGCACGGGCTTCACACCGCGAGCGGACGCACAGGTTGGAGCGACGCAGCAGGCGCGGTCATTCGCCGCTGTTGCCTGGGTGTCTGCATAGTTGTCTAGGAATCCCGCGACGATGGTTCTAAACAATGAGGTTTAGTGGTGGTTGTGTTTGGCCCGCACGTCACTATCGACATGATCGTGAAAGTTAGCGGCGGTTGTTTTCAACATCTCTCCTGTTCCTGGCTGGCCACCACCGATCTCCGATTTAAACCTGATCGCCCCATCGTAAACAATGGGGGGCCACTATAGCTTGCGTCGTTCACCATGATACATGTAATAAATCGCACATTACGTACTCAACTATCCTCTGCGTCGTCCTCCAAAACACTAGCAAAACATCAGCCGACGCGTTTGTTTCTCGAAAGTAGGGATTCACCATTCTTCCGAGTTCAACTCTGCTGGCTGGTACGTCGAGAACACGAACTGGGGGCCCACAAAACTGCCTGGGTTAAAGACGTGACAACCCGTGTAAGTGATCTTGTATCGGTCGTATTTGTCCGCAAGCACGACCTGTGAAGGATAAGTACTCCGATTGCAAGACCAACTCTAGGAACTGACAGCTGTTGGTAGAGGATAAAGCCGCAGAGAATGGTCAAAGTCTGAAAGCGTTCCCTGGATATTGATGGTCAGCGGGCACAGATGCCCCTGGTCCAGTATTGTTTGCACTAGCTGGACCCATGTCTCAGCAAGCAATGCCCCAGAGCGACGGCGCACTCACGAAGCGCTTCAGATCTTCGCTTCGCGCATCAAGCTTCACCCCCACAATATTGCGCAGCATCCGGGCCATCGAGTCCTCCCGGAACACGACGATCTCCTGGTCGAAGAACTTGATGCGGCACGGATTGGTGCCGAAATGTATATGTGGGACCCGTGATTTCAAGCGCCCCACGACGCTAGATAGCAGTGGTCGTCTCGGAAGACTGGCGTTCAGGGTGATGTCCAAAGGACCAGGCACGAGCACAAAGTGTGTGGATCGCAATATGGACGGGTAAGATGTGATCAGATCCGCTAATGCATCGAAATTTTCTGAAGATCAAGTCAGCCGTGGAACTCGAGAGGAATGTCCGTGTTGGGACGAGCCTTGATATCGTTGAACGTCTCGCCCTTGCCCGTGGCTTATGGATCGACTGGTGAAATTACCGCACAGAACGATGAGTTTGGGTATAAAGTGGTTTTCCACACAATTGTCCAACATCTTTTGCAAGCCCGTGAACGTCCTAGGATGGTCTAACCAAACATCGGACAAGAAAAAGAAATTGAGGTCCGGAAGCTCTTCGCGCACGCGAACAGATATCTGGTTCTTCATAGGCAGGTCAGCGGTAACACAGGTCGAGTGTAGAATGCCTACAGACATCTTCCAGCAAAGAAGTAGCGCCTTTTCCGAGGAAATCGATGTGACCGTAGATGGATCTACAAATTGTTAGCACAGTAATGTAATGCCCGAAAGACCTGCCTTGTTACTTGGCGTGCCTCGCACGGCGGCTGTCCGATAGCAATGATCTCCAAATTCCCATCTTCCGTATACTCTCCCTCGACGAGTGCGAAACCTCCTTCAGTAAACAGTCCATCACCTGGTTCATCCTACGCATATAATCCTGTCAGGAATAGCACATGCACACGGAATCACTTACGAGCTTTGAAAAGTCCAGTTCGACACTTCCATCAGAGTCCTCGATACAAAGTTTTCCTTCTTTTGAATGCGCAAGCATACCAAGCAAAAGGAATCGGTCTCCGGCTCGGCCAAGAAGTTGTTTCGTGGATTTGAGCTATAGCATAGTTTCATTACCGTTTCTGAGACTAAACACAAGCAACACTTGCTGTCACTAGCCGCTCCCGATCCCGTGACGGCACAGTAGACGGGGCAAAATGTTCATTTCGAAGCACGCATTGCTTGATGATGTTCAGTCGATCGCGGATAGCAAGGACTCGGGATTCGGCAGACCCGGATATGCTCAAAGAATTGGTGACTCTAGGATTGTACAGATTCAATACTTGGACCGGTCCAGGAGTCAAGCACATACTTTTCGAATGTCCCTCGCTCTGGAGCCCAATGCCACAATGGCATATCAAACGCATCGATGATATGGAGATGTGCGTCCGGGTCCAACAGCTCTTTCTCTATACCTGTGTGTTGACCTTGGTCTTGAAGGGACTCGTAAACTCGCTGGAGAACTTCAGGGGACACTTTCATGAGAGCGTCTGGTAGAGAGGATTGTCATGAGAAACGCATTCGCATGTAACCCAAGCCACTACCATCTTGCTTGTTGTATTCCCTAGCGATAGTTTCAATAGCAGATTCGATTTCTGCATCCTCAATTTCGTGCTCGGTCAAGATTGTCTCGAGCAGTTGCAGTGAATCTGGACCAAGGGAGTTACTGTATTTCCTGAAGACCTAGATTCTCTTCAAGTTCGAGCTAAGTAAAGAGACACGTGCCGAAATCCTTGCCTTGATTATAGTCCGTTGGCGTGGGTTGGACATGACGCGTCGCGACGCGTTGAGACTCGGGAGCAAGAATGTCACAATCGCGGTCACGCTGTCAACTGCCAATTCTGGGCTCAATTAGGACTTGTCTCTGTCTCTCAGCCAACTCAGTATGCTTTCTGCCCTGGACTGCGATATTAGACCGGGACTCGGGTTAGGGATGTTTGAACTAGGTTACTTCGTCTCTCTGACGATTAGATGCCGCCGCCACTGAGCTGATCGTGCGCGAAGGGTCTTCATTGTGGAACATCCTTGACTTACTGCGCCGGATGCAGCATCTGTTCCCCAGAGTGGAAGTCAAGTTCGACACCGACTCTTCCGCTACTACCCCAATCATCTTGCATATTCGACCTCATCTCGATCTGTTGTTCACCGGAACATCTCAGCGCCTACATACAATCATACTCAAGCTAGGCTTTCGTGATCCTCCCGTCTCACTGCGCTACAAAGAACATCTTCTGTCTTCCACCGAGGAATCCCTTAAACGAGTGGCGGTTAGTCGGGTGTTTGGCCCCACGTATCCCGCGGACGACAGAGCTGATCTGCGGTATCCTGGAGTATGGTTTAGCTTTGATGCAGATGGAATGAGCGATGGCCTGAAGAGCGGCACAACTCAGACAGAAGATCGTATTAGGCTGCAGGAAGTGAAGAGGGTCATCGTCACGCAGAAGGAGTCTGATGGGGATCATCGCGATGCTCTGGGTGAGGTCACTGAGTGTGCGTCCATGAATGGGGACATATCGAGAGCGATTGTCAAGGTGAGCGCTGTGCGACAATGAATATGTCTGCCTTTATAGCTGTGGTTTCGCAGGTACATGAGGGTGTTACTTTGTACTTCCATCCTACCACATCCTCGGAACCCATTCGCATTCGCCTGCATGAATCAACCGCTCAAGATCTCATGCTGGATCTGGGCCCACCGAATAAAGTTCATGCAAAAGAGGACGAAAGGATGACTATACACGCCACTGCACATCCTAGAACTGGCTCGGAATCCTGTTGTCAGTTTCTTAATCACTATGTGTGCCAGCATGCTGAGCTCCGTAGATTTCTATAACTACTTCCAACACGGCTTGGACTTCCTGCTATCATCGACCCATGTGGTCATCAAGATCATCATTCACTCGAATATTCCAGGCTCGCCTCTGTTCCAGCGATATAAGCGTTGCAATTGGGAGATTGAAGGGAGACCCGAAGACGACGAAGACGGTCAGTCAATGTTTCAGAAACCGGAGAACCTTGCTAAAAGCTCCGGACAGACACTCCTCCGCGAAGGGGATTCTATGACCGAGTAAGTAATGGAAATTCCAAGATTGTCATCCCCGTCTGAATCGGTCTGTAGTTTGAGACGATCAGCCACTTTCTGTCGCCTCGTGAACCTCCGCCGTCGATGCTTCTTGACCGCACAGACGATGAAGACGCGCTGACACTCCCGAATGCAACCACTCGATGTGCGCCCTATTTCTTTGCAGCTCTCATTTCCCTGACTTGACACTCTCGCAGTGCACGGCTACGATGGCATCGTGCTGGAAGTTTCTGAATCATCACAAGTCGTCACAGTTATGCTATTCTGAGCAGGGTGCAGTACATTAGTCAATATCACCGTATTTTTGTTACAGGTCTACTCCCCCATTACCATCATCGCCTTCGGCCGAAGACTGAGGTTGTGGTGGTGGGACCAGAGGTTTTGTCGTCTTGGATGTGTAGTGATCCAAAGAAATCCCTTTCATTACTAACGCCAACTTGAGCATCTCGACCCGCTCGGTCTGAGAACCACTGGTCAAAAGTAAGGATGTTAAAGCGTGGAGCCCAGCTTGAACTCGCGGATAAGAAGCCGAAAACTCACATGGTCTCCTCGTTTTCTGTGAATGCTTGCGATTCGTCACTTGGTGTCGTGCTGTCGATGTACTCCCGTAGAATATCTTGGGTTTCGCGCAATCGCGCGAGCGAGAGCTCGAGTCTTCCTATCTCTGCTGCAGGTCAATCCAAGAATTCCATCGGGTCTGCACGTCGCAGACCATTCGTGATGGTTTCAGCATCCAGTGCAAAGGCTTCCTCTAAAGTGAACGGCTGCGCGTATTTGGTCGCCATGAGTTGAGAATAAGAGTTCACGATGATCTTTATAGTGATAGTAATGACTCTCGGCTTACGGTCATCCACGGGCCGGCCTAGCCGCTCCTGCCTCTTACCTCCTGTGCTTGTAAACCAATTCGGATGTCCTAGCGTCTTGGACGTTCCTAAGCTCATACTTGTCTATATATGCCAGTTAAATGCACTCAGCTTAGTAAACTCCCCAAGACCGCGCGCATTGCCTCCGTTGATGTTCGTGTTGCATTGCAAAAGATTCACTTCACTTCTAATTCACCCACCATGACCACAGTTCCACGCCAAAACCCCTGGTCATTTTGCCTTATACATCCCAGCTCCTCGTCACAAGCGCCTGGACCCGAACCATCCGGCCTTCAATGACACAGCAAAACCGAGTGTGATATGGGCGCCTTCTCCGACTAAAGCGTTCGGATTGGGTGTGTTGCACAAAGGACTACTTCTCGATTCCCAACACCTTTTCGGGAAGAACGTCGCTTTAGACGTCCCATATGACCGAACTACGACTCGAATTGGTGGGAAGGAACCCGTCCCTATTGAACCAGGCGGAAGGCTTTCTATGTCTCTCCAGATGCAGTCTTTGAGCATATTCCGGGTCCACGAGAGGGTCAAGACCTATAGACGCTTTAAGACAGCGATAGGGCTCATAGTAACCCGTGGGGCTGACGGGAAAATGGTGGACGGAAAATGGAATCTTGTGTTCAATGACAAGGAGGTCAGTGAAGATTGGATTCTGGCTGGTTCGTTCCTCCGTGCGATCTGCGACCTGCGAGCTTACACCGATATCTTAGATTGGACCTATTATCTGCGCCCTACCTTGGAGATCTACCGCATGCCCTATCCCGAGCTCATCAGTCTCTTACGGCCCATGCTTCGGATGCTCCAGATCCGTGCGACCGCTATGGAGCAAAAGTGGATGCAAAGCAAGGCCCCGAGTCGTGTAAAGAGGAACGACTTCATGCCCAAATCTGCCACCTCCCAATCGTCCTCCACGCCTCAAACGCGACAAACACCGTACACGCGGCAGGAATCGTTACACGCACTGAAATCATTGGGTTCCAATCAAGAACGTCCGATGTTCGATCGCCGACAAACAATGTCTGTTCGCACGGAACAGTTGCAGGGGAAAGCGATCGTAGGAACCCGAACACAGTTTGTATCTGATGCTCGGCCCTCCCAGCCTAAAGCCACAGAACCCTCGCGAGATCATGCCGAGGCTCTATTTCCGTCGCTGAAAAGATTCCGTCTGGCGTCGAAAGCAGTCGTCACTCAGCACATTCCAGATATCGACAAGGCTGACGTTCCACCGCCTCCCTCTCAAACCTTCGAGGGCGACCTTCCGGAGCAGCCAGACTTCAATCCTTTTGCAAGCTTTTCCGCCTCAACCGCTAATAAAGCGTCTCCGAGTCTCGTCGAAGCGGTTTCAGTAGCGCGTACCAAAGAGCCAGAGTCCAGCGATGTACCACTGCACAGTGTCCAAAGCAGAGCCAGGCCAATCTCCCATCTCGAACCGAAGGCGTCTCCTCATCCCAAAAAAGTGTGGCTTTCCTTCTTGCTCGATTCGCACGGTGCAACTGATGGTTCGTATCAGACTCCTGGTTGGTGGAACCTCAGCCGTTCCATCAAGTCAGAAAATGGGGCCGAATTCCTAAAGGTGCGTTTTGAACAAACTCTCCGACTTCAAACCCAGCATATATCCACCTTGTCAGCCATCCAAGGCACGGGACGACAACCCAAATCCGGAGAAAATTGGAGGGTTTTCGATCAGCGAGCAGAAGAGAGGACCACAGAACGATCTACAAGCTCGTTTATCTCGCATGCTCTATCGTGACCCAGTCGTACCAGCTCGCAAGGCAAAGAAGTAATTTTGTTGATCAGTCCTTTCTATGAGATGTCTGACATCTACATCATCTAATCTCCGTTGGTGAATATTTCAGGCCAGACAATCCTGAGCTCTTCAAGATCAGTAACTATGACCGCTCCGTTGTCTGCATTCTCTATCCGTTCGCGTCCGATCTCCTTCACCTTCCCGCCTTCTACATGGACGAGTCCTAGACTGGATTAAGTATCCACATCGTCGCTTATGCACGCCCCTTCACCTTTCTCCCAAAAGTGTGCAACGTGACCCCAATTGAGTGCCCGAGCAGCGTCGACGTTGCCTCGATTGTCGTCAATGAAATAGCACAGAGAGAGATCCGAGACTGAAGCTTTGGCCAACGCTGACCGAGACATGAGTGTGTTATTCGGACATTGTATGGCAACGCGCAGCGCACCCTGGTGATAGAATTGAGGATCGGGCTTGCAGGCGAAATTAGGCTGCGCATAGTCGCAGAAGATGACGCCGCCGTCGATCTGATCTTCCAGATCAAGAATCCGGAGTACCCGAGATGCATGCTATCGGAGATGAGCTGAAATTGTTCTCGCCATACGTCGAGCGGAAACCTGCCGTGCGGTACGCATTGGTCAAGGCCCACACGGTGCACTTCGTTCTGTCAATATCTTCGAACAGCTTCCGAAGCTTGGGATTCGGGCTTATGAACTCCTCCAGTGGGAGAGAACCGTCACATTTGGCATCAAAGTCAAGTGGATCTGATGACATGTCGTCAACAAGACTGTCGAATCCTCAAGTGAGGAGGCAAGTTCACCGACGTGATGATGCAAGATTAGACCTCGTAGTGCTAAGCCGTACTTTGTGTAATAGTCGTGATGCAAATCGGACGCCTCGGCTTCATCTAGACCAAGACTTCTGAAGTACTCTGTTTTGATAATTTCACGAAAAGATCGCTTTATACGCGGTAGGCACGGTACCATGAATCCTCTTTCCCATAGCAGCAGAGATCCCCGTGCTAGCGGAGTACAGCGTGTTATCGATATCGAAGAATATTACACGTTTGCTTGAGGACATGGCGGTCGACGAGAAAAGCGAGGCGGACCTGGGAGTCAGTCCGGATACCAAGTGACCCGAAGTGACTGGATCGAACGTGGTTGATCGGTTCATCTAATCTAATCATACCGGATCTAATCTCAGCTTGGGTGATCCGGAAACTGCATAGTTTAGAACCACGTGCACTCATCAGCTCTCTCGTAGATTCGAGCCTCCTCAAGACAACTGCAAGTAGCGCTCCCTGGCACTCGTCTTGCGTACTGACGCAGCTCTAGAATGGCCAGAAGTAAAGAACTCGTCCCCGGCGTCGGCCGTCTTTCTCGCTCCCAGGTTGCCGCCTACCGTGGTCTGCACAAGGGTGCCAAAAAGTCCGACAAGCCCGCTGCAACTGAGTCGCCGGCGACTGTCGAGAAAACTGTCGGTGGAGCCAACAACGGCGGAAAGCGACTCGTGCCTACCTCCAAGGCCTCGCGCTTCTACCCCGCTGAGGACGTTCGCCAACCCAAAAAGAGCCGCAAGACCGCGAAACCCACACACCTTCGCTCTTCCATCACCCCTGGCACCATCCTCATCCTCCTTGCCGGTCGTTTCCGTGGCAAGCGTGTTGTTTTCCTGAAGCAGTTGGAGAGCGGTCTTTTGTTGGTTACTGGCCCCTTCAAGGTCAATGGTGTGCCCCTCCGACGGGTAAACCAGGCCTATGTTATCGCCACCTCGACCAAGATTGCGCTTGACGGCTTCAAGGTGTGCAATCACGCTTTCCGATGTGTTTTGATGTTGAACATTTCGGACACAGATTGACGAGAAAATCAATGACTCATATTTCGCCAAGGCAGCCGTGAAGGGATCTCAGTCTGCAGAGGCAGAGTTCTTCGAGAACGGGAAGCCCAAGGCTAAGGAGGCCTTCCCTGAATCCAAGTCGGCTGACCAGAAGGAGATCGACAAGGCTATCCTTGCCTCGCTGAAGAAGACGGAGAACCTCGCCAAATACCTCAAAGCGAGCTGGGGTCTCTCCAAGGGACAGTTCCCTCACCAGATGGTCTTCTGAGGGGTGTATCAGGCTCTTCTTTATGCGATGTATGTTGTTATGAATCCCTCGAAAACTACATGCCATCATCACTTCTACACTGCAATGCCTGGCTCATAAATGTCCGTCAAGTGTCCTGTATCTCATAATTGATGTCCTGGTGAAGGATAGGTGCGGTATGCCTAACCAGATTCCTGCCCTGGGGCAGATTTGTATGTAACATGGAATTTCGGCCCGATTTTCTGATGTTTGCTCTTTCACGTCAACTTCCACCACGAACGCTCAAACGTGTTCCCGGACGCGCTCCTTCAAACAAACGCTTTTTCATACAATCTCTCTGCGATGGATTCCTGGATTTAGCCACTGCTCTGCCGTACCCGCCGTCTGTTCCACCATATGCTACCACAATAATACTGGCCACCGTAGCTTCGCGTCTCGCTCTCTTTCCGATCGCTCTTTGGGTCAGTTCGACCATGTTTGAACGCCCGGCGAAGCGTTCTGACATAGCTAAAGGGAAGGAACCGGGTTCGACGTCTTGAAAATGTCGTCCTACCTGAAGTCGAGAGGATTAAGCCGATTATATCCAAACGAGTACTCGAAGAAATGAAGAAGGAGGGAATGCCTAAAGAGATGCTAGTTCCTGCCACTCTTCAGCGGATACATATGTCACGAATGATGCAAAGAGTATGTTCCCATGCCTTGTTTCACCGTGCAGTATTCTTACAGTGAACCATCAGGTCAAGGCTGAGCAAAAAAGGTTGATTGCGCAACACAAATGCCATCCTGTCCTCTCCATGGCTGTGAGCCCACTCAGCCAACTTCCTGTCTTCGTTGTCATGAGTATCATGTTCAACCGCCTGGCTCAAGACCCCACACCATTCGACTCTGAGGCGTTCTTCACTCTGACGACGTTGAATCATCCTGACCAGACATGGACCTTGCCGATCATCCTGGGTATGGTCACCATGGCCAACGTCGAATCGAACAACTGGCTCATGAGCGCATATCAAAGAGAACGACTGAGAAAGGCGGAAGAGCACAGGCAAAAGCTCGCTGCCAGTGGTCAGATGACGATACGCCCCCAGAGAGTCGTGAAAAGCGTTTTGAACGTACTGTCCGTGGCGCGTATCCTTCTCGCTGCCATCAGTCCTGGAGTGCGTTCGTCATTCTGCGCATGTTTTATGATGCTGATTTATGCGTCACAGAGTGTCGTTCTCTACTGGACGACCTCGGCGACGTTTGGTCTCGTTCAGACTTGGATATTGGATTATTCGCCAGCACATAGAGCCAAGACACTCGAGAGTGTTCAAGTGCAGACTCCAGTGAAGACGACAATCCCTGAAGCGAAAGCCCCAGCTGCCCAGCTGAAAGCTCCAGTCACTCCTGGGAAAGCTCCGAGCGCTGCGGAGAAATCCACTCCAAACCTGCCAATGTCTCTTCCTCCAAAAAGAAAAGCAAACGATCATAGGCCAGTGAGTAGTGCTCTATTGATGTCTGGAATGAAAACAAAAGTGGTTGGAGGAAGCCCTTGACGCTTGCGTTATGAGGTATCCAGTGATGCCTTCTTGATCTAATATGACCTTGACCTGCACCCACTTGGAACCTGTTTCGGGCGATACTGATACTCCCACAGGTCATGTAGCAAGTGAGTAGCAGTAGAGGCGTAGGCGTACATGATTCAAAAATACAACTAATCACAACCAATCATCTTCGCAACCAAATATTTTGATCAGCCCATACCGCCCCAGACGCCTCGTATCCTTCGCGCTAGCTGAATATCTCGCTGCATCAACGTAACCCGTTTGGCGTGGATGGCACAAAGATTCCTTGAATTCTGTCAGTTAAGTCGCGAGGATCGACCAATGATGAGCTCATACGCGTCTTCAAATAGATGGACCAGGTACGCTTCCGTAGCCTCTTGCAATGCCATTAGAGCAGAGCTTTGCCACCGTAATCCGGCTCCGGGACCATAATTGTTGTTCATGTCCGTCATTAAATCGTTGGCAATTTCCCGAACCTGGATAGCGCAAATGAGAGACGAAACAGATCACAGGGGGATTGTAGCCACCAGACGAGCGAATGGCAGCTTTCTCAGCAAGAGGTCGGTCGACTTCTGGTACTTGCGGATCTCACGCAGTGCCACAGTCCCAGGTCGGAAACGTTTCTTCTTAGGGGCTGTTAGATTGAATCAGTTTCTGCAGACCTGCAGAGAAGAGTAAGGCGCACGAGGTTCTACTACCGCAGCCCTTTGAGGCGGCCTGCCCCCTGTGCTCTTTCGGGCCGTCATTTTCGGTTTCTTAGCAGGGGTAGGTTGATCGTCGGAGTCTTCATGGGCTGTGGCTTTTCGTTTAGAGCTGCCAACCGACTTTCGCATCGTGTCCTGCGCCATCGGAGGTGGCAAGAGGTTGGTTCGAGTTGAGACCAATGGAACAAACAAGGGTAAACACCGCGACTGGAACACAACTTCAACTTCATCTTACATTACTAAAGAGAAACACTTGGAGAAACATCCTTTCACCGTGGCGTATCCCTCCTCTCCGAACCCTTGTATCGCACAGGACTTGATCTCTGAATCGACCTTGGCTTCGGAGCGTACAAGATCACGAATGCGCAATGAAATGAGGAGACTGGTATTGAAACGTCGGAGAGGAGGTGACAACACATTTAGACAAAGAACTGTAAGGCTGTCAAACCAAGTTTCTGCCGTCCAGTGCTGTGGTTTGCTCACTCTCTTCGCTCAGGACTTCCGGCACTGGCCGAGTCGATGAATTAAAGCATTGTTGGTGGGATTACACCCTGATTCAATCGGATACGAAATTTTGAGTAATTCATCTACGTTGAATACTTGAAAGTCGACGGCGTTCGATCGTGCTATGGATGACACGTGACCGCGTCATTGCAATTGAGCGGCCGACATCACCTCTCTTCACTCGTTAGGCCCCGCAACACGGGTGAGAGACAATAAGTCAACACCGTTTCCTCACATCGCCATCGATCCTCCACCACCCGCCTTGCGATGCCGTCTCCCAATCCCGTAGCCACCGGATACTACAAATACACCGAAATTTGGTTCACGGTACCAAACAATTTGATTCTAACGACGCGTCATTGACTATGTTCTCTGCAGTGGTATGCTGAGATAGCATCGTTTTTCAATGTGCCTGAAATCAAACCCACAGGACGGCAGCGCTTCCAGACGAGCAGAGGGATCCCTTGAAAGCCGTGTTGGGTAAATCGAACCGCCGCACTGTCGGTATCTTGTCAGAAACTGGTCTGACCTCTGTTGAGCCCACGATGCCTTGGTCGACCCTCAGAATCCTCTCCACGTCGATGGTGTAGATGGGGTCTCTCTGTTCATTGGTAGGACATGGCTATCCTGTTTCGATCGCGACCTCAAATTTCAAACCGTACAGGAACTTTCCCCAGTGGCGAATCGAAACTTTTCTTCTCATCCGCACAGGTTGACTACACCCGGTACTGGCTGCATGCAATGAAGCTCACCAAAGAGATGATTCCCCTCCCGTCAATGAATTGTCTGTACACAGCAGCAGATTTCGCTAGCGTGTCTCCTGTGATCTACAGCACCGGCGGAGCGCTCAAGTCAGCAATCAAGGCATGCGAATTCCTGGCAATAAGTATTGATCTAATAGCTGCTCAGGGAATAGATAAGAATAACAAACGTCTGAAGGGCTCCAACCCTGTCCTCACGTCTCGTCGAGAGTACTTCGAGCGCGTCAGAAAGCTCCGGCAGGCCAAAGTGGGCACGTGGCTTGCCCTTGACTTTGAAGAGTGGGAGCGCGACCATTCCATCGTGACTGAGCTAGGCTATAGTCTGTCCCAATGGCAGGCGAACGGCGAGAGCGAAGATACCAGTGTCCACTTCATCGTCAAAGAGCATAGGATGTATACCAATGGGAGCTATGTTCCGGAGAAACGCCTCGTGAGTAATTTATGCTATGTGCTGGTACTACAGGCTGATCAGGAGCAGCATTACAACTTCGGAGTTAGTCAACAGATCTCCACGTCCGAGCTTTCAGCCTCACTTTCTGAGATGATCGACTCCTTGCGTTCTTACGGTCCACTTTTCTTGGTTTTCCATGATCCTAGTCAAGACCTGAAGTACGTAATCGTTTTCTCGCGGAGACTCCCACCAACCTGTCTACACTAGGACACTGGAGAGATTGAAGATCCCGCTTGAGGACAAGAAGATCGAATTGCCCGAGACTATTCCTACGTCAGGCCTCTTTGTTGTCGACACCGCTATCTTATTTGCAGCCCTGGAAGGACAATCGCACAGCACGCGCAGTCTCGAAAGGGTTTGCAACCACCTGCAAATCGAAACGATGAATCTTCACAACGCCGGCAACGACGCCTATGTACGAGCAAATGATTACCTGGGCCTGGTCGTCGAACTGATGTCCTCACAGTACACTTTGAAAGCGCTGTGTTCGATGGCGGAGGGTGATCCTCTGGATGCTCAGCGCGAAAAGCGCTGGCCCAATCACACTCCTTCCGGAGTCACGGTCAAGTTCCAAGCTCACGAGGAAGACGAAGATTTTTCAGACCAGGAAGGCCTTATGGGGATTTAGGCGAAACATGAATCAATCTGTAATACGACGTAGCTGTTCTCTTTGCTTGTACATCAACATCCGCCTGTTGTTCAACTTCCACGATCCATGTATTCTAGTATTTGAACCTGTGCTATCCTCCCGCGATGTACTATTGATGTGCTTATATTGTTTTGCAATATCCACGGAGCGCAGTCCATGCTCACTGTGTGCGGTGATTGTTATCTCTCGAAGGGAATTGCTGAGTACTTATGCCCGGAGATTGCAGTGAAGGATTCAACAGTCATCAACAAGCCTTCAACGCGTCTTGAATGACCGTGACCTGGGCACATTTGCTCTCAAGACGAATGTTCTCACCTCTGAATCTCTTCAACAAGACGCCATGTCCAGACTTACCCCGCTGCTCTCGGGTTCGCTGTATCTTCAGCCACGACGCCAATCTTCCTCCTCCACCAGCGCTCGTCGTGCCTGTGCACACGCCACCCCTTCCTTTGAACTCTGTTCCATCCCCCGCCGCGCCAAGACCAGTTCCAAAAACAGTTCCCGCAAAGCGTCCAGTCCCCAACTCACCTCTAACCCCGTCCTTGTCGTCTCCTGTATCTGAACCTCCACGAAAGCAACAGAAGATCGCCGCGAACAAGTCTACGCCAGCCCCATCTGCCTCTGCGTCTACAAGCCGGCTACCCACTGCTGGAACGGGTCCTCCGGTTCTCCGTGTCAATGGTGCCGCTTCGATTATCGCAGTGCCCGTGAGACAGGCTATGCTCAAGACGTTGTACGAGCACTTCGCAATCCTTTATCAGGGCATTTTGGCCAACAATCCCACACTTGCATCTGATCATGCGTTGCGGCAGGAGGAGGAGGTTTACAAGAAGACAAATAAGCAGACATATCGAGTGGTGCGTAGTAATATACGTGTTGAGCGGGTATTACAACAATATAGCCAGGCGATCATACAGTGCGCTGCAGCTTTGAAGCGACGGACGCGACCGACTTCCTCCTCCGACCCTTCTGTAGGCACCGAAGACGAGGTATCAGCTCGTGCCGAAGCCTTGAAGAAGCGACAGACTCTGCATGTGACTCGGGCCCACGTCGAGCATCTCATCCACTCCCGAGAAACACTTGAAAAATGGGGATTCATCATGGATATACCAGCTGGTGTCGGAGGAGACATGCCCAGTGCGGAGAATCAGGTGCTCCCCTGTGAGCGATGTGGACAGAAAGTCCCAGTTAGACGGAAAGAGGATGCTGATGAATGCTTCTATCACTGGGGCAAACCCATGTCTAGTAAAGCTAGCGGTAATATCACCATCTCCTCCCTGTCATATTCATCCCAACACAATGAACAGGTCAGAAGATCAGGGTCTACAGGTGTTGCGGGAAGATGGCTCCTGACGACGACGGTTGTGTTCGCGGTCCCCATGTTTTCTACGAATCAGATCCTGAACTTCTGCATGCAAGACACGCGTTCTCCTATTTGAAGCCTCCCCCATCCGCCCAGACTGTGCTGGATGTGGCTGCTTTGGACTGCGAGATGGTTTACACGACTGGAGGGATGCGGGTCGCACGAGTGTCCGTCATCGATGGCTCAGGCGCGGAGGTCTTCGATGAACTCGTGCGCATGGACCCAGGAGTCGAGATCATGTGAGTCGTCTGTTCGTTTCTCTCTTCATCTCTCTCATAAGAATTAGTGATTTCAACACCCGTTTTTCTGGAGTGACTGCTGAAGCGTACGCAAAAGCTACTCGCCCGCTCGCTGAAATACGAGAAGCACTCGACAATCTGATCAACGCCGACACGGTCCTGATCGGGCATGGGCTGGATAACGACCTGAACACTTTGCGTATAGGTAAGTATTCACTGGCTCTCTTTCATCCGAGACCGATCTCGCGCTCGAAGTACATCACGTGAATGTGGATACCTCGATCATATTCCCACATTCTATTGGGCCACCCTACCGCAAAGCTTTGCGGGACTTGCAAGTATATCCCCTCTATCATGAGGGCCAAGCTCATTCCATGTCAGGGCTCGGGAACATCTCGGGATCGCCATCCAGGTCGCTGGCTCCGCTGGTCACTCGTCTATTGAAGACTCGGTTGCCACATTAGATCTGGTTAAATGGCACATACTAAATCGGCCACCTAGACTCAAGCCTAGCGTTGTTTCGTAGTTTAGTATATACTTCATTCATATCAAGATACCGAAGCCAGCATGATTGTGTTGGTTATCTTGACAGTTGCTGTTGATCTTGATCTGAATGGAAGCGATGATGCCTCCGTATTGTTCTCTTTCACCCCAACGCTCACCTCATTTTCAACCTCAAGTCGCAATCCTATCCTGAAGACATCATTTGGGTGCGCCGGCAGTTTCCTGCTCTGAAACGCTCTGATCGCGGATTCAGATGTCGTTGCAAGCTCACGATACGAACCCACACAGACCCGACGCGGATGAGTTCCGCAGCTTCGAGTTCCAAACGATTGGAAAACAGCCTGGACTATTGGAGCGCATGTCGCACCGAGAAGCTGGAGCCCGCTATAGTCCGTCCCCAGAGCCGGAAGCCGCCTCGAGGCAGGAAAATTCTGCAACAGAAAGGCGAAACAGACCATCGCTATTGGAAGCGCTGACTCATGGCAGCGCTCTCCTCCCAGTTCAAGAATCAGATCCAACTGCCCACCCGAATGGGGCACTTGCCCGAACGAATGGCCCCCAGAGCACGCGCTGCAAGACCCTGAGACACCAAGCACCGACCCTGCTGTTTCAGAGCAACGTCGCTCTCCCAATCGGTTTCTTCCTCGGACACAACCACTGACAGATACATCTCCGTCTTCTTTTTCTCCTTTGTCTTCCTATCTCCCTGACTACCCCGCGCTGAAGGAACTGCACACACGACTGGAGATGTCATATCGAGTGCTGGCTATCCCCCCTGTTCCGAAGAGGATCCCGACCCCTCCCCCCGATCTTTCCCTTTCGTCACTCGATAAGACCATCCAGACTGCGAAATTGGGCTTGACATCCACTACGGAAGCCGTCGCGAGTGCCAAAGCTCGCGTGCTAACAGCCGAACAGAATGTGGCTGCAGCTCGAGCACTAGTTGATAGCTTAAAGCAAGCCCTTGACTCCGCGTCAACATCACTGAAGAGTGCCGAGGCAACCCTGACTGATGCTGCTCGGCATGCTTCGGACGTGAATGCGACGAACGAGAGCTCGAAGCAAACCCTAGGATCGCTCGAAGAGACCAGAAGGTTGATGCTTGAAGAACGCCAGCCCCGTCCTCGTTCACCGAGCCCTGCTCCGCCGAAGCAGATTATGGGTGTGATGAAGAAGGATCTGGATGCATTTCGCACGTGGATTGATGAACAGGAACATGGACATAAGTCGTTCGTCCACACTGGGCCTGCCATCGAACCAAGTGCTGGTCCCGATTGTCCTTCCCCATTGATCCAGTCAGCACGTTAGCCACGCATGGGGTGAAGGGAGTTACCACGCGTCCACCGGAGGAAGATGCTGCTCAAACACTGGTCCAGTTCGCTCTGGCTTCGCAAGGAGATCATGCCGTAGCGTCCGACGTACCGATGACTTTCCCGGATTCCGAGTCTCTTGCTCACGAAGCCGCGCTTCGCAAGAGTCAGGAGATAAGACGCGAACAAATCCGTCTGCAGAAGGAGCAGGCGCAAGCCGCTGCTGCCCTTTCTATTCTGAAGGAGAGAGAGGACCATGTACAAGAATTCGCAGCCCCGTCCGTCGATATAGCGACTACCTCAGCCCCGCCGTACCAGCCCCAGCCCAAGAAGGGGAAGCCGACATCCGGTGGTGTCAAGCTAGGGCTGTCCGCTGGTGCTCCATCAGTGACCGAGTTTTCGACCGAAGTCGAACGTGCTGCTGCTCTCGGACTTCGTGTGCGAACCAAATCGAGACACCCATGACACCGTCACTGACGAGTCTACCGCCAAAGTCTTTCTGCTAAGAAGTCTCGCCAGGTAGTCTATTCAACACCGCCAGAGCCGAAATCATCATCGCCTGAAGAATTTTCGGCGCATCGCACGGGGTCCGATGGCGGCAATCTCCCGATCTTGCAGCCTCAAGCTCATCGCAGACTGTCGGATGCTCAGGTGGTGGATTTGCGGACCACATTGCGGGGACCCAGCCTTCCACCAGTCGAGCATCTGCCGCAGGCTCGATCTCCTTCACCCCATCACACATTTATCAAAATGGAGGAGACGGATCGAAGGGAACTTCTTCACCGTTCTTCGATTGTTTCTCAGAACACTGTTCAAAAGAACACCCCGAAAGTTGTCGCACCGAAGGCAGTCACTTCCAAAGTCGTCACACAGCACGCCCCCAACAAGAGCTCTTCCAAAGTCGTGGCTCCTCAGGTTGTAGCACCCAAGAAAGCTGCTTCTGCAAAGGCCGGCGCCGCCCAACCTAACACTGCAACTGTATCAAAGAAATTGGCTGGCGCGAACAAGCATCATAGTCCTCCGCCTCGTGAACGGTCCAGGAGCCCGGACCAGTATCGAAACAGGCCACCGAGCCCGTCTGGATGGATGCCCCCACGGATAAGTGATCAACATCCGCCTCCTTCCGCCAGCATATGCAAGATTCACTCCCAACTGGCCCGCGCCAAAGGTTGTCCAAACGTACCCGCGCTGAAGACGACTATGGGACTCTGGCGAAGCGCATGAAGCCGTCCGCCGACTCGTACCATCCTGTCGACAGCTATAGGCCAGTCTCTCCGATCTCACCACGTTTCCGGCCAGCGGATCACCCGCGTGCTGCCGCGCTTGAGATGAGAATGAGCACCCGTGCCGGAGAGTCTACCTACCAGGGGTATGGGTATGAATCGGATGACGGCCGAAGCAAAGGCGACGGCCTGCTGTCTCGACTGAGTGACCCTTCTTTGGCAAATCGTGGACGAGGCCGAGGGAATGTCAAATCAAGGCCAAGTCGTGGCCGAGGGAACGGCGGAGAAAGATCCCTTGTAGACCGAATGGAAAGGTAGGTGTCTCATTCCTGTGAGTTATTTCAATCGTTCTCGTGTTCTGCTTTCGTTCTCTTTTCTGTATGCCTGTTGTCGTGTAACATAATACATGAAATTAGTCCTAGTTAGCTCCGCAGATGGACAGCTCGCGCATCTCCTGGAGGACTCCCTCCACCTGTGCGTCCAGTTGACCAGCAGCGTAGTCGTCTCGAATGTTGTCAGCAAAGTATCTGAGGCAACCTGAGCAACGATCAATCCGGACATCCAGTATGCTACGTACCGCTGAACACCACTCAATTTCTCGTATCCTTCCTCTGCGAACTTGGACTGCATGCGAATCATAGCTTCAAAGCTAGGATCAAAGTACGGCACTCGCAAATCCAATAGTTGGGGCAGTTCGGCGACAAGCTGGTCATTGAGCAGATCAAAGACTTCCTTGGCTTCGTCGTGTTCTTGCTGGGCCTGCATTCATTAACAGATTAGTCCACTGGTTTCTCTTGGCGAGCACGCTGGATACCCTGGGCAGCTTGGTCGGATCTTCGCTCGGCTTGTCGATCAGTTTCCGCAACTTGCTGCGCGCGGCGTCATAATCCAGCAGCTAACAGCAGGTCAGCGTCCGCAATCCCAGCACACCAGAAATTGCCTCGCCTTCTTGTCACGTTTCGAGATATGGTCGTTGACTACCGGGAAGTACGCGCACATCTTGCCCAGCGGCTCCGAGATGGTCGTGCGATAGGGTCCATCCTGCAATTAAGCTCCAGGTTGGTACGTGTGATGGCCCGAATAGCCGCGCAGCCGACGCACGAGTTCACGCCCGAATCCACCGTCCAAATCGTCCACGGATCGCTTGTATGCATGCCCCGCCATGGCTCCCTCAGACGATCGGTCCGCTGCGCCGTAGAACGTTTCTAATGTTTCGGCGATGCGCGTCTGCGCGGCGGTCATAGCTGCAGCACGAGGCCGATGGCGAGTCAAACAGAGCACAGATCAGGGACGGCCGCTCGTACCCCGCATAGCATCGAAGTAGGATACACTCTCCTTCTGCAGCGCCTGGCACTCCTTCTCGAACCTGCGGCGTGGTTGGAGTCGACACGGATTCGTAGCTCTGTGAGGACGAGAACGTACGTCTTGTACTTGGCCTGTTCATCGGCGAATTCTCGGTCGATTGTTCGCTCGATTTGACCAGTCTTCTGCAGCAGCTGCGGTCGAGGATGAGATCACGCCAAAGAGGCGAAAGCGTCGAGCGACGGAGACTCACTGTCGTGCCCGCCCGATTGACGGTCTTCTTGAAACTTGGTGTTGTGTTGATTCAGGGCAGCCTCTCTTCGCATAGGGACGTGCTTACCCAGACCAACTCATTCGGGGATGTGTGGTGGAAAGTAAGTGGTGATGTCTGTGGCTGTGCAGATGAGCTGCGGGACTAGTGCGAACGATAAAACATTGAATACGGTCATACAGTGTTCCATGAAGCATTATTACTTGAATGACGATAGTACTTCGAGAGAATATGCTACGGGGCTCCATGGGTTACATGCAAATGAGTGTGTAGATGCGAAAGAATGACTGGCAGCTAGTTTTGTCTACATGGGCTATGATATGGTGGTTTGCCGCCGGGTGCTCCGATGCACTGGTCGACCCGCCGGAGTCAACTGCTGCTGGGAGTAGGAGGTGGCCATCGGTGGTGCAGTCCCGGGCCACGGGCTGGGCGGGTGCGACTGCTGATGCAACTCCTGTAGAGGCAGCGACGATCGCCCACGAGCAAGTGATGTGCTGGAATGAGACCGCAGAGACCCGCCGTAGAGCTGGCTGTCTCTGGTCGGCGGCGTGCTCATCCGCCGCGCATCATCACTGCTCCGCCTTTGATGACTTGGACCAGCTTGTGCTGGCGGTGGCCGATGTAGCGATTGCCGCGACTGAGAGCTGCTGTTGCTCGGCAAACGCTGCCGGGACTGAGAAGATGACGAAGAACGCGCCGGGGAGGAGTTATGCGACCTGGGCGCAGGGTATTGATGCAGCATAAAGGGCGGCGTCGGAGGGAGGAGAGGCATGTCCATCGTATACATCGGATTGGGCATGGAGGGCATCATCATCAGCGAGGGATTGTTTGCGGACCACGAAGAACGATCAAATGCGCTGACGTTTTTCACGGATAGAGACGTTACAGATCCGCGCCTAGGGTTCGAGGGCCTTTGGTCATCCGATGAATTAGTGTGAACGGAAGGGGGACGAGACGATCCCCGTCCACGACTCGCAATGCTCGCCGGACGAGAGCTACTCGGCGAGGATGTGTGCGGCGAAGCAGACGGGGTGTGTGGGTGCAGGGCTCCAGTTGGCTCCGACGCTTGACGACGAGACGTATCATAGGCTGGGCGAGAGACAGGTGAGGGATCCTGTCTCTTACGTTCGCTCCGCAGTGAAGACGATGAATTCGAGGCCGCTAGTAGATTGGAGCTCGTGGGCTTGCTAGCGCCGCCCGGAAACCCGGCCCTCTGTTGTTCTCTGCGTAATCGAGTTGCAGCAACTTCCTCAGCATAAATGCGCAGCTTCCGTTCCTCTTCCATAGCCCGCTGCTCCTTATCCCAAGCTTTCTTTTCCTCTTCCCATTGCCGTCGTTGCTGCTCCCTCTTTCTGCGCTCTTCCTCCTGACGAGCCTTTTCTTCCTCGAACGCGCGCCGCTCCTGCTCCTCTCGAAGAAATCTTGCCTTTTCCTCGCGACGCTGCTTCACTCTAATGGTGTAGCCGAGGGGCACAACATCGTCCTTATCTTCCACCATGAACCGCACACGCGACGTTGTTGTTGATGACTTGGATGCTGCTGGTTTGGAGGATGGCGAAATCAGCGATGATGGAATTGGCGACGATGGACTTGAAGTTGGTGGAACCGACAATGTCGGACTCGACGTCGTTGGTTTGACCGGTGGGGTAACCTTCTGCTCGGTGGTTTCAACTTGGAGTTGCGGCTTAAGCGATGTGCTTCGCAGCACAGGTGACACGTCAGAGCTTGCCGCTACCGATTCATGAGCGCCAGTCGATACAGTAGCGAGATGACTTACAGATAACAGAAAGATCTCTTTCATCCACCAACAATCCGGCCATTGCATCAATCGCGCCAGAGAACTCTAGTTCCGGAACTCCAAAAGACGAGCCGGGAACCGCTCGGGACACAATCGAGCCATCAAGAGGAACGTGAACAACAAATTTCTCTTCAAAGCAAGGGCGCGAGATCCACCGACGGAGACCGGGACTGATTGCAGTGATGCCCATTGAAACGGATACAACGGAGATGTTATACCAGGGCAATGAGCTCGGGGGATCAACAGGTGCTGGGGAGGGACGAGAAGCCAGAGAAGATATCGAACGGTCGTGGATGGGTGACAGCGTTGATACGTCGGGCTCGGTCAACCGCCGAAGCAGATGCATTTTGTGCATAGTCGTCTGCATGGAGACTCGGGCCGGAGGGAGCTATGGGGATTGCAGGAGCGTGGATACGTCGGTGCGCCCGGGACATGTGCGAACGGAGATGAAGCGGCAGTCGGAACTAGACTGTTCTGTATGATGATTTCAAGGGTTTTTCTAGATCTGGCTGCGGATACTGGGGAGATTGTGGGGGTACGAGTGTGAACAGTTGGGGCAGAATGGTCTTCCTCGGATTCAGAATCTTCATCCTCGTCTTCCTCCGGGGCGATGTGTTTATCTGCACGAGATCTCTGCGCCGGTGGATTACTGAGTACAGGGGCAGACATGTTTGAGGGCCAAGGGGGTACAGGGTGGCTCCAAACATCGTCAGGTGGCAGCTTCGAACGCTTGATCGTGCTCGACCGTTTGGAGAGCCAATTCGTCCATGACTTGGACTTCGGTGTGGGTGTGGGTTCGGAAACGGGCTCGTCTTCAGGAGTCTGGAGACTGAGATTGAGACTGGCTGAGCCAGTAGAGGAGGTGGAAGAAGTGGGATCGCTGCTGCCGGTACTCAGAACAGGGGTGGAGGGAATAGATGGGGGAACTGGGGAGAGAGAGTGTATGGGGGCGAGAGTTGAATTGGCCCGTTTGAGCGTGTCCTTTTCCTTGTCGCGGCGGGCGAAAACGGACGCAAAACGACGCATGGTGGAGAACCGCGGCTAGAGGTGAGCGGAGAATGCAAGCCGGCCCTTCATGGACTTCTGATCAAAATGGTGAGCTTGCGTGTGGGTAAACAATAACGGGAACGGGTACGCGGTAGACGCAGCAACTCGGGTTGACGAGCTACTAGGCGTGAGTAACAGAGAGCAAACCCATGCAACACGGTTTCCGAGACATCAGAGAAACATCATCAATGTGACATAAGACGTTGCGATCGGTCCTCGGCGACAAAAGACGACACACGTTCCTGGGATACAAATTGATACTACAAATTCTGGGGATCTCGGAAATTCTATTCCTCAGGTGAATGCGCTTTTTCGTCCTCGGGATCACCTCGACGGGTCTGTTTCCACCATCGCCAAAGCTGACGCTCGTATGTCTGCAGAACAGCGGAAAAGTGAGGCTCCCCGAACCCTGACCACGTGGCCACTCTCTCAATCAGCGCAGAACATTCTTCTGTACTGTCGGAATGATGCAACGCATATTCCTCTCCCGGTCGCAAAGTTTGGTGATCTGCGCGAACCAGCGCCAATCTCGGCTGGCTCATGACCGGTGCAATGATTCTGGCCGGTTTCGAAAGGCCTTGCAGCGGGAAGAATCTGTCCAGAACATCTTGTTCTGTGGTTGCAATGTGAAAATGACGGACAAGCGCGATGTTAACATTCACCTTTGGTGGGCCCGGATAGCGCTCTATCACAGAAGGCGAGATAGTCGTCTATCGCATCGACGTCCAGATCTTCAAAGTGTCTGGTGTCAAGTAGTCAGGTGCCCGAGGCTGCAGTGTCAAGTGCTGACTTACATCTTACGTGTTGAATCGAAATCTGCACAACTCGCATCCGCCTCGCCCAGCTTCTTGAGCAAAGCTAGAAAGTCCTCTTCACAGGGCATGTCGGCCGCCGGATCTGCGGAATCACAAGCGGCTCTGGGAAACTCAGCACACATTTGCGGGAGAACAGTGAACGCAAAAACCTTGTTTTCGTGTCCAAACCATAAACCATCTTTAGCACAATCACTGATGTGGCGAGGAAGGCCACTTCAGGTGCAACGCTGTCAAATCTGTGGGTGGCGGGATCCCAGGCCTTGAATTGGGTCAGTTTCGGGGCCAGGGATCGGTGTAACACAAGGGGTAAGGATAGAACAGCGGCCAGTCGCTTCGAAAGTCTATATAATGTTGCTGAAGCATATTAACAATAGCCGTCAAGGTACCTCTACCACTCACCGGTCCCGCCTAGGCACTGAGACACGGTCCGCCACAGGATGGGAGCAGCGTTGGCTGCAGGCGTTCGGATACCAAAGCTGGCATATATTCGTCTGGAGAGCGATGATGCCGTCTGGTGAAGGGTCAAAGCAGTCGGTGACTTCTGCAGAAAAGATATCAGTGAGCGCTGTTGCGTGCGGCTCCGCGGCTCACTAAAGGCGACAGCGCTTGCCTCATGTGTCGAGAGAGATGAGTGCTCATGCTCGTAGGGAGATGCCTGGTCGCTTCCAGATACGGAAAATCGTATGATTCAATCAACCTGCGATGCAGTCAAGGAAAGTCGCATTCCCTGATCCTGGTCGGAAAGCACCTTGTGAGATCACGATACAGAACGGGAATACGGAGCATCCAGCAAGCTAGAATGAGTACCGCTATAGTGTTCAACGGCTTGTCATGCTTGTGCAGGTTCTTCTGTTTCCGCACTGGAACGATGGCAGGTTTGGGCCCATCGGTCGCCTCATCTTCTCCTGAGGAAGACTCCGTTTCAGAGTTGACGGCCAGAAGAGCATTCATTTCCTGGTCCTTGTCTTCATCCGACTCGTTATCCTCGACGGGTCCCGCAGGTAAATCGTCGGCTGGTCCCGTTTCGTTGTCATCGAAATGCGGTTCCGGAAGTGGTTTCCGTAGAAGGCTCAAATGCAGAGCCCATACATCCTGGCAAACGATCTCAAATTCAGGAGGTAAGTTCCAGAGATGGTGCAGGGTGGTGATTTGATGCCTCAGAATGACCTGCAGGCATTGGAAGTAGTGATATCGACCTCTTGAGCCGTAATAATCTACAAAAGGGTAAGAAGAGGGAGAAGAGATGATGAAAGCGTATATACGGGTGGAATCATGTTTGCCCGGCATATCTTTCGCCGACCTCTTCGACTTCTTTATCGTTCGCTTTTTCACAGCGTGTGGCCCCATCACATCGACCTCGTTAGACTCTGGTCGGTAATTCTGGTTGCATCAGCTGAGAAACCCAAGGAAGGGATCTGGATGCACCTGCAGAATATGACCCTCGCTGCATGCAATCATACCACTTGAGGGCTCCTTGTGCCATTGTTTCGAGCCGCATACAGTACACCGTCTGCGGCCCATTGTATTTGGACGTACGCGACGGTATGTGTTGGGCTGTTCAGTGTTACTTAGATCAGAATTGGATGTCACGTGTCACGTGCGTCGCATTGCTACGCGTTATGCGTGCTTGAGCGCTCATGAGCCTACATATGTGGGGCGCTTCCTTCAACTTCATCGACCGAAATTAATCTGCGCTCTTTCGCCGACCATGATAGCCACTTTAACTTGAGAGGAAACTAGCGACGACACCCAAGTCACGTGTAACGATCACAGGAGCGCGTTTGTTTTCCGACTTGGATTCGATTCGGAATCTAAATTCACTCGTGCTTTCTCGAGTCTCGCGTTTTCCCATTGCATCACCAGTTCCTCACCAGTCTCCGCGTTGTATGACGCGGCTGCTCGCATGTCCGCACTTGAATCTGCCAAAGATGACCCGGAGCTTTCCTTCTCACCAGTATAGTCAATGTCGACAGCCTCCGCTCATTCCGTTGACTCGCGACATTCTGTCACACAGCGCTCAAACTTCGACGTTGAGGACATATCTTATTTGATTGAGCATTACGATGAGGAAGGTGCGTGCGCCGTCTGCAGTCTCAAAGCGAAAATCTCATGGACAAGAAACAGATGGACCGCCTCCGTTGTCCCAGGTGCGTGATTGATTGATCATTATCCCCTGCCCGATGACCGGGGACAGCGCTCGAGCTTTTCTGTGGGACCAGAAGAGGACATCTCATACCTTATCTCGGCAGCACCCAGTAGTAAGCCGCACTGCAATAACGAAACCCCCTGTCTTGAACAAATGCAGCAACTCCACTGGCGAGAGAAGTGGAATTGCCGCCCACCACGAGCACCCCCACTGACTTGTTGGGGAGCAAAAGCTCAGATTCATCGGCTTATTCGTCGCGCTCTAATTCGATCCCTGAAACACTAGGGAAGCGCAAACGCGACTCGACAACCAGTCAAGAGATAGCTGGTCCCAATCGTGGATTCAAGTCTGCACGGTTGGCTACTGACGAAGATGACATCAGCACCCCAGTACTCATCGCAAGTGAAGGCGCCTTGCCTTCGAGCCTATCGGTCTGACAACTCAACAGGCACATTCACCCAGTCACGAGAGGTTATTCGCGTCAATGAAACTCCCGTACGGGGTACTGTATGAGATAGCCCGCTTTGCCTCAACCAAAGGGTCGGGATACGAGACCCTTGACAAGACTCGATTACCCGAATTGCAAGGGCTCAAGACTGCCGATGCAGTTGCGAAGGTGCCTGCGCTGTTTGGAATCGCGATCTCTGCCGTGGATGAAGCTTCAACTCGCGAGTTGGCCGCCAAGGTGGATGCAATTTAGTCTGTGACCGACTCGAGCCTGAACATTTCCAGGCACCCTGGAAGGAACTTGATTTAGAGGATGAACATCTTGCCAGGGACACATACTCAGGGTTGGGCTTGAGCCTGGAGGCACCAGACTGGTTTGGGGGCAAGGTTCACTTCTTGGGGAAAATAAGCAAAGATGGCAAATCCTTCAAGGTCTCTCTCAAACAAGCGGAATTGGGGCCTTCTGACCGCTTTGCTCGGCGGTGGGGATCAAGTCACTTTCTCACTCTCAATCTCTCCAAGGATGTTCTTAATCAGGGACCCAAACTTGTCAAGTTTCTATCTCGGCCGTTCGTTTTGGGGTCCCGTGTATTTCGCGCATTTGATGCCAAAGACGGAAACGTCTTTCTTGTGCGTACGAACGAAATTGTCGAAGGCAAACGAATACACCCGAGCCGGACTTTGCCTGGTGTCCTGTCCCTGCTAGGCTTCTTGAAATGGCACAATGACCTAACCCTGAATCCGAAACAAGTGCGCATATATTTGCCTCGGGGAATTTTCTCAATATTCCCAACAGACAATGGCGAAATGGGCCTCACGGCAAGTACAGGCCCTCCATTTCTTTCTACTTGACTATGTTAAACTGCATCAGTTTCGCACTTGGCAGATCGAATTCCGCTCCTGTGCTCCGATTAGAGGAAGTTTGTATCCACAACATCCCCGATATCGGTCAGAAGTCTTCTTTGTTCCCTCCTTCTGGACTCACATTCCCAGTAGTTTCTGAACAAGATAGTGATATGACGGATGGTGCTGGATTGATCAATAAAGCTGCCTTGCGTTTGATCCATCATCGATTGGACATGGAAAGATGGCCAACTGCAATCCAATGCCGTGTTGTCGGTCAGTCGTGTATCGTGATTCGAAGACTCTTTCACATATGTTATCGACAGGGGCCAAAGTGAGCGCCATCTCCGCCGCTGCCGACCTACGCTACAACCTTTTTAGGGCTTACTTGTGATGCACCCTAACAACGTTGACGAGACTCCGACAATTTGGATTCGTCCGTCACAGATCAAAGTCAAGCATACGCAGCATTCCGACCCGACTCTGAGAACTATCGACATGCTTCGCTCTTCCCACGCTCAAACGCGCTGTCGGTTGCCTGTGGAGACTATCATCAACTTGGCGGAAAATGGAGTACCGGCATCTGCATTTATGGCGGCCATTGAGGAAGCTGTCGTCACTGCGCTCTCCCCTTTGGTCAAATGGGACGGCAGTGAAGATGCTATGCTTGACTTGTGGGTTGCTGTTTGTCAAGAAGGAGGGGTGATGCCCGCTCGAGCAGCTCGGAAAGACACAGTGCTTGCTCGGCTCAAAGGCTATTCAGAAACATCACGCAAAGACAAGGAGGAGGAAGATGACGACGAGGATCTCGCCGAGCAGCCTTCTAGCACTGCATGGTGGGTGGACCAGACCTCGGGATGCCCATCTTCGCTGGAAGAAACAGTGTTGTACCTATTGGACTCTGGTTTCAAGCCTCAGGATTGCAGTGTTTTGCGCGAAAAGCTGTCAAAAGTTGTTGACAACTGCGTGAAACGGTACATCGATTCTTTCCGCATTGATCTGCCCATCGGGATGTCTGCTATGGCCTTCTTGGTTCCCGACGAACTTGGAGTACTGGGGGAAGGCGAATTCTTTTTCAAGAGCTCAAGGCACGACCTGCAGACCGGAGATGGGATGCCGACGGATATACTCATCGGACCTGCTCTCATCACTAGACATCCGTGCAAGGTAGAGCTTTGACTATCTGTGTTCCAAGGATGCTCATTTGTCTTTAGCTACCGACCGATGTGCAGAAGGCACGTCCCTGTCCATTTTGCTCTTCATGATGTTAAGGAACGACGCATCCAGTGGACGGCAGTGGACAAGCCCGAACTGCGTCATTTCACGGATGTGATCGTGCTCTCGACCAAAGGCCCTAGACGAGCAGCGGACTTCCTTTCCGGTGGCGATTATGACGGGGATAAGGGCTTACTCGTTTGGCATCCAAGCTTCGTTGACCCGTTTGTCCCTGCCCCATTACACTTTTCCGAAGTAATATGCACAGCTCGGACGTGAGACAGCCATTTGACCATCCAACAGGAGCCTGTCGGAGTTGCGAGTGCATTTTCGCCGAACAACGAGCTGGTCGCTGAATTTTTGGAGCGGACCCGAACGATGACACCCGCTCAACAACTGTCCGAGATGCAAGCCTATCTGCTCAGTGCAGTGCTTAACATTTCGGTTGTGGGAAAGTATTCCAACTGGCATCTGAACGCGCTCTATACGCTTGGGTACAGAGATCCTGAAACCATCCGTCTCGCATACATGTCGGTCTTGTATCCTATATTATTCCATCGAAAATGACTGATCGTTTCAGGTTCTGCAAGACGTTAGATGGTGCGAAGACCGGATTAACAGTACTCCCGCAACAATTCGAGGATGACAGACGTAAATATGACAAGAGACCACCCAAGGTTATTACCCTTGTCCGCAACTCTACACATCGGCTCAACTACTCCAGTGGCGAGAGGCGGAGAAAAAGAAGAACCAAGACAGCTCCAATCTACCGCACTTGACCCGAGACACTCAAAAACTGGGGCCGTTCATAATGGACATCCTCTACCGACATTCTGACAAGACGAGATGGGGAACAACCTGGGGCCAGGAACTGAAAGCCGACATTGATCGCAAGTTCAAGGGAACTGAGCACGTTGTTGACCAGGATCTGGTCTCCCCGTGGCTTCAGTTTGTGGAAAGGGATGAGGAGAAGCAAAAGACTGACGAGAGACGACGTGCCACAGTGATCATGCTTGCCACGCACACGCTTTCGATCGTTGGGCTACCTGAGAACGACAGGCACCTCGCAGAGGAGGCACTCTCGGTCGCACAGAATCCGCCTTTGAGCGACAGGGAGCTCATCTTGGAACATGTCAGGATTGTCTCCCACAAGCATAAGCAGAAGATTGGTCCCCATTTCACAAAGCTTCCCATCGAGAAACGGCAGGACATTTTGAGGGAGCTCTCCCGAGATTTCGCTTCAAATCTTGCAGGCTTAAAACTCGAACCGGTACTTGAGGGGCGTTTCCATCATGCACGTTTTACTGAACCTTGCCATAGCCGGAGGCAGCGCGCCTGAAAGCATCCTGTGCGTACTGGTACGACTCTGACAGTCGCGCAGGACTGAAGAGGCTGAAATGGTCCCGCTTTCCCTGGGATGTGGCTTTTCGTGAAGTGAGTTGCAGTGATATGTTCCTTGTTCTCATTTGCTCACCGACATCGCAGCTTTGTCTCATCAAAGCACGCAGTCTCAAAGGGTCGTTTCTCAAGCCGGTTGACAGCGAATTCTATGAGCGCTTCATGATACGGTATACCCGCTCCAGAGCTTAGCGAATCGTTTCTTGTATGTTTGTGAGCAAAGTTGTACACAGTGTAGTCGGCCAATGTATCAATTACGAAATAATATCTGGACGCGCCTCGAGACCAAACAACCGTCAACACATCTCGATGATTAACTACATCCTCTTGGTCTCGCGACAAGGCTCGTGCTCACCTCGCCATCTTCGGCCAGCAAGTTGACTCTTGCTCAGGGAAAGTCCGCCTCTCGAAATGGTTCACGACAACTGCGCCCAAGGCCAAGGCGAAGATTGTGAAGGACGTGACGCAGTTGGTCCTTGCTCGGCGCACGAGAATGTGTAACTTCCTGGAGTACAAGGGTACGCACCCAACGGCCCGCTGAAGGCCTCCAGGGCCCTCTATCTGACAAATCAAGACACGAAGGTCGTCTACCGCCGATACGCCTCCTTATTCTTCGTCACCGGTATCAGTTCGAGTGACAATGAATTGGTGACTCTCGAGATCATACATCGATACGTAGAGGTGTTGGATCGATACTTTGGAAACGTGAGTTTATCTATCTAGCCTAGTCTCAACCAGATCTCACGCAGTGCCCAGGTTTGCGAGCTGGATTTGTGAGTACCATTGCGCGCACGCCGCCTTGCACGCTGACAGGACCCAGGATCTTCAATTTCCAAAAAGCATACGCTGTGAGTCTTCCACCCTCGCCACTACCCCTATCTCTTGCGGGATAGTGGGCATGCGCTGTGGCGCTTCACATGTCACTCACGCGATCCTCGCTCAGATTCTAGACGAATTGATCATATCGGGAGAGCTGCAGGAGTCTTCCAAGAAATCTGTACTAAGAGTGGTCGGTGTCCATCTTCGCCTGTTTGAACGACCAGACTGAATGGGTTTGTGTATCAGGTCACACAATCCGATACAGTGGAAGAGCAGGAAACTTCGGAGGATTCAATGGCACGTCTAGGGTCGCGCAGTGGATAGGCGCGAGTCGGGTTAGAATCTTGACATTCTTCTATGGCATTGGTGTCAGCTGCGACTGTCCCCAGGGCCAAATCTGTCCTGTACCGTAGTTATACCATAATCCTGACGTTGGGGCGGAGCTGACTGCCGTCGATCCGCGTTTTGTATGTTCGGCCTTAGTTCGGCCGGTAGAGCCGATCACGGTGGAAAAAAATGCTCCCCAAAATTCACAGGACATGAAAAATACGAAGTGGACGAGATCTCAACATAGAGAGTTTATGCATCCTGGAATTTCAATCGATATTCAAGGTATCCCGGACGATCTCTGCTCTAAAAGCCGCAAGCTCGCAGAGAATCGTTATCTTGATTGGGTTCCTGGGCAAGTGATCCAGTCGGATAAAGCCGGATATATTAGATCTGACTCGATTGCAGTGCTTTTAATCGCTCTTCTCTTCTACCACCTCGATCCACCCACTTTCCCGGTCAGTAAACATCGTACGATCCACTCTTCCTCACGACTAACCTATACTTCACTCTCCACTCCTCGTATCCCACAGACGATGTCTCTTTTGTACAAGCCTGAGTTGCTCCAGCACTACCTGAACTTGGACCAGGGTTCCAAGGTCCAGGCTGAGTGTACGTTCATCAATTTGACCATTCCGCTTGTTTTCATCTCATCAATCTTCTTCAAGACGTTTGGATCGATGGTGATGGTGGATTGCGCTCCAAGACCACTACCGTCTCCAAGAAGGTCACGGATATTACTGAGCTCCGTATCTGGGATTTCGATGGCTCGTCGACCAACCAGGCTCCTGGAAACAACTCCGATGTCCTCCTCCGCCCTGTCGCCATCTTCCCCGACCCCTTCCGCGGTGGTGACAACATCCTTGTTCTTGCTGAGACCTGGAATAACGACGGCACCCCGAACAAGACCAACTTCCGCAGCCACGCGAAGAAGGTCATGGACGAGGCTAAGGACTTTGTTCCCTGGTTCGGTATCGAGCAGGAGTACACTCTATTTGACACCGATGGACGCCCTTACGCCTGGCCTAAGGGTGGTTTCCCCGGTCCCCAGGGCCCATACTACTGCGGTGCTGGTGCGATCTCCGCTCTCGTACCATTTTCACCAGCTTATTGACTCATCTCAGGAACTGGCAAGGTTGTCGCCCGTGACCTCATTGAAGCTCACTACCGTGCTTGCCTGTACTCTGGTATCAACATCAGTGGTGTAAACGCCGAAGTCATGCCTTCGCAGTGGGAGTACCAGGTCGGACCGTGTGAGGGTATCTCCATGGGTGACCACCTGTGGATGTCCCGATACCTGCTTCTCCGCATTGCTGAGCAGTGGGGTGTCGTAGTCTCATTCCACCCCAAGCCTTTGGCAGGCGACTGGAACGGTGCTGGATGCCACACCAACTACTCGACCAAGGCCATGCGTGAGGAGGGAGGAATGAAGGCGATTGAGGCTGCCATCGAGAAGATGTCGAAGAAGCACAACGAGCACATCGCCGTCTATGGCGAGGACAACGAGCTCCGTCTCACCGGCCGCCACGAGACCGGTCACATCGGCGACTTCAGCTCCGGTGTCGCCAACCGTGGCGCGTCCATCCGTATCCCACGGGCTTGTGCTGCCCAGGGCTTCGGATACCTCGAGGACCGTCGCCCGGCTTCCAACATCGGTGTGTAATCGGACCATCTGGCCTTTTTCGTTTCTCACTGACACCTTCTAGACCCGTACCGTGTCACTTCGATCATCGTCGAGACCACTTGCCTCGACCAGTAGACGTTTAATGGTAGACGCTGCTTGTAAGAGTTATTGCTCTGTGTGTAGGTAGATATGCGAAGAAAAAGCTGGAATCTAATTGTGTTTGTACATCTGCGAGTTCGTCACAGACGCGTCCGTGATGTGACAGGCCGTGTTTCTTCACTACCAGTGACTGCTCTCATGGATCTCGTATTCTCGCGTAGTTTCCGCGAGATCGGCGCCTTCAAGCTTCTTGAACTTCCTCCCGAACTTTGTCAGCTAGTCGAGTCTGCAGTCGAAGCAAGATCTCCACTCCAGTAATGCGCTTCAATCGTCGAGGCTCAGCTCAAAGCTGACGCGTCTCAGCCTCACGATCAGGGGCAATTCAACCGAAGACGCTGTGCTCTGCACCGAGGAATCGACCTACGCCATCCGCTCTGTCGTTCTTTCAAACACTATCCTCGTCGTCTCGGCCGACTCGGACAATGCAGAGACAGTGGTAATCCAAGACGAAGTAAACGAGATCTTGGAGCTTGCTCCGACAGTGCCGAAGACACACAGATTATCCTCGCTTCTCAAGGGCTGCGAGTACGATGATATACACGATTCGGAGGAGGAGCCGGCCCCCACGGTGCGTTCGCGATCCTACCAGGTGGCGCAATCGCTTCCGACTGAGCGCCCAGTCCGCTAGAATCCTGCATCCGTCATGACTTATGCGTCCGCGCGTGCGAGCATACAAGCCAGCGACGCGGAACTCACGCGGGCCCTCCGAGCGCAACGGATTCTCACCATCCGCAACGAGCTGCGCCCGATCGCTCTGTCATACCTGAGCAGCATCCTCGAGACGATGCTCAATCTCATCATCGCGCAGAACATGACCCCCGCCGCGATTCCTGCTGAGGAAGTTTCGGCGACTTTGGCCGACGAAAATGAGATATCGAGGGCGGTGTCTAGTCAGGTTATGGGTTGGTTCGGAGAGGTGCGAGACGACGGGATGTGGACGATGGATGTCGAGGGCGTTGTAAAGGAGATCGGACTGGGGGTTTTGAGGCAGCACAGGGTAGGTTCCTACGCATCTCGGACAGGGCAGGAATTTGATCTGCCTAGGTGGAACCCGTGGTGTCTTCCACGTTGGTCGAAAGGTGGAAGAATGCGGTGGGAGATACCTTCTCCGACACGGTGTCGCTGAAGTTGCTGCTCGTGGGTGTCCCGTCCCGACCCACTGCACCGCAATCTGACGCGCACCATCAGGGCAACTATCTAGCAGTCGCAGGATCTTTCGATGATGGCACCGAGCAGCTCAAGTATTTCCCCTCGTCTGAGCTTCCTGTGGACGGGGCGAGTCGCTTCGTCGATCTGTTCTTGACGCGCCCGCGGTGGAAGGCAGAAGAGATCGGCCCGTTCTTGTCCGACATCGCTGTGAGCAGTAAAGATCGAGACAAGCTATTGCTCAAGCACACACGAGCCACGACAGACAGTACAGGCGTCTGGTACACGAAAAAATAGACTACAGAAAACAGATATTCAGCCCCTGTGCTTCTTGACGGGCGTCCGTCCGGGAATGAAGTCTTCGTCGTCTTCGCTGTTGCCGCCGGCTCCTTTGCGCAGACGTTTCGAGGCTAGAGTGGATCTCAAGCTGCCCCTGGTTGTTTGTGTCGGGTTGTGCCGGAGTTGGTTCACGATGTCCCACAGGGATGCTCCCACGGCGCCGTTCATGCGGATATCCTTGTGCAGAGCACGGATGTCCTTGCGCAGGTTTTTGATGCCGGCGGCCTTTTCGGTCAGCGACCTGTTGCGCAACAGGTACAGTAGGAGCCCGATGAATGCGAATTCGGCTGGGGCGACTCGTTTCGCGATGCCAGGCTGAAAGCATTCATTATGGACCCGCTGCGTCGCGATGGCCGCCAGATCATGAAAAACATTGTCGATGTCCCGTTTGAACGGTTCCTCTGGCTCATCAGTCCGACTTAGCCACTGCAGGAAGAAAATGAGCGGGATCAAGTCAAGCCGCCTGGTCGAACGCACTGCTTCCATTTTCGGCGCAGTAGGGGTCCCATCCTGCTTGTCGCATAACCACACCACGTGCGCGATATTTGAGAACTCGCGTCCTCGCGTGGTCTCCCAGTCGATAGTTTCGCCAAGGCCGTCATCGCACGCTGTGCTTGATATTGGTCTGAAGTATTTGGGAGAGCAGAGTGGATGCCGTACCAACATGTGTCTGCACCAGATGAGTGATCCACCTGGTGAAGAAATTGGAGCAGCAGACAGGGGGGCACTCGGAAAATCACTGACTCGGACCAAGGCGACGAAATCGCGGCCATTTTCTCCGAGCTGGTGGTCGCAGATGAGCGATGCCGTCACTGGAGCGTGCCGAACACGCACGACGTAAGCGACACACCCAGTTGGACTCGCTGGAAGATCTCTCGTTCTTGTCCGGGTGTTAGTTCATTGTATTGCACTGCATGGTGGTCAAGTTCAGATGCAAGCTCGGCCCAAGTTCAGGTAGGTACGTACCGCAAGCGATCTGCTTGTCGAGAAAGGTTTCCTTTTCTTTCTCTGGGATTTGAAGTCGACTGCTTGACGACATTTCAGGTGACACAAAGTAAAAGTTCTTCCTGCCTGGCAGTGAATACGGAATTTGTCCGTCGAGAAAGCTACGGGTAGCAGATCAGAGGTGTGGGACCCGAGCTCAGACTGCTAGCAGACCGTTGGATGCTGGTCAAACGCTGAACTGCCGGTCAGTGAAATCGACACGGTCTCAAGTCAGAAACGTACTTGCTTCCCATCCACGCAAACCCTTGAGAGCTTTCAGAAGCGAGAACAGTGATATGCGCATAGTAGCGCACCGTGTTGGGTAACCCTCCTCATCTAATTTCACAGCGAAAACGACGGGCGGCACATACAGATTCCTGAACAGCGATTCGACTCCAATGGCGCGTCTTGAGTCACGCCGCGTCCATTCCAGCCGGAATATGCAAGTAGCTCACCAAGAAGAGATTGTTTGCTGTTTGACCAGACAACATCTGCAGTCCCGAACATGGTTGATGAGTAGAAGGCTGGCAAGAACTTGTCTGAAGGCCCACCTCGTTGATACGGTGGGCTGAGATCGATGGTGCCCTCGTGGATGAGACCTGACAACGCCTAATTCGAGTATTACAATGGTAATCATCTGCGGGCTCCTCACTATGCAATTCGCGAACAGTCAAGATCTGGAAGGCGCGTCAGACACCTAATTCATGCAGGTGCTCCTCCCGTGCTGACCTTAGTCTCCGGCTCTTCGAACTGGTTTTTGATATAGAAGCCTTTCGACTGCGATTCCGTTTCATATTCTTCGTCATCGTCAGCAAGCTGGTCGTGTTGGTCTTGTGTAGCCGTATCTTGTGTGCTTTTAGGGTCTACCAACAAGAGGCCACGCAGTGGTGTCGCGTGATGCAGCATTCAGCGCGTCTTATGCAGAGATAGATTGATATTCGGGAAGATCGAGGGGCTCAGATGCAGCGAGCGGTGCCAAACGCGAGTAAGTGGTAGGGAGAGTCGAGGGGTAGCTAGCGTCAAAGTCAGCGCATAGAGAGACAGCTGATCCGATCAAGCAAGAAGGGCCCATTGCATTAGATAAATGAGGATTACTGACTACATGGGATACTGTACAAAGCTCCGAAGGGGAAAGCAAATGAGTGAATGGGTGATCATGAATGCGTGCAAGATAATTTACGCGAACAGGTCAGTAGAAGAAACCTAAATGAGGGACGCAGTGCCGTTTTGTTGGCCTGATTGCTGGGTGCCAAACGCACCGAATGTGCTGCCTCCAAATGCACCGGCTCCGGTCGGCAAAGGCGGTATCGACCCGGAACCAGGCGCTGCCATGGACGCCCGGAACGGATTCGCGGCGCCGCCAGTCATTTGCGGACGCAATCCGACACCCAGTCCGCCGTTGCCGCTGAATCCGGTCGGCTGAGTAGCAAAGAAACTGTTTGAGGTTGCATGGGTATGGCTGCTGCAGGAGTGGCGGGCGCAGAGCCTGGTATAGAGGGCAGAGCCTCGAGCAAGCTCGCCCCGAACGATGACGAGGGTTTGAACGCTTTGAGACCGCCAGTAGGTTGTGCGGAAAGAATCGGAGCTGCGATCGCAGGTGGAGCGGAACTCGCGGGATTGAAACTCGAGCCAGAAGAGCTGAAGGTCGATGAAGTGGGACTAAATGAACCAGAGTTACTGCCCAGTGGCTGCGAAAAGGAGGTTGTCGTCGATCCCGTGAAAGAAGGATTGGAAAGAAGAGAAGACGAGGCATCGGAAGTGCCAGGGATGCTGCTGCTCTTATTGAATGCGAATTCGCTGGCAACGCTGGAAATATCTGTGTTCCCAGGACCGAGCGCACTGGAGCTGTAATCGAACGCTTTAGCGGTGCTGCCCAAGAAACCAGTAGGCTGTGGCTTCATCGCTTCCTGCATCTGCACCTGCTGCGCTTGTACTTGGGCCTGCATTTGCGCTTGTGTTTGCTGCTGCTGCTGGCCCATGATCTCAAACATGGTCGGCTGCCGGGTGGGAAGCGCTGGGACCTCTTGTTTCGGAGCAGGCTGTCCGAAAGGATTACGAGTGCCGGTTTGGTGGGTCTTTACAGGCTGCAATGTCGCGTTCGGAGCAGGAGAAAGCGCGCTGAGAGGTGCTGACGCCGGTCGAGCGATGCCCATGCCCAAACCACTGGCTGTTCCACTTGTGACCGGTGAACTGCTTGCGTCGGGAATCACGAACGGCGGAATCACAGGGACAGATACACCAGCTGGGCCTGTGCCCTGGGACATCATCATGCTGGCCCGGAATGGGTTAGCCCCGCCGGTCATCTGTGGCCGCAACCCGACACCCAGTCCGCCGCCACCGCCGAAACTGGGTCCACCCATGGTCGGTCCAGCAGATAGAGACGGAGTACCAGGCAGGGGTGGAATAGCCTGGCTGGCTCGGAATGGATTGGCTGCCCCACCGCCAGTCATTTGCGGTCGAAGGAATGATGGGGCCCCCACTGCTGCTGCTGCTGCTGCTGCTGCTGTAACCCTCCAGCAAAAGCGCCGGTAGCTTGAGGTGCTATTCCCATCGGCGACGGCGCCATTCCCATCGGTGAGGGCGCCATTCCCATCGGCTGGGGTGACATTCCAAATGCTCCAGTCGGTTGTGCCCCAATCGATTCAAAAGCCGACACCGGCCGCGGGGCACCGATGAAAGGGTTAAATCCAGTCGCCTGTGGCTGCAGACCGCCAGGGAAAACACCAGTGGCCTGGGGCAGCTGGAGTTGAGGTCCAGGTCCAAACGGTCCGGCGGTGGGCTGAGGTCCGAGGAACGCTCCGGTTGGTTGGGGAGCAAATGGTCCAGTCGGCAGCGCTTGCATGCGTTGAAAGGGATTGGGTGATGTCGCCATTTGTTGGAAGTACGCCGAGTTTGGGCTGTTCGTGGACGGATTGAACATCGTTGACTGCGTCTCTTCTATCGACGAGAAGAAGTCGACCAGCTCGTTCTTTGGCGTCGTTCCATTTGCGGTGCCGTTCGAAGGAGAAGACGATGACGCCGCCACAGAAGCTGGCAAAGCCGGCACGGGAGGAACCGCGGTGGTTTCCTTGGCTAGTGCACGCAGATCAGAAGATAACGTCGGAGTGCAAATCGATCTGACGCACCATTGCCCCTCCCACCGCGCTTAACCGCTTCCTTGTTCATCTTATACTCGATCCGATTCTGCTCGAACGCAGGGTCGTCCAGATATTCCTGCAAGGCACCTGCTAGCGAGACCGGCGCGTGCTTCAGGTTCGGGATGGGCACATTGAGCAAGTTCTGGAGTTTCCGCGCAACACCCAGATATTCGACCACTTGCTCCGTCTGCTTGCAGAAATGGCGGTAGATGTCCAGCGCGTCTTTCGCATCGACCTGGGACATCTCGAAATAGTTTTCTAGGAGATTAATGACACCTAGCCATGCGTAAGAAGCCGAAGATGTGGACAAATGCTCGTTATCCTACCCTCGTTACCAGCCTGGAAGAGAATCAGCAAGTCCTTCACAAGCATTCGCAACGCAGCGAGCGTGAGAGGATCTTCCAGGTCATCGAGATAGAACCGACAGCACACGAGGGCATCGATCATCCGGTGCACGATTCTCGTCTCCCGTAAAAGACCCTTTTCAACGGTCATCGACCTTAGCTTACGGCCTGCTAGTGTCTTGCTTCGCTGAAGCGTAGTTCTGCGGGACGGAGAGAAGTGAGACGGATTTCGTGTGCCGACGAGCAGGACGCACCCAGCTACCGCGGCATTCGTCCGAGCGTCGCGGTTCGTGTCCGACTGAACCCGGATGGCGTCGTGCTTGAGGTCCCGGTATGAGCGGATTCTCGAATCTAGGTATGCTGAGTAGTGCTGGAGATTTTCCGGCGCTGTATAGCCTATTCGAAGAGTTGACGGAATCAATTTCGGATACTAGGCAACATGCGCACCCTCCCAAGTCCCCGTCGAGACATTACTCAGCCTCAAGACCGTCGAGCCACTGAGATATCCCAGAACATTGTCCGTCGAGCCGCTCCGTATCATAGTGTGGAGCACGATGAGGGCCTTGAATACGATGATGGCGTTGGGTTCTCGTAATCGCGGAGAGAGTGCTTTGCAGACGTCATGGACGGCGCCGCCGTCGTCCCATGTCGCGGCAATAATGGGGTCAAGGTATTTTGCTTTCGGCGGCGCTGCCTTGGGTTTGCAGGCGAGCTTGACGATCTTGTCGTACGAACTCATGGCCGTAGATCGAAAGATGCCGACGGGTGGATATGGTCATTGGCATGCACGTGCTTCCTTCATCACTGTCTTGCTCCGAGCGTGCAACTCACCATGGGCGAAGTCAAGCTATCGTTACCCAAATTCCTACAGGTGTTTACTTCCAATGACGTGCCCATGGCCAAGGCGATGGTCGTCGCCGGGAAACTCTACAAGGATTGCAATACCTCTAACAAGCTTTCCGAGCTGAATGATGGCAAATTGATCGCCTACGGGATCGACGATAAAGAAATGCGTAATATGGTCTTGTCTGCTCTAAAGAAGAGTGGCTACAGCAGCCGAAAGCGAAAGGCTGTGACGGATACTATTTCAAATCCTGAAGCTGGCCCTTCATCTCTGGTAGAAGGAACACTTTCTCTGCCGACCTCCTATCTCTCATGCTAGTACACTTAGAACGCGAGGAAGCGCAAGAGATCCGAAGTCACAAACGAGTTCTTGCCGTCAGTGGATACTCCTGCTGTTCAAGAATACGAATTCAATGAAGTCTTGGATGAACAGGTGCGCATAGTAATCTTCCTCCCTTCCTTGACTCATTATTGCACATAAGGCCCTCCAGTCAAGGAGCACTGTGGTCAATCGGGCTCCATTGATGACTGCTTGGTCCTTCCTGGTGGCCCAACGTTTGGGATTTGGTCTAGAAGAGGCACTTAGTATCGGTACGTCGCGCTTGACCCAAGTTCCACAACTGACTCGGATTGAATCTAGCATCTGTCTACACCGAACTCAATGCAATATCCAAAGGAGTAAGCATAGGTGTCTTCAAGAAAAGCGACCGAAGAGCGACCGAGGCCTCCTTGGGAGGCACTCAGCCGTTTGTTGAGCTGATGGGCAGAAGGTGCGCCGCAGTCTGTCTCTCTATGATCTCAAAATGGCTTATTCCGTAGAGTGTATGTCCCCAGTGTCTCCTCCATGAATTCCACTGAATGCGTTATAGACCGCTCTATCGCTCTCAGAACTCACAGTGGAGAGCGTTATCCAACGACGAACCGGTAGATCCCGGCGTCGCGTTTGGATACATCTCTCGGGCGCTACGGCAAAATACCCCGTACATTCTCGGCGCGCTTCGCCTGCTCGTGGAGAGCTATTCAGTGCAGGAGATCAACAAGATAGCGTGGAGTCTTTATGCTGACTTTCGGCCGGATGTGACAGGCTGGGGCGACCGAGGGCAAGTGCGATGCGAAACGATTCTCGCACTGCGCAAGCATCCGGCATCTCCAGTCTCAGTGGAAGATTTGTCGGCAGATGAAGAACCGGTGCAAAAAAGGCCGCGCGGGCTGACACTGGAAGAGTACGAAGCTGCATTAGACCAAGATCCGTCCCTCTACGATGATATTGTCGACTGATTAACGGACAGAAGATAGATGTAGTAGTATCATGTACGCGTCTATGTATCTTCTAAACCAGAATCACAACTTTTTAATGATCGCCGCCGTGAAGTCAGAGGTCGTCGCCTGTCCACCCATGTCTGGTGTGCGGACATCACCGCTGTTGATCACTTCGAGCGTCGCGGTCGCAATCTTGTTGGCGACCGGGTCGAGACTGGCAAGTTGATGAACTTGGTTCCAGAGATATAAACAAAGCCTACCCAAGATGTCTCAGCATCATCGTGGCACTGAGAATCATCGCCACCGGGTTGGCACGACCGGTACCCATGATATCGCTGGCTACATGACGGCATCCGGGCTCGAACAAAGCGTACTCCTGGAAACGGTTTCAGAACGTCGACTCTCACAGGAGAGCGTGGACACTCACAGTCCCGATGTTGCAGCCAGGGACGATACCAGGACCACCGACCAGAGCCGCACCAATGTTGGACACGATGGCGCCGTAAAGGTTAGGCATCACCATCACATCGAACTGCCCCGGCTTCGCGACAAGTTGCATGGAGCTGGTAGAGTTCAGAAACAGGGCCGCAAGGGTCGGCAGTAGTCACAAACGTGTTATCAACGATCATATCGTTGAATTCAATTCCCGAGGACTTGTATTCTTCGCCCACCCGACGGAATGTGTTCAGGAACAAGCCATCACCCAGCTTCATGATGTTGGCCTTGTGAACACAAGTCACTTTCTGATGGCAATGAGCAACCCTCTGACGTCGCAGGAGGAAGACCTGTCTGTACCTTGCGGTTGTTCTTGAGGGCAAAATCGAAGGCGAATCGGGCAATGCGCTCAGCTTTGGCGCGGGTAGACACCTTCAAACTCTCGACGACACCGGGGAAGCTCTGGTGCTCAAGTCCAGAGTACTCTCCCTCCGTATTTTCACGAATGATGGCGAAGTCAACATTCGAGTGACGGGTAGGGATACCAGGGAGGGACTTGCACAGCACGACAGATGCGTAGATGTCGAGCTGCTGACGCATCGCGACGTTCCACGAAATGTGTCCAGATTGCGAAATAGGCGTGAAAAGAATGCCTGCTCTTCGTGTAAGCGGGGAGGGAAGGGGAGGGGTTCGATATCCAGGTGACGTACCCTTCAGACCAACTCGGTTCCGCTTCAAACTATCCATAGCCTGCTTGAATAGCTCCTCTCCCGACGAAGACATTCCGGAAACATCATACTGCTCCCATTCAATGGGCGCGTTGACGTGCTTGAAAATCTCTTTCACGGAGTCGGTAATCTCGGCACCAATACCGTCACCTGGAATGAGGGTGACCTAACATCTGCTCAGAGCGACACGCGGAGACAACAGAAGCAAGACGCACGGTGTAGATTCCGCCATATTTCGTCGTTGGCTTCAAGAAGTGATGAGCTGCGAAGAAGAGAATACACATCAAAACTGACCCTCTGGGCGACCTTGGCGAATTCGGCCGCGAGAGTAGTGGCGGGCCGCTAGGTTGCGAGTGATAAGCACAGACAGGCGATACTAGCAAGCTTTTCGCACCGCAAGAGAGGGGCGGGCAGCGACGGCGAGGGCAGAGCGTAACATGTTGGTCGTGGAAAGAACCGGATCCCTGATAAAACGATGATCCGGGTAAAAGGGCAGACGCGCTGATCTCCGGGCCGTGGTCATGCAACTGATTGACATCGGACGGTAGTAAACAGCTCAAATTTGGAGACGAACTGCACACCTCTTGGGGAGAAGTGTGGTCCTCGACGCCATGGGTGTCGACGTTTCGGAGGTCTTAGATGCTTCGCGCCCAAGACAGCTGTCTTACTACCTTGTCACTCTCCTCATTGCCCCCTTTCGTCTCGTCCCTCCGCTGTCTTGGGCCTACGTCGCATATAGAATCCACACCGGAAGCGTTCAATCTCTAGAGTGGAAGGGCAGGCTCTTGTTTGCAGTGTGCGTCTCTGAGGTTAGTGTTCTGTCCTTCCCTCTTCGGGCTTTCGCCAACCCCCTGCAGGTCCTATTCAGTATATATCACTACTACTTATACTGCTTCATCTCGGCCCCGTGGAAGCACGGGTCAGGCAACATCTCGCAGCTCCAGATTGCCTTCGAACGTGTCTTGAAAGCGGGTCTTGCTAGTGTCGACGGTGGATCAATCCGACGCCCAGGCAGCCCCGCTGAACCCATAACCCAGCTGGAATCCGACGACCCACGTGCGATCGATTTCCGCGACTCTCTTCGTACTGTACGCGATTTATCCAGCTCTTGTCCTCTTTTTCTCATTTGCGCAGTGGTTTGGGCGCGTGCCTTGGTCGCATGTTCGGAAACTGCAGGTGCAGCAATGGGTCTACTGGTCCATCTTCAATAAAGATCTACCGCCAGAACGCGAGATGCCGGCCGCCCACCGCGCCGTATTAGACGACACTCTCCAGTTGCTAGAAATGCGACTTGGCATGAAAATTCCGGATGGATCAAACCCTGCTGCTTCGCCTATGCGTCTGACGATTGATCGAGTGGAAGTATGCGGACGGCCCTTCTTCTTCTACGTTATTGTCGGATTGATCAACCGCTATCTTTCCTTTTGGTATGGGCGTTACTGGAAGCTGCGTCGTGGCAACTATAATGGATTAGAGTGAGGCTCGCTGATCCTCCTCTTCGTCATGCTCATTCTCCTTTAGATATCTTCTCTATGTCCCTGAGGGCTGGACGGTCGATGCAGGACCATCTCCCATCGTCTTTCTCCACGGCCTGGGTCTAGGTCTCTTGCAGTACTATCCAATGACCAAAAAGTTGTACCGCGGATTCTCCGATCGGCCACTCTTGATACCCATCCAGCCTCACATCTCCCAAGATATCTTCCATCCCCAGTATCTAAATCCTCTATGTCGCCAAGACTTTGCCGATCTTTTAGCTGGTCTTGTCGACGCGCTCGGGTGGGTTGACAGAGACCCAGACGACTTGTGCAAAGAAGCCTCTCCGACAACTGGCGTGACCATGCTTAGCCATTCCAAGTACGTTTTTGACGACCTCCATGTTTGCAAACTCTGATGTCGGAACAGTGGGTCATATCCCCATGCTTGGTGCTTGAAGCAGCACCCCGAGATAGTCTCCCGTTCTTGCTTTGTTGATCCTGTCGTCTTTGGTTCTTGGGAAGGCGATGTCTGCTACCGCTTTCTCTACCGATCTGCGACGACGGTTAGCGTATTTCCTGTGCCTTATATGCGATCTGACGCCTCGCACCAGGGCTTCGAACTTTTCATCCGATACTTCGTTGGAACCGAACTGGGTGTATCGAATCTCCTGCGGAGGAACTTCGATTGGTCTTCCAACTCGTTGTGGGCAGAGGAAATACAGGTATCGATGAACCCTCTTCAACCCTCTTCTTACTGGGAGGAAAGGATGCCATCCTCAATGCCAAGGTCTGATCTCGGTGTAATTATTCGATGTGTCTGCTCTGACCAGATTTTGCAGCGAGTCGAAAAGTACTTGACTTCGCATGGGGTCAAGGAAGGCCTGTGGCATGACCCGGAGGGGCAACATGGCCAGGCGCTTCTCACCGGAAGTCCTGGACTGAAACGGATCATGCAGTGGCTTCAAGACGAACCAGTCCGCTCGCGTCGTGGGGACTCATCTCTGACATTTATACCATAGATTGTAACATCTAATCGTTGGTTTTCTCATCGCCAGCGTGATTGGTCCAGAGTCAGTCGGGGAAACAACTTCAGTGCATTGACGCCCATGATCTTGTCCAACCGCATCTCGTCATCAGCATGAATCGCTGGAGATTATCGGTGTACCAGCTGATTGTGTCAGCACTAACAGCTGAAAGAAGTTCAGGGCAAATTCTGTGACCACCCTAGCACTCACCTGGAAAATCTGTGCCAAATACAATACGGTCTTGGCTAGTGAAAGAGGACATGAATTCCAGAGTGCTTTCATGCGAGCTCAGAGCCGTGTCAAAGTAGAAACTCTGGAAATCTTCCATGATATCCTCCGGACTGTCGACTTCGATCAGATCATTGTCACGATTGATGCGAAACGCGATCACCTGAGAGCACAACCCATATATCCCGACATGGCAGCCACGCGAGGTGCAAGCCATGGCGCACTTCCGCCCATATGTGCGAGGATGACAGACATATCCCGAAACTTACGTCGCCTACCGGTGACGACGAGATGTGCTGCCGCTTTGAAAGTTTCGCCGGGAACCTGCTGAATCAGAAAATACAGTGTCGGGTACCAAGTCCTACTCGTACCTCAGTGATGGGGATACCCAAAGAGATATCTGGAGAGGGTGTGGACGATGGTGTCTGCGCACCATGAAGAAAGACAACAGCCGAACGACGGTTCAATTCATGGAGAATGGGCTCGAAAAGTTCGTGGCCGATGTATTCTTGAGCAGGGTAGATTCGGTCCAAGAAACGAGGACAGTAACTCACTGGCATCATCCCCGATGCCGCATGCAGAGGGCAGCGCCACACCATCAGCTTTCAGCTCATCCATCGCATACGCAATCTCATCGAGGGTGCCTATATGCGCTCGGATGGAATGCAAGCCCGTTACGCAGAACGCACACACCCTGGATATCATATAGATACGGCAGCGTCGCGAAAAACCCAAATCTTCCTGGATGATGGAGCCGTATGTCTGCCATAGCACGGTTCCTCTGACGCGCCTCGTCGCGATTCGCCTGCCCGATGGTACCAGATGAGATGGCAGGAAACGATAGAATCGCACAGTCGATGGAACGTGCGTTCATGTACCGCAGACTGACGTCCGGCGACCATGGGAGATTCTCAGATGGTGTCCTCCATCCGACTTTTTGGCCAGCAGCGACACCCTTATCTAGGTCTGAGGGGAAGAAATGGTGGTGAATGTCGATACGAGGAGAGCGGTTCATGGTCAAGAAGATCTGGATAACGAGGGGAATGGTTCAGAGAAGGAGTTTGGCAACGACATTTGACTTGTGATGGGACAGACAAGGTAATGGCATTTCCATAGTATCGAGCCTTTACTTGGTTCTATAATCGGCGCATTCTGCTGAGTCCCAGCTTACAAACTGACCGCTCAAAGATTTGGCAGCGGTGAGAGCGAGAGACGCGATCACATGTCCCGGCACCTCAGGGCTGAGCAATTTCCCTTCTGCGTGGGCAGAGACGAACATTTGGTGATCTTTGGGATTCATCGCCGAGCCTCCCACCTCTCTGAGAGTTGCTTGCATCTATGGTTTTTGGTTCAGCATCCCGAACGATTCTGAAGCAAAACTACAGACGCCGGTAGCAACCATGCCTGGACGCAGAGCCACAGACACGATATCGGGCTCTTCCTCCGCAAGTGTTCGGGCCAAAGAGTTCATAGCGGCCTTACTAGCGTTGTAAGGCCCCCAGCCCGCCGTGCCTTTGACGGCAGCACCGGAGGATACGAACACTACCCGCCCACCATGCGTGCTAGCCCTGAGATGTGGGACCGCAAACTTGAGAGCTGTGACCAAGGAGAAGAAGTTGACGTCGAAGTGCATCTTCCACTGGTCCAACGATGTCTTATCGTCAGCGATCCGGCTGAGGGGATCCACAATCCCGGCGTTGAGAATCAGCGAGTCTAGACTCCCAAAGGTCTGAGCCGCCTGTGCTACAGCATTCTTTACAATTTCTTCGTTCGTACTGCCCAGAAGATGAGGTCTCCGTAGACCAATCTCTACAGATGGACGAACACATCACCCTCGAGGATCAAAAGTGAATCGCATGCGAGTGCCGAAAGCTCGGGGGTACGAGTTCGTGAGAGGGCAACCACATTGACATTGAACTTTCGCAGAAGGAGAGTGGTGACCTCCAGGCCAATCCCTCGACTGGCGCCAGAGACGAGGATAGTGCGGAGGGACATCGGCAAAATGATACCTGTCAGTGTTTGGTAACTCCCGAGGACCCCAAAGTTTTCGGATAGAATCGGGGTTTTGCTTTCTTTCCGTCTGCTTCCAAAACCATGGCCGCCCGCCTTCCCCGACTGGCCGCAAATGCCATCCGCGCCCGCCCTTCGGCACTGGCTGCCTCGCTTCGAGCTCGTCGCTTTGCTTCTTCGCAGGCTGAGCATACTGTACGAATTTTTTACAGCCTCCACCTCTTGACTGACCTCGAGCGCAGATGACAGTGCGTGATGCGCTAAATGCGGCCATGGAGGAGGAGATGCTTCGGGACGAGAAAGTCTTCATTCTGGGTGAAGAGGTCGCTCGGTATAATGGTGCATACAAAGTGCGTCAAATGGCCAGCTTTTACTTCTCGGTGTAAACATGGCCTCCAGGTGACCAAGGGCCTCCTTGACAAGTTTGGGGAGAAACGTGTCATCGATACCCCCATCACTGAAATGGGTTTCGCTGGTATTGCAGTCGGTGCTGCGTTGTCTGGTCTCCGCCCAATGTATGACATTTTTTGCCGTGTGATTCGCGCCTTCTCATTGTCCCGCAGATGTGAATTCATGACTTTCAACTTCGCCATGCAAGCCATTGACCAGATTGTCAACTCGGCTGGCAAGACGTACTACATGTCTGGAGGAAATGTGCCTTGTCCCGTCGTGTTCCGTGGTCCGAACGGTGCCGCTGCTGGTGTCGGTGCCCAGCACTCGCAGGATTACGCCGCCTGGTACGGTTCTGTACCTGGTCTCAAGGTCGTCAGTCCCTGGAGTGCGGAGGACTGCAAGGGTCTGCTCAAGGTGTGCTCGATTCCTGTAGAGCAGGGCTCAAGTGTCTGACTATCATGTAGGCGGCCATCCGTGACCAAAATCCTGTCGTCTTCCTCGAGAACGAGATGATGTACGGTGTCTCCTTCCCCATGTCGGCGGAGGCCATGTCGGACGAGTTCTTGCTTCCCATCGGAAAATGCAAGGTTGAGCGTGAAGGTTCAGACGTAACTATCGTCGCACACAGCAAGATGGTCACCCATAGCATGGAGGCTGCCGACATCTTGGCCAAGGAGGGCATCAAGGCTGAAGTTATCAATTTGCGCAGCATTCGTCCTCTGGACATCGACACTATCATCAAGTCGGTCAAGAAGACGAACAGGTATGTTGTCCCTGCGGTGCGACGGCTGAGTCCAATTGCTCATCGAATTCAGGCTCGTCATCGTTGAGGGTGGATTCCCGGCCTTCGGTGTAGGCAGTGAAATCTGTGCCCAAATCGTCGAGAGCGAGGCTTTTGACTACCTAGATGCTCCCGTCGAGCGAGTCACCGGCGCTGACGTCCCTACTCCCGTAAGCCGTTTTTATCCGCGGCCTCTGGACCCGTTCGCTGACTGGATGATAGTACGCCACCAACCTTGAAACCCTCGCTTTCCCCGACACTCCTCTCGTCGTCCGGGTCGCAAAACGGGCGCTGTACCGCACCAACTGATTATACTCTTTAATACACAATAGACTATTCTGCGGCGCTAGATTGCTAGTCTGATCCGCACAGCGTTTGCATGAGCTTGCAAGCCCTCGCAGTCTGCCAAGGTCGCTACCACTGGCCCGAGAATCTTGAGACCGGCTTCCGTGACTTCTTGGGATGTGATGTGTTTTTGGAACGAGAGCGTGTTGACCCCGCTAAATTGACGTGCATACCCGTTTGTTGGAAGGGTGTGGTTTGTTCCGGAAGCATAATCGCCGCAGCTGCGGAACTGCGTCAGAGAGAGAAGAAAGACAAGCTGAGTGCAGCAGCACCTTTCCGGCGAGAAGGGACCAACAAACACACTCCCTGCGTTCTCCACCAATCGGACCTGGTCGCTGGCCTTTTCCAAGTGCATGATGAGATGTTCAGGAGCATAATCGTTTGAGAATCCGAGCGCCTCCTCCACAGATTTGACTTTGACGATATTGCTCTTGCCGATCGATTTTCGAACGATATCGACACGAGACAACGCGTGAGCTTGGACATCGAGTTCGTGCTCAATAGCCGCCAATTTGTCCGAGTCCAAGTCTACTGCGACCAGGACAACTTGGGAGTCTACGCCGTGCTCGGCCTGGGACAAGAGATCCGCCGCAACGAACGCCGGCTCGGCAGTGTGATCAGCAATCACCTGTAAGACGTTGATTCTGAGAAGAAAAACAGACTATACGAGTGACCAACCAGAACTTCCGAGGGGCCAGCGGGCATGTCAATGGAGACAAGGGCATCTGTGTCGTTTTGGACAAGCATTTTGGCCGCAGTGACCCACTGGTTGCCAGGCCCGAAGATCTTGTCGACTTTGGGGACGGAGGCGGTGCCATATGCAAGCGCGGCAACAGCCTGAGCCCCACCAGCCTTCAAAATGGCCGATGCACCCACGAGGTTGGCCACATACATGACTTCGGGAGAGATCGATCCATCCGGTCGAGGAGGAGTGGCGATCACAATCTCCCGGCAACCTGCGACTTGCGCCGGGATGCCCAACATGAGTGCTGTCGAGGGCAGGATGGCTGTCCCGCCAGGGACGTACAACCCGACACGCGCAATCGGCCGCGCGAATCTCGAGCATACAACGCCCGGCATGGTTTCGACCCGCAGCGTCGCATCGTCGGCCTGCGCTTCGTGGAACTTTTTGATATTCGCATACGCGGTTTCGATGGCCTGCGCCACGGTTGATTCGATTTCCATCCTCTCAGGGGCAAAAGGCGGGCGGATGATCGTCGACGTCATCTCTGCCTTGTCGAATTTGGCGGTGAGTTCCAGCAGTGCAGCATCCCCACGCAGTCGCACATCGTCCACGATGGGACGAACACGGTTGATCATTTCATCTGATTTGAGAACCGGGCGACGCAAAAGCCCAGCCCTTTGTTCAGGCGAGATCTGCTGAAGATCGAAGGTGTGCATTCGTATGGGACCGTCCTCGGGCACGACTTGCGTGGGTTCCGCACTAGACAGAGCAGCAGCAGCAGCAGGCTTGGTCCATGGCGGCTTTGCGTTCCCGGCCCGTCGAGTAACACGCAAAGATTTGCGATCCAAAGAAGCCTCGATATCCGATATCCCGACTCCAGCCCCAATGCATTTCGTCAGGGCAAAGTAAAACAAATCAGCCGCCTCGAAAGCAATCTCTCCTTTGTCTTCCGCCCTGCACAGCTCATCGGCTTCCTCCATGATCTTCGAACGTAGTAGTTCAGGGTCATTGAAGAGCCGTTTTGTATACGAGCCTTCGGGAGCGGTAGCCAGTCGAGACCGTAGTGTTTGCTCGAGAGCAGACAGGCCTTTGGCTTCTCCAAAACAGGATTGCCGGTTCAAATGGCAGAATCCGGCTCCGTGCTGCACTACCCGGAACTCCAAGCTGTCAGAGTCGCAGTCGAGACGGATGCTGACCACGTCCTGCACAGCTCCCGAAGTCTCGCCTTTCCTCCATAAGCCGTGCTTGCGGGACTGATAGACGCCCTTCCCAGTAAGGATGCTTTCTTTGACAGATTCGGAAGAAGAATAGACTAGACCCAGAGAATGTCCCGTTTCTGTGCAGACAACGGTGGGAAACAAACCATCTGGTCTATCCGACACGATAGGCGCAAGGAAGACATCCGCGACATTGAGTTGTGACGAAGTCGTCTCCGAAACTGTCAGCTGGGAACTCGGCAGAACCGGAGTCGCCCCAATGCTGAGTAATCCGCGAATGAGTGATGGAGCTGGGGGAAGGGAGGAACTGGACAAGACATAGATCGCCGATCCTGTGAAAAACGTGGATACCGACGAGATGAGGTCCAGATCGATCGAAGGGGTTTTCAGCAGAACACCAGAGACGGCGTTGCGAACTTTGTCCGACACTGCGCTGACATTGCCGACATCCAACAGCAGCAATAGTCGATCCGCCGAGATGAGTTCGATGAGCTCCTTCGCCCACGATAGTGGAACAATCAGCTTCTCGATTCCATTGTCCAACCACGAGATTGGGTCTTCCAAGACAAATGGCTGGGATGCTTCGACGAGAACGTAGGTGGGAGATGACGGCGAAGCAGATGGAGAAAGTGTGGAAGGGAGCACGACGGGCCCAATTCGACGGAGGGAGTCGAACAGTTCGCTCTCGGGCTCCTCGACGAGAGGTAAGAAGACAGGCATGTTGGCTCAGGTTAAATCCAAAATCTTTAGCCAAATCGAGTCAGACCCAATTGAGAGGCCGATAAGATTAAAGATAACAATCCAACCCGTGCCGATCAGTGGGAAGGATCACGTGGGAATGTTCGGCCACTCGCGAAACATCATTGACGTTCTGGGACGTGCAGCCTGGTTTTCATTACGGCCACCACTGCTTACACGCACCCAGCGAGCCTCCCTGTTTATTTTGCACATATCACCCGCAGCACTCACGAATCCATCGGAATAACCCGCCATGACCGTCCGCTTTACGACTTACAGGATGGGGTTCTATGTAGCTGTGTTCCTGCTCGCAGGAACTGTGCTCGGCCTTGACGCGCATTTTGCTGGTATTTTCCTACCTCATCTCCATCGTATGTCACAATTTATCCTTTCACTGGGTATTGGACTTATCGAATCACAGCTGACTTTACGATCTTTGCACTGCTGATCCCGTCTATGACGATCTTCGCGTTCTTGTTACTGTGCGGAAGGTGTTCTATCTCGAATCTACGGAAGTTAATTATTCCTAGCCTCAACTTCTCTCAACCACGGATCGAAGTCCCCGTGATATTCGTACTCTGGGCCCTATGGCTAGGTTTGTGGAGCTGTGCTCGAGTTGGTACTATATGCTCACCCTTGACCAGCAATGGGAGCTTGGTCGACGTAAGTGCGCTTGCGCGTCTAATATGACTTCAAGACCAATGATCGTCTCCAGTGACATAATCGGGCCCCTGCAATGTGATGCACTGACGACGGAGACAATGCCCACGCGAAGCGGACAAAGTGAGCTTTTCGCTGACCGGCTCTTACTCTATCCTGAATAGCCTCAGTCCGTCAGCGCGAATATTGCTATGAAATGAAGGTCATACAGGCCTTCTCGTGGATGATCTTCGTCATGTTTTCTTTTGCCTTCGGCATACTTTTGTCTCTCGTGCAGCAAGCGGAGAGATTTGGAAGAGTGAACATCTGGGAAGAGCCGATACAAGGTTGGTACTACATGATCCTTTGCTCCTGACACAGATGTGAATCGATTGCAGAACTGGGATGGTTCCATGAAATGCCCGGATACTACAATTCTCACCAGCAGCCCATGATGCCAGCATATTCGTATCCCCAGGGCTACGGGTACCAGATGCCCCAGGTGTACGTCCAAAATCCTCAGCAGGGCGCGGCTTGGGCAATCCAAACAGGTCCGAATGGCCCGACAGGTAGCTTCAACCTTCTCCTCGCGAACTCCACTTACGAGCTCCGCAGTTACACAAGTACCTCCGGTCAACGTATAGCCTTCATATAACAAAGACATCTTGGCACCTACGTTTGCACTGATTCCAGAATTCATGTACTGTACATCCCCAATTGTAACTGAAAGTATCATAGAGTACGTAGTCTCTGATAAGCGTGTTGGACGCGCGGCTGCCTCGTGGAAGGCGCTTTATAATTTCGCCCGTCGTGTTTGTTCAGTGGCTATTGCTGCCTGTCGAAGTACCTCACAAATCAATGCCGCTTTTTCGAGACCATCCAGTTCGCACGTTGATAGCAGGTCCGTTTGCTCCTCACTGGTGCCAATGTCACTAAACGCGGCTTATGGAAGTGGTCATTGCCTTCATGGCCGCTCACGCCGTCTTCTTGGTCGCGTCGTTCTTTAGTGCGCCTTCCTACTGGCATGCATATCGATCGCAGACTGACAAAGCCCTCTCAGAGGCACTGCATGTAACCCAGACTTCTCTTGCTTTGCTGGCCGTTGTTGGCCTCATGCTCTTGTGCGTCCTCTTTCACAAGGAGTATCACGGAGCAGCTGATCTGGTACTAGAATCGCGCTGCACCATCGGAGAGACGGACAGATCCTGTCGCAAACGCAAGAAGAGGCTTTTCTCATCGTATGCTTCGGGGTGCTATGGATAGGTAAGTTGAAGGGCCGGAAAGTCATATGAGTCCTGAAGGTTGCAAGTTGCTATGCTTGGATGGTATGCAGTGAGGGAAAGCAAGGCAGAATCGGTCATTCCAGTCTCGGCGGCGAGCCCGAACGGGGGAAACGTTAAGGCTGCAAGGAAGCGGGTGTCTGGCTGGAGATCGATGAATCCATGCTCCCGGGATGACGTGTATTGTGTTATAGAGGATTACTACTTTTGAATGATCATGGCGGCGATTGAGAAGCGAGAGGTGCGAGTCCAGAAACGATCACACTTTCGGTATTTGCCGAGTGCTAATTATGGGGAGCACACTGGCTGCTCTTGCTTCTTGCCACCTCTTTCACGCTTGCCTGCAACGTCAATCTCCGTGATGATAAGTCCTGAAAGTCTCGGAAAATGTCGTTAGCTTATACACCTTCACGCCTCGCCCAGCAAACGCCGTATCGAGACAGATGTGATGAAGATGTGCGACCCTGTACCGATGCACGCTCTCGACACACTGACGGCGCAACAGGCTCATGTCCGACTACGAAGTCTCCCTTGTCAACGACAGCATGCAGGAGTTTTACGTTCGATTCCACGGGCCGAGCGAGAGTAAGTTCCGCCCCTTGTCGCCAGGCCAGACGTTTCACGGGTCTATCATAGCACCATTCGCTGGAGGCGTTTGGAAGATTCACGTCGAGCTACCGGACCAATACCCCTTCAAATCTCCTAGCATCGGCTTCATGAACAAGATATTTCACCCAAATATTGATGAACTGTGTGTAATCCGTGCGTATGCCACCTGCGGGCCGACTACTAATACATGTAACTCAGAAGCGGCTCGGTGTGCTTGGATGTTATCAACCAGACATGGTCTCCGATGTTTGGTGCGTCTCTAGCTTTCGCGCAATACTTGGTGATAATGAGGCAACAGACATGATCAACATCTTCGAAGTCTTTCTGCCGCAACTGTTGCGGTACCCAAATCCCAACGACCCCTTGAATGGTGAAGCAGCGGCTTTGCTCATGCGCCATCCCAAAGATTATGACGCCAAAGTCAAAGGCGAGTGGGAGGGATATCGTGCTGAATCGAATGCCCAAGAGCTGACTGACGTGGACAGACTACGTCCAGCGGTTTGCCACCAAGGAAGCTGCTGATGGAATAGCAGGCGGCGATGAAGATGACGCCGATGAGGAAATGAGCGATGTTGGAAGCATGAGCGACGGCGAGTGAGAGCTCGTGCGCACGTCTTTCATTCTCACCCTGTGTTCTCATCTCACGTCCCATCTCTGTATTTCTTGTATTTCCGTCGGATCATTACAATGTCAGTCGTGTTTCAGGCCTGTATTATCCTGGGGTGTCCACGTCCATGTTCGGTATTGTCGCTACAAATTCGTTGACCTTCTTCTGCACTTCGCCCGCAACCTGGACATTTGTGAACAAGAAGAATAAACAAGATGAAAGAGTGCCATACTTTACTAAGGGTCTCTATCTGAGTTTTGACATTGTCGGATGTCACGGCTTTGACCTTACTCTCCTTATACAGCTCTTCCCTTTGTTGCAGCAGGTCTTTTTGCATTTGCTCCAGGCTGCGGGGTTTTAGGAACGAAGTCCGTGCTGCCAGGGCGATAGCGCGTACCGCTGACGTTCCACAAACTCGAAGCTCAATCTATTGAGCAAGAGCTGATGTTCGTCCGAAAGGACCTGATCTGTTCGGGCCTCCAATGGCGCTAATACTTTGAAATCTTCCAGATCATGCAGCGGAATGTCCTGATACACCGTCCTACACAAGTTTAACACGCTGAAACACGCAGAGACCTTTACCACGAAGTAGACTTACGCGAATTGGCGACACTTCTCTATCTCGCGTTCGAGGTGACGCTTTTCATACATGAGATTCTGGAGGCCCAGGTGCGCTTGGTCCATGTCTTGACGCGCAGACGCGGTCAGGTCCTTCGCAGTTCGCGTAGCGGTATTGGCTGCGCGAACAAGGGCTTTGAGCCGTCCTGTGAGAGCCGAAGCGCGCGTGTTCACGACAAGCGCATCTTTGGACGTGTTCTCTGCGTCCACGAGGGTCTTGAGTCCGTCGATGACCGCGAGGTAAGGCTCATCGGAGGCCATGCGTGTGACAAGCAGCCACTGACAATAACGGATTGGTCACGGACGGACAAATTCGGTGTTAGTGGCAGTGTTGAAGTGTTCACACGGTCAAGTTAGATGACGCAACCCCGGGCCGGGCTACTTATTCAATCTCCGTATCACTCAGCGTTATAAGTTTCTCTCATCCTCTCTGTTTCACACATCTTCCAGCCTTGAATCATGTCCATCCCAGGCGCCATTCCGTCCATGGAGACCTCTCATGAGGAGCTCAAGGACAACACGATCATCGTTGGTGCGGCTTTTTGTATGGTAGACAAGCTCATCCTCTTATCCCGCTCGCAGTGCTCGGCGCATCGGGGGATCTCGCCAAAAAGAAGGTCAGCGGCTTTCTGTTATCCTTCGTTCTGCGTATCGAAATACCCCCCAGACTTTCCCTGCGCTGTTCGGGCTGTATCGGGTTGGCTTCCTGCCGCGCGATGTCAAGATTGTGGGCTACGCGCGAACAAAGATGGATGACGCCGAATACCACAAGCGCCTGTCATCCTACTTCAAGAACCCTAACGACGACCCCGAGATCACCAAGGCGGCGCAGGAGTTCAAGGATCTGTGCACCTACGTTTCCGGCAGCTATGACGACGGGGAGGCGTTTGACGCCCTCAACGCCCATCTCGAGGAGATCGAGTCCCGTTACCAATCCAAGCCAGCTCATCGTTTATTCTACTTCGCTCTCCCTCCCAGCGTCTTCGTTCCAGTGGCCAAGAATCTGAAAGAGCACTGTTATGCCTCCGGTATCAACCGCGTCATCGTGGAGAAACCCTTCGGCAAGGATTTGGATTCCGCCCGTGAACTTCTCGGATCTCTCAAAAAATACTGGACGGAGGACGAGACTTTCCGTATCGACCACTATCTCGGCAAGGAGATGGTAAAGAACTTGCTTGTCCTTCGTTTCGCAAACGTTGCACTGGGTGCGGCCTGGGACAAGAACTCGATCTCCAACGTACAGATTACTTTCAAGGAGCCATTCGGTACGGAGGGTCGCGGTGGATACTTCGACGAATTTGGCATGATTCGTGATGTTTTGCAGAACCGTGCGTGCCCGATGCTTATCGTCAAATATTTTACTCACCGATTACGATTTACAGATCTTTTGCAAGTGCTGAGTGTGTTGACGATGGAACGGCCGGTTTCATTTTCCGCGGAAGATATCCGCGACGAGAAGGTGCTTATTCAGCTTTCTGGCATTGACAACAACCGGTTAAACTGTTGCCGCAGGTCAAAGTCTTGCGATCGATCCCACCCATCGCCCGGGAAGACACGCTTCTCGGGCAATATGTCGCGGCAAACGGCAAGCCCGGATACCTGGATGATGAGACTGTCCCTCCCAACTCCGTTTGCCCGACGTTCGCAGCGACGACCCTTTGGATTCATAACCCCCGTTGGGAAGGCGTCCCGTTCATTTTGAAGGCAGGAAAAGGTGGCTGATCGTTTCGACATGCGCGTGATTGTGATCTAATCTGTTCTCAGCGTTGAACGAGGCCAAAGTCGAGGTCCGCATCCAATTCAAGGACGTGACCCAGGGCATCTTCAAGGACATCGCCCGCAACGAGCTGGTCATCCGCATCCAGCCCTCTGAAGCAGTCTACATCAAGATCAACGCAAAGACGCCCGGCCTGTACACTCGGGCCATCCCGACTGAGATGGATCTGACGTACAAGCGCCGTTTTACGGAGACCAAGATCCCTGAGGCTTATGAAGCATTGATTCTCGATGCGCTCAAGGGCGACCACTCGAACTTCGTCCGGAACGATGAGCTCGACGTTGCATGGAAGGCACGTGCTTGACTTTGATTGCCCCACCATCCGCTGACTTGCGGTCTAGATTTTCACACCTATCCTCCACTGGATCGACGGAAAGGATGGCGCTCGTCCCCGCCCTTCGCCGTATCCTTACGGGTCGCGTGGGCCGAAGGAGCTGGACGGCTTCATTGAGAAGTTCGGATTCAAGAGATCGGTTGCGAGCTAGTACGTCGATGTCTCATCGTCTGAACTGGATTGATAGCTGATGTCGGCGTTTTAGCGTGTGGCCCGTGACCAGTTTGGCAAACCTTTGAGCGCAGATGGAGATGGAGATGTACAAGCACTGAATGTAAAATGACAATGGCAACGCATACACTACAGATCAGCCCGTCTGAACACGTTTTTACTGCCACTGCGCACGCCAGTCCGTCGTTTCGTCCTGCCTTTTCGGTCTTGCTCGGAAATATCGCCCTCGTCTCCCGTGTGTCCTCGCTCCATCCCAGCACCGAACCGCTCCACTCCCTTGCGCGATTGCGTTTTGGCAGGCCGTGAGTCAGGCACCAGTGGATCTGATGCAGATGCCGTCGACGACGGGACCCAAGTGAGCTCGACACCGCCATCACTGGTCCTCGTCGTTCGGGTCTCGGCGGCTCTGGGGGGTTTTCCACTGCCAGCTTTGCGCTGCCCAAATGTAGCATTGGGATCGACGCCTCTGCTCCCACTGGCCGATGCATTCATTGGCACCAGGGTACGTCGACTGGCCAGCCGATTTTGCTCGCGAGCGCGAGAGTAAGCGTTCTCCATCCGGGCGTTCTTCTGTCCCGGTCGAACTCGGGGATCGAATTCGTTGAGAGCTTTGTGTGATTGAGTACATTGAAAAATAAACTATCGAGAAAAGCGGACGAACCTCCAGCAGCGCTACTATCGCTGTCGCTGTCCCCGCCTTTGTCTTCATCATCATCGCTGTCGTCCAGGCCATCAGAGGAGAATTTGTCGCTCTCGTCCTCTTCGTCTTCGACGGCAGTCTTGCCTCGTGGCTGTGTCCCATTTTTGCGTTGCGCGACAGCTGAGGGATTGAGTAACGCGAACTCGCGGCTGGTCTCGTCGACAGCGAACGCTGGATCCTCGAATACTTTGGCGAAACGGGGATCGTTGAGCAAAGTGACAGGAGCGCTCTCTGTTTCTGCTGGCTCGTCCTGGTCCATGGCGTCGGCGTCCTCGGGCTGAGCAGTGGTGGTGGCGGCGGCGGCACGTTTCTTTTTCCTCTCCAATCGCTTCTGCTCCCGTTCTGCCTCGCGTAGGATCTTTTCCGCCAGCGCCTTGTTGACCTTGACACCAACGCCTCCGTCTTTTTTGGCCCGGATGCGAGTTTCTGCCATCTTCTCCATCTTCTCTCGCACCATTTTTCGCGGTGCTCGGCGTATGCAAATGGATTGGCGATGACGCGCGCTGCATCGTAGAGCTTGAGTGAGAGGAAGTATCCGTGCATGTAGGGCTTGAGCGCAGGGGTTCCCACGAGATGGTCGAGACCGAGGCTGCGCACAGCAGTCAGTACTAAGAACACGAAAAAGCAGAGAAACAAACGTCTTGAGTTCGTTGCGCTCGACAAACTTGTAGTCCTCGTAGACCGAGCGGGTGGTCTGATCCTCCATTTCTTCTGTGACGTTTTCCAAGAAGCTGGCCCACCGAGGCGCAGGCCCCAATTGGGGGATGTAGTACGTGGCCATTTGAATGCCCTCGTTTGCAGTCATCAGCAATCCGCTGCCTGGAACATGGTGCACGTCGTTCATGTCTGCCGCCGGGGTGATGGAGACGAAGTTCGTCGCAGGCTTTCGAGGCAAAATCAGTCTGGGAAGCGGAACCACAAGGAGCGCAAACGCACAGAGCCTCGTTCCCAGATCTTGATGACCTTCTTGTCCGCACTCAACACCATTCCGTCACCAGCCATCTTGCTGCCTCCCTCAATCCAGGATACATTCTGCACGGGTAACCCGTATCCCTGATCTTTGAGCGCGAATGGTTGAGCGGCCCGGATGTCGTACAGAAGGGTGTGCCCGGTGGACGTGCCCAGGGCATACGAAAGCCCGTCCGATCTTGACGATATGGCTGTCACGCTGATGTCGTTGGCTGAACCTGGGGGTAGCAGTCGGCTTCGGGGTAACCGGAGTAAGCCCACTCGAGAGCGTGACCGAGGATCCCAGAACTGAGCGGTGCCGTTGCTCTCGATCCCAAAGGCGAACAGTTGGTGGACGGGGTTGATGTCGATCACGTTGACGCCGGGAATATCTGCCTCGTCGTCCTGCAGGACAAGCGGAGTCATGAAACGGCCTTGTTCGAGATTGAGCCGATATATTTCATTTCCGGAGGCAGAGACCAGAGCATCGCATGAAGGAAAGTGGTATGCGATCGAACGTCCGAAGCGGGGTATCCTTGTTCGATAGTGGAATCCCCCCTGCGTGTGCAGTTCAACCGTCCGATCGTTCTGTAGCAGTATAGCCTTCGTCCAATCATCAGAAAGCATCTGAAAACCCCCTTCAGGTGAGAAAGACCAGGAAGAAGGCCCCGAAAAACTTACACACCACAAAATCGACGTTCTCCGCATCGGAATGCCGTTCAAACTTGAGCGATAGCTGCGAGAGATCCCACACGCGCATTTGCGGCTTGTAAGTCCCCGTCGCTACTACGTGCTGCCCATCTCGAGTGGTCTTGATCCTATTGCTCGCTTCGGGAAACTCGAATCCCTGGATCAACTCTAACGTGCCCTCGTAATGCTCGCGAATGGCCCGTTTCCCCTTCCCTTTGGCTGCTCGCTTCCGTGTTAACCAATCCGGTAGGGAGGACGATGAGCTCGCTGTCGCTCCGTTGACTGTGTAAACTTTTGTGTCCATCGCCCGGGTTCGTCTCTACGGCTATTGAGCGGGCAGATCGGCACTCAAAGAACTTGACGATTTGAATTAGAGTGTCTTCCACCGGTACAAGGAAAAAGACAGTCAGAAAACAGAGCAGAGCCTGAGGTTGAGGCGAATGGAACACTGGCAGGAGCAAGGAAAAGATTTGCAATCACATGATTCCGATATGCCACATCACGTGAGTGCTACAACTGCGACTACGATTTTCCCGTTTGTCCTTTGCGCGTGTCCGTCGGTGGTGCGAAGAGCGGGCTCGAGATCACTTGACAGCTGTTGAGGCGGCGATTTCTGTACGAAATATGACTGACAGATGGTCGGACGGAGGGTCAGATCGTGTGTCACCACTTACGCGCGCTAGGACGGACTAAGACACCTCGGTGCTGTCTTGTCAGTGCGGAGGAGTGCATTCATGGGCTTTCGGATGGCTCCGCGCAAAGACAATTTCCATTTCTGACATAAACTTGAAAGCTTGGCTTCCCACCGAACACGCGATCGCTTCCCGCTCCGAGAAGGATGTTGGCGCGCAACCGAGCGCCATGCCCTTGCATGCCTATATTTAAAGCGTGATGATGAGATTCGATGCATCCCGGTGCGGGCTACTTCTATGATTCACTCCCGCGCCAGGCGCGTGGGTCCTTCGCAGACTTCCTCGATTGGTCCTGTCAGGCCCCGGGGCCGGAGGGCAACGGATCTGTGGCGATCGAGAGGGCGGCATCGGTGCTGCTTTCTGGAAGAAAAAAGGAGTATGTAATACTACAGTAACGTGGTCTACAGATGGATGCGGCAAACAATGAATGCGGAAATACTGGACACAGGAATGTGGGATAAATTGTGAGTAACATATAGATAAATCGAATGAATTCCGAAGGGGTCCTCGTCCTCAGAGGACTACGCATCCACTGGCAAACCACCTGTGCTGGATGATCAGCACAGATATGGATTGGATGAAGACAGCCCACCAGTTGCTGTTGAGCTGTTCGATCCAGTGCACAACCAGTCTCAAACGCATGTGTGTGCTTCGTATAGGCAATAACTTGGCCTTTTCATATTCATCAATGGGAAGCACCAATGCAACCCAATAAGAGAATGCGGCTGGATCGGTCGGCGGTGGGCCGTACACATTGTTCAGACGCTGGACCACCCAAGGGGCTGTCCCTCGTCGGAGCTGCAGGAGGAAATTCGTGCAGGTCGTCATCAATTCTTCGTTGCTTGGCCCCGAAAACGGCAAGGGGGGACTATCGGGGACGTCATCAATCCTGTGTATGATGTGAGGGGGTGTTCTACATCATGATGGCTCTCCACCGACCGTTCGATGCGGCCCACAGTGTACCCATCGAGAGTACCCCGTTCGAGAATGCGGAAACGATACGTCGACCAGGTCTCGACCATGCTCCGCCCGTCAGGGAGCATCTGCACGCTTCTAATTTCCAACATGGTACCGTAGTCGATCTGTGAGCCGGTCACTCCAGCACCAGCACCTGGACGCGCCGGCATAATCATCCCAAAGGAGGGAACTTCCTTCTCCAAACATCGACGGAGCATCAGTCGATATCGCGGCTCGAAGAAGTGCAGAGCGGTGGGGTGTCCAGGAAAAACGAGCATGCAGACGAAGATCGGGGTGTCCAACCTCGCATCCCGTTCTTCAGCCTCGATTGCCTCTTTGCGGTCAGTGTACAGTTCTGGAAGATCGCATGAGCATTCTTAGAGGGAAGAATGGTCACTCGAATATCACCTGGGAACGCCGTTACAATCAAGGCTTCTAGGGTCTGGTTGCAAGGCTGGTCTTCAAAAAACGAAAATCCTGGCAGACTTTCACGACAGAGAGGACAGAGAGGAGAATGATCCAATGAACGATGTAAACATTTGCGCAGAAGGTCTGAATCTGTCAGCAACAATACGACGGACGTAAGAAAAAGAACAGACATGTTGGCACGGAGTTGTCACTGGATTGTACAAGAGCATGAAGCAAATCTCACACGACATTTCAGTGAGCATTTCCTTTTCGAATGTCGACACCGGGGGCCGCCCATTCCGCAGTGGTATCTGTGGTAACGTGCTCCGTTCGCGTGCTGCAGAAGCCCGTAGGTGAGAAAGGAGATCATCGTCGTTGCCTTCGCCGTCGTCGTCATCATCCTCGTTACTACGATCATGCCGCCGTCGCTTGGAGGGTCGAGAGGGCGGAGAGTGGGATCGCTGGCGTGAGGAAGATAAGGAAGGCGCAGCCCAGTCACCATCGACATCGTCGACATCACGGACCCTTCCTTCGCTTTGGAGATGGCGGTCAAGAAGTTCGATGATCTTGTTGATGGTGACATCAGGTTTGGAAACCTCGACAGGCTCGGAAGGCCCGGGAGCCGATGGCGGAGGAGGCATGTAATGGACACGAGAGGCGGTGGGATGCGAGGACGAGCAGGACCATGGTTGGGTGTGCATTGTGGGACGGGACAGGAGATAGAGTGAGCGCAGTGCTCGGAGCATACAGTATGGCCACAGCGCAACGTCGTAGCGCTCGGCGCACGGAGGGGTTGGAAACAAACGGGACAAGAAAGACAAGCACGTAGAGCGGTGGGGTTCATGGTGGCCAGTGTCGAACGTCCTTCGAGGACGGGGAATGAAATAGAGGATGATTGCAGCTAATAAGCCATATTCCAAGTCGTGATTCTTGCCTCCGATCAAGTTGGCATCACATCGCGGTACACAGTTGCAAGCACGATTTGACGCGCTCGATTCGGCTCCCCAGGCCCGACGTCACACCTTCCCCACCTCGGCTTCCGCTTTGGCCGATGCCCCATGGACAGACTCTTCTGCTGCCCACCATCCGCCAACCGCATCTTCGGAGCCCTCAAGTACTTCAGATAAATCATCGTACTCGCTCCAATCTAAACCGGCCCAGCTTCCCGTCCGCTGACAACACCTCCATCGCTAACGACTGGATCGGCCTCCCACTCCATTTCGATGTAGCCACAGAGCGCATCGAGCTAGACGGATTCCAAATATACGCGGTTGAGAAGTGGCGCGTGCACAGATCACTTCCGACTCTTCCGTGGGCTCACTTATTCCATAGGATTGTTGACCGGAACCGTGCTGTGACCTGCCTGACTGTCTATACCGGAGACCCGGCGCACCGTATCATAGTCACAGCTCTTCGACCGGCTGCTTCACTTTCCCCAGCAGAAGCTCATGCGGAATGGGACAAGGCTATCCAGCATTTGAGGCGTGATGCACGTCCCCGAGAGGCACGTTTGGCGCTATAGTTTCCGGCCTTTACGTGCTCACTGTATACCAGACCCCTCACGGAGTGGTCCTGGCGACATCTCTTGCTCACTTTCGCTCGGACTACACCATCGTCCCTATCCCTAACGGTGACTTTCTCCTGTACCGGGACAAGTTGTACACCAACATCAATCTTTTACGTATGGGCTGCAGTGGGCGAAGTGCGCTTACTCTGGAGGAGCCCAGGTCGGTTTCGCTTCTTCAGGGTCCGTTTTCTGACCCCTGGCCCAGCGACACCACCAAGGACCGATTCATTGCCACATATCATCTCCCTGAGTCGATCATAAATGGCACCTCAGCCTCGGCCATTTCGACATCTGCTAGTCCAGCAGGCACGCCAAATCCGTCACCTTCGAAACACAGAACGCGGTTGTCAATTTCCCCACCCAGCCCTCGTGCTGAAGACACACCACCAGCCTTGCTGAGCCACCGCCGCCACCACACCGCTATGGCTATCACACTTCCATCTCCGTTCCTCGATGTAGCACCGGGGGCCGTTTCTCCGTCTCTGATCAGCAGTCCTGGTGGCCGACCGATGGTAAAGTCGAAATCTCGGGGCGTTGATCGAGGCCTTTTTGGAGGCAGTGTTCTAGAGCTCGTTCGCCTCGTTCAAATCGGACTGGCTATCTTCGGATTGTTCTCCATCGAACTGGAAGCATTCGATGGCTTACTATGCGATAAGACGGTCGAAGGCCTAAATACATGGACGACAGAGATCGGGGTGAAATGCGTCAATGTGGAGGTAGGCTGGTTCCTGTTGTATATTCGACTTGCCATTGACTTTTGGCAGCTCACAGAGCAGATTGCAGACCCTGCTGTCATCTGCGCTCTTCTCAGTCTTGTTTTGGCTACACGAAACAAGCTTGCGGTCTTGGCTGGCAGCAGCAATGCATATCTCGTCCCGAAGGATCCCTTCCTCCGGCCACATGCCTTTCTTGTTGCTCTGTCATTGCATCCCCAAGTTCCCAGTCATCACCATTTCAACCTGAACAGTACACCTTCTACGCCTTCATTTCCATTTCTGACTCATTCGCACTCCTTGCCGACAACGCCTGCGGCGTCGACCTTGGCCTTGTCGACGAATGCCAGGGCGGTCATCCCACTGTCCCGAGCCAGTTTGGAGCATGTCAACATGTCTTACTCTGACAAAGTGCGCGTCGGCGAAAGAAGACGAAGCAAAGGAGCTCGTGCCCTGCTGAGGCTTGATGGAGAAAGCAGCGACAGCGCAAGTGGTTCCGAAGGCGACAAGGACCACGCCGGGGAAGGAAGTGGACAGCTTCTCACAGGTATCGGCAGTCTCGTTGGCCTCAATGTCGGAGGCGGGGCTGCTGCTGCCTCAGGTGTACTGGAACCGAGTGTCGATTTGGAAGCATTCGTTCGCACTGTAGTCGGGAAAGGCCGGGGCTCAAAAGACAGGGCTAATCTAAAGGGAATCCCGATCCTCGGCGGCAAAGGCCGTGAGCGTGCTTTGACAGGGGCCACGGAACTTGCCGACGGCACTTCAGGCGTCGATCGAGAGCGCAAAGAGAAGGGAGCGGGCATCCTGAATGGTGTGGCCGGAACTGTCCGTGGTTTGTGGAGTGGTTTTGTGTGGGAAGTGGCGGCCTTGCGTGACAAGGAGCTTCAGGTTGCCATTCGGAGACGAGAATTAGGCGATCGAGCCAACGCGGGTGCTTTGAGCGATGGCGACGACGAGGAACTTCGCATCAAAGCTGACAGGGACGGAGGCCGCTCAACGGAAGATGAGACCGGTGGCGCCCTCAATGATAAATGGGGTAATCGAGTGCAGAAGAAATTCGAGTCGTGGACGAGGTGCGCAGACTGGAAAACTGATGAAAGAGAACCGATTTTTCATAGGCTCAGCCGCCTGGAACGCAAAAAGCCATCTCATCCCCACCATCCGAATCAAAGTGTCGAGCTGTCTTCAGGGCGGAACTCACTCGAAGAACACAGTAGCCCCAGCTTCGTCAGAAAGCGACCGCGAATCCCGCTACAAGAGTTTAGCCCATCCCCTGATGTGGGGGAAGACGATATTCTCAGCAGCGGACAGGCATCGCCGGTTTTAGGAGGTGGGCATGCGCAGCTTGTCTGTTTCTTACGGCTCAAAGAACCTTCCAGCCGAGGACCCGAGGACACCCACCCAGATTGAAAATTATCCATCTGCGGCGAGCTCGGCTGCGAACCTGGTGACCTCAGAGGAATTCGGGCGCAAACTAAGTGCATTCAATACTAAAAGGCCTCCCGGTATCAGGGCTGCTCAAGCCAGAATTGCGAGCTGGTCTGATCCCATCAGCGCTCAAGCGCTCGATGAAAGCGACAGCGACGGGAGTGCTGCAAGTCGGCCGAAGAAGCGCAAATATACAGCAAGCGGCCTTGCGAGAGCCTTCGTCCTCGACAACGACGACGACGAGCACGTTCTTCACGATGAGCCAGAGGATACCGAGGCTGCTGGCTATCTCAGCGACGCACCAGCCAGACCTTCTCGCCGCAGCATCCCAGCTTTGTCAAGGTTCGTTTGACATTCATGACACAACCTAGTTCTTAATCTATTTTCTCCTAGACGAAGGAGTTGGCACGCCGATTCCCAGGCTTTTAGGGGCCTAGAAGTGATTCATCCGGAGAGAATGCGCATTGATGTCGCTCTCTGCGGGCAGTTTTTGGTCATGTGGCGAAGAGAACAATATTTAGACAACGTTCTAGCCTGTGTCAAGGCCAGTTCCTGTCGCAGCATCTGGGTCGCCATTCTCATGGGTTTTCCAGCTACTGACCACTTCTTTGATCGAGACCAATGCTCGCTTGGAGCGCGATCTCGTCCACCACGGACCTGCATTGAACCAGCTTGCTCGGGAGACCCAGGTCATCTCAGAAATCGATGCCCAGGTAGTCGTTTCGAAGGATATCAGCCAAGCCCAGAACTCTCTCACGTATGAAACACAACAATTTATCGTCCCGGAACTTTGGCACGCCGCGAGCCAGCCTCGGCATACGACATTTGCCCTGCGGGACAAGGTATTTGGAACTGGCAGTCGCCGATTGCCACCCGGCAAACGTGGAGCCCATGGACGGTTCAATCGTCTACAGTGGACACTGGACGGCCAGGGACGACTGGTCGACCATCTCGGGCGAACAGAGAGTGAAGCCGAAGAAGAGAGTCTGGAGGAAATGGGTCCACTACGCCCGCCGTCGCCCCAAGAAGAGGAGCCAGAACCCGTCAAGCATCGTGCGATCAGACCCATGTGGCTTTTGCGATTCTTCACTGCTCGAGGAGGCCCCGTCGCATCGGAAAGTCCTCCCGAGGGCAAAAGCACAGCAGTAGAGCTTGATAATCCCTCGCTGACTGTTCCCACATCTCGCACATCGCATTGATTAGCTAATTAGCAGTATTATTAATATGCACCGCTCATTTACGCGACATCTTGGACTGCTGCTTGCGCACACTCCGCTTTCGCTCGCGCTCAAGAGCCTTCTTCTGATCAGCCGCACTGAGAGTGGCGATGCGGTCCTCTGCAGCCTTGCGTTTGGCCGCCTTTTTCGCCTCGAGAGCCTCGGCCTCCTGCCAAAGCGTTAGAATCGGAAGCTGAGATCAACACGTCGACGACAAACCTCTTCTTTCTTTTCTTTCTCTGCTGCTTTCACGATAGCAGCATCGGTCTCCTCCCGGACCTTTTTCAACTTGGTCTTCGTCTCTGGACGAAGGACCACCTTGGAAAGAGAGTCAACGAATGGGAACATCGCCGCAACCAGGTCTGCAGTGACATGTGCTTCAGACGTCGAGGGGACAGTCAGGCTCAGGATGACGTGTTGCTCTCGTTTAGCCGGGGTTAGCGGTTTCAAGGGTCGCTCACGAGGTTGATCAGTGACCTTCGGTTGTTCAGTAAGGCAAGAAATCGAGATCAAAGGACCACTTACGCTGAGAGAACGAAAGTATGGCGCGATTTTCGGGTCCTCGAGAATCTTTGCAACAGGATATGCCTTGAAGATACCGTCGGTGACATCGGCCAGCTCTAGAAGATGCACTTAGCATTGTCTTTCATAGGAGACTACGGGTAACTTACCAGACATCACAGAAAATCTGGAGGGCAAGGCAGCAGACTCCGTGGTTTTGGTGAACGTCTGTACTTGATGAGCTGCTGGTCATCAGAAGATAATTGGCGCTGCACGCACCAAATCCCAACGGTTGTCCTTCACAAACATTAATTCGTTCTTAGCCACCACACCCCACACGAAATCGTGCGCCAGAGCACCGGGAGCGAGCTTAAAATCAAGCTGCAAGTCGTCCTGGGGCCGATATTGAAGGTCCACGAAGGTGCGAAGCGTCTGGAACAGCCATTGGACAAGGTCATGACGAGGCCGAAGCGTGAAGATCGAGTGCAGAACTGAGACATTGCGGCGGCCTGTCGAGAAGTTGAAGAAGTCACTGTTTCCGTCCTGTATCAACTTGTCTGGCTTGGAAAATTGGGCCTAGACACAGCGAAGATTCATGTAACTCATTAGGTCTTTATATAAACACAGGAGATGAAGCATGTGTACCTCCAGGATAGGCATATGAGCCTCCAACCATTTGTGCACCCGTCTCGAATTTGCCCACCGGCCGTACAGGAAGAACAGACCGTATAGAAGCACGCCAGCAAGAATAAATATCTCCCTCTGGAATACTTGGATGGCTTAATTGCGGTTCGGATGTAATTTCTGGGGCTTACGTGCTGGTCTGAAAACGAACACTTTCCAGCGAAGCTAATGACGGGATCAGTATATTCGGCTGGGGAGCGAGGACAAGCGCCAGACCTCGAACCCGTCGTACTGCTCCGGATTGTATACCGGCGGCGGGGTGATTGCAGAGATGATTTTGGTGAAAATGGACATGGTGTGAGGGAGGGATCCTCAACGTAGCAAACTTTGATCTGACGGGTGACTTCTCGAACCCTTCTCTCCAGATTCAGTCAAGGTTCCTGGATCAAACACACTTCATGTATTTCCTCAGCAAAGCCGGTCACTCGCTCTTCTTGCTTTCCCACTATCCATGGCCGAGATCCCTGTTCGTTCGTTCGAGCTCCAGGTCGATTCCGCCGTCTGATCTCCAACGTTAGCACACCCCGCACACAGACTTCGCTCGCTTTGTAGTCGACACGATCAAGGCTTCGAGTAGTCTCGCGCTCAATGAGAACCAGGCGGTCATTCGTTCTGCTCTCGCTCTTTCACCTACGTTTTTGCTCACGGACAACTGCACCAATCCCGACTCATCTGGATCGGACACCTGGCTACTCGGGCTGAATCACCTCGCCGACATCCTAGTCGCGCTGCATGCCCGGAATGAATTGGAAGTCGGTGAGTCGACCGTATATGAAACCAGACACCCCCTTGACGCGTAGCAGAGACGATCAGCGCGGCGTCGAGAGTAGGTGATCCGCTCATGTTGTCAACTAAGCACTCATCCTTGTCAGGCATGTTCTGGTGAATATCTATCCCACTGTTGCGTGCTGCTCCCTCCAAACCGATTTCTCTGGTAGAGTGCTGGACGGCCGCAGGCACATGGCGTGAGCTGGAACCCTGTCGAGCGGGCGTCCGAACTGTTGGCATGAGAATACGCCGCCTCCTCGATGCGAACGGGATAACATATAGGGGAGAAGCAGGTGCGTTTCGGGGATTGATCCTTATCCTGAACTACAGCAGAGCTAGTTTACTCTCCGCTGGCGGCACCTGTACGGACCTGTCCTTCGCGAACAATGCTATCGACCAGTGGCTCGTGATCCAGAGCCGCCGCAAGAATACTTGGCATCCGGTGTCTGATTCATTTGTGTGCTCTCTCGAATTATAGCACAACCCCGTTCATCTTCACGACCCTTAGAACCTCGTGATTGGTGTGAAGGGCACTGAACTCTTGTTGGGACCTTGGTTAAGTTGCTGCCATGCACTGACAGATCGAGCTGTATTCTGTCGTAGAGAATTGAATGTATGCCCTGTGATCATGATAGGATCGGCGACTTTCGTGGTAATTTCAAAATGGTAATGATGTTCGACACGTGACTTCATTGTTAAAAATCACTTGATTTCAACGTGAGCGAGCATGGACATTTTAACGAATGTTTTGTTTGACAGTGAAATTCAGATATAGTGGTTGTGATATAGATATGTCCCTGTGCTACCTCCCTAAATTAGAAGGAAGGCCCCAAACTCCAAGCGCAGTGGATAGTTGCATAGCATGGCGGAATTGATCGCTGAGATCATATCCATTACATCATTGCCACCTTCTCTGCCGAGAATCGAGATCTCGTCCAGCTTCAACTCTCTGCACACACGTCTATGGATACCCCGAACTCATCCAATCTGCTCACCGCCCACAACGACCCACACGATCTGTGCCCGCGCTTCCGGATCTTCAGAACGTTGACTATGAACAACCCACCCCACAATCACCACAGACCCTGCTGAATGAAGTTGGCACACCGAATTCAACGGACCCGAGCGAATCCATTCCACTTGCATCCTCTCCAGTACAAGATTCACCCTCAACAACAGGACTGACGCCTCTCCGCGCGCACTACCTCAAGAAATCCCTCATCCAGCTCGAGTTTGAACGAGAGCTAGACGAAATCACCTCGCCCACACCCAGTCATGTATCCGCCCTATCGTACCTCGGACCACCGTTCAGTCCACCTCCCAAGAACTCACCGATGCTCGACCTCCCATTTCTCCGATACATCTTCCGACAGTTCGTCTTGACTTTCCCGTTCATGGCGTCTGCTCCAAAGGATTTCTACTCCGACAAGCTGCAGCCATTCACGAATTCTGTGATGGAGCGCAATCTGTCGCCGACCTCTGTGTTTGATCAAGGAGAGGAGGGATCCGAGGCGGCTTTACGGTCAAGACTGCTTGCCAAGGCGCAACGAAATCTGTCCTTGTTCTTTAGTGCGGCCACAAAACTTACGGATAAGGAGGAGGTCGTGCGACTGACGCAATCTGATCTGGAAAGACTGGAGGCTGCGGCGAAGCGACGACAGGCGAGGAATCTGGAGGCAGCCAAGGATATATTTGAAGTGAATATCGTCAGTGTGCGGACAGTAGTGGATAAAGGGCGCGTGCGAAGTCGAGTTCACGAGGTGTGTCCCATCCTTTATTCGTAATCCTCCTAGCTCTAAGGCATTTGAGCATAGGAATTCATCATACGCACGCGTCGTTCAAACCTTTCCGATGTTTTCGTTTCAAGAAGATATGGAGACTTTAAAACGCTCGCCGAGGAGGTGCTTATCGCTTTCATCTTTCGGATCTTTCTCTAATCTTATCTAGCTGCGCAAGGCTCATCCTTCAGAGGAGATTCGGTCTCCCCCGGTCAAAGACAGAACGACAGTCACTGCGCCTCCATCTGCTACATCTCCGCTGAGCCCAGCACCGTCGTTCGCCAGCCAACAGTCTTGGGACGATTATCCTTCTGGATCTCAAGTGCAGCAGAACTCTAGACTAGCCCGGGAAAAAAACCGGCTGACTCTTCGGGCTTACCTACACAGCCTGCTAGCCTCTCCGGTCATCGCATCCTCGCCTGTCCTGCGTTCGTTTCTGCTCTCCGGTCCGACGGCGCTGAGCCGAGAAGAGATCGAAGATGGATTCCGGAGAGAGGAGGCGGATCGAGTCCGAGATGAGGGCAGGAAACAGTTTGCAAAAGAGATCGCGAATAGGGTGGATGGCCTCCGGGCAGCCGTCAAGAGTGTCAAGGGTGATATCATGGGCAAAGGTGTGCCGTTGTTGTCTGTGATCGGTGACCCGGCGTTGATCATGCCACAAGATGGTTTGACGCGCATATTCGCCTTGGTGAAGGTGACTCCGAACGTGCGGGATCTGCCGGACAACTACAAGGCTGTTTTGGAATGGGCCAGGATGTCGTCAGTGTCGTCTTCCAGTGAAGTTTCGGCTAATAGAGATGGATTCAGCCTTGCCTCAACTGTGTTCCACCATTTTGTCGCGTCCGATACCGCGTCGGAGAGCTTCGCCTCTTTGAAACGGATCCATGGGCTGATGCCCTATCTTCTGCTCAAGACAGCTCTGCGCATCAGCAATCCCATAGCAATGATTCGAAGTACGCATCTTTCATTCGGCACCTCACTGAATCTTGACCAGCACAAGCTGTGATGGACTTGTTCTTAGCCCAACCATTTGGTGGGAGAAGTCTGCTGCAGAGGTGTGTTTCAATCCGACTTGATGACGATCATTTCGCTCAACGAGGAGCAGAATGTTCACCGGTTCGTTGACGGAAGAAGTCCATGCTCTGGAGGAAGAGATCGAGGCAGTTAAGGAGAAGATTGACGATCCCATGATCTGCGAGAAGATGCGCCAGTTTGTCTATGCACCGAGGGAAATCCAGGACCTGCTCAAGGCTGATGCTGGTACGTTGGGCTGTCCTGCGCGTGAAAACAAGCTGAATGTAACAACGCACAGCGGCGGAGCAGATGAGTGTGATCACAGTTGTCCTCCGAGCAGCAGACGCACCGTTCCTTTCACGTGCACAAATGAGCAGGGTCGCGCGTGCCCATCGGGCTCATGCTGCTTACATGAAGCAGCGCGAGTCACTGAACGATTCCGACGACGACGATGGCCCCCAAGACGAGGACGGATGGTTGTTCGAGGATCTTAAAGTCCTTGCCGACCTGTACTCTAGATTGCGAGATCGAGAGCAGCTAATTGAGTTGCTTTTCGAGGCAAGTAGGGGAGGCTTGTGTCGCAAGACGATTTCTCACCAGTTGCAGGGATCTACGTCCGAGCTCCTCAGGGACATCATCACGATTTTTATGCCCCTTTGGCACAAGTCTATCGAGCGGCTAGTATCGCTGACTCGATCGGCGACTTGCAAAGTTTCATCAACGACCTGATCAAGACGGTCGAGCGAACGGAGGATCGTATGTTGTTTTCATGTTGCTGATTTCTCTCTCTCTTTTTGACGGTGTTTTTAGTCGCCCAAGAGGATCCCAAGCGAACTGTGCAAGCCTTTATCGCACTGATTGAGCGACACGAGCAGTCGTTTTACCATTTTGTGCACAAGGTCCATTCGAAAGGCGAAGGGCTCTTCAGCAGTCTCATGCGGTGGATTGAGCTCTACCTCACTGTCGTTCGAGAAGGACTCGGAGATCCACTTAGTCTCGAGTTCCTTCTGCCGCACACTGGGGAGGAACGTGATCGCATTATGGACGAGGTGGACAAAGTGGCTGTATACCATTACAAGCTGAAGGTCCTCTACGAAGACAAAATCCGACGGCGCTTTGGCAAGGCGCGTGCCAATGCAAATGACGCAGATGCCGAGGACGAGATGACGAAAGCTCTGGTGGACGGAGTGGCTCAGGAGATCGATTTTGGAGAGCTAATTCACGGGGACGCCATTGATGTTGCCGCCCAGGACACGGACGAGGAAGATGAGGACGACGATGACGACAGCGAGTTTGAGTCTGCATCGGACAGCGGTAGCGACGAGGAGGGAAACAGCGAGGAGGACACCGATCGAAGTGCAGAGGAGACACCTATGCAAACACCAAGACCGCCTCCCAAGACGTTGTTGACGGTCCCACGTCCGATATCGTTGAAATCCTCGCGGTCCATGTCTTCCGTGAAAGACGAATTAAGAAACGGAACTGCCGTGCGCCGCAGCCACGATTCTCCCCCCGTGCCACCACTGCCGAGGAGCCTCGTAGCAGCCATGTCGAAGCCGCTTCCACCAAGTCCGTCTCCAATGTCCCCGAATCACAGAATGGTCCCTTCCCCTCTTCCTACACGGAAAGCACCGCCGCCGCCCCAAAAATCGAAGAAAAACGGGGAGCTGCCATTCAGCCTCCCGATCTGGTCTATCTGCCGAAATTGTTACCCATTTTCAGAGAGATGGTGCGTCCTATTATCTGGTTCCTCAGTTTCCACTCATACATCCTCAGATGCGCCCTCAACTTGCCCCTCGACAGAGGACAAACTGATGAATAGTTTAACTAATGCTGGATATTCAAGATACTCTCACATTAATCACTGATGCTGACACTGTCCATTGTTATCTGGCGACGCATTTGAAGCTGTTGCCGTGTACAGCATGGTCATAATATCGATGTGTCGCAAGTGACCAGAAGCGGTTCGACGCTCGTTAGTCTCGATGATATCCTCAGCGTCTGCGGTTCTGGAAAAGACACTTGGACTGGAGGTTGGACCAAACAACTGCCAAGCATCAGATAGAAAGCGGTAGACCAGTTCATAGAACATTCACTTTGACTGTGCTGTCCAGGCCGCTGGCAGCAAACAGTGGCAGATGGGGATGTCCTTCGATCACATTGACGATGCTGCTATCCCCTTCCAAGATTGAATGCAACCCGCCGTCCTTCTTCCAAATGAAGATGTTCCCATCGTCGGAACCAGATGTGACAAACTGCTCCTGCGAGCCCAGAAAGTTGACTGCAGGAGATGAGTGAGTTGGCTTTCATAAAGGCTATTACCTAGTTGCTTGCCGTCCTTGATTGTGTCCACATTCCGAGCGCCTCTGAAACATTGTCGTGGCGGAACCACAGGCACGCCGGACATGTAGGAATCGTCTTGTCGCACACAGTCATCTCGCGTCGAGTACAGGTAAACCGCATCGCCACTGTAAGCTGCAAGGCAAGATAAGATGAGATTCGGACGATCACGATGAGATGATCACTGACAGAGCAATACTTCGTGTCCATTTAGTATAGACATGCGGGACCCGGTGATATGGTCGTTGTGACGCTTGCGCGTTCCCTCCTGCCGGCCGAGCCGGCGGATACAATTGGTCACCCCCATCCTCAGGGATCGCGCACGCTCCGCCATCGAAAGGCGGCTGATCTGGCGCCGGTCGAAGAGATATCCCTGAATCGACGCATGAATGGTTCTAAGAAGGACGATACTAAAGCAGCCTACATAGGGCGCCTCTCCCGCGGCGACAAACTGATACGGAGTCAATGGCGAAAGCGACAGCGTCGAGAGCTCGAAACCGATATCCAGCAGCGGTGGAGGACATGCGTCCCCGCATGAATGCGCCGTCCGGATATCGTGTTGCCTAATGCAGCCATCCTGCGCGTAGATGTGCTGGTGAAGTGTGGCTAAATGGAGTTCGCAAACCACCCACCTCTGCGACAGTGAGGAACAAGTGCGGACTGTCTTCCGTCACGATTCGCTTGACCCGCTGTTCGTGGCACCGCAGAGTCTGTGTACAGCTGTATCGTCCATCCGAGATAGAAATCGGGGCCGAGACGCTCAGATCTCCCATGTCGTGCAGCCGGACTTGAGCGTCAGCCGATACTGTCGCACTATTGGAGGCCCGTGAGCTGATGGCGCCCCACACAGATTAGTATTTGTGCACACACACACATCTTGGACGAGTGAGGGAGCATCTTGGCGTTGAATATATTTGCCCGGTGCCCTGTTTTCAAGACGCCACGGCAGATATACGGATAGTCATGTTCGAGGGATGGGTCCATGCTCCAGATTTGCACGCTGAGCAGCCGTCAGTGCGCGAGAGGCCGCAATATCTCGGCGGATAGCGCACGTTCGGTCATCTCCCGCAGTCTTTCAATGAAAATACCCTCATCCCAGCCACCCATGATGCAGCAGGTTGGACGCACCAGCAACAATGCACCGTCTCGCGCCCAGCTCAGCGCATTCACGCATCCGGAGTGTCCATAAGACCCGTCGTTTCCCAAAACGTTCACTCTGTCGAAATCTTTCGTGTTCCATTTCTTAGATAGCAGATGTCTATGCCGCTCGGCCGCAGCGGCCTTGGAGGACAATGTCGCCGTCATTGTAGAGTATATGCGATCACGTGCTGTTATGTCGTCCGAAATTAAATCATACTCAAGTTGTTCAAGTGTTCACATCAGTCAGTAGATAAACGATAGGGTAAAGCAAGTAAATCAGAAATTGATTCTGGGGCCTTGGACTGAGGGCGGAGCAGGTCTGGGCCCTCGAGGGGCTTCGGTATAAGAGAGCGGTGGCGGCTTGGGAGTTGGGAGCACAGCAGCTCGAGGCTGCCCTCCGTTGAAGGTGGGCCACCGAGACGGCATTGGAATTGAGACACTGCGCCGATGTCCGGAGTGGGTGGAAGAGGAATCAGCCGCCATGCTGTGATGCGAAGTCAATGAGCTCCGTTGCAAGCTGGATGATTCTCGCATGACGGGCGGCAAGGACGTGCGAACGACCGAATCTGCCGACGACGAAGCAGACAACGACGTCCGAGATGAGACCTGTCGACTAGAGCCTTCCATTAACCGCGAGAGCCTGAAATGAGACCGCTGCGTCCGGGAAGCGGGTGAGATGAGATCTGAGATATCGTCACCGTCATTATCAACATCCGGCAGGGTGAGAGTGGGTCGGGGCCGTTCGGCTTGTAGGTTCGCCTGTGCGTCGTCTTGGTCTAGTCGTTCTGCAAAGGCAATCTGAGATGGTACAATCGCACGACTCTTGACGGGGATGATGGCAGGCGAAGCGGCAGGTACTCTTTGGCTGACCGACACAACGGCTTGATCGATGCTGTGTGCTCCCATCGTCTCAATCGTGCGCGTACTATACGCGCTACGAGGTGACTCCCACCCATCAGCTTGGTATGATGTTGGGAACGCATGTCGGATCGTTGGAGTTGGAGCAGTCATCTGAGAAGAAGCCCGACCAGGACGAGCCATGTGGGGCGGCTCTCGGAAGGGTTGAACCGAAGGGTAGGTCTCAAAGGATAACACAGACTCTCGTGGAACGGTCGGCCGGTGCCGTTGTTTGTGGCTGAAGGCAACTGAGCACAGAAAAGTCAACAGCTGTCGTGACACGAATGAGATCGCTCACATAAAACAGCGTATGCCCCGATACTGAATGGGACAAACTCTGCAACAGTATTGGTGAATACAGCGGACGGAACGAGCGTCAAGAGCTCGAGCTGTAGAATGTCGTAAGAATTATAAGACCAGCCGTGCAAGAACTCATACCAAGATCAGCGCCAGAGGTCGCAGGACTCGGATATCAAACATCACCAGTCGCATCTGCGCTGTGCCGGAGAGAAACAGCACCATGCGAGCTACAGCGTAGACTTCCAAAGAGAAATAAAGGATCGAAGAAACGAGTGACGCGGGAAGGAAACTGAAGAAATCAATGTTGAGTATCCGGGAGAGATCTGCGCACCCACTGTTTCCGGTCACAGTACGCAACACCAAGAGGTGCAAAAGGACTACATGAATCAGTTCGCGGCTATCAATGTCGGTGTTGGATAGATGCGCACGTCAGCACCCCAACTCCGACAGCATTATTCAGAAAGATGAAGGCTAGACATGTATTGGTCGTCAAGACAAGCAATGGGATTAATCGCGCACCTATTCCCACAATGAGCCAGCCAACAGCGACCCAAAACTCCCAACGCGCTACATGAGTGTAAGATGCCGGTCGAGCAGGTGTACATAACGCAGTACCAATGCCCATCTTGCGGAGTTCAGACAGAACGATGAGGGCGCCAACCAGACGTCCGGACTGCGCAGCCATCCCGCCCCAGGCAACAACAAATGCTACGACCCGTTAAATCCGACAACAGAAGGCGTCATATCGCGAAAACACACCACACGCCGCATCACTACTTGTCGGGAATGCAAGCAAAGACGCGAACTGAGCGATGCTGGCAAAGAGAAAACAGAGAAATAGTGCAAAATATGCTGTGCTCATATAACCACGACGAAGGTCCGAACTGCACTGATATGGGTGGCTGAATCACGAACAAGCGTTTGATGAGCGCACCTGCTGCCACTATCTGAACTAGCCCATGATGCTTTCTCAGCGTGCCCCAACCGCTCTAGATCAAGGCGTCCGACCGAGGATGGGGTTCTCCAGCGCACAAAGCCCAACAGCCGTTGGACCAGAGCCGACGAGAAGATAGATCTAAGACTGTGGTTGGTGGTGAATAAACTATCTTACGCGTAATGGTGGTTTACGTCACCTCGTAATGAACACCCATCCTAGCGCAAACGCAGCGACCTGTCGGCTATACAGAAGCTCAAAGCATTTCGGAGATGGATTCCGGGGGACAACTGACTAATCGGGATGGATTGCAAAATTAGTGGTGGTATCATCGAGACCCGCGAGTGCCATTAGAAAAGAAAGGTGTTCCGCTGGAACAAGAAGTATGAGGCAGGACCAGCTGTAGCTGAGAGACCTGCTCCAGAAGAAGTGAATGCCGACACGAGAACTGCTTGTGTCGAAGACAGAAGGAAGAAGCAATGACAGAACATAGATCGGTGATTGTTGGTGAAGTTTGATGTCCGGTCGGTGTTTCAGAAAGTTCAGCCCGATCACTTGGACGACGGAACAACAGTACAGGAGCGGAGTCAGAAACAACATGGCAATCGTTTCGAGGGTTCAGTGGAGTCACAGCACTCCAAATATCGACAACTGAACTCGAAGGATTTCCAGCATTTATGTGGACTAGTCACTGGGTGGCATTTCTTCGCACGTGACATGACAATCATTCTCAACGCGTCAGTGGCGATGCCTTGACAGAAGTGACGGTACTTAGGAAGATACTCACTTTGCGGGCTGAGTCTCACTCTAATTCTCATCTCTCTTGCATCGAACTTTCCCTCGATAACTAGCATCGATTTACGGCACGGAATCAAATCAACACGTGATCGTGCCATCACCTCCGGTTCACTCAAACTTGCGACGCCAGCTGCTTTACTTACTCGTACGAGTCCATCGATGTCCCGCATCCCCGCCCCCTCTCGTGGAACACCTTCAGTTAGAGGAACGCCGCGAAAGGCCGCGCAAGAGTCTCCGACGAAACTTACCCCCGGTGGCACCGCGAGGACCCGGACGACGTCTTCCATTAAACGCGCCACGACCCCCGTCAAAAGCACGACCATTTCCAGAAGGAACGACGCACCAAAAGTTCCGGTCCTCGATGATCCAGCGGATCGCCCTCTCTCCATCAAAGAGGCCATCGCCCTGAAACGTGCGGAGGCGAAGAAAGCACAGGCAGCGAAAAGCACTCCGTTGGACGACTTTTCAACGCTGGAAGATGCCATTCCGGATGCCCCACCACCTGAGGAAGAAGATATTTTGGGTCGGCCCCCGCTAAGAGAGACCATCGAGAAGGCCAAACAGACCGGTAATGCAGATGCATTTCATGTCTGTGTTTCGCTGATCTCAATAGGTTGCCCCAGGTTCCGTGAATCTCTCTACGCGTGGTCTACAGTGTATACCCTCCGCTCTCTTCGAGCTCCATCTGGGTGTCAATCCAGTGCCTTTGCCGTCTGTTCCTGACGAGCCTCCTCTTCCGCCCGCTGTTGAAACCGGTCGTGTGCGCAAATCGTCCGCGTGGTACGAGGGACGAGATTTGGAGATTCTAAAGGCATGGGGCAATGAGATCGTAGAAATTCAGCCGGAAATAGCTCTCTTCGGATCGCTCAAATCTGTGGATGTGCGTGTCTAGCATTATCTTCTCCCTCCGAGGCTCACGAATGAGACCATAGCTTCACAAGAACAAGATTGCCATGGTTCCCAAAGAATTCGCCGACTTGGCCGCTCTGACCACTCTCGACCTTTCGCATAACGCTCTCACTTCACTACCTCCGAACATCTTCTCCCTGCCCGCGCTCTCGAACCTCAACATTTCTCACAACCGCCTGACGTCATTACCCTTTTCCGCACCGTTTGCGTCTGCAGTAACCAAGAAACCGACGTTCGCATCACATGGATTCTTGGGTGAACCGGCCATCGAAAGATCAACAGTACCGCTTCCCAAACTTGCGATATTCGACGCGTCGAACAACGATTTTTCGGCCGTCGCCATCGACCTGGACTTGCCCAAGGCATTAATCAACTTGGACTTGTCCTCCAACCATCTCGATTCAGAAGGTCCAGAGGCCTGCAGCAAACTGCTAGCGAAATTGGCGACACTCCCTAAATTGAAAGTGCTTCGTTTCGAACGAGCAGACATCTCGGATGGGATATTCGACAGCGTTGCAGATTCCCACGATCCCTTTCCCTCGCTGTCCGTGCTGGACTTTGGGTACACGAAAGTCACCGAGGGGGGCGCGCGCAGTGGTCTCAAGGGTCTGAAGAAGGAACTGACATTCGAGGTGACAAACGACGAGCCACCCAGTGGGACCGTGTGCATCATCGTGGGGAAGAAGCTCGTCCGAGAAGCATGGGAAATCGAGGCAGAGCGTCAAGCCAAATCACGAGCGGATAAGAAAGCCGCGGAACCTCTGGGTTTGGATTGGGAAAACGCGCCGCCTTCTGTTTCAAAAGCACAGAAAGCTGCGTTGAAACCGGTTGTCAAGCCTGTTCCGATTGTGAAAGAAGCTTGGGAAATCGAAGCCGAGCAGGGACTTCTAACGGAAGGAGGAAGGAGACGTGCCAGGGCCGCTGCAGCTGCAGCGAAGGAAATTGGGATTGGAGAACCACCAAGGCAATCGTCACCCACCAAGATGCTCACCTTGGCTGATCCACAGTACTATTCGAACCGGACTGACACGCTTACTCTGCCGGCATCTGTGGCTGCAAAACCCGGTCATGCTCGAGCCATTTCTCTGGCCTCTACTGCGTTCGAGAAGCTATCTGCACCTAGGGCAAGCGATGTTGCACTTCCGACCGCCACTTTGCCCCTCTCTCTGATAGCGTCTCAATCATTCGCACAAAATCTCAAAGTGCTTGTGCTCAACAGCAGAAGACTCGACCGGTCTTTCACTTTGCCAGCCGCATCGCCGGCAGAGCCTCTTCTTCCGCGGTTGGAAGAACTGAACTTAGAAGGGTGCAATTTGGGTGATTCCGTGTCTGTCTCGATTGCCAGTGCCGAGGAGACCATTGCTGTGCCATCGATGACTCGTCCGACGTTGCCTCTCATTGCGGAACTCTTCCCAAGCGTGCGAAATCTCAATCTCGCATACAACCAGCTCACGGCTGCCTCGCTCACCGATTCTACACTCTCGGGCCTGCTCACGGCCGACGGCAATCTCCACAAGGGCCTCAAACAGCTGCATCTGCGTGGGAACCGTATAGCCGAGCTGGATGGATTCCAGGCCCTGGCTGTACTATTCAAAGGCAATCGAGATGTGCCCGGTTGGACGCTGGAAGAGTTGGATTTGCGTGACAACGAAATTAGCAAACTTCCTGCGGAGTTGGGCTTGCTGCCGTTAGACTCCTTTTTGGTGGATGGGAATCTGTGAGTGATGGCGCTATATGAAGCCGGCTTACTCATGCTCGATTGCAGATTCCGGGTTCCTGCCCGACGAGTCTGGGAACGCGAGGGAACAAAGGGTCTGCTGACTTGGTTGAGGTTACGCTTGGAGTGATCTCCAAGATTAGATTAGATTGTCATCATCGGGCGAGATGAGATGACAGGGGGCGGCTTGCTTACAATTGCATAATACACTGGTGGCAGTACAAAGTACACTTACAACAAATAAATAAACGTCCAGGGAATTCTGAATCCTCACGGGGCAAGCTCATCGCTGCCAATCATCGCTGTCGACCCACCAACGCTTGTTGGCGCCCCTAACACCCCACTCGGCCACACCGTGCACACTGGCAGCATAGATATGCGCGCCGGACGGATCAAAACATGCTCCGGCGATATCGCAGTGGTCCACAGGACCCGGCGGGCCAGAACAATCCGGAAACGGTGTCCTCGAGCACTCTTCACGCATAACTTCCATCTCAGGCAAGGGAAGTTCAGAGCTACGAGCGAAGATGCCATCTTCGGGAATAAGACCCGGGCCTAGCACCATCTGCAGGTCTCGTTCTACCGACGGGTCGCCCAGATGCGGAATGAGAAGAATGTCGTCGGCGCTAGGGATGCGGAAGGTCTCTTCCAGAGTGCTGCGAACATCATAATGCCGATGAGCGTATGGAGATCGTGCCCGAGTGGCGGGGAATGACGGCGTCAGCGACGGCGGAGAGAACTGTTGGGGGCTGCGTTTCTCGGTGAATTGGGGCATGCACAGAATCTCTTCTGTTTCGAATGTTCTCGCGTCAACAACATGTATGAGGGAGGTGTGCTGCGACGAGTGTCTTGCTATCAGTTTGCACGGCAAGGGCCGGAAGCGGACTCACCTCCGTGAACAGCATCAGTTCCCGGCCCGGAGGACCTCCAAACTTGACCGAGCGCGTGCTCCATCCGGGACCAGGGGTGTTGGCGCTATTCCAGTCCTGGGGATCTTCAGAGTACCATGCCCCATGCGGAGTGGGTCTCGACTTGTTCGTGCGGAACACCTTCAGCGGGCGCGTACTCCGGACATCCCACACGATGACAGATCCATCCTGCGACGCCACGGCGTACTTGCTGCCATCTGACGAGAATGCCGAAGAGAAACACGCGACCAGCGCCGGTGATACCGAGGGGTCGGAAAGTGGGGGTAAAGCGAGAGTGGCGATTGGTGCCGCCGTGACACTGGCACCGCCGGTGAGACGGTGGAGAAACACCTTCGAAGAATCTCCCACAGAGAGCATGGTCCTTCCATCAGGTGATATCGAGGCTGCAGAAGGAGTCGGGCCCAGTCAGCCATGTAAGTATAAGCAGATGATTCACGCACAGTGATTGATGGGGACATTGAATGAGACCGCGCCGGTCTGGCGTATCTCAGCCGGTGACGAGCGTATGGGCACATCAAAGAACTGGACCACGTTATCGTTGTTACTGACGACCATGCGCGGTTCTACTCGGCTTTCGTTCGAGCCGGTCAAGCTCAGAGATGTGAGCAAGATCGAGTTATTGATCGATCTGCCCAACTGGTCGTCAAACCTCCACACGGGCTTGGATTTCATGGCAGGGGAGGTTGGGCAATGGAGAGAGAGGTGGAGGTCGCCTGTCATTCCACCTGCCGCGATGAGTGTGTGTTCGCTGCCCGAATCGAGAGGTAGCGCGCTGACGGTGGTCGGCTGGAACAAGAGCTTGACGAGTGTTCGAGGGGAGCTATACGGGTTCTGCAGGTCGCACTCGACGATACTGTTTCCCTTCACGTAGTTGAGAACTCCTCGTCGTCTTGGGCAGATGAGCACATCTCTGAGTTGGCTAGTACGAGTTGCATGGATTGAGCACATGTGCTGGCTATCAGGCTGAATACGACGACGCACACATGTCCGATGTCCACTTTAGCAGCGCGCTTGAACGACGGAGTCGGGGACGACACAAGTGGAGGGTCTATGGCCATCGTAGTAGAGAGGACGATCGAGTGTCGTAACGGCCGCAACCGAAATAGCCTAGTTAGCACGGCAAGAAGCACTACGGCGTGGCAGTGCGCAAGTGTGAACTACCGTGGGTGTGGGTTTGGAAAGACAGCCGGAAGGAGGAGAGAAGAACAGAATGGCCATGCTGTTGCCAAGATGGCGTCTTATTGTGCGGTAGACATCGCACGCACAGACGGAGTCAGGACGAAAGCGAGGCCGCAAATCTAGCCGAGTACGGCGACGAGCGACTGACGTCAATCAATGACAGCGGAGATGGAAATCGTTTCCGTCGGGTAAACGCTCGCAAATCCGTTTAGGAAATTCAGTGCGGCACAGCAAAAGATTGCGTGAACTAATGGAGGAAATGACATTGTTTTGCGGTGAACAGCAAGTCTGCTTCTACGGTACAACAGATGGAGCAGGAACATGATTCGTGTCATTGGTTGGGATCGGAGATTATCACAGATGGGATGATGAGTCATGCAAATGCCGTTAGGACATTGGATGCAGAAGTGCAGAGGTTCGGTTTATTTGAGATGAGTATAAATACACGTGCGAACAGTACCCTGTATCTAAAATGTGTTGGAGATGGAGAAGCGCTTGAATGTGTACCTGCCAGAAATAGTGAATACAGGGTGAGCATAATCAACAGCAAGATGGCACACCCCAAAAAGGCAAGATCCTTGTTGGCCGCAGCGTCTGCCGCGTCTGCAGGGATCTCCTCGGGGACCTGTTCGAGTTGGTCTGTCGGGAAATACGATGTGTCGGTGATTGACCTGTTGGAGGTCAGCGCGCGATGGCATATGGCGGACCCAGGGACTGACCTCAGATGCGGCACAAAGGGGGAATCGATACTGCGCAGGGTCCCCCAGTCGACACCTAGCACAATCAATGACGGCAGAAGAAGTTTGTCTGAAGGTGCTTGCCGTAGAAGAATGGGTGTTTTTTGATTTCATTAATACTGAGGCGGCGATCCGCAGAAGTAATCAAACTAGAGAGAGTGAACTCGAGCCCCCCTCAGCAGATGGGAGAGCTCAACGCACCGACGGATAAGATCTTCAGCGGGGCGACTCAAGTGCACATCATCAGGGAAGATGAGATGGTGTTGCCACTGTATAATCTTCTGATACGTCTCGTGCGTCGATTCTGAGCAGAATGGCGGGTACCCAACAAGGCACTCGAATGCGATCGCACCCAGTGACCACCAGTCACATTCTTTGCCGTAGCCGTTTTGCTGGAAGATTTCTGGTGCGATGTAGTCTGGGGTCCCAACAGTCGAGTACGCCTATCCAGTGTCCCCAGTCAGAGCTGACCAACAGACAGAAAGAGTATTCCCCACCAGTTTTCGCCGGTTGGCTTTCCACGTCTGGATTTGTTCGTTCGTCATTGTCAGATTGATGGAGTTGACCATGACGCTGTTCCGAGACGCTTGGGATGGATCTTTGTGCGCATTGTCCAGCAGGCGCTGGTAATAATTTGAGTCGTGCTGTTTATGGAAACCTGTCGATAATCCAAAGTCGCTGAGTTTCACATGTCCATCCTTGTCACTGTGACTTATTAGACCCAGAGTGAAGCAAGACGAGCCGCCTGGACGCACATCAAGATGTTGTCGGGTTTAATATCCCTGTAGAAAGTGAGCAATGCCCCGGACGGAGCACTCGGCTGCTGACCGGTGAATGTATCCCATTTGGTGCACGCTCTCAATAGCCAAAACACATTCTGCCATGTAGAATCTTGTCACATCCTCCGAAAATGTATCGTATTTAATGAGCATAGTCATTAGGTCTCCACCTGCATCAGAGCATGGTCAGCGAATCCACAGAAATCGAAGGGACTCATAAGTGTAGACCTGGTATGAACTCCATGATGAGATACAGGTAAGTTGGATCCTGGAAGCTGTAATACAGCTGCACGATCCCTACTAACAGTCAACATACAGAAAAGGGAAGCAGGCGAAAACAAACATTCAGACGCGGATTCAGCCAGAACATCTCTCTCCGCTCGGACGTGGGCCAACTGATATGTTACTCTCAGCAGGGGGAAACCTCGGAAGAGTAAAGCACACGTACCTGATCTTTCTTCAACATTTCTTCCTTCCGGAGCATTTTCATAGCATAGATCTTCCCTGTGTCGGCCTTTTGGACAAGACGAACCTGGGCCCTCCTCTCAGCAACGTATCGCCGCTTGCATCACAACACGCACTTCACCGAACGCTCCCTTCCCAATCACTTTAACTGTGCGGAAATCGTCTAGTCCAAGCTTTGTGCGCCGCAGGCGAAGGAAGGTCTTGACAAACGGTGATGAGTCTTCTGCATCCTGTGGCCATCAAGTCAACGCACCGACTCTTTCTTGCCCAACTGCAGTAGTTGGCGGTGCTTCCGCTCCTCAGATGTCGTGTTGTCGGTTTGCAGTTTCCGCTCCAGCTCCACGCGTCTGCATCCCCATCCAGCATAAATACAAGATAAACTTGTGGGGTTACCAGTTCTGGCCCACCCACCTCGTGTTTCGTTCGATGGCAGAGTCAACAGCTACTTTATAGTAGTGCTCCAGTTTCATCTGCGCTCCTTTCGCTTTGGGTAGAACGGCTTCGAAACCAGCCGTCGAGCGGTCAAAGTAGACGTAGTCGGAATTCGAAGAGGTGACATTGGAACCAGGTGCTCTCGGTCCTGCAGAGTTGGACTGGAAGGACGCAGCCGACGGACTTCGAATACTCCCGTTGCGAGAAGACATGGGGCCACTGCGTGCACGGACGAATGTGTCTGGACGCTCTGGTTGAGAGGAGGAGGGACAAGTTGTTGCTAAATCAACCGCCGATCGGAACCGTGATGGACTGTTCAAATTCTTCATCTTCCCACTCGCGAGTCGGCTCTCTCACTGCAAACGACGACGCAAGCCACTACTATCGTACAAGACTGGGCTATTAAACGCGACTCTATTACACTCTTTACATATGGTAACCGTGTTTCATGAGAAATACAAGTGGGCGAGAGATGATGCAACATGGGGTGGTCAGCAGTTCATGCCCATCGTACATGGGGTCCCGAGGCGTGACGGTTGACCCCAGGGGATTGGCTACGGCGCCGCACTCAGCCTCTCGTAGCTTGTCATGAGGATCGTAAAGGTGCTTACATTGTGGATGTGCTGCGCTGCGGCAGCGGGCGCGATAATTGCCCTGAGACGGCGTGACTGATCCCAGGTCAATGCTTATTTGCCGGTCGGCAAGGACGAGGGCTTACTTGTAAAATGAATTTGGGTCGATTATGGCCGCAGTTGCGGGTATGCTGGATCTATCGACCCCAGGAGGAGGAGGGGGTGGGTATGCTGGGTATCCAGCTCGTGAAGGAGGGCAAATGTGACTATCAGGACCGGCAGGGTGATATGATGTGGGTGCGGTCGATTGCGACTTTTTGTGGATCCGTAGAGGGGCCGTGCCCGGCTTTGTGTCGGTTCCAGGAGGGAGGGGTAAAGGCCTGGCGAATCCGTCTCTAATTGGTGCCTTTCTAGACTCGAGGGGCAGACTCTTCAGAGCCATCGGATGGACATAATCCCTGGAGTACGCCGGAGGGGAATCATCCATCCCTGCGTCCCGCGAATCCTGCACGTATCCAGCTCAATTGCGGCAGTTGGAAGGACGAGAGAGAGAGACAGGGAGAGCGGGACGCAAACATGGATCATCTCCGAGAAGTCCTTGTAAACGCCCATACAGTTTCGGCTGCCTCCCAGCCGAATTGATCAATCCAATGGTTGCCGCCGTCGCAGCGTGCCAGGGAGTAGGTGCTAGCACACAAGCTGTACGGTAGTAGCCAACACAGGTACATACTGCCGCCCTCCGTCACCATGGATGGGCACGATCGTCACCGAAAATCAAGAAATTCAAGAACGTCTGAAGAATAGAATGGCACGCGCAGTATCATGATCGTTCCTCAACTTCTAAACTTCGATGCCCTCCAAGTTTGTGCCCTATCGCGCCGCATCATGTCAATGACGGGCCTGGAACAATGGCACAGACACTCACGAGTTTCGGAAGACGGAGATAGACATCCGTTCCTGCCAAGTGTCAGTGACACCGCAGGTAGCGGAACCATATACATCATACCCAGGCCGTTCAGAGAGACAAGATCCAAGGATCCACCAAAATACGTCGCAAAGATGTTGCTCATGGGCAGCCCAATCCCAATCCGCTGCCTTCCTTCCTCGTCTTCTGAGCCATAATCCTGCTCGTGTTCTTGTTGCCATCGGTCGACTTGTTCGTCCACCGTTGCGCGCATTCCCCGTGGGTTCTTGCTGGCTGACCGCAGCGCGCCTATCCGCCCGTCTTGCAGACGGGATGCATTGCGGTGATGCGAGAAAGAAAACAGATCGGAACATGAGCTGACACGGGTGTGAGCAAGTCCGCCACCTGCGACCCAGATTGAGTTAGATTGGATTTTGAGCCACGTCAGTCGGGGAACGCTGACCCCGATCCGATATACGGATGCCAACATTGTCCTTTCCGGAGAACACCGTAGCTCTGATGGGAGGAGGGTTTGAGGGATGCAGCAGACTGGTGGCTTGGATGGACTAGTTGGGATCAGCGACATCGTTTTCAGCCGCGAAGAATTCACTGCACATTTTTCAGCAGCTCGAACACGATGTATCTGAGCACAATCAATTTCGGCTCGAGTCAACATGATGAACGTACTCGAGGTGCTCTCTGATGTAAGCAAATTGAATGCCGAGCTGACCATCCACGATAACTTCTGGTAGATGATCCCCGGGTTCCCTGAGAATATGGGCACATCTTTCGATACATTCTTGAACATTCAGCCCGGGGAATATGATCCCCACTTGAGAGTCCTTCGAAGTCGTGGTTTTGTCCGCGAGACTTGCAGACAAGGCGATGTGATGCTCGGCCAACACCCGTCGAGAGATCCTTGAGATGAGCATGCGACGGAGGAAAGAGTCCAGGGCATCGGCAGACAAGTGCGGGCTAGCCAAAGAAAGGCCCAGTGCCAAGTTCGGTATCACTGTCGAGCTGAACTGCTGTGTCAGATAACGATGGGTTTGGTTCGAGATCCCGCACTGACTGTTCTTGCAGCACATCGGAAAGGCTGCTGCAGAACTTGATGTTTTCAGCGAAAGTTGTGATCGGTGGATATCTTCGTAATCTTGGGAATGTCAGATACCATCAACCTGCTTTCAGCGGTCCACAATTCACTTGTCGAAAGCAGTCCAGTACATCTGAGAAGCCGTTATTCAGACGCATTGATGCTCGGAAGGACTCACCTCATAAACCTCGTCCACTCCCTCTTGCGTCATGACCTGAGTGGCCCCAGTTCAGCTCGCTCTTAGGAAAGGCCGTTCAGGAGCAACAACTGACGATGTAGGGCAATGCCTGCATGTCCCGAAGCCTATGCGCGATGCGAATAGGAAGCTCCGTCCGGACATAGTTGGCGCTCTAGATGATACCGGAAATATTGAGCATGGACACAGACGCGCCACCGCCGTTTTGCTCGCCTTGATCAGCCTCTGTTCGTTCATTGAACGACCGAAGAAGATCTTAGGAGATAGAATAAGATCCTGCCAGATCCCAAGTTCTGAATCGCATGCGCACCAATTGTCTCAATGTGAGCCGGTTCGCCTCCTTCGCAGCATAAAGCTCAAGTTGTTTGTTTTGGTAGAAAAGACGGTGTTGACTCGGACTGGTAGCGTAGCCTCGACCACAGCGTTCGGACGCTTGTTTGCCCAGATTGAACATAGTGCAAAAGAGACCATTGCCTTGGCCAGTCTAGCACATGGAGGGCAACGTATGGTAACGCGGGGCCTCGAGCCTGAGTCACCCCGACATAGCCCAACATCTGACATCATACCGCGGGAATGATGTCTATCGCCCGACAACTGATGCCAAGGCGTACATTTAAAGCATTCGCGGTCTTTCCTCTGCTCATGAGAATGAAGGAGAGTGTCCCAGTGCCCGATGCACACCAACAAGGTGTGCGAAGGGTGGTCAAGACTAAGGGACTTCGGCCTCATTTCGGGCATACAACGGGAAACAGAGCTACGGTGATAATGGGGGGCATCTCAACTATAGAATACCTTCTGACCTGCAGTCGGGTTAGAATACACAACATCCAACGCAAAAACAGACGAACTTGAGACCACCAATAATAAGATAAGCTGCACGCCGATCCCGGTTCACTCCGAGCCAATCTTGCCTGGAGACCGTGGATTTCTCCTCCCCAGAGACGAAGATGTCTTCTTCCCCCATGCCAGAGTCACCGGGCGATCCCAGAGAGTCAAGGTCGTCCTCGTCGAAAAGAACATCGTTCCACTTCGCTGGGTCAATCAAGTGATCGCAAGTAAGAAGGGCAGGCTACCTGAGCATCCGAAATGTTAACAGCCACCGTCTTCGCATCAGGCAGATTGGGAAGTATCGAGGTTAGCAGATTCGACAACAACTCCGATGTACCATCTGCGATAGGAGACCGGAGGACGGGCAGAGGAAGATATTCAGCCTATCATTGACAGCATCAGAAGAGACTTCCAAGAGAGAAAATGGTACCTGCTTCCAAGAGCATTCCTTTCACTGCGCCGCCAGCGAGTACGACATTACCAATGCGGACCAGCCAATCTGAGCCAATGGCGAAGATAGCGCCGTCGATGGTAAGTTGCTGGCTGGACTGTCCTCGCTGGGGCGCTCCAGCTGTCGGAGCGCGTACTGGCACCCAGCGCGCTTTGAGTTGCATCATGAGCTGCACAAACGTATTATGTGATTCCTGGATGACCGCCAACAGTCATGGAGCACACCTGTTCGAGGGCTCCTGGCGGTCGTAGAGTTAGGAATGTCGTCCGGTAGTGGGAAGGACGAGGGGCATTCGGGGGTTCTCCATTCGGACCCACCGCTGCCAAGAAATCTGCTCTGCTGGGAGCCAGAGGGTCTTCGACGAGGACAAAGACATTCTGGTCCATGGTCAAGGCGCACATCGTCCTTTCTGCAAGCAACTGGACGCCGGGTATTTGACCCAGTGTAGATCGATATGAGCGAACTTGCAGATTCCACGGTCCTCTGTATTGACCACTGTGGTTGGAGAGAATGTTGTCTTGGACAAGCTTCAATCCGTGAGGAGGGGCATTAACCCATCGCGCCAAGCTATTGTGTATGCAGTGGCTCGTCTGCAAAAGAGAGATGTTCCTTACCCACTGAAACCCATTTGGAACTTGGACGTGAGTAAACGCGTCGAACTGAAAGCATGTCCGACTGTTCACGTGACGACGCATGGCTGGAATAAACGTCTACAGTTGTCCAAGACATAATTATTCACATGAGAACCTATCGTACACAAAACACAACTGAGACTGAACAGCTTCCGAGCGATGCTAACTTAAACAGCATCGGCAAAGCCAACAGCATCTCGCCCAAGATCGTAAACGGTGTAGTACTTGCGCAGGAAAGTGTCCCCTAAAGCGAATCAGGTTTGACAAGTTTGCTAGGTTGATCAACTAACCGAGGATCCAGAGATCGCCTCCGGGAATGTTGAGGTCCATTCCAGTAAACGAGGATATACACGTGCCAGAGAGCTCCATGATGTAGTCTGATCCTTTGATCGGGAAAGGCTTGCCTCCGAGATAGAAGGTTAGGTCTGGAAGGGAAGGGACCTTGCTGCACTCGATAGTGTACTGCCCGTTCCACGACTTCTTAGCACCGATCTGCGCGTTGAGCATCTCCGCAACGTCGGTGGGAACAACAATCAGAGACGTCCCTGAAATTGGTAAATATTATCGTCGCTGGAAACACCATCCACTGACCGGTGTCGATGGCAGCACCGGTGTTCTCGAGGTCGAGCTCATCGTCCCCGAACTTGATCATCTCGAGCTCAACCTCCCAGTAGGCCTTGCGACGAACGGGCAAATAAGTAAGTTTACCCGAATACGCTGTGTCGTCGATTCCGCCGAAAATGGCTTCACCGCCGTCCTCCTCGCTAGATCCGAGACGGAAGGAAAAGACGGGAGCATCGAGTAGACCCTGGTTGACCATGGCGTAGAAGGGGGGTGTGATGTGGTTCACAGAGATGGTGTCGTAAGCAAGTCCTGTCCATGGTCAAGATTATGCAACACTGCTCGGCTCAGCTGGCTCACCAAGGATACCATCAAACTTTCCGAAGGCGAACGCCAAACCAGGCTCCTTGGTAGCCTCAGCGAAGTCTAACTTGGGAACCTTAAGGTCCCCGATGGTGAACATGTCGTTGGAAACGATTCCCTCCATCGAGCCACTCCCGTAATGAATCTCGAACGTGGTCCCGTTCTTCTTATAGGTCGAAGAGGCAGACGCGTCGTACTTTGCATGCAGGAAGCACGCAATGGAGGTGCAGCCGGAACTGGGGACCCAAAGATTAGAAGACCTGGCGGAAGTATCAGTGCCCTGTGACCATGCGGCTACATCGACCTGCGCACCCCGTGTCAAGAATGACCTAATGAGTCATTAGCATGGGGTAGACTTCAGACGGATGACGCGTACCTTGAAAGATTGGGGAGGGGTACCGAGCTGGATTTCAGTGAAGTATTGGGCATTCATGAAGTCTAGTAGCGTTTTAATCGGTCGGCAACCGAGCAGAAGATGACGACGACGCCGGTGACGCACTGGTGAGAGGGACGCTGTGACCGCCCTTGACATCTTCCTGAGTCCAAAAGAGCTGCTCTTTGCCGTTGCTGGAAGGACGGCTGACACGGCGGCCGGAGCCTCCTGCGCCCATCAGGGGAACCTGGGGTTGGACAGCAACACCATACTTCTCAGCGAGGTAGTAGGCCTCGGCCTCAGGATTGGAGACGGCCGAAGGCGTAACCTTGGAGAGCTTAAGCTTTTGGACGCTCGCAGAAACGAAGGGAAGGAGGGCAAGGAAGGCGGGTTTCCACATCATGGTGGTCGACTGGAGAGAGGGCTGCTTACGGTCACGATGACGTCCCTATTATTACCGCAGTTGTGACATGATCGTCACGCTGCCATTATGTCACAATCCCCTGGCATGTCGCCATTGACCAAATCGACTGTCGTAGAGGTCTCTGCCTTGGATAAACTCGTTCTTTCGCAAGCTGTTTGGGAGTTTGGTCTATCATGGACCCAGGTCTCTCGTACTCTGTCTAAACACCCCCTCCTTTCACATCCCAAAAGTTACTTCACCGCTCAGGTACCGTTTCTAGCTCATTCTCCACCACACAAAGCTCATGTATCATAGTCATGCCACGCGATGTACGATGCGATGATGATAGAGGCGGGGCTAGAACTGTATGAGCTCAACTGCCCTTTCGTGATTCTAGCTCACCACTGGCAAGAGACGCGATGGAGGATCCAGTGCACGGTAGATACCCGTCTTCTTGAATCTTCGGCGCCCAATGACCCAATCCAGCACCCACACATCTCAAACTTGCCGAAAAATATCATGTTGAGCGTGTTCAGGAGCTGCGCACGTTGATTGAAGCGGAAGAAGAGCACTTCAAGTACAAACTTGGGTTTTCATCCGTACACGGTCGAATAACATGGCCAACAGGTCTATATCTGATGAAATTGACGAACTCAGACTTGGGACAGACATTCCGGCCGAAGTTCCGGGAATGAGTCGAACAAATCTGTTGATGAAACGCCGGACGAGGTCCAGCCGATCGAAGTGCACAGTGCTACACCGGTATGTACGCCACGATTAGTCAATGCAACCAAAATCACAGATAGAATTCAGGTGGAACCTGTAGAACCTCCTCCAGCGGTCGCTCTGTCGGCAAGTGAAGATGAACCGTCGGAGCCACTTGAAATCCTGCAAGAGAGCGATGCAACAGTGAAAGTTGCGCAAGAGGGACCGACGAGTCCTCCACTAGCAGCCGAAGTTCCCTCCTCAGACGGTTTCGAAGTTAGCATGGACATCAGCGACATCGAGAAGGAAGAGGCTACACCTGAAGCGCAATCACCATCTCCTGCTATCATGGATGTCGAAGACTTGGTCAAAACGGAGGGAGAGTCGCCGTTAGCACCATCACGGTCAACGTCTAAAGCTCCAGAGGCCTCAGATGTTGCAATGCCTGTTGATGTCGAACCAGAAACCCTGCTTGAGCTAAAGCCTGAATCAGATATCGAAGAGAGCAAAGATGACGAGAATCCCGAATCCCCTGACGATGAGGTTGAAGAATCCGCCGAAGTCGAAACTCTCAAAGCAGACAGTGGATCACCCGCAGGATCTGTTACTGTTGAACTACCAGACGCGGAAGAGGTCGAATCGGCTATATCAACTCGACGTGGGTCTCATCCAACATCCCCACCATGCGAGCTCACGCAGAAGATAGGTTCCACTCGCGGTCGTCCAAGTGCAGCCGCGACATCGGCTGCGACACCCAATGTGCCAAAAAAACGTGGCCGCAAACCCATGCACCGGCCGACGCCATCGCCAGAGCCGGATATCGAATTTGATGTAGAAACTGCTGCTCCCGGACACCTGCATCACTGGCCGATTTAGATGATCTTCCGCTAAATCGACGTGGTCAGTTCTCCTCAGTGGATTTGCATGCAGTGGAGACTCATTGTACGATCAAGGCAAACGCAAAGCATCAGTCTTCGGTGGGTTCGATTCTCCGCGTGAAAGAAAGCGAGCGAGAGAGGAATCGGAGCCTGTTGAAGATGATGAACAGCGTACGTTCATCCCTATTATGCATCATCTTGAATCCTGAACTGCTTAGCCTTGACACCATCTGGTTTCCGACGTCGCGGAACCGGACGCACTGAGGAGCAGGTCGCCATCAAACGCTTCCAGACTGTCATAGGCATGGTGCATTCGCAAATTTCGCAGCACCGAAACGGCAATATCTTCCACAATCCCATCAAACGCACTGACGCCCCGGACTACTATGACATTGTCAAGCGCCCTACGGATCTGAAGTCGATCAAAGCCAAGATCAAGGATGGTGGGATCACAAACTCGCTCGAATTTCAAAGGGATATCTACCTGATGTTTGCCAACGCGATCATGTTCAACCGCCCAGGATCTGACGTACACACCATGGCAGAAGATGTAAGTCTTGTCAATGCCCCGCCTTGCTAGATTAATCTGTCGGTTAGATGATGATGGAAAGTGATGCTCAAATCAATACCTTCCGACAAACCGAAGGCTTTGTACGCGGCTCGCGATAATTGATTACTTGTAATTACTGCTTGGACCCACTGTCTCGCGAGACAACACATTTACGTCCTTGGACGCGTGACATAGAGGATAGATCAATATTTGTCATCAGGATTTGATCGGCGCTCTCCGTGCATCATCATCTCAGTCTGTCTGTCTCGGTGTCCTCGAGTGATGTTTTTGGGCGCCAGACGACTTATTCTGTAATCACACCTCCGGGAAGACCAGCATGTTTGTCGCCAGCGTGCTTCGCTGGCTTCTCCTCCTCCTGCGTGCCTTGTTGATTACCCAGCCCCAAGGGTCTTCGTGGTGGACAGTCTTCCTGGTCTGGCTCGTCCGCCTGGTCACCTTCTCCCTCCTACTCCGCACCTACATCTTCCCATGGACGATCACGCGTATGTCGAAGCACCTCCGCATCAGGAGCATCAGTCTGCGGTCCATCCGTGGCCTATACGCACGGTTCGGCGCACATACGCTGCGGGCTGACCGCATCAGCTGGACGGGCGCTTACATCGACGGCTCGTGGCGCATAACACTCCAAGTGCACGGCTTCGTTCTCCAGGTCGGCATCCCGCCACGCAAGCCGACGGCACCCATCCGCACACCCAAACACTCCCGCTCACGGACCCTCGCAGCGAAATTCGCGCCGTCTCCCATTGCGCACTACCTATGGCGGCTCGTCTCGCAGATATTCTTCGTCGTGGATCCATTCATCCGACCCGTCGTGCGGACGTACTTTACGGGATGTCTGCGGCTGGTCATCGGCGCGGTGCCAGGGATCAGCCAGGCGCTCGTCCTCGATCTGCACTCCCCACGCATCACATTCGCCGCTGTCCCCGGCGCGCAGGTTGTCACGCAGACCGTGTCCGTGCGCTCGGTCGTGGCGTTCCAAGAGGCCCAGGGCGAAAACAAGCATAGCGGCCAGACTCATGCTCAACAGCGCGCATCGTACAGCCTGGCTGCCTGGAGGAGACGGTTTACGCATAGCGTGCAGCGCTCCTGGGACCGAGCCTGTGCGACGACGCACGGGGCGATAGACGTGAAAGTGAAGTTGCAGGGCATCACTGGATCCAGTGCGTGGCCGAATTGTTTCGTTGAGGATGTTGCTGACGTGGATTAGACACGAGCAACTTCATCCAGCTGCCTGGCTCGATTGACTTGATTGGGTCCTTTGGGTTTAGTCCCAGGCGCGGATCCGTAGACCCACATAGCGTGAAAGTCGCGTTGTCCTTGACAGAGACGCATGTCGAGATTGGGCCATTGCTGGCCTTGCTGAAGGCGCTGGCACAAGATGCCCCGGATACAACACCTGAGTCACTGCCCCCGCTTGACACTTCGTTGTCTCCGCTCGTGTCTCCAGGGGGGATGTCATTCTTCACGTCACCAATCTCACCCACCAATTCACGTTCTCCGCTCCTGAGTGCATTCACGGGTACTATGGTGCGACGGCATCATCCGCAAAACGCTAAGCTGAAGGATGTCAAAGACACGGTGTGTAATCCAACTGCTTTGTCTCGATATCCTTCTCAGTATTCCACCGCAGTCCATCCTTTCCTTTTTGTCCGAAGCGACTTTCCGGATGTCCAGAATCACCGTTTCGGTCGACTCGCACATAGAAGACCGGAGATATAACTACTGCGTCAACTCTATAGATGCCTCCGCACGGATCAGCCGCCCAGAACGGGACGCACTGCATCGAAGATGGCTGGGTGCCAAGAAGATACCCGCCGACCCGGAAGGGTACGTCCTCGACGTGACCACCGGCGAGCTGCGCGCCAATCGCGACTCTCTGCATCTTCTGTCGATCAAGTCCGTGTCGATCCGAACATTGGCGGTCCAGTGGCCGCCGGGATGGCTCCATGCCAGTCCGTTCTTAAGTGGGGACCCAAATGCCCCGTTTCTTGCTGTGCATGTCGGTGTCGGCCCCATCCGCTTGACGGAAAGACTTGACTGTCTGCTCATGATGACGGCAGCTTTGCCTGCACCAGCCAAGCCGGAGACAGAACCAGAACCAGCGACAGAGCGCTATCTGCCACGAGTAGCACTGGAGTTGGAATGCCAGTCAATCAGCGGGACTCTAGTTGTCAGTGATTCGGCGTCCATCGGGCTGCGGACGGACGGCTTTGTGCTATCGGTGGTGAGCCAGTACATCCCCCGGCGAGGAGGACGGGCGTCGATCCCGGTAGACGCCGTGCACCTGCATCTGACGGCGCAAGTCGGATTTGCTCTCCGGCCGACATTTGTGCGTGTGTGTTCTGGCCCGGTGGAGGACCCGGTGCTGCTTTCGATGGAGTCGTTCGAAGTGACCGGCCACTGCCGGGCCGATGCGACGCTGAGCGACGACTCACATACTGCTCTGGTGTACTTGCCCTCTCGGACGATTGAGGTGCTATGCACTTCTGATGCGTTGTGTGTCGAACTGTGGCACCCGCTGGTTGTGCAGACCCTCCTGCACGTGCTCTCAGCTCTACCGGCGCCGGCACCGAAGACATCTACGTTCTCCGTAAGCCAGCTGCCGAAGGGTGTGTTCGCGACGTTCTCCCTGGCGCGGTTTGTGGTGTTTGTGACTGCTCCCGATCTCAATCCAGATGACACAATGGATCTCGCTCGCGGATTCGCTGTGCGTGCAGTTGGGCTGGCGGTGCAGTTCTGCTCTCTACGTGCAAATCCAGAGCCCCGATCCCACTGGCGGTCAGCCACCCGCCAGATGCTGTACCTGCCACCGGAAACCCTGATTCCATCCGTGCTGGGGGCGCTGCGGACAAACAATGTTGCATCCACGGTGCACGTGTCTCTTACAGACCTGGCTGTGCGCAGTGCCGTGTCCACGCAATTCGAAGCCGATGATCCCCTGATCTCTGAACGAGACGCCCCGGGACTCAAGCAGCAGGAGTTTCTGGCGCTGCAGAAGCCGAGCATCGTGGTTGCGCTGTCCAGCGGGACGTTTTGGCCCACTGTCAGCAGTGCGGACAACTGTTCGGTCACCGTGACTCTTCCCAGTGTCAAGGTGTCGTTCCAGCTCGCCCATCTTTACAGTGTCTTACTGGGCGCATCGACTGTGCACAAGCTCGCTGGTGCAAGACGAAAATCGCCGATCGTGAAACAGCCCATGCCATCGTCATTACACGTGACGACCAATGTGCTCGTGAAGACTGTTCACTTGATCTGCGCTCTGCCGGCACAATCTGCGCACTTTCGCTGGGACGGCCTCAGTGCCGTGCTCAAAGACAAGGCGATTACGGCTTCGTGGGAGCGTGCAACTGGCTGGGTCAAAATCCCTGCAAGCAGCACCCCTAAGCTTTGGGCTGGTCCGCACTCTGAGCGGTGGGAAGAGCTGCTGAGTCTGCGCCGGTGGACAGCCACCATCGATGCCGGGGACATCCTCATTGACGCTGATGCCGCGAGGATCCGCATCGCACACGGATTCGTGTTGGCCGATCTGGTGCTCGACATCAGTCTGTGCGTGAAATCCATCAAACACCTCGGCCGCATCTGCTTGCTCGGCGAGTTCTCGTCTGTTCCATTCCCCGAGGCCGAGGCGGCCAAGCACGTGCCCAAGCTGACGCTGAACATCCGCGCTCTGTGCGTCGAGGCCGCGGATGATCCGTTCGAGACGAGGCTGGGGCTGGCGTCGCGTGTGGGACTGGACGCAGCCAAGAGTCGGAAGGATCGCGATGAGGCGTTCCAGGCGAAGGTCAACTCGATTCTCGCGGCCGAGTCGTCCTCGGATTTCAACTTCACCTCCCAGCATTCCGTATCGATCAGCGATGCGCGGGAGAGACTGGCTGAGGTGCATTCCGTGGACTGGATCATGCGGCTGAATATGGCCCGGCAGAAACAGGCCAAGGACGAGGACTCGTTTGTTCGGAAGCAATTTGGTGTGGACCACACCACGCTCTGCAGTCTGATCGAGGTCACCCCTCCGCCGTCTTCGCCCCCCTTGTTACGAGCCCTGTTCACGAATATCTCGCTCAATCTGTCACCCCCGTCGTTCCCTATAGAGGCCCTCCCCAGTTTCTTACACAAGCAGGGCGGCGGACTCCCTGTCGACACGCAGTTCTCGTTGCTCGTCCCGCTCCACCTGAACTTTGGCGTGTCGTCGCTACGCGTCACTCTGCGAGACTACCCGCTGCCGCTGGCCTGGATCCCGCCCCGCTCAGACAGCACACTCTTTGCGCTCGACTTTGATGGGGATCTCGTGATCGCAGAGGAGATGTGCACGGACCTGTCCGTCGACTGGGTCGAGTGTCCCGTCGTCCCGGTCAATTACGGCATGCCGGGGTCGGCGCCGTTCGCGTTGTCGATCCCCAAGACCATCATGCCGGTCAAGTCGTATGCGAATCCCGTGATTTCGGTGTCCGCGGACGATGCGACAGTTTTCACATGGGGCGTCAGCTATGGATTCGCCACACAAGATGTCATGCGGGTCGTCGACACGCTCTCCAGCGCCCCGCGAGACGCGTCGCCTGCGATGGGCTTCTGGGATAAGATGCGGCTCATCTTCCATTGGACCATCACGACTGAGTTTGCCAACGAGGTCCGGCTGCAGATGAAGGGTGCGTGCTATCTATTACAGTCTGATTCCTGGCCTGATCTAATCTAATCTGCTTTGTAGGCTCCCGTGATCCGTATCTCATCAACGGCGAAGGGGCTGGCTTTGTCCTGGCTTGGCGGGGTAAGCCACGGCTCTGTATCGGCGAAAGGAACGATGCGAACGAGCTGGTGCAGATCATCAGTGACTCGATGTTGATCGCCATCCCAGAGTGCGTCGTTACGTCGGGCGACTGTTCGTTCATCTCATCACCCACTCCAGCTTCTCCAATTTACAGCCCAAATATAAACGCAAACAACGTCGTCCCCGGCCATTCAAAAAAGTGTGTGCGACGTTCAGTGCCGGTGTCTGCTTCGGAATCGGGTTCGTCATGGAACGGTCCTGTGGACCCGAGTGTGTCCTGGGTTGTTCCGGATCAGCATTCCACCGGCAGTGCCGTTTGTACACTTTCCGGCCGCACTACGAGGTGAAGATGGAGAGGAAACCACCGGGGGTCGTGCCAGAACGTAAGGGGCCGGACGACTCGTACAACGGCTTCCGGTCGGATTTCATCCATCTTTCCGTGTCGCTCACGTCCGCACTGAAAGCGGAGTCGTCTGCGCCCAGCAGTTTGCACTTGACGCCGTTGGCGTTTACTCATTTCTGGAGCTGGTGGAAGCTGTTCGATGGGGTGCTGAGTCTGCCTGTGCGACAGGGCCTGGCCTGGCCGCACCGTCCCATCTCACCCAAATTTGGACGGCATCTTGCCACGATCAAGTATCGCATTGGGGTGCGGAATCTGTACATCATGCACGGCTACATCGACGACTCGCGGGAGAGTGCGTAGTCTTCCTTCTCTCGACAGCTTCTCCTGCTCATTGATGCATTCGTAGCCTGGGCGGATGGGCTGACGCCGTGGGTTGGCGTCAAGGGCTTCATCGATCATTTCCAAGTCGACATGCATCAGCGAGAGGAGGAAAAGTCGGTCGACAACAAGATCATCCGCCGCAAACCCTTCTACGCAGTCGAACTGGCCATGCAGGGGATCGATCTGCGGGCCCTGCTAGCCGTCTTCGACGATCCCATGAAAGCGCAAGTCGGGGTCGGCGCCTCGCCGCAGCGGAGCAACTACCTCAACCGCCGGGCGGAGCTGCCCCAGGTGAAAGATGAGCGCTGGTGCGACGCGGAGGACTTTGTCGAGCTCGATTGGGCCGCGCGGGACGTGGCGTCGGGGGCCCCGGGGCCGGCACTGCATTTCTTGCCGGTCGGCGTGTGCCCGAGGTTCACGTATTTCAGACGCGGGGGGACGCCGGAGGACAGCAAGTTCGGGGATGAGAGGTCGCACACGTGTTTCTTAGGGAAAGAACCGTCGGTGCCCCAGGTCCAGGTTGAGCTGGCCAAGGAGCGGCTGAGAGAGTTGTCGGATGTACGTTGCGGGTCTTCGCATGGTCGTTTCAGTCGCTGATGTGACTGCAGCCTAAAATGTCGGACATTTTGAAAGACTATATCAAGATCCTCGAAAACCCGGAATCACCGATGGACCACAACTACCATCTCCCAGCAGACAGTCTCTCAGAATCTGAATGGGCTGAATTCGATAACGTTTTCCAAGTTCATTGCCCAAAGCTGTTTTTGGACAGTGCGGTCAGAGACGTATGTTACCGAGTTTTCCGCCTTGAAACAGCTATCGATTTCATCCCCGACAGATCATGGTTCAATATTATTACTGCTCTCGGGCCCGGAAAGGCCAGGAATATCACATGGCTGCTCGCGCCGTCCAGTTCATCCGGGATCAGGCCGAACAGGCGCTCCACAACACGAACGGCGACAAGCACGGCTCGCCGGTCCAGGGTGCTGCGCAAGTGCTGAAGAAAATCCTCACCGGGGCTGATTCCCCGGCCAACGCACCAAAGCAGCATCAGCCCGCCATGAGCATTGACCCGGCCTCCGGTTGGTCCGACGGCGTGTCGCTCGAGAAGGCGCACTGCTGTCTTCTGCTTAAACCGCAGATCGTCCTCCGCGACGAATGGAATTCGGAGCAGAGCTGTGTCGTAGCGGCTGTGCAGGCGAAGCTGCAGAGCTACACGATCCTGGACGACAAGAACGTGGATGACCCGATCAACGGCAAGATCATGTCCCGGACGTACACGACCCTGTCGGGCTTGCAGACGTTCACACCCGAGTCGCGCGAATACGCGGGTGACGGGTGTGTTCCGCTGGAGGTGCTGATCGACTTCCGGTGCGACACGGAGGAATTCCAGCGTCTGGTGCCGCAGACGGACGCGGCCTTCCACTACGACAAATTCAACCGCCTGCGGTTGCGCAACAACGTGGTCCCCCGGAACTCCGAGTTCCGGCATCTGCAGGACCAGACGGATCTGATCCAGGTCCACATCCCCAAATTCACCGTGACCGCCAACGACGCGCATTTCCAGATCATCTCGAGGATCGTGACGAAGCTGATCCTGTTTTCCGACGCGGCGTTGAAGACGCGCACGAACAAGCTCGAGACGCTGCTCTTCACGTATGACTTCAAGGATCTGTTTTCGGTGGCGGGCGTGGTCAAGGACTTGCAGACGGGACTGCGCGATGCAACGGAGACGGAGGACACCGCCGATCTCAGCCATCTGGGTCTCGAGGAAGGTGCGTTGGAGCTGTTGAAGCTGAAGGCGCATAAGATGGTCCGTGATCTTATCCTCTGTGTCATCCACTTGTGTTCTCATCTGAAGTGCTGCCAGCTCCTGTCCGAAGAGCTCAATGCTCTGTTCGACTGCATCCAACTGGCCCAGGACGAGCGAGACCAGCAATCAGAATCCAAGTCATCGCTGCTGCTGCACACGTCGTCGTCCGAGATCAGCTGGAGGATGCTTGACGAGCAGCGGGAGATGTTGGCCAAGCTGGTCGTGCAGGACATCGACTTTTGGTGGCTCAGTCGCCAGGACAGCTCGAGCGTCAATGACCTCAGTGTGGGCAATCTGCAGGCGTTCGATGGCGCGCAGAACGCACGGTGGGCGGAGATTCTGTGCAAGTACGATGAGCCGGCGAACCATCCTTTGCTCAAGGTGTGTGTGGTGGCTGTCATCATTGGAATTGCGTCTCACTCCGTTCACCAGAAAGGGATATTTGTGATGGCGACGTGGTCCGTCCTCGCTCCAGTGGGCGGGATCACGATCTACGAATCGTTCGAGCTCAACTTCCACCCGATGCGGCTGCAGGTCGACGCCCGCGTCGGGCGGCGCATCATGGAATACGTCTGGCCCGATCGGAGAAACCGTAAAATGATCCTCGAGGACGATAGCCAGCCGACGTCGGTCGATCAGTCACCGCCGGAGACAGCGGAGCCGTCGCAGATGCCGATTGGGATTTCGGCTTCAGTGCCGGCTTTGGCGTCCACGACGCTGGCACCGACAGCGTTGGCCGCGCCGATGCGGCTCAGCGCGTCGAGGTCGTTCACGGACTTGCGGTCCGCGACGTTGACCCCGCCTCGGACGTTGCATCGGACTGCGTCGAGCGGAGCTCTGCGGCAGGCCTCGATGCCGGCTCCCATCTCCCATTCCTCGTCCACTGCTAGCTCGAGCACACAGAAGAACGTGGTCTCGGGCCCGCGCAAGACGGGCGACGCTGCTGAGATGAAGACCCGGTCGTCCCAGAAGAGTTTCGTGCTGGTCAGGATATCGAGTCTGAATCTGCTGTTGAGCGTGTCGAAAGAGCAGTCTTTCGTCTGTCGCGACGCGCATATCAGAACGAGGGACCTTGAGTATCGGAACCAAACATGGAGTGTGCGTGTCCCCGTGGTTTTTATTGTGCTGACCTGCAAGCTAAAAAACATCTCTCGCATAGTTTGAAGAGCTTGTGAACCAATTCATCCCATCGGACATGAGCTGGAAAGGCTGGCTCAAGATGGCCTTCCACCAGCCGCTGGTCCCCGTCCTGCCCGTCGCCCGGGAACTCATCTCCAAGACGAAGTGGATCGCAGGCAAGGCCGTGACGAATGGGCCCGGGGAGGACTCGGACACCGACAGCCAGCGGCGATGGAAGCTGGGCAGGAGACACCGGCCCGAGACGCCGCCGGTCGAGTCCGACTCGGAGTCGCGGTCCTCGATGACCCAGAGCCACCCTCCCACGCACAACAAAAAGTTTGCGACCATTTTCGGGCGTAATCGGACGGGGAGCGCTGGCGTGGCTCATTTGTAGCATCTGACGGATTTGGCTCGATCTGCATACCACCATCTACTTTTTGCCGCTTACCATTGGATAGACACGCATACATGTACCAACTCACTCATACTACACCCGCATTTTACTCACCGCCTTCGCAACGGAGTTATTATTATAGATATCGTATCGTCTACCTACTGCTCGCTGTGAAAAGGATCTGATCTGTTCTGCGATTTCCTTCAGCACCTGTCTAGAAACCAGGCAGCTTGTCCGTCGAGATTGGACCGCTTCCATCAGAGGAAAACATCGCGATTGTTACAATGCACTGACTTTCATCACCCAAGTTGTACGGATCTCGCAACATTGCAGAAGCACCTTCCAAGTTGTTATCAAAATTAACACATTACATGCACCACATTCAAAAGATGCCCTCGATCTTGCTCTTGACACTTTCGATGTCACCCGCCAGCCCAAGCGAGGCGAGACAGCCGCTGCACGAGGCGGGCTGGGAAAATGGGTGAATGAATGCCGATATCGCATGTCTGTACCCAGGGTCAAGGCGTACCAGAGCGACGGCGTCCTGCACAGCAGCGAGAATGCAGCCCGCATCCGTGAATGGGTCTGGCGTCGACGAAAACTGAGAGACGGGTGATGGAGCTGATGTTGATCGAGTGCTTACCGACATCCGCCTGGGCAACAGCCAGTCCACACGACAGTCCCACTTCAGGTGTGGTGATGAGCGCGGTGTGGCAGTGTGGTTGATGCGGCTAGGTACTTGCCGGTGGGTGCGAGATTGAGCAGACACGCTGGAGAGGGGTGTCAATGTCAGCGCCCGCTTTGCGCTGCAGACGGTGATCCGCACTCTTGAGATCACAGCTGCGCTGGGTCAAGCGTGTCGGAGCGGCAGATGCGATTGCAGCAAGTGCGATGATGGGAGCAAAGAGCATGGGCGATTGAAGGAGAAGAAAAAGTAAAGTAAAGTTCTGGCGGAGAAACGGGAAAAAAAGGTGGCTCAGCCGCCCGAGAAGAAGAATCAGTTCCAATCTCGTCGAGCTGGGTATTTATTGTAGACACGGATGCGATGCCGCTGGGCTAGCCGTTGAAGACAATCAGAGCAATTCACATGCAGATCATAGTAAAGCAGAATCAGAGAGATTGAGGACAGCCAGAGAGATTCGATGACCAGACAAGTCAGCAGTGTGCGATAGACAGTGTCCTGGAGAAGTGCCCGTGGCATCTCGATACAAGACGTCCTGGGCCAGTCGGGCCTGGGTCGACAACCCATCTTGCGACGCAGAGATCCCCAACCAACGACTGAGCTGTGGACAGCCCGACAAATGCATCGAAATTTGTCCGACTCTGGTTTGATGATGAAAGTCGGAAGGGGCTGTTCAGCGGATGGCGGTCACAGTGGAGGGAAGTATGTTAAGCGCTTTAGGATGGCTAAATCGGTGTACACCAAAACCGACGCAGCGGGGCATCATATCGTTGGCGTCCAATCGGGAGAACACTGAACAGTCGGTTCGATTGATGTGATGACGGGGACGACGGAAAGAAGGGGCGCGATCGGTTGCTCGAAAGTATGTAACGTGCGTGCGTCTTCGGCGTCATCACATCCTTCTGCTCTCTCCCCACCCTTCCCAATGAAAATCGCTATCGTCGGTTCAGGCGTCTCCGGCCTAAGCGCCACCTGGGTGAACTTTCAGCTCGTTGCATGTACTGTAGCGGGTTTGAACCTTCCCTTCGCAGCTCCTCAATGAGTACAGCGACCACGAAGTGCATTTGTACGAAGCCGACGACCGACCTGGCGGACATGCTAACACGGTCATGTTTGCGCCACCAGGAAAGAAGGAGGGTGTGTATGTCGATACGTACGTGCCCGACGCGTCGCCAGTTCGAGTCTCACAGTTTTGGCTCGCGCGGCGTTTCAAGTGGCTTCGTACGTTATTCTGAGCAGCCTTTGGGCGCGTCAGGCACTCATCCAGCCCTGTAGATTGTTTTCAACCCGAGCACATACCCCAACTTCATCAACTTTCTCGAATTGAATAAGATCCGAATCTTGCCGACGGAGATGACGTTCAGCGTGTCGCGCGATCGCGGTGCCTTCGAGTGGGCGGGAGACACGATCTTCACTGTGTTCTGCCAGCCGTGGAGGCTCGTCGATCCTGACATGTGGCGCTTGCTGTATGACGTGCTGCGGTTCAACGCGTGTGCGCGGTCCATTCTACGCGACGACTTTCCGGCGGAAACGTCTATTGGGGAATACCTGGACAAGGAGGGGTATTCTATGTCCTTCAAGGACAATTATCTGATTGTAGGGGATCGGCTAGGACCATTTTGCTGTTGCTGACCAGTGCGACTACTTACTAGCCCATGACGGCTTGTATCTGGAGCACGCCGCCGGAGAAATGCGCTCTTGACTTTCCCGCGAAGACTCTCGTGAGTGACGATAGCAAGGTCCATTCATAGACTGAATGTGGAACGTTTGAACCGCGCAGATCCAGTTCATGAGCAATCATCATCTGCTCCAGGTGACCGGAAAGCCGTCTTGGTTGACACTGGATGGGGGAAGGTGCGCAACTACTGTCTACACGCGAGAGCTGTGAGTCACCATCACCCCACAGTCGAGTCTACGTGAATCGCATATTGTCCAAGCTGCCTGAACATCAACTGCATTTGTCTACTCCGATCAGAGCGGTCAGTACGTTCCCTGAACGAGATACAGTCGACCTCGTCACATCTGCCGGAGTGACGGAGACGTACGACCATGTATCTTTGCATGCCACTCTGACACAGCGCTCTCGATCCTGCAAGCCGGAGAAGGTCTGACTGCGGAGGAGGAAGCTATCCTGGGCAAGTTCCAGTGGAACCAGAACGAAGCCGTGCTGCATTGCGACACAAACGTTCGTGCGCACGCGGGTGCAGTGAGCGGAACTAATCAGCGTTGCAGTTGATGCCTCGGAGTCGGATGGCTTGGTCGTGTTGGAATTATCTCACGCAGTCTGAGCTGGATGACCACGGTGCTCGAAAGGCGAATTCGGACCAGGTGTCCTTGTGCGTGAGCTTTTATTATATCCCGTTCAATTCTGACCCTTTGTAGGACCTGTGAGCACATCTGGAGGGCGATAACCCTGTAACTTGACTGAACTGCTGTGCCAGATGGGATGAACGCGTTGCAGCACATTCCTGAATCCAAATTCGGGCCTGTCCTGGTGACTCTCAATCCTCCATTCGAGCCCCGCAAGGGCACCACCGGAGGTCGCTGGCGATACGACCATCCAGTGCTCGACGGCAGTGCGGTCCAGGCTCAGAAGCTCGTGCCGCGCATCCAGCGAACGCGAGGGCTGTCGTATGCCGGTGCTTACCTCCGATACGGCTTCCACGAGGACGGATTCGCGTCGGGGCTCGCTGCTGCTCGCCATTTTGTCGATCGGAACCGGCTGCCGTTTGAATTGGAGCTGGATGTCGATAGACCTGCCCCTGACGCGAAGGTCGCTGAAATGATCTTTGGTGTGTTGGAGGGATCGGGGCTCACGGCAGTCGTGGGACTTTTTGGGTCTTGTATGCTGGCAGTGGTTAATCTCGTGCTATGGCGCGTGATTGAACGGGTCTGGCCGAGACCAGAGGCTAAGCTCAAGGAGGATTGAAAACTCCGGACATTCCAGTATCTCCAAGTCTATACTTAGAAGCTGTGAAAGATATATCTGAATCAAAGTTGGCCTTGGCGTCTATCAATCGGTGTCGGTCGGTCTGATGCGAATCGGGACATCGGGAAAGATGTTTATGAAATTAGGCTGACGTCAAAGTAGGCGAGGATCTTTCCTTCCTCCTCCCCGTTCCTCATATGCCTTCCGTTCGCGTTCGTCGCAGCACCTATGTGGCGGTCGAACCGATACCCCCACGGCCTCTGACAGAAATCTTCAAGCCCCCCTCAGAAACGGGTGTCCCGATCGCTGGGTCCGACTCCACCTCGCCTCCACACACTCGCCCATCTCCGCGCAGCAGCAGGGTGCAAAGCCATGTCGTCGGCTCCACGCGCTCTCGTGTGCTGTCCTCAAATTTCCGCGCTGCGTCACCCGAGTCGTTGGGGCGGTCGGCCACCCCTCTGTCGCACCACTCTGGCGTGAACACAGACGTCGTCGTACGGGCGCGCTCGGACGGCGAGCCTGGGCTTATTGGAAGCGCCCTTAGTGTCTCTGACGCGGAATCTCAACGCCCTGGACTGGGGCGGGACGACAGCGACCAGGATCTGGACGACCATGTCGACCAGGTTGTTGAGCATTTGGATGTTATTGGTGTGTGGCCCGGCCGTGGAAATCAGTCGCATATTGATGCTATCTATGGGAAACAGACCCTCAAGTTGCAACTGTGTCTACGCTCACTAACGCTGCAAATGCCATTCTTTTGTCCGTGGAGCTATCATTAACTTTCTTGGGTTTGCACTTACCCGTCGTGATAGCCCCCCATGGCATTCTCACAAGCCTGTCGTGACACTGTCGTCGCCGTCTATTTCGGACGTCACGGACCCAGAGGACGGACAGCGTCCTGGAAAAGAATACGAGGATTCCTTAGACCGCCATGTGCAGGATGTCTTGAAGAAACCTTCGAAGTTCCGGCGTACGATGAAGGGTGTTTTAGCTTTCCTCAAAACGCGTGAGTAGCTTTGTGCGGCACGAACGTTGTTCGCTAACTGGCGTTTATCCAGCTTTGGGTGTAAGTTGTGCCATTCTGTCGCCTGGACCGACTAATCAGAGCCGGAGCTTAGATGATAACTGGAGTCTATGGCTTCTTTGTAGGCGCGTCTGATCCCTCTGCTCCACTTCCAAGGATTTCTGAACTTGTCCATTAGTGTTTTGGGGAGCTGCGATCGTCATTTTCTTGGTCAAGATCATCAATTTCCACAACGCAAACACACAAGGATTTTGGGTGGAAGTCAGCTCGCAAGTAGAAAACGGCGAGTTGGTTTCTTTAATTGAGCGAGGCGATTCTCTGACGTTTGAACTTTAGGATTGTTCACTGTCACCGGAATCGGATTGATACCCTCACGCGTTCTGGACACCTACAGTACGCCGCACCTCTCAGTTCGAAAGTGATCTATGCTGAATCGAATTCAGGGGTATTCTGGATTTGGCATTACAAACGCAAGACCCGCAGGCTGCGTTTGAAAGCCGGATTGCCCGTTCTGTTTGACGAGGACGATCTACCAGACCCTGCTTACGACCCCAATTATGTTCACGTTCTCACCGACGAAGAGCAGAAGTATCTGCACCGACGTGAGTAGAGGGCCTTGTTTTGGCCATTTTTGCCGCTCACAGATGAACTAGAGCAAGTGAAGTTCCAACGGCATCAAACCTGGTATCGGGCACATGGAACTGAGACTCATCGCGTTCGTGCCTTTCTTTTTGTGTTCAGGCTCTTCACTGACTGCTTCTTTAGGCGTTCCCGATCAAGTATGGTTTCCCCCATTTCTCGTGTATCAGAACTAATGCGACTGTGTGCTCAGCACTGCGTTGCTCATATGCTGTTTGAACGACGGTAATTCCATCTTCCAGGTGAACTCTGTCTCGGTTTTTTGAGTGCATACCCCGGTCTCATCATCTTTGTCAGATCATACTCTGTGGCACCATGTGGGGATTAGATCGGTCAGAGATTCGATTTGTTGCTATGTTTATGAGCTCATTGCCTTGCGCAGCTTCCAGCGGCCTGCATGGAGCACGGGTATTCTCATCCCAGCCAGCTTCCTTTGTGGGATATTCTCTGCCGTCTTTATTGCCATCGGCGGAAACCACACCAAGCGCGTAGAGAAGGTGCGGGAAAGGCTGGCTGCCGCACTTGCTATGGATCATCCCGCCGATTTGAACACCGACGCGAGCAACCTTGAGAGGGGCGCGGAAAAGGTCCCGGATCATTATGCCAACGGTAATGGTCATAGTCCTCTAGAGGAGGAGCTGGTCGCTGATGAGCGGATGGTCGTGCCTGCTGTGGATGAAAAGGGTAACGTTTGACGGTGTATGTACTCTATAATTGACGCTTTACATAATCTATACATGGGTATCTTCCGGGTTTCTGGACTGCGACTGGATAGTGAGATTAGATTCTCGTTGGCCCGCCTGTCACGAGCTCAAAAACTCTATTACTCATCATGTGACTGATAAAACAACACCAGGCAACTTGTCACGCGTGACATTCATCGTTGGCTCTTGCATAGATACACTCAGTGTACAGAATTGGTGTACATACACTGGCCCTCGTCGAGCTCGTGAGATCTGCTATGTACTCCCAACAACATCATCCAGGCCATCCGGCGTTTCTGCCGCCTCAGCATTTCCAACCCCAATACTACCAGCCCCAACCCTCTCCCCCTCCCCCTCCTGTGTATAACCCTGACCCCGCCTCGTTCCGCAGAGACTATTCACGACATCTAGCGGAGCTCAAGGTCAATTCCAGGCCTATCATTCAGAACCTCTCTGTCATAGCACAAGACTTTACCCGCTACGCTGAGATCATTGTCCAATGCATCGAGTCCCACATACGGCAGGTGAGTGGCACAGGTTGGCCCCATTCTCGCTCACCTACCGACGCACCTGCCATTCAGGTTCCGCATTGGATGAAACTTCCCGCTTTCTATCTGCTCGACGCCATCTCGAAAAACGTCTTTGATCCCTACGCTCGGCACTTTTCGGGAATCGTGGTCTCGCTGTTTCTAGACACGCACTCCTCAGTAGACGAAGTGACCCGCGGAAAGATGGAGGAAATGCTGATCACTTGGAGGACAGGTTCGCCTACTGGGGCACCGTTGTTCGGCGAGCCGGCGCAGGCGGCCATTGAGCGGGGTATATGGCAGAAAGGCAATGTACGTCGTCGTGCCCCTCGCACAGCTGTGTTCCCCATCGTATTCTCTCAGGCGGAAGTGTTCAAGGCTCAGGTTCTTACCGAGCTCGAGTTCACACTGAGTCAGAAGGAGCGGGCGTCTCACGCGAACCCTTATGACACAACGTCACAAAACCACATCGTCATTCTGCAACAGGTTCGCTGTCCCTGCGTTTGTCTGACCCTTACTGACTTGTTCGTAGTTGCGCAGATTAATTGAAACCGGTGTCTCGTATCCGGAGTTAGAGCAAATTCTGGCTCAGCTGAGGTCGCTGATGCGACCCGTTCCTGTGCCTCAACCTCCACCACAGCCTCAGCAGGCATGGCCGGCTCCCCCTTCTCATACTCCAACACCTGTATACAACAACGCACCGGCTCAACCACCTCCTTTCGGATATTCCGGATCATTCGCTAAATCTGAGCCTCCACCTGCCAGTAGCTCGACAGCTGCGACTCTGATATCACAAGACAGTATCCTGAACCTGTTGACCACGTTGAAGAAGCAAGGCTTCGGGGGTGATAAGACCGATGACACGCCCGAACAACAAGCACCTGATCTTGACCGTGATGCTTCCAGGGCCTATCGTGATGCCATTTTGTTACGTGGTGTGCGACTGACAAGTACAGATGTTACAAGGTATTTACTCAATTGTATTCTCTTACTGAGTGCTGATCATGATCCTTACAGGAAGCGCACTGATGTTGCCGAGTTCTTGTACGACCGGATGGCGCTACAGTGTAGGCAGTGCGGAGTCCGATTTTCAGACACCGCTGCAGGGAAGCAGCGCATGGAAGAGCATCTTGACATGCATTTCCAGCAAAATCGACGGGCCAACCAGAACATCGGACGCGGTCACGCGAGAAGTTGGTTTGTGAGCATCGAGGCGCGTATCACTTGTGCTCTGGTGCATGCGCTGTATGCTGACGCTATAGTAGGACTGGATCAGCGATGTTTCTGACGTCAAGGGCAAAGGTCGTGCCGATGGAGCGAGACCTCGAGGTCTGAGTGCCAAAGCTGCGATGGCCGCTGAAGAGGCCAAGCGGATAGCAGATCTGCGAGCGCAGTACGTTGTTGTGCCGCCAGGGGAGGAAGCCGTATCTTTGGCATGCCCCATTTGCAAAGAAACTTTCAAGAACGAGTGGAATGATGAGGAAGAAGAATGGGTCTGGCGAAACGCTGTGTCGAAGGCTGATCGAGTGGGTGCCGGTCTTTTTTTGCGTGTGCACGAACTCAATGGTCCTGAACGCAAGGTGTATCATGCGACCTGCCACGCTGAGGCTACTAATGGGCTGGCGTTGAGGTTGAAGAGCGAGCTGGCAAGTGTAAGGAGTCGATCCAATACACCCGAGAATGGGCAAATACCGGCCTCTGCTTCTGCTGTGTTGACCAAAGTAGCGTCGGCCTCTCTGCTGGGCACTGTATCACCATCACGAGGGTCGTTGTCGCCGACTCAAAAACAGTTTGGGTCGGATAGTAAGCCTTTGCTCGTAGGGATCAAACGTAAGGCTGAGGAATCGGAACTGGAAGCAAATGGTGCTGGCTTGCATTCTGAAGGCACTCCGCCCCTGAAGAAGTTGGCATTGGCTATAGAGTCATAGTTTTCCTCGTTCTAAGCAAGCGGCGCGTCATCCGGGCCTTATCTTTATTCAATTACAGGACTTATGCACAGCACATCCATGTACTATGATCATCGAAAACGCATTTTAGTCTCGAACTTATATTCCGTGTGTAAATGATGAATTAAATCAGACTCCCTCTGGCGGACGCCGAGCAGTGCGGTCCAGTCTCAATTGCTCACATCGTAATTGATCGTCCGTCGCTTATGATCCCCGACAATCAACGACCCATTCAACCTCTCAAATACTGCATCATCCTACTGTTCAACTTCTACTACAGCACTACCAATCGACGCATTGGGCTTACTGCTAAGGTTTGGAATCTATTACTTCAGGCAAATCAGATCTATCAGTAATCCATATATGGATGACACACGGCCCATATCAGATGCATCAGAGAACGCATTTGTATCCAACATTTCGCTGGAGCAGCCGATATTGCTGAGATGAAGACCGTAGTTTACATACCGTTCTGCTAGCCAGACTGATTGGCTCCATTAATCTCAGGGTAAAGCAAACGAGGATGAACCAGGAAGATGATGTTTTGGGCATGAGCATAATCTGCAACTCCTCATAAATGCATACGGACACATGGCTACCCCTACTCGGTCTGTACAACGGTGCCCTTCGCGGAAACGTAGATGCCGTCAAGGAATTTACGGATATCCTTGTTGCGAACCAGGCATGAACCGTGGATAGAAGCAGCAGATTGTGAAACCATGTCGATGTCGTTGCCCTCGAGGATGAGCTCGTCCTTCTGGTCCGTAGACTCGGCAATCGTGACACCCTCCAGCATGGAAACGTGTCGCACAGTCTGAACGCGGATGGGTCAGCATATGAATTCGCGGTGCACTGACTGTGAGCGCACCTTCTCCCCAAGGAAATTCCGGATCTCGACGTCAGCGCCAGAGTTTTGGATGATGCAGTTGATGGGGAAGTGAGCGTAGACGGTACGCATTTTGTATCGGAAGCCCTGCATTGACGGTTCATTGAGATGTCGGTAGCAGCTGCGACGGACTGGCGCACCTTGGTCACACCCGTAATCATGTTTGTGATCAAGCTCTTGATTGTGCGGAGGCAAGCGATGTGCTTGCGGCCACCCTGCCAGACTGCGAGCGTGACTTTGTGGGCATTCTTCGTCTGGAGGAGGCGGATGTCCATGTTCACATGGCGGACGTTCTTCGACAGGGTTCCACGAGGTCCCTTGACGGTGATGAGACGGGACTTGATCTCGACCGTGACTCCCTCAGGGATATCCAATTCTTCCGTCTTGAGAACGTCGTACATCTATAGAGAAATTGCCAGTTAGTCTTTATCCTCAACAGCGCAGTTTTCGCCCGTTTCCCACAGCGATAGTGTCGTTGGGAGGTGAGGAGAGGGCGGAAACGGACGGAACACGCGACAAAGACGAGATGAACACGCACGGCGGTGAGGTCGGCCTGTGAAGAAAAGTGAGTTGCGCGAAGTAAAGTTGAGCACGTGCAACTAGGCAGCCACTTGTACACTCGCATAATTGCGTTCAGTCAGCAATACCAGCTACACAGTTCGATCCCGAGCGGACGCAAATTGCCTGAAGCTTTTCCCGCATCCCTCAATTTGCTTTCAAGCTGGTTCTTCACTACTGGCTAATTTCTACCACGCCTCCTACGCTCGTTTGTCTCTTGCGCAGAAATATTTCCAGGTTTTCCTGACTTTGCGGAGTTCAAGAACACAATGCACCGCCACTGATCACCTCTTGTTGTTGTCATTCCCTCTTTGGGCTCAACATCATCATAATGCTGTCTGAGAGTTCATAGCACATCTTTGTCTCTTTTGTCTCATCCTCCCATGTCTACCGCGACACCACCGGTCAACCCGCTGCACCCACCGCCACCGGCGAAATACACTGGCCGCATCCCGAATACAGCCCTCGCCGCATCCACAGTCTCATTCATTCTCGGCTCGCTGTTCTCGCTCGGCTTCTTCACCTTTGTGGCCGGTCTCTCGAACAATGGGTTGAATCATACCGGAGTATGGTCTTGGTGGACCACTCCGCACCTTGCCTTCTTTGCAGCCGCGTGGTCTTTCTTTCATTGGGACGAATACGCAGTCACTGTGGGATGGAACTTTGATAAAAGCAGCGTAGACTGTGGGTGGTCGGCCACTGCTCGTGTCTCTCGTTAAGCTTACCCTATCACTCAGCATTCCTCCTCGAAAACGGAAGCTTGTATCACATCGCTCACAGCGTCAGTATCATCGAATATCTTGTGACGCTCTTCTTCTTTCCTGGCTTCAAGTCGCTGTACCCGCAATGGCTTGCGGGAATTGGTCTTGTGCTCGTCTTGGGAGGGCAGACTCTGCGGTCCTGTGCCATGATCCACGCTGCCACCAACTTCTCGCATGCTGTCGCGTTCCGGAAGCGGGACGACCACATCTTAGTTACTACAGGCGTGTATGCCTATCTCCGCCACCCATCGTATACGGGGTTCTTCTGGTGGGCCGTTGGTACCCAGATCGTGCTCGGGAATCCGATCTCGGTTGTTGGGTACATGGTGGTTATGTGGCGGTTCTTCTACTATCGCATCAAGGCTGAGGAGAGGGCGCTGGTTGTTTTCTTTGGGAAAGATTATGAAGAATACCGTAAACGAGTCGGAACGTGGATTCCCTTCGTTCCATAATTTTGTTAGGTTGGTGGAAGCCATCTGCTGGGGGACTACATAATTATATTACAGTTCAATACCTTTCGAATTCTACGCTCTACCCAGTTCCCGCAAGACTTCCTGCTTTCTGTCTGCGGAAACGGCATAGTACCCGGCGGTGGACTGTTCGAATTGCCCATGACCGCCAGTCAATGCTCGGAGCTTGAGGGCATAGTCTAGCATCTGGCTGAGTGGGGCCTGGGCAACAATAGTCTGCCTTGCAGCTGGTCCACGGCCTACATTTCCACCATTCGTTGAAGGTGAGAGGGAGAGTGGAGGAACATACACTCCCTCAGTCGAGTAGCCCTCGTCCAGCTCGTCCCCTTCCTTCGTACCACCGAGACTTACAACCCTGCCGCCTCTTTCTCCTAGATCACGGACGACCCGTCCGACACTATCTCCAGTCACGGTCACCCGCACATTGATCCAAGGCTCCATGATATCACCAGGTCCCGCAGATTTCAAGTGCTCTCGCAGCAGCACAGCACCGGCTCCTTGCAGGACTGTCGGCGGCGCACTCGGCGGGAGGGAAAAGGACACGACTTGCACGTGAGTTCTGACCAGGGGAAGGGCAGCGAAAGGGGAATTTGACAAGGCTGTCTGTATGCCAGCTGCCAGATTGATTGTGGGTGACTGAGATGTGCCGATGGCTGGAGCGTCGAATGGTCGATTGTCCGCATCGACGACGACATTTCCGTCCCATGTAGGATCCCCCACTTCTTCTTCTGTCAATGCCCGCACCTTCAGAACAATCTCCACGGAGATTGTTGCACCACCAACTTCCGACTTCCACACATTGCTGGCGTTTGGATCTCTGAGGGTCGACCCAACGCTTTCTCGATAACCGACACGTCTGGCACCAAACACGCAATTGACACCCCATTCGTCTTTCAGCCGTCCTTCAACGATCTCCAGGTGCAGAGCACCCAAGCCATGGGCCAGCATCTGACCTTCGCTTCCGCTCGTCTCGATTCGAACACTGGGATCAGTCCGAGAAAGGGCAAGGAGGGCGTCCTGGACAGGTTGAAGGTCGGCATGAGCACGAGGAATCACTGACGCCGATATGACCGGCGGAGGAGGCCGAATCTGAAGCGAAAAGTCTTCGTCGACATCCTTGACGTTGCTCAGAACATCTCCAGTTCTGACGCCTCTCATCCCGAGAATCACACCGACGGAGCCAAAGCCGAGCTCTTCGACCTCTGCCATGTCCTGCGCGTATAACAAAAGCAATTTCGAGATGCGTTCCTTCGCGTTGCCTTGGCTCTGATTCAAAAGGGTGATGCGTCGCGTGAGTTTTCCTGAATACACTCGAACGAAAGTCATCCAGCCAAGGCGCTTGTGCCACGTCACCTTCCAAGCCAGCAGTCGAACGGGTGCAGATGAACTAGGAACAGGGACCTTGGTTTCCTTCTCGGGAAGCACATCAAGAGGACTAGCAAACAACCCTCCGATGTAGTCCATGACCAAGTCGGTTCCAATGTGTTTCATCGCGCTTCCGCATACAACTGGGAGTAGATCTCCGCCCAGTGTTGCTTCACGCAGATTGTTCATGAGTACGTTGCTCTTGAGTTCCAGATAGGCGTCAAGGCCGGGCGGGACGGAGCAAATGTATTCCATGATATCTTCAGACGTCATTGCAATCGCGTCAACCAACGCAATGCGAGCCGGTCCAAGATGTTCGAGTAGAGGATGTCCAGCGGGGAACAAGGGTGTCTCAGCGAGTTCTTCGGATGTCAAGGGCAGTTTGTGGCGCGTCACAGTGGGGGTTTCGGATTCGGACGCCGGAGCATCCCAACGCCAGAGCTCCCAGTTGAGCAGGTCCACGATGCCCTGAATACCGGGCTCAGCACGAGTGTAATCAATGGGATCGAATGAAGCGACGGGCAATGTCACAGCGACAGGATGTGGGTGGAGCTGATGGGAAAGCAGAGACGCTATGGACGCGCCAAACGACGCGCCTGGGCGGTCGAGTTTGTTCAAGAATATCATCCTCGTCTTGACACCGTACCTTGAGCAAGTATGTGAACACTGCCTGAAGCACCTGATGAGGGACTGACCTATCTAGCTGCTTCCAAACTCCAAGAGTCTGCGCTTCGACGCCTTCGACTGCATCCAGAAGCACGACAGCACCGTCGACGACTCTGCTGGCGCTTTCAACCTCCATCCCAAAGTCCGCGTGACCAGGGGTGTCGATAAGATTGAACACCCATTCTTTCCAGCGCACGGGAATGCTTGCAGACTGTATCGTAATCCCGCGCTCGCGCTCAGCAGGAAGAAAGTCGGTGGTGGTGCTTCCGGAGTCGACGGTGCCTGCAGCCGGAAGATATTCCGACTTGAGTAAGATGGATTCGGTCAACGTGGTTTTGCCCGAGTCTGCATAGCCCGTCAGAACAGTGTGGAGGATGTGAGCAGACGTCAGTGACCGATGTGCGCTACCAACGCGATGTTGCGAATCTTTTCCGGTTTATGGGACGCGGCGGAGGAGACAGCTCGCGTCCATTTTCCGTAACATGAAGCACGGAAAGACCGACATGCGAGATGTGTCGCTCGCGAAATTAGCATACAGTGTCGGAAGAAGAATATGATATCACAGCCACTGGCAACCGTTTCGAAATTCTGGCCGAAAAAAATTCATATGACAGCAGGCACGACCGACTAAGTATGTATCATGGATGAACCGAACTAGCTCGATTCTTCGTTCCATTCTATTAGGTTTCGGAGATAAAACAGACAAAGAACTAAATCATAGTTCCCGTACTTCATCTGCATCTCCAAAGAATACTGCGCCATCGATGTCGTCGTCATCGTCGGCAGCAGCCCCAACACGCACATGGTTATAAGTATTCATTGTCTGGCTAAATGCCAGCATTCCCCCATCATCGACTTCCATGTCCACATCCTCATCCTCATCGAGGTCCGATGACCCTGTGTCATCCAGTGCTGGGATCGGAAACGGCGCAGGAGTGCTACGGTCGTCGTCGGGAAGAAACAATGGCGTTCTTGCACGTATTGCCGCAGCAGTACGTGCTTGAGCAAGGCCCGACGTATTCGGTGCTGAAAAAATCGGGGCAAGCGATGAGGCCCTAGATGATGCGGACATGGCTCGGAAAGGGGGGTATGGCTGCACAACGATGCAGAGACAGTGTCCGTAGATCGCAAAGTCTTGGAACTTGACAGACAAAACGGGCTTAGGTTTTTCTTCTTCCTCATCCAAGTCCAGAGAGATGGGAGTAGCCGCTGTCCCAGCCAACGTTGAGGGGGGTTCTGATACGGACCCTTCCCTTTTGATTGGAATTCGAGAATCGTGTAGATTCTGGTACACATGGTGGATTAGTGCAGAGCTAGATCAGCGAGATTTGAGCAGAAAGAGGCACACCTCTAGGTCATCCATGTCAACATCTGAATTCCCCTCGATCCTATTGTTGTCGCGATAGTCACCAGCAGCGACTTTCTTACTGCGTTGAGATCGTCTCAGCGTCTCCGGAACCTCGCTGATTGACTCCTCGTCGATATCGCTGGAGACCGCCTCTACTTCATCGATGTCCTTCGCCTTGCCTTTGCCTTTAGTCTTGCGACGCTTACTCGAAGTCTTGTCCATAGAAGCCTTTCGCTTAGCGTTCTTCGACTGCGACGGCGGGAGAGGCGATAGGACATGACTCTGCTTCCGGGCCGGTGCCAAGGAGAACTGCCTGGTCTAACATGAACGGAATGCGTATGCGAATGGATTTGGGAGCAGCCTTCGTACCTTGATAAGAACAGAGTGGGGATCCGTCTTCCGTATGAAGTAGCAGAATTCGTAGGAGTCTGACTCGATAAGTGTTTTAGCTTCAAGCAGTGTATTCGAGTGACAAACTGACCTCCTCTGTGAGTGTCGACAGTGGCTTTCTTGTTCGATGCAGAGCTGGCATTAAGAGAATCGGCCTCAGCTCTGAGCTTCGGCAGTATCCTGAGAGCATCCTCAGAACCATATCGCAGACAAGGATGTTAGACCCCACTTGGGCTGCAAGTCCGCCAAAACGCGTTGCAAGAGAGTGTCAGTCATCCAGTTGGCGTGGCGCTCATCAAGATAGAGGTACAGGGGCAGAACGTTTCTCTCAGAGATGCGGAGATAGTAGGGATTGCGCGTGCGGAAGGGCATGGGGCGCGTTTGATTTGTCTCAGATGAAGGTCGGGACCGCGATGTGTACCGTTGTTTGGTTGACGCGATGCTTCTCCAAAAGACGGCACGCAACTCCTGTTGCAAGGCATAGACTACTGTACATTTGTAAAAATATATTCCACTGCTCAATAGATTGCTTAGTTCTCGTCGATAGACACATCGGGACCTGTTTTCCGTCAGCAATGATTTGTGAAACGCGAAGGAGAACCATACCAGAGATGATGGCCTTGATGACACTCTTTCCATCCTCACTTTTCCCATTGCGCGTGGCCTTGAAAGCTTCCGCAGCAGAATCGAACTGGAACCTGGAGGCGTCGATATTTGGTTGGATTTTTGAGAGAGAAAGAGTGTGGTACCTGTGAGTGACCAGGGGTTTGAGGTCGACCTTCTTCTGAGCGACAAGGGAGATGGCCAACGGATAGTCTCCAGGCTATTAGGAGTTGATAAGCATGACCGGGTAGTTTCTGAAACGGAAAACTTGCCCCGTAACGGAAAGAGCCCTTGTAAACGAGTTCTTTAACCTAGATGAGATGAATGAAGATGAAAAACGAGGAGAGGCGGTTGATACTGACCATAATCATCGAAAGATTCATGGTGACATTAGGATTGCCCATGCCGACCTACCGAATATCAGGCAAAAGAAGATGTAGGGAAACACGGAAGAATGACCTGGACGTAAGTTCCACCGGTCTTGGCAATGTACAACGCGGTTTGGATGGAAACTTCAGCACCGCTGGCATCGATGACAAGATCGATGGCTTGTGCACCACGATCTTGGATGTTCAATTTCTCCTTCATGGCATCAGCATTACGCTTGCTAAAGTCCATCTTGCTCTCTCCCTCATTTGGCGAAATCGGAATGTAGCTCTCTATTTGAACAATGAGCATTATCATCGGAAAGGCATGTTCCCACACACCGGTCGCAGCGTATTTCGTAGCAAATTCCAGGCGCGCAGGCACGATATCGACGGCGATGACTCGCTTTGCACCGAGGGCCTTGGCGACAGCCATGCAAAGGAGACCAACAGGTCCACATCCAAAGACTGCAACAGCTTGACCAGCTTTGAATCCACCTAAGGTCGAAACCGCGTGCACACCCACGGCCAGGGGCTCCATCTCCATACAAAGAAGTGAGCACAAGGGCGGAGGCCAAAAGAGAATATATCACTGACCATAGCACCATCTTCGAGAGAAACACCCTCAGGGAGAGGGTAAGCCAGATCGGACGGAATACGATAGTATCTCGTCAATGTTCCATCATAGGGTGGAGTAGCGGCGAAAACAACATCAGGGCAGAGCTGCGGCCCATGAGGATCAGGGCGATAGAAGAATGAAGAACACATACATTGTAGCGACCAGACTTGCAAGCCTCGCACTGGCCTGGAGACGCGAAATCAGAGAAAGAGAGCTGGATCCAAATGTCCAGAAAACTCACGACAAGTGGCGCCTGGCTCAACAGCGACCCGGTCGCCCGCTTTGAGGTCCTTGACCTTGGAGCCGACTATCGCACCGTCAGAAAATAAGCCCGAAGCACCGCGGTCATTCAATGGACGCGACCTTTCTCCACGATTCCAGAAGATTCGTGGCCCAAAATCTGGTAACAACATCATAACGGAAAAAAACGCCCTCCTGGGACACGCATACCATGGGGTTGTTGACGACAAAGTCACCGATTCGTCCATGCACGAGATAATGCACCTACACTCTCAGTCTTCACATACCAGAACACAAGCCCATTCTTGCTCACATCGGATCCACAGATTCCTGCATACGTTATGATTCAGGATCGTGAATTGCCAGAAGAAACCCGAAGGATTACCTGTTTTCTTCACCTTCACGAGCACCTGATCATCCGAGATTTCGGGGATCGGCCGCTGTTCATAGACGGTTTGCTCGACCGCTGAACAATTGTGATTGAGCTTGACGACATGTTGGACGTAAGCAAACCTACCTTTGAGGACGAAGGATGGGTTGTCAGACATGGTCAAGAGCAAGAGGGAGATGTATGGCCCGGTCCGGGGCACTGCGATTTAAGTCATCTGTAAAACAGAGAAGCACCGGCCCGGAAAATTCCTCAGTGCGGGGTTTTGATCTATTTTGATGGTGCCCTGCTTCGACAATCATCCGCGGAGATCCCCGCCCCGGATTCCCGGATGTTGGGATCAGAGCAACTAGACTTGTATTAACCATGGTTCAGACCGTTTTTGACTACGTTCTACGCGTGGTTTTGGTCACATATGGTTGTAAACGACGCGTCGTCATTGGTGAACTGGAACAAAGGGGGTTTGTGATTGATTGTTTACTGCTATAAATGGGCGTCAACATCACCCCTCATCCTCTACTTCTTTCCGTTTACCTTGATCTTCCACACGCTAGCCAGAGTTGATCTCACATACTACTCCTTCATCCGTTTCCTCTTCAACAGCAACAATTATCAATTATTTCTCTATGGCTCCCGTTGCTGTCACACAAAGTTTACCAGACCTGGTTGGGCAGACTGTCGACGAAGGAAGATTGCGTCTCGTTGCTCGCCTTGGATCTGGAGCCTATGGGATCGTATACAAGGCTCTCTTGCTCTCATCGCCCAAAGAAGAACCTGTCTACTACGCTGTCAAGTGTCTCAAGAAGTTTGCTGCGGGATCTAGGGAGGCTGAGTTTCAGATTCGCGAGTTGAAACTGCATCGGATGGTCCGTCTATCGAGTATTCCTTAGTCTCTTCCGTGTTCAGTCAACTCGCCTAGATGTCAAGCCATCCCAACATCATCACAATGCACCGATACTTCATCGACCCTGATCACATCTTCGTTGTCCTCGACTTCTGCCCTGGAGGAGATCTGTTCGTCGCAATCACAGAGAAGCACCTTTTCCGTCGGGACACAGCGCTCGTGAAGAAAGCGTTTTGTCAGATCTTGGATGCTGTACAATTCTGTCACGATAACAACGTCTTTCATCGCGATCTCAAGCCGGAGAATATCTTATGTGACAGTCAAGGGACGCAGATGTTCTTGGGTGATTTCGGTCTCTCGACGCAAAGTTCAATGTGCACAGACATCGGACTTGGTAGTCCCTTCTACATGAGTCCCGGTCAGTTTTTACGCTCACTCTGCCTGGCCAACATACGACATTGATTACACACAGAGGCGATCGACCTAGGTTTCAACGAAGCTTATTCCTGCCGGCAGTCGGATATCTGGGCACTGGGTGTCATCCTTACCAACATGATCTCTGGACGCAATCCGTGGAAAGCTGCTGAAGTCGGCGATGAATGCTATCTCACATTCCTGGAGAACAACGACTTTCTTCTCCAGTCTCTGCCGATCTCTCGTGGTGTCAACGAAATTCTCAAGAACTGCTTCCGTCGTGAACCTCGGGCTCGGCCGTCCATCAAGAAACTGAGGGAGGATGTCCTCAAGCTCGACTCATTCTTTCTATCCGAAGCTGAATTGGTCCACGCATCTTCAGCCCAACGCGCGATTGCCGAGTTCTACGCCGATCCCACTCACCCAGAGTCGCCAGAAGGCACTCTGTGTGAGTCTCCTGTTTCCGATGTGCGATCTGTCGAGGTATATCTCTACGACACCCCTCCCTTCGATGGTTTGCTGGCCCCTCCTCGGCCGGTTTCTGTGACCTCGAGCGATGTTTCGGACGACAGTACTGGCCCTGCTACCCCTGCTCATGGACCTACTGAACCCACCGTGGATGTTGTCGTCCCTGATCTGCCGGAGGACGAGAATGTTGGCAGCTCTGCTCTGTTTCTCATCGATGACGTGGCAAAGATCAATCTGGGTGAAGCGAAGCCGACACGCAGTTTATTCAAACGAGCCATGCAGCGCTTTCGTGTCAAGGCCACGGTTGCCAGTTGAGTAGCTTTTGTACTTCTATCGTTTGTGTATTACGTGCCTGGGTGTTGGTTTTATCAAGGGACTTTGAAGACTGAAAATGGCGTGAGATTGACGCGCTTATTTATTCGAATGAGACGATCGATTCGCTAAGTAGCAGGCCCTGGCTAATCTTTGGCAATCGGGCACGTGCGTGTAGCCGTGTATAAAGGTGATTTTATTTTCCATCGTACCATCATTCTTCTCTTCTCCTTCTCCATCCTCCGTCCTTTCTTTCAGCATGGTTGCCTCCAGTGTTCTCGGTTTCCCCAGAATCGGTAAGCGCGAGTCCGACACCATTGTCCTGGAAAGGCGCGTTAACATCTACAGGTGCCAACCGTGAAATCAAAAAGGCAGTCGAGGCCTACTGGGCTGGCAAAATCTCTGCCGATGAGCTCACTAAGACCGCTGCCGACGTGAAGAAGACCACCTGGACCAGCCTCAAGGAGCGTGGTGTCGATTTCATCCCCAGGTTCGTCGCTGCTATCGATGGACGCGATCTTAGACTGATGATCGCGATGTTTACAGCGGTGAATTCTCTCTCTACGACCACGTTCTTGACCACTCGGCTGCGTTCAACGTTATCCCCAAGCGTTATACCGGCCTTGGTCTCTCTCCCCTCGATGTCTACTTCGCCATGGGCCGTGGACGTCAGGCTGATGGTGTTGATGTCCCCGCGTCGGAGATGAAGAAGTGGTATGTGCCGTAATGACCATGCACTTTCTTCCTCTGTGCTGAACATGTCATAGGTTTGACTCCAACTACCACTTTGTCGTCCCTGAGGTTTCCGAGGAGACTGAGTTCAAGCTCAACTTCAACAAGGCTGTTGAAGAGTTCAAGGAGGCCCAGGCTGCCGGTGTCACTACCCGCCCCGTCGTCCTCGGTCCCATCTCCTTCCTTGTGCTGAGCAAGGCTGCCAAGGAGGCCGCTGCTGGCTTCCAGCCCATCTCTGTTCTCTCCAAACTCCTTCCCATCTACATCACCCTCTTGACTGAGCTCAAGGCTGCTGGCGCCGAGTGGGTTCAGATTGATGAGCCTGTCCTGGTTCTCGACACCGCTGCTGCTCTTGAGAAGGAGTACCTCGAGACCTACAAGGCTCTTGCCGAGGTCGCGCCCAAGATCGTTCTCACGACCTACTTCGCTCGCCTCGAGTCGAACATCAACTTCATCGTGAAGCTCCCCGTCGCTGGTCTCCACATCGATCTCGACCGTGCTCCTGCTCAGCTCGAGGAGGTCGTCGCTGCCGTCAAGCCCACCAACATCATTCTCTCCCTCGGCGTTGTTTCTGGCCGTAACATCTGGAAGACCGACTTCGCTGTTGCCATCAAGGCTGGCCAGACTGCTATCGATGCTCTCGGCGCTGACCGCGTCATCGTCGCGACCTCTTCCTCATTGCTGCACACTCCGGTGACCCTCGCTTCTGAGAAGAAGCTCACTGCTGAGCAGAAGGACTGGTTTCGTTCGCCCTCGAGAAGGCTTCCGAGGTCTCCACCATTGCTGCTGCCCTGTCCGGCTCCCAGGATGCTGCTGTTGCCCAGGCTCTTGAGGCGAACAAGGTGTCCATTGCCAAGCGTCGGGAGTTCGAGAGCACCTCGGACGACACCGTTCGCAAGCGGGTTGCCGCTATCACCCCCGAGCAGCTTGAGCGCAAGAGCCCCTTCGCTGTCCGCCAGGAGATCCAGGCCAAGCACCTCAACCTGCCCAAGTTCCCGACGACCACCATTGGCTCTTTCCCTGTATGTTTCGTTTCTGTGCTCGAATGAAAGCGGCTGAGTGATTGTGTGTGTGTTTAGCAAACCAAGGAGATTCGCCAGGCTCGTGCCAAGTTGGGCAAGGGCGAGCTCACGACCGAGCAGTACGATGAGTTCATCAAGAAGGAGATCGAGACTGTTGTTCGCTTCCAGGAGAAGATCGGTCTGGATCTGCTCGTCCACGGTGAACCCGAGCGTAACGACATGGTCCAGTACTTCGGCGAACAGCTCACTGGCTTCGTATTTACCCAGAACGCCTGGGTGCAGAGCTACGGTTCTCGCTACGTGCGCCCTCCCATCATCGTCTCTGATGTCAGCCGCCCTGGTCCGATGACTGTCCGCTGGAGTGCGTACGCGCAGAGCCTGACCAAGAGCCCGATGAAGGGTATGTTGACTGGGCCTGTGACGATCCTGAACTGGTCGTTCCCGCGTGCTGACGTGAGCCGTGAGCTGCAGTCGAAGCAGCTTGCGCTCGCTCTGCGAGACGAGGTTGTCGACCTTGAGAAGGCGGGGATCAGCGCGATCCAGGTGGATGAGCCTGCCATCCGTGAGGGTGTAAGTTGGCTCATGTGTTGATGGATACATGTCGCTGACTTGTTGCGTTTTTCTCAGCTTCCCCTTCGCCGGTCTGACTGGGATGCATACCTGAAGTGGGCTGTGGACTCGTTCAAGCTGTCGACTGCCGGCGTGACGGACCAGCTGCAGACCCACTCTCACTTCTGCTACTCTGACTTTGACGACATCTTCCCGTCGATCCAGCGCCTGGATGCCGATGTGATCTCGATCGAGGCCTCGAAGAGCGACATGAAGCTGTTGACGACGTTCAAGCACTACGGATACTCGAACCAGATCGGTCCGGGTGTGTACGACATCCACTCTCCGCGAGTTCCCGGAGAGCAGGAGATCAAGGACCGGCTGAAGGACATGCTGACGATCCTGCCTGACGGCCTGTTGTTTGTGAACCCTGACTGTGGGCTCAAGACTCGTGGCTGGAAGGAGACTGAGGCGTCGCTCGTCAACCTCGTCAGCGGCGCTCAGTGGGCTCGCCAGAACTACGCCTAATTGACCCTTTTTGCTTTCGCTTCAACAGCGTCACGCGTCGTGTGTTGATTCTGGTGTGGTTGCTTGTGTTTTGTTTTCTCCTGTATAATGCATCATGTAGCGTAAAGATTCTCAACAATCAATGTATACTATCCATTCATTCCACTGGAGCTTTCCACTACAGACGAGACATCAGTCTCCCAGAATGCCATCTCGATCCGCATTCCCAGTGCCCTGAGAACGTGGATGCCAAATCGGGCAGAGCCGCTGATGGCGCAACTCTCCTTGTGCAGCAGCCCGCGGAAAAGCCACAACTGCACCGGCGCTTTCCACCGCGCTGCCAACAGCGCAACTAGACCCTGCATCGAAAAGTCCACGGGAGTCGTGTGATTCAGGTTCAGAACCTGCAGATTAGGAAGCACGCGGTGATCCGCCAGCTTCTGGAGGAACGCATCGTCGCAGCGCGGCGGCCGCCAAAGCGTCAGCTCCTGCACGCAAGCCAGCGAAGAGAAACACTGCAGCAGTGCACGCGCGTCGAGCGTCCACGCGTCCAGGAGCACGCGCACGAGCGTGCACCCGGAGCGCGCCAGAAACTGCGAAAATCGGGGCATGTCCCCCGCCCGCAGCGACACCGAGAGCGTCTCGAGGCGCGGGACGAGCAGGTGGTCCAGCAGATCCATGTGGCCGTCCTCCCGCAGCAGATGGAGCGCGTGCAGCGCCGGCAGGGCGAGCCCTCTTGTCGCCGCGGGGACCCATTCACCCGTCCGCAGCAGCGCCGTGAGCTGGCAGATGTTCTTCGTCTTGAGGAGAAGATTCAGGCATTCCTTTACCGTAAGCGCCTCGCACTTGACCGTCGAGAGCTGGCTCCAGGGCAGCACGACTGCATCGGCGCTGCACCGGTTGCTGAGCTGGACTGCGCACAGATTCGGAGCGTTTGTGAACGTCGTGATCTGCATCTCGGCGACCCGCGCGGTGCACCCGATAGCCAGGGACTCGAGCGCGGGAAAGTCGCCCCGGAAGAGATGGAACTGGTCCACGTCCGGCAGCTGCAGCTCCGCTATGAGCCATTGCGCCGAATGCCGCACCAGTAGCTGGATGAGTTGGTTCAGCTCCTTCGAATGGCGTAGCGCGGTCATCGCGTCGTATGAGAGGCCGAACGAGAGTGGGTGTGCACCTGAGCGCCGGAGCCAGAGGTCAATGAGGGCGAGCAGGTCGGTGTTGAAGTGGCTGGCGACAAACGTCAGCTGGAAGCAGCTCCAGAGCGCCGGCGTCTGCAACGCTATGGCTCGCCACGTGCTGCAGACATTGCAGAGGACCAGGGGCGCCTCTCCGGCGTTGAGTCGAGGTCGCGTCAGTGGATCCCAGCCGAGACAGTGCACGAATATCAACGACAGGATCTCCCAGGGAATAGTGCTCATCGCACTTGGCTGCTGCATCTCACAAGACGATGGCTGTATGCTAGAGACGCTGGATCGAACACGTAACGTAACTGGCTGCGCGCATCCCTTGTGAGAAGCGTGCCATGATGAGCAGAAGCAAGTGATGGATGTTCGCTTTGAGTTTGAAGCAAATCTTTAGTTTGGTCTGAAGCATAATTGGCACGATCCCGTGATCTATTGTAGACACGCATCCAATTCAAACTAATCGACTCCCTACCCCGGGAAGCAGGCGCCAGACTAGCGTTTCCAGAAAGATGTCTGAATACTGTATTCAACAATCACAAATGCGATTTACATATCTACCGTCGTTGTCGACATTTACTAACCATTCTAGACCCTACATGGTTCCCGGATCCTTGAATCTTCTCAGGGCCCGAGCACGAGCTTGGTCGTGTTGCACGATAGGTCGCGGATATCCCAGCTTGTCCGCGGCCGATGCCGAGGGCTTGTGCACATCTAACAGTCTCTCAGGCATGAATTATACCTGATGCAGAAGGAAAACAAACCTGGCCCATGCAATTTCGCCAATTCGGGGACCCAGTGTCGGATAAAGTCGCCCGCAGGATCAGCCTTGGGGCTTTGAGAATATGGGTTGAAGATACGGAAATATGGGCAGGGGTCAACACCCGTCGACGCGCTCCATTGCCTGTGAAATAGTTGACGAAATGAATAAATTCGCGCCACATCCAAGCTTACCATCCCCCGTTGTTCGAGGCCAGATCTGCATCGATTAGATTCTGTGCAAAGTACTGACTCGCGAGTGAGAACGCGAGAAAGGGAAGGAAAAACCGGCGCGCACCTCTTCACCCACTCTCCAGTCGACCATGAGGTCCTTGGTCAAGAACATGGCACAGATCATGCGCAAACGATTGTGCATCCACCCCATCTCATTCATACAGCGCATCCCAGCATCAACAATCGGATAGCCTGTCTTCCCTTGCTTCCACTTCTCGATCATCTCTTCAGTCTCCTTGGTATCAACCTTGTTCTTCGCTTCGTACGCTCCTTCGAGCACAGGTCCCTCCCATACAACCTCGGAGTACTTCTCGAGAAACGGCCGGCCCATGCTGACGCGCGGGAACCCTGCAAGGATGTTCACGTAAAAGTCCCGCCACGCCACTTCTTGAACCCAGCGTCCCACACTCGAATCTCGGCCCCCATTCACCTTGGTTCCCGCTTGGGGGTCTTGTCTGGACCCGAGGAAAGTGTGGCACGTATGCAGGCTCGTGTTGAAATAATACCCGATGCGAGATACGGACTGGACACAAATGTTGAAATACCACTGCCGCAAAAGTGCATGATCCTTACCTGATCCGGCTGGTCGTGTCACGATCTGCTCTGTCGCGCTCGTCCCCGTATACAGCCAATCGGCTGCGTTTGTCCGATTCTTCAGCACCCTTGGCCAGGGGATCCACCGCTCCAAGCTGAGAAGACCTTGCTTTAGTCTGCATGAACCGCTCTAGCACCTTTGTGGATCGTCAAAGGCCAAACCCGATAGGGTCACCAATTGCACGTGCCTTTGAAGCTACGTCCTCTCCCGCAGGCCAGACCTTCTCCATCATCTTGCGGTCACCATTCTCGAGTGCGAACCCAGCGACGCTGTCAGGCACCGGTACATCAAACAGCGGACCGAATTTGGCGTGTTTGCGGATATCCTCAAGGTTCGGGGCGGGCATGGGGTAGTTTTCAAGATAATGCGTAATGTCGGCGTTGAGTTTAGACAACCACACTTTTTGATAAGGCGTGTAGACCTTCAGAGAATGAGAATGGCAAAGGGGGGGAGCTCAGATACACTGACAGCATACGATCTCGCCTCCTTCGTCTGCACGACGCCCGGCTCAACCACACCTGTATCTTTGAGCATTGACACTCCACAATGTGGAGCCAGGACCGCTCACATTTATCATGCACGAACACGCTCCCAACGTTCTTCTCCTTCACCTGGTCGCAAATTTCAACGTCCCGCCGCAGCTCATCCACCTCATACTCGATATTGCCAAAGACGGCCGACGCGTTGAGCTCGTCCAATATATCCACAACTTTGCTTGGCAGACGACGGCGATTCGGCTGCAAAACCGTGTACAGCGGGATATGCAGGTCGGCGAGCGAACTCTTGATGAGGGCGAGATTGCGCAGGCAGAAATCGATCCTGCGCGCGCTGCGGTCGTGCGCGATGTAGTCCTGGGGGCTCAGCACGAAGAGCGCGACGAGTGGCGTCTTGGTGTCCCGGGCTTGGCGCGACGCGAGGGAGAGCGCGCGGTTGTCCGTGACTGGGGTGGTGCCAGTGCTCAGTGCAGATTTGAATAAACGGAGCAAGAACTAAGTGTACCGCGAAGATCGCCCATACGCATCCAATAGACGACGCAGTCTCCCTTCCGGTGTTTCTTTGCCCCATTTGCGACCGCTTGGAGGAGCAGAGACAAGGGCGGGTTCGCGTCGACGGACGCGCCTATCTCGGCTGTTGTGATTTTACGGGGATTGAAGCTGCTGGTGCTGAGCTTCTGGCGCTTGGCGGAAGAGGCGGATTCGGATGGGCTGGCTCGTTTTGTCATGGCTCTGAGGGTGTTGAAGAAGGGCATGTAATGACATCTTGAATCAGCATTTCGCGTTTATGTAGAAGGCGGGTGCGATCGTGTACATGACGTTACGATGATGGCGGCAGATCGCGGTGAGACGCGGTCACGCGATCTTTTGTTGGAAGCGTGACTGGAATATCGTGCTGTCTTCTAGGACATGCGCAGCTGCGAAGGAATCCAATGAGCAAATGCATCTCGTCGATTAACACTCGCATATTGCCTTCCAACTGTGGCGGGATTGTTGCTTGCTTGGTGGACATTCGCAGGTGATAGCAATTGGTCGATTTAAGAGCGCCGGGAGCTTCGATGACTGACGACTTGGAACTGACAATCGTTGATATCTTAGGAAGGATTCTGCATGATAATCTATACTCATACCAAGTATACCGCCAGTCTCAAAACAATATTCAGGTGAAATATTTACATAATTCGTAGTGCGCCATCGTCGCAGACGGCTCTACAGCCAAAGATGCAAATCATCCATCGGATGAGCGCATCGAAATCTCAGGCCGATCAAGTAGTGGCCGTGCTCATATTGATAATTCGCGTCATCATCCGTGATTCTTACTACGTCCACAGCCCATCCATCTCAATCCTCTGCTAGCCAGTGCCATGGGGCTCATCCTACTCGATCTGCCGGACGACGTTCTCATTCTCATCTTTGCCCTCATCGAGGTGCCCGAGATCATCCGCTTACGAATGGTGAGCGCGAGCGTCCGATAATCCACAAACTCCTCGAGCTCTCCGCCTTGCCAGTCCTGCGCGAGGCTGGCCCTTGTCTCGACGCTTCCTATCATCTGGACCAACGCCTACCACAGACTCTACTTCTCCCGTCGATATCCTCTCCCGGCAGCGCCCAGTGCATCTTCTCCGCATTCGCAGTGGGAAGCGGACCTCGAGCACCGCGTCGTCCATGCCTACCGACTCGGCTGCGCATGGTCTTCTCCGCAGATGATGGACTGGAACGTCAAAGCGACATTCGATGCGCGGCAAGGCACGCCCGTCACCGATGTGCGATTCATACACAGCCGCTCAAGCGCAGCGCGCCTCATGACGATCTCCAAGAGAATCTGGTCGGTGATCACGATATGGGAGATCCAAGAGGAACGCGGGCCAGTGGCAAAGCTGTACGAGTGGTCTGAGCGCGGATGTTTGGTGCACACCTACGCCTTGTACGAGAATGCCGTGAACGCACATAGCGCGCCAGGGGACGTGACACCGTTCATGGCTGTGTCCGTTGTTAACCCCGGGCACGCCTGTTTCGTTAAGTCCAGCTTTCGTCGACTGATGACCTGAACAGAGGAACAAGCATCAAGATTCTCGCACTGGACGCCACTTCTGGATTGCACGTCGTAAAGACGATCGCCTCGAAGATGGAACCTGTTCTATTCCAGGACAATCTCCTGGTCCTATGCGATGACACACACACCTCGGTGCTTGTAGACTGGAGGACCGAAGCAAGGGCATTGCTTAGAAGAGACGAGGAACCAGCGGGGTTCACGTCGGTGCGTCAGCAGTCCATTTGTGTCTAGCATCTCAGGTTTCCACACACAGGTCGGCGGGGCGATCCAAGCGGTGCTTCTCGATATGTACATCATCATTGTCTGTGCCCGGTGCGTGCTGCTCTTCGAACGACCACCAGTTGTTCCGCCAGTTGCCGTTCCATCGGGTCCCCACTCACCACTAGCGGACTTTTCTTTCGGATGGGTCGACAACATGTCTGTCTGCGAAACAGTCGCGGCTGAAGATCCGAAGTCCCTGGCTCCGTTGTACGTCATGTTACGTGCCGCACCGGACGACCCATGGGCGGCACTGGACGATTACCACCTCGATGTTTACACCCTATTACCCTCACTCGAAGCTGACGGCCCCGATCCCCTCCCATATCGCTTCCCGCCGAGACACACAGCCCGAATCCGCAGCACGCGAGGATCGCTCCAGTGCACCGCACTCCGGGTCGGACGATTCGGCACCAGCATCTGGATTCAGCCTCGGGACAGAAGCGTCTCTGGTCTCGCGTATGCAATGCAAGAAGAGATCCACGAATATGCGCCGATCGTGCGGAAGGATGAACGGGTCATGTGCTCTGTTCTCCCGGGGCCCTTGTTCAGCGGTGGAGTGGACGAGAACGACGAGGTACCGGAGATTCGGGCTTTCGAAATCTGGGCGAATGAGGCGAATGATTGTAAAGCCATTGACTATGATGAAGATCTCGGATTGGTCGCTGTGGGAACGACTAGAGGCTCGGTTGTTATATTGAGCGCGTATTAGATAGCAGACATTCTAGTCATTAGCATAGAAGCAAAGACATTGTACACTCTGAGGATGCTTCATAGTCGTCGTCGTCGTCGTCATCGTCTTCCGTTTCTTCGTCTCCATCGGTCTCTTCGTCCTCGTCCTCATCTTCATCCTCATGCTCGACAGGATCCCCTCCCACCGCTCGGGTAGTGGCCGACGCCGTGTTTGGTAGTAATAGCTGCACCCCTTTTATTCTACTTCAGACGTCGTTTCTTTGCCGCAGTGCTGGACCCGGCGGGCAGAGGACGTTTAACGGAGCTGTTTGGCGGCGCTGAGCTCGGGTGCAAGACAGCATCAGCCGAAACAGCGGGAGCAGCGACTGGAAGAGCCTCGAGAGCTTCAATGGCGACACGTAACGGGGCAAGAAAGGCTTCATAATCCGTTGAAGCTCATGAATAGTTGGTCTGCAAGACAGGAAAGTCGGCAGCGCCTTCCCCTCTGGCCTGGGCAACTGTGTTGTCGATTACAGCCAATCTCGTCCTGAAGAGAAGCTGATGGGCCCGGATGAGCGCGCCCAGGATGGCCACTGTGGCCGGGTCCGTAAACCTGGTTATGGGATGGCGGAAGTACGTAGTCAGGACGGCTATCTTCTGGTCGCCCAGAGTGTCACGCGAGAGAGTCGCGTCAAACCATTTCAGAAATGGCGCATTGGTGATTTCACCGCCTTTGGCATCGAGGCAGCAGAGGACCCAGAGCAGAACGTAGAAGATGGACTCGAGATCGTCCATCTGATCGTGAATGCCCAGGGCGGGATGCGACAGAACACGAACGGACTGGAACGCGCGCGTTCCCTACCAAATTAACGGTTCAGTACAGTGATTCCTGTAGTAAATGGAATGGCTCGCCGTTCTGAAGTCTCCGAGAACGCCTATCATTTGTTTCAGGTGGTCAATAAACTTGGCCATATCCAGGTCGATCAGAACCGCTTCTCCGTGCTCTTCGATCGGTGAAAGAAGGATATTGTTGTAGCTGATGTCGCGATGCATCACCTCCTTGTCGACGAGGCATCGTTGGTGACCTAGAACGAGCGTCAACCTTTCAACGTTCTCGACACCGAAGGAAACAAAACACCTTCAACGATACATTTGATGGCTCGAAGCAACTGGATGGCCGTCGCTGCTGCATTCAGTGTGGACCCGTAGAGTTCCAAAACCAAGAAAGAGGGGAACCGGTTCAACGGTTCAGCTTTTGCCTGCTCTCTTGCCTTCAGCAGTCGGGTGTCGAACACAGTTTCCTCCGAAGTCGGCTCGACGTAGGCATACATCTGGCCCATACCTCTAACACCGCTAACCCTCTTCAGCATATCCGATTCGGGCACTCGCCCGCTAGTAGACCAGGCGATCTTCACCAGGTATTTCTTCTTGGTCGTGCTATGTTGCACCTTCCAGCACGTGGTGCCGCGTGACCGGATCGTGCGGCGGGCGAAAGTCGGTTTGGCCTCCGCGCGCGGATTGTCGTGCTCGTCAAGAACCACGAAACACAGCTTCTCCACGGTCTCATTCCAGCCCGATGCTCTAGCAATGCGAACGCGAGCATTCGGAATGTCCATCACGCGCTTGCCACCTTGCCAGAAGATCCTTGTGTCGTAGCCCATCCACTCTTCGTTGTGCGACGTGAGGAAGGCGACGAGCTTGATTAATAAGAGGGGCTCTTCATGATAGTCGAACGCCGGCGAGTAGTGCACCCCACAGCGATCAAATTGGACGATCCGCATCGTCTTCTCTGTGAGCAGAGGGATCAAGACAAAGGGCCGATTGTCCTGGGCAATAAAGATCTCTCGGGCGTATACGGCAAGCTGGCATTGAACCGCCTTCGTGAATCCTTCATCGCATTTCACCTCGATCGCAAGTCCAGCCTGGGTATAGTCGATCATCTCTCCGATCTCGGCGTCTTTCGTCGCTGATGGACCAGCCACGAGAACAGCGAGATCTGGCGCCGACTTGATGCGGATCGATTTCGTTTCACCGTCCAGGACAATCTTGACGCCATCCGGGTTGTGGTGGTGAAGCCGGGTCCTCCAAGTTTCCCGTACTTGGCGTTTAGTTCCATGACAGCCAGCAGTAGCGGAGGGCGATTCCTTGTTGCCGAACTGGACCATGATCGCGTCCAGCAGCTTGTGCAATGGGTCGTACAACTTCTTCTCCAGTTTCCCACGCCCCGTCTCGTTCGCAACAGCAGTCCATTTTCCATCGCGATATCCGGAGCGGTTCGCATCGTCCAGCCATTCATTGGCAGCATTTTCGAACTGCGGATGGGCCTCCTTGACCTTCTTGGCGAGGCGGCGGTGAAAGTATGGATCCTCGTAGAAATGGCCTTCGAGCTCTCGCATGATTGAGCCCTGGACCGCTTGGACGTTCGTGTCCAAAGGTTCACTTGCATGAGAGCTATCATTGTAGGGGTAGGGATTTGAGCCAGTCGCTGCCACGGTGAGTCGCTCAGCCGTCTCGGTGGTGTCCAAATTAGGAGGGGGCGCACGAGCGGAGTTTGACATAAAAGGGCTGTACGCAGAATTAAAGGGTGAAAACTGACAGAAAACGTGCATTGGGAACCCTGACTTTGCAGGACCTCCGGAGTCGTGGTCCACAATGAACAATCACAAGTTCGACTCGGATCTCTGGCTGATGTGATTGATGTGACTGAACGCGCCTGTGACATTTGAGCTCCAGGGCCAATGAATGCCTCCAGGCAACCTGGTATGGGTAGCTCCTGTAGATTGGCCATCGGTTGGAAAACTGCTTTCTGTTCGAAGGGGATCTACACTGGAAGTGGTTAGAAGACCTAGTCAAATCTAGTGCCAAAACCATGGTCCTCCGTGAGTATGGAGGAGTCCGGTCAACTGATTGGGGAATATTTTGATACATTCTGGGCATGAAAGAAAGAACTATCGTCTGGAATCGGGCCCTGCACGTCGTCGCCCTTTAATTCCCATGGAATTATCCTTATAATCCTCGTCGTCATCTTCCTCCGAAGTCTCTTCATCCTCATGTTCATCTGTGTCATGGGCCAAACCTTCTTCGACCTCTTGAGCTACGCCAACCGAAAGACTCAAGATACGGACGCCATGCTCAGGAGCAATAGCCGCTGCCTTTCTGTCCTGTTCCAAGCGTCGCTTCTTTGTTGGAGTACTCGATGCACCTTGTAGCGGACGCTTGGAGGAACTGGTTGTCGTAGGGGGACCAGTGCCCAGCCCAGGCTGAACGGGATTCTCCGGAAGACCCTCCAGAGCCTCGATGGCGACGTCCAATGGCGCGAGGAACGCTTGGTAGTCGCTCACTGCGTTTTTGAACGGTTCTTGAAGGACAGCGATCCCTGGACGAGATCGGCCAAGCGTCTTCAAGCGGACAGTGTTGTCAATAACAGCGATTCGTGCCGCAAACAGCTCTTGATGGGCCTCGACGAGATTCATCAGGATGGTCTGGGTGGCTGAGTCCATGAACCGAATAATGGGGCTGAAGGTCCCAGTGATGAGCGTTCGTTTCTCGTGACCGAGGGGTGCCGGGAGTTGGTCACGCTGAACCATTCCAGGTACGGGGGGTTCTCGATCTCGACGCCCCTGACGTCATGGCAACAAAGGACCCAGAGAAGAACATAGAAAATGGACTCGAGGTCGTCCATATGATCGTGAATCGCAAGATCGTGATGGACGAGAACGCGGAACGATTGGAAAGCCCGTGTGCCCTGAAGAAACCAGTCAGCGCTGCACCACATGCAGTACAAGATAGGTAACTGACTCTCCTGAAATCACCAGCGACGTCTATCATTTCTAGCAAGTGGTCAAGCAACTTCGCCGTATCAAGGTCGATCAGGACTGCTTCTCCATGGGCTTCAATGGACGATAGCAGGATGTTATGGAAGCTGATGTCCCGATGCATGACGCCCTTATCGAGAACGCTTTCCCGGTGGCCTACGACGAGCGTCAGCGTCTAGTCATGTCGATAACGAGACTGCGCACCCTTGACGATATTTCTGATGGCGCGGAGCAATTGCACAGCGGTCTCTGCTGTATTGAGCGTCGACCCATAGAACTCCAAAACCAGTAACACGTGGAATCGGTTCAAGATCCCGGTGTCCTCCCGCTGCTTCGCGGTCATCAGCCGAAGGTCGAACGCAGTTGCCTCCAATGTAGGCTCGACATAAGCGTACATCTGCCCCATGCCCTTGACACCGCTGACTTGCTTCAACATGTCTGGCTCGAGCACTCGACCTGAGGCGGGCCAGGCGATTTTGACCAGGTATTGCTTGTTCGTCTTTACATCTCGAACCGCCCAGCACACAGTCCCGCGTGACCGGATCGTGCGACGAGCGAATGAGGGCTTGACGTCAGGACCCGGATTGCCGTTCTCGTCCAGAATGTCAAACGACAACTTTCTTGCGGTCTCGTTCCAGCCCGGTCCCACGTCAGTGCGAACGCAAGCATCCGGAATCTCCATCACACGCTTGCCACCTTGCCAGAGAATACGCGTGTCGTAGCCCATCCACTCTTCGTTGTGCGAGGTAAGGAGATAAACGAGCTTGATGAACAGGAGGGGCTCTTCATGATAGTCGAACGCCGGCGAGTAGTGCACCCCACAGCGATCAAATTGGACGATCCGCATCGTCTTCCCTGTGAGCAGAGGGATCAAGACAAAGCGCCGATTGTCCTGGGCAATAAAGATCTCTCGGGCATAAACAGCCAGTTGGCACTGAATTGCCTTCGTGAATCCCTCATCGCGTTTAACCTCGATCGCAAGTCCAGCCTGGGTATAGTCGATCATCTCTCCGATCTCGGCATCTTTCGTCGCAGACGGTCCAGCCACGAGAACAGCGAGATCTGGCGCCGACTTGATGCGGATCGATTTCGTTTCACCGTCCAGGACAATCTTGACGCCATCCGGGTTGTGGTGGTGAAGCCGGGTCCTCCAGGTTTCCCGTACTTGGCGTTTAGTTCCATGATAGCCAGCAGTAGCGGAGGGCGACTCCTTGTTGCCGAACTGGACCATGATCGCGTCCAGCAGCTTGTGCAATGGATCGTACAACTTCTTCTCCAGTTTTCCCGGTCCCATCTCATTCGCGACAGCAGTCCATTTTCCATCGCGATATCCGGACCGGTTCGCATCGTTCAGCCATTCATTGGCAGCATTTTCGAACTGCGGATGGGCCTCCTTGGCCTTCTTGGCGAGGCGGCGGTGAAAGTATGGATCCTCGTAGAAATGGCCTTCGAGCTCTCGCATGATTGAGTCCTGGACCGCTTGGACGTTCGTGTCTAAAGATTCACTTGCATGAGAGCTGTCACGGTAGGGGGTGGGATCCGAGGTGGTGATTACCAGCACGGGAGCAGGTGCGCTTGATGAGGTCGACATCGGTGCAGATATTGACCTGTAAAATCAAGTGAGGAAATAGTGTCAGGATGGTTCAAGGCCCTAGGGTATCATAGCGCACGTACAGGTTGTCTTTCCCTTTCCTAGACTATCCTTCCATTTCAGTTGCATGTGATTTTGTGGACTGATGATACTCCAAGCCAAAGTACGGGATCTATTCGGGGTCTCTGGGGCACGAGCAGCGAGTGCGGCGTTCGGGAGGGCAGCACTCGTATCTGCGTGGGCGGAATGGCTGCACCTCTGGTGCTCGGGTTAGAACCTGTCAAGTGGGCTGGGGTTACTTTAATTCGGTCCGAAAGAGGAGACAGTAGGATTGGGAACTCACCAAGCGCGCGCTCGGAGACGGCTTTATATGACCTCGTAGTTAGTCGATAATGAACAATGCATTTGACAGGCACTTTGATCGTGACTGATGTGACTGGACGCGCCGGTGACAACTCTCGCAAGGGCGACTGACCTTGAGGTTATGCGTACATACCCTATGTAGCAATCATGTTCATAGCAATCAATCTGGTTGTGTTAGAGGTCCGGCCTCCGTAAATGGATATGTATGCTTTACGAGTGAGTACTTCGCCATTGACCCACAGTCCTCACACAGATGTGACTGATGCGTGATTTCACGCGTGTGTGACCGACGATTCAACGACGGGAGATTGCTCGACATTGATAATCTGATATTTACAGTGGACTAGCCAGCAGGTTGCTCGCTTTCTTGTTGTAATCTCTCGGCCTCCTCCTTCTCTTCGGCTTCTACTACTTCGATATCCAGAGGAAATGTGAGAATAGAGGCGATCCCCGTCAATTGGTTGAGTTCTACCGCGGAAGTTGTGAGTGAAAAGTCCAGAACAGCCAACAGAGACAACCGACGTTTTCCAGATTCGTGCATACTAGAGAATATGACCACCTCTCCTCCCTTCTGCTGGACGGACTCGACTAGGGCAACGTATTTCTTTCTTGTAGCCGGATCGCTCGCACTGGAATGCCATTCAGCCGTTTCAGAGCAACATCCGCGTGGAACCCGTACCGGAAAAGATCATCAGAGATCAACAAAGTGCCTATTGCACCTCTATCTGCAGCAAGAATGACGTGATCTGGCCCATACCAGGCCCTCATCTCATCTGTTCCGAGCATCTTGAAGAATCTGCGCAGTTGAGAGCGCACCATCGCAGGAACACAGGATGAACGCACTTGTCTAAAACGATTCCTTCCCGTGCAAATTTAGTTTCCTTCAATTGGGAAACAATCTAAAAAAATTGAATCGATGCACGCAGTTGAAGAAGCGAGCGAATGTACCTCGGGACTCTTCAACACTTCGACAAGACTGTGCACGTGAGGATTGCTGACATGGACCTTGAGGACTTTCTCTCTCAGCGCTTTTTGAAGAATTTTGTCTCCACGGCGAGAAGCCTCAGCGACAAGATGATCGTAGACTGCGTCTCTGACCCATCCAGGGCTCGCGATTACAATAGCCTTCAGATCGGCGTTCGTATACGGGACATGTCGCAAGAAAGCATCGAACAGAGTCCCGTAGAACTTGGTAAGGGCTTTCTCGTGCTGCGATGCCCCCGTATTGCCCTTGCGCGGTATAGTCGTGAAGAGCCTGTGTGTCACCAGCGTCATATGCTCAGATAGCAGACAAAACGTCGCTGTGCCCTCTCCGCAGACCACAGCGGCAACCTCTGCACCCCTGCCCGGCACGATGGATTCTTCGACTCGTGACTTGGCGATGCTGTCCCAAGCTTCGACCTTCTCGATGCGTATATCGCGCTGAGCCTCGATGTCAAGCGTGTGGTATGCGCCCAGTCGGACATGCTGATTTTCAACGATGACCGGTCCCGAGATATGTAGTGTAGCATTGGAGGGTTGCTCCCCAGACGAAGAACCCGTTGGATCGGCAGTGGTGGCATCATCAGCAGTGGAAGTTGGAGCGGAGGCTGCAGAGAATTCGATTCGGGCAACTTGTATGGTGAGATTCAACCGCAATCGTTGAGAGTCTACAGAGCCTGTATTGGATATCTTCTGTATCCGCCTAAATGTCACAAGATTGGTGAGGGAGGAAAGTACATGTTGTAGACCTACCGAACTGCAGTAGCCCGCACCGAATCACCCTCCTGAATCAGATTATACAGGTGCCACATGTCTTCATCGTCCTCGGGGCGAAGCGTAACATGGCCCTAGCGAGAATGAAGCCCCGGTGGGGAACCTGTGCTTGCGAAACGTACAGTGCCATGCTTGTCGATGTGTCTATTGACAAGCTTCATCTTGTTTACCACCACCATCTACTATGAACGAGTAAACAATCTAATCTCGTTCCTCCCTCAACTCAACTGAGCACACAAACTAGGAGCAGCCGAATCGCATCCCTCGCATCTCGGGTTGTCGAATCGAACCGGCGACCGCGAGACCACGATGATTCTGATGAGGATGAAGACGCGATCTTTGCTGAACTCGAGGAGGAAATCGAGAATGACAACAACGCTAGCATTCGCGAGTATGGGATGAAGTTACTGAAGGAGCAGTGAGGAACATGAACATTGCACGGGCCGTTCATTCCTGAATCTCGGGCAGGATCGAGCAGCTAAACGACATGCGGGATAATAAGCACGGAGAATACTCTGAAATTCACGATGAGAAAGAGGTGGTGAAGGTCTGCGCGTGAGTGTTTCCCCCAAAGTACACGCTCCAATACTGGACTACGCGTAGACGCGAACCCCGATGCGTCGTACATTTCTACCACTCGAACTTCAAGCGTTGCGAGATAATGGACAAGCACTTAGCTGTTGGTTTTGCGATGCAAATTCTTTTCGGGAATTTTGAAAAGCTCACAGCTACCCTAGAAGATTGCCCCAAAATACTTCGCCACCCGATTCTTTCGTGTGTTCGTGGAGAGCGTTCCATGGCTGGTTGAGAAACTCGGCATCAAGGTGCTCCCTTGTGTGATATGTTTCGTGGACGGGATATCCAAGGACAGGCAAGCTCGATCATCTCCGCTCCCTTCTGACAGCTCATTATCCCTCAGGCTCATCGGTTTTGAGGATCTAGGGAATTCTGATGCTTTCGACACTGCTGCGCTCGAACTGCGATTGAAACAATCTGGTCGGTGTCGGATTCTATCTGAACTGCATTCACTTGACATTCATGGCTCGTAGGAGTAATACAAAAAGCGTCGGGTAACTCGGTTGGGGCCGTTTATGCTAATACCTCATCTTCCTCACGATCCGTCTTCCGTGTCAAGGAGAACGACGATGTGTTTGATCTGGATGAATGAAATAGAAGTACATGGGTGCCGCTTGATGGCGCTAGTGATGCTGGAGCCTCTGCAGGTACGCTTTCCAGCCCTCCTCCTTGTAGCGTTTTGCCTGAGTGACGATGTTGTCGACTAGACTGGGATCTTTGCCGTAAACTCCTCGGCCGACGATGATAACGTCGCATCCAGACTCCAGAATAACCTGTTCCGGTGTTCGATATTGCTGGCCCATCGCATCGCCCTTGACATCGAGTCCCACTCCCGGTGTGAGAATGAGGAAATCTTCGTCGTCGACTCTATCGTCCGCTGTTGCACCTACGCCGTCCATTCGTCGCTGGGCAATGAATCCAATGACAAAGTCAGGGCTGGCACGAGCCATTCGCACTGCAGATTCCGTATAAGCACCAGTAGCCAGTGCACCTTTGGTGCTCATCTCCGCCAGCAACAGCAGCCCGCGTCCCAGCGGCAGACCAACCGATGCGAGCCCTGAGATAATTGATGGTCCTGGGACCGGGTGTGCGTTCGTTATATGGGACCAGCTAGCAATCTTGTGCACCCCACTCGAGTACTGCAGAGCAACCGTGTTTCCTAGGCGAAACTCTAAGCTACGCAGGCTGAAAATCACGGAACGAACCGATGTCGGCGAATTTGCGATCCTCGAAAATTATGAAGTCATGTTTCTGGCTCAGAGCCTGTAGCTGAGTAATGAGATCTGGCGTGAAGTCTTCGATGATGTCGACGTGTGTCTTGGTTCGTATGAGACAACGCGCTCTATCCCATTAGACGAAAAATTTGCCTTGATCAAGCAGACATATGGCCCGACAACGTCGATGATCGCTAGAAAGTCTTTGGGGGATGTGACATCCACGCTGACAGCAAGATTCGACTTTTTTCGCTCGATAGTTTCCAGGAGAAGTCTTGCAGTGGGGTTTTTCTGGCGCAGGGCACGTTGGGCGTAGGACTGGAGATGGGGAGAGGAAGACATTGATGATCTTATCTAAGATCGAAGAGGCCTGTCAATTCTGGAGATCTGATCAAATGCCTCTCGTTTTTCGCGAACGCGAGCAAGACAACGACGAGTCCGAGCCCGTGTCCAAACGTGCAAAGCTTGAAGACAGTGTCGAAGGATCTTCGGAAATACATCGCCCAACCATGTGCTGCCCCCAAGTCACTCCTTACTGGGCATTCCCCTACCTGATGTCAAGGACGGTCTGATGCACTTTCGAGAAACGGATGTCGGTATCTCTGAATACATCGGGCATGGGATTCCTCAGATCCGGGGTATCATAAAGCAAAGGTCTTGGAATTGCATCGATCTCGTAATCCTCGTCTGACCCTCGCAGATTCACGGACTTCCTCGTCTACGAAGTTGACCTCGACGGGAACGTAGTCCACCTCAAAAACGTTCAGAAACCAGACTCTCCTAAAGGCGGAGCAGAACCTGCTCCCGTGACCGAAGAAGAGAGTATGCCTGCGGCTGAAGTTGAACAGCCCACGGCGGACAAGGCACCCGCTGCTCCTGCCAACTCTGACGAACCGTGGCCGGAGCACTTTAACACTCGACTTTCTGAGTTTCTTTCCGAAGAGGCGACCGCAAAGCTGAAGGAGATGTATCTCGAGGGCCCAGAGCCCCCGCGTGTTTCTGATGGGGGCTGGGGCTCGCGGCCTGCGCCTGGAAGCACGCCGTCGGAACCCGTGCCAGAACCAGAACGTCCAAGTCGTGGAAGGGACAGAGGTGGTCGCGGTGGTCGCGGTGGCCGTGGAGGTCGTGGAGGTGGACGAGGCGGACGTCCAGGGGGTCGCGAAGATCATCGCAAGGTGCTTTCGGAGGTAGGTTGGCGTCATTCCCGCCGTCGTTCTCTCATCGTATGCCCGCAGCCTATTGTCTCCAAAGACACTCGTACCGCATTGCATGCTGCTGTTCGTGAACTATTCAATGGGAAACTCGAGTCTGAGGCGGACGTCTCTCACAACGGTCCAGCACCAGAAGAAGGCACCCGCATCGCCATCAAATGGAATCCGAACGGAGGCGCGAAAGGCAGTAACGCCCAAGGTCTCTGTGCTTCTGTCTGCGCTGTTCCCCAATCTGACGCAATGGACAGGAGGAGCACGGTCCAGCAGTGGTCGAGGCAACTTCCCGCCTTATGTCCATTTCACCTTGCAAAAGACCAATCGCGACACACAAGACGCTCTGTTGCATCTTTCGCGCATACTCAAAGTGGGATCCAAAGATCTCTCGGTGGCAGGGACCAAGGACAAACGTGGTATCACAGTGCAGCGAGTGGCTCTGAAGCGAAATAACAAAACCGTGGAGGATATTTGGAAACTGGCGAACACTCAAGTGGGGAGGCAATCGCATAACGGTGTTGTCAACCAGCGCGGTGACCGAGGTGTGCGGATCGGAGATCTCAAATACAGCAAGGCGGGGCTGGAGCTGGGACTGCTCAAGGGCAATGCATTCATCATCACATTGAGGCAGGCCATTCCGGTCATGTGCCGCATATATTGAACCTTCGCAGGAGTGTAGAGGTTGATTCAATTGAAACTCTGGACAAGGCGATGGAGGTCATCAAGGCCAAGGGCTTCATCAACTACTACGGTTGGTTGGCTAATTTTTTGTGGCTTGTTCAGAATTCTGACTTTTCCAGGGATGCAACGCTTTGGAACTGCCTCGGTGCCCACTCATTCCATTGGACTGGCCTTGCTCAAGTCGGACTGGCACGCAGCGGTCGACCTGATCATGCAAAAGCGGGTCGGGGAGCACCCTGAAGTAGACGCCGCCCGCCATGCCTGGCTTGTTGACAAGGATTTGGATAAGGCACTGGAGCTCATGCCTCGCCGAGTTGTTGCCGAACGTTGTCTGTTGGAAAGCTACAAGAAGCAGAAGGGAGACACTCGCAACGCCATGGGAGCTCTGTCAACAGTACGTTCTTGAGCGGATCCTTTTCTCAATCCCAACTGTTGCCAGATTCCGAGAAATTTGCGATTAATGTACATCCATGCTTACCAGTCCTATGTCTGGAACGCGATCGTGTCCGAGAGAATCAGGACATATGGTTCAGAACGTCCCATAGCTGGGGATCTGGTTTTTGATACACCTGCGGAGCCTGCACCTGAAGCAGACAAGACTGACCATGCCAGTGAGGAGGTTCCTGTGGCTGCATTCCAATCTGAATCTCTGGCCCAGGTTCCAAGTCAAGGAAGAAAAATCGTCGCCCGTATGTTGCCCCTCGAATCAAGACTTTGACTGAGGAGGATCTCGACAAATACTCCATTTTCGACGTGATCATGCCTTTGCCTGGCACCGATGTGGCCTACCCTGGCGGTGCTCTCGGAGAGAAATACCGCGAGTACCTGCGTCTGGATGGGTTGGATCCCGACAACTTTGAACGCAAGCAAAAGTAAGGGTATCGGAATGCGCCATCGCAGAGTCTTACCAGCTCCCAGGGACTACTCATTGAATGGGTCATATCGTGCCATACTCCATCTGCCAAAAGAGCTCTCGTGGTCGGTCCTGCGATACACGGATCCAGATGTCGCTCTCGCCCAATCCGATGAAGACCAGCTCCTCGGCTTTGATCCGCCTACGGTCTCCGACGAAGGTCGTTTTATGGCGCTTCAAATCAGGCTGACATTAGGAACCGCGGCATATGCTACCATGGCATTACGTGAGATTACCAAGACCGACACCAGCTCCCACCACCAGAGCAATCTCACGAGCAACGCAGAAGATCAGAAGTTCAGGGGAACAGAAGCGGCGGTCCCGGGCGAGGAGATGGACCTGGACGCACCCGAGACGGTGGAAGTAGAGGAGATAGAAGAGGCCGAGTAACCGGTCGTCGCGTGCCGGCTCGCCTAAAATTATCCGCTTGTAGCCGTGCCCGAATTGGTCAAGCCTATGTACTTGTATTTCCCTCCGAAACCCCGGTCTGAACGTCTGAACACGTAGACAACGGGAACTCTCACATAAAACGCTACACTCGCTCTCGGCGATTGACATCGCCCGTCCGTCCTCCACGCACTCCTTTCATCTACACCATGGCGAAGGTCGAAACGATCGTGTTCCTCTCACTTATCCTCGACCTCTTTGCTTTCACTATCCCTCTACCACTCTTTCCCAGGATAATACAGTGGTATACAGTGGTGGGTATCTGGGACCGTGCAATGTTCAACACACAAACTCAATCGATGCCGCAATAGCGCGAATCCTCCGACCCCACAGGCTTCTTGTCACGCACTTTGGACTTCGTCTCTTCCATCCGAAACGTCTTCTACAAGTCCTCCGTCCACTCTCAGAAATGGGATATCGTTCTCTTGGGTACATCCGTTGCTTAGATGGCTGGTGGGAGGCTCATGAGTTTTCTGTGTAGGCGGGTTGATGGGCTCGGTGTTCTCGTGCGTTCGTCCCTACACTGGGGCCTTGTTCAGCTGGAAGCTCATCATATCGTCCAACCAGCACCCTGCAATTCCTTGTCTCTCCCCAAATCGGTTCGCTCTCCGACAAATACGGACGTAAACGCATTCTCCTGCTCACAATGATCGGAAACATCATGTCTGCTATGCTGTGAGCCTGGCAACTGTTCCAGCATTCGGCTTGAGACGCTCAAACACAACACAGATGGATGCAATCGACCACCTTCGCGTCGTATATGATGTCTCGTGTTGTTGGCGGATTGAGCGAAGGCAATGTTCAGTTGGCCATGTGAGTGCCTGACCCTCGAATCGTAGGAAACCAGCTGACGCGCTTTCGAGTGCCATCGTTCGTCTTTCTGACTTGCAACTGCTCCTATGCTAAATCATGTTGTGATAGTTATCCGATGTTACGACTCCCGCCAATCGTTCCAAAGCTCTCGCGCATGTCGGCATCGCATTCGCCATCTGCTTCTGCATCGGGCCTCCGATTGGCGCATACTTTGCCTCCCGGCCACCGCCCGCATCTCTTAGTACATTTGGGATCGAGCTCAACGTCTACTTTGTACCCGCGGCCATCACGCTTGTGCTGCTCGTCCTGGAGACCTTGTTTTTGATCTTGGCTCTTCCCGAGACAAGGGGGAAACAGGTTAAAGCCGTCGAGGAGAAAGCCAGTGAATCCTCCAAATCACAGAAGCCAAAGGCCACGGTCCAGCAACGGATCCAAACGCTCAAAACCCTGCGCTGGCTGCACTTTTTCTTCCTTGGCATCTTCTCTGGCGTCGAATTCACGCTCACGTTTTTGACGTTTGACTGTCCGTGTCTTCCATTCTCGTAATGAACCATCTTACTGATGGCCTCGCAGTGTTCGACTGGAACAACAGGCAGAATGGATCCCTAATTGGATCCATCGGGATCATCAGTGCCCTGTTGCAGGGAGGATATGTTCGCCGCTCGACTGCCAAGATTGGTGAAGGGGTGATGGCCCGTCGGGGGGTGTCCAGTTGCGCAGCAGGACTGGTCCTCATGGCCCTCATCCCCGTATTTGTGGCATCGCGACCCACGCTCGCCCTGAGATTGCTACAAGGATCCGCCGTCTGCTTGGCTTTTACGTCTGCGACAGTGGTGAACTCGCTGACTGCGGCGGCATCGCTACAGTGTGACGAAAGCAATGTGGATCCTATCACCGGGAAGCCCAAAGAACACTCCCAGCTTGCAAAGGGCAAGGCGCTGGGACAGTTCCGATCATCTGGACAGCTGGGCAGGGCTATGGGACCTCTGCTGGGTTGGTGCTACGTTGACTGATACATGACCATCTACTGATTAAAGTCTGCACAGCATGCGCATCTTATTGGACATTTGGTCCGACAGTGACTTATTCCATCTCTGCGGTTGCCATGTTTGGGCTGTCCGCAGTGATGAGAAGGGCAGCAAAGTGACGAAAGCATCAAATTGGACGGACAGCAACTATTTATCTACGGAATGTCTTTGTCCCATCAGGATCATAAAATACGTGTAATCTCGTTCCACTCGTAACAGCATCCATTACCAGTGCTTTCTAGTCATAAACGGTCGGGTATAAGTCTCAACGAGCAAGCGTGTATTATTTATTGATATATCACCGCGGAAGAACAGCATCGTCGGGAAGGGTCTCGACTCGCGGCTTTTCAGGACGTCCCTCTCTCGCAGCAGGTGGTCGCGACATCAGCGGCACAGGTGGACCCCGTGAGTAAGACGGCCCGATTTCGACGTCTTGCTGCGATGTGAAAATCGCAGGCAAAAAGAACAGCACACCGCTGTTGTTGTAGTGCTGCCGCCGCCGAGCAGGAGTTCGAGGTTCCGGGACGCGTTCAGTGACGCCAGCCATGGTATTGAAACGATTGCGGACCCGTTTAACGACATCGAGGATGGATGGAGTCTCGGGCGGAGGGAAACTTTCGCCCGGATCAGAAGTAGGCGATTCGGGACGAACATCAAATGGAAGATCGACGTAAGACAGTTGATCGTCAAAGCCTGGTTCGCTACCATCCGGAGACGAAAGTTGAGACGTCGCGTTCGAAGTTGGCAACGCGGCATCGCCGACGTGCAGCCTCCATCGTCCCGTTCGCTCTGATCTGCGCGGGAAGAGCACGTTGTATCGCCGCAGATTGCGCCGACTTTGTTTGCTCGGCCACATTTTGACCGAGCCGACTAGGAGCACCAGCAAACCGACCCACATGAGCCCCTTGCCCCATGCTCCTAAGAATCCAATAAAGGCCGCGTCATCCGAGTGCCAGCTGCTGCCGTAATGATGAGTGAAGAACGAGTGGGGCGCTTCTGCTGGCTGGGCATTCTTCCCGTACAGGGACTTGGGAAGGATACGGACATTCCCGCCGCCGACACGCTGGGACGTGAAAATCTCGAACTGGATGGACAGGAACATGGGTCCGGTGGAGAACATGACCGTGGGATAGTTGAGACCCCAGTTATGGTCGAAAGTGGCCAGGTTGTGGATCGTCTGCGCCAAAAAGGGGTGGTGACGCTCACTGAACATGAGGTCATTGGATACGCCAACTGGGATGGTTTTGGGGAGAATGACAGGGTAGGCGAGAAGGGGGTCGAGCGGGCGAAGACATCCGATGTCCAGGTCCATGTAGACGCCGCCATAATGATAGAGCACGAAGTAGCGAATGGCATCGGCACGCAGAATGTTGTATTCGTAGTTATCAAACGTGTTGAGGAACCACGGATAATGCCGAGCAATGAATTCCCGGGAGCTCTCGTCAGTCCACAGCATGTATTCGCTTTCGATGACATAAGATGACGAGGAGAGAGCGAGAGAGAGAATGAGACGCACTAGTCCGGCATCATATCTCGACATTCCTGCGAAATACCCTTCCACCGCTCAGGAAGTGTCGCAGTCTTCCATGTTTGGTGGAGAATCCTTGGCACACGCTCTACCTGCCCGTGCTCGGAGGCGTTCCATCGCTGAGAGGGGTCGGTGAACGGGACCTCGATCTCTGTTAAATAAGCGCTGGGGTCTATCCTCAGATAGTACGTAGTTGTGGAGAGGACAACCACGGTGCCAAGGAGGAAGAGGCCCAAGACCGTGAGCAGGGTATAGAACGCGCGGCGCGTGCGCATCAGCGGAGCAGATCTAGGATGTGTATGGTGGGAGGTAAAAGGGACTCGAGACAAGCGAGGGAAGAAGCTTCAAGGAAAGACGAGAAATGGGGATCACAATTGATGTCGCTTGCTGCGCGTTACATATCCTGTGCCACAAGCATCGCCATTTTGTTCAAGCGGTGGCCCGAAGTCCCGAACATTCTTTCTTCCAGGCATGGCTTACGCCTCTCGGGATATCTTCCGCCACAGGGCCACGCCTTACTCGTCCTCGTTGTGTCATGCATGCCGCCCGTATTGAAATTTTGAATTGGGCCCCCGTATTGACCGCATCATTGATGGCCGGCGGGTTACTTACTAATGTCGCTTAACAAGTGCCAAGGCCTCGCGATGCCACTTCAATTCCTCCAAATCCTCGAGAATAACGATGTCCTTCCAAGCAAGAGCCAGCTGTCTCAGTCCCTCCAAGGCCGTCGACCAACTTTCAGTAGCCCACTCGCGCCCACACTTTGATCCCTGTCCGGTGTACGGCATCCTGAGAAAGGTGGCCAGCTTCGGATACGTCTCTTTCCGCGGGTGCTTCGAGTCGAGATACGACAGACATTCTTCAACATCCCATGTAGTATACAGCTTTTCAGCCCTCTTCCATTTTGGGGCAAAGCGTGAGGCCGTGGTGCCATTATTATCGGCGACCGGGTCTTCTAATGCATGGCCTCCCACTCGACCAACGAGATCTACAAGCAGCGACGAAAAATGCCGCACAACTTGGATGAACAACGCATCCAGGGCTTGGAGATGTGTGATCATGGGGGTGCTAGGAATGTCGGCATCGTCGTCGACGTCCATTCGGTCGTTTCTAGACGTTTCTGGTCGAACATTCTCATGTCCCGTGTAATCAGGCTCTGTGGGAGCCGGCGCGAAAGCGATCAGTTGCTCTGCTCCAAACGAAAGCGCCTGTGCCAGCTGGCGACTGCTTCGCGGCGATGGTCGTTTACCAGTCGTAAGTTCTCCACCGCGCGAGGGCGACCCCGGTAGTTCGACAGTATGGATGTCTGGAACATCGGTTCAGCCCATGTAGGAAACAGTCAGGAAGCACGCCACTGTAAGTGATTGCATTGATGCATAGATTGATGTCTTTGCTCCAAAGGAATACATTCGAAGTCTCGCGCTGAAAGTATCGACAGCAGTCCAGGATTGCAGAGTCGTTATTGATGAAAACCTTGCGCGAAATGAACGAGAGATTCAGGCTGGATGCGCAGAATACTTACCTCGCCCTGCTGACGGACATTCCACTTGCCGGACGAGTTGCATGTCTCTTCGTCTTTCTGCTTGCGCACGACGTTCGTGCTTGGTGGACGAAGCTTGTCCCGGATCCAGGAGGAAGCCGTGCTAGAGAACCATCTCAGATGAGGACGGTTCTTCTGCCTGAAAGCCATGAGTCGAAACATTGGGATCGAAGGCAAAAAACTACTTGTCGAGCTCTACCAAAACAATTCCGGGAACCACCACACGTACAGGAATTTGAACCTTTTCCACATCCGCCACAAACTGCCGGATAGTTCGTAGATCATCAATTCTGTTCGAAAGTTGGAACAAGAAGAGACGGTCATTAGACGCATTATTACGCACAATACGTTCGTATCCAAAACGATGATGAGAGGCCATTCTCTGAAAGCAGGCAGAGCGTGGCCAATCGGCTCAGATTCACCCATATCGATGTCTTCGGAGTGCATGTCCAACGAAGCAAGAGAGAGAGTTGCAAGGCGTTGAGCAGATCGCTGAAAGAAAGGGGTATAATCCAGTCAACACGGTATATGTACAGTTGAACGAGAACAAAGGTAAGATAGTTATGAATTTCAATGACTGAGGATGCAGAGAAAGATCGCCCGGCATTTGCCGCCGGCGACATCTGTTTGGGGTTGCGCGATCGTTCTGGTCCCTCATCACTTACACTCATCTCCAGCCGCGACGCGTCAAACCATCTACATTGTCCACTACGCGTCGGAATGGACTATTCCACGGAGATGATCGAGGTAGACGCGGAAATGGTCGTGGAGATTAGGCGTACTGCTGAGGCAGCCCAAGAACGCGGATTGCTAGCTGCCACTCAATGGTTCGCGCTCCATCCTGTCCTCCTATCAGGAAACCCATCGCATATTCGAATAGGGCGCTGGGGATGTTAGTCTCTCTGCCTGACGACCTGCGCTCTGTCCCCATACCACCGTCACCCTCTGTGGACGAAACAGAGGCGTGCCTGCGTGAAGAGGAAGTGTTCGAACTCGCTCGACAAGCCGTCGGAGACAAGCAGCACCGTCGAGCCAGTCACTTGCTGCGAGATTGCACGAGCGGAAAAGCTCTCTTCCTCCGAACATATTGTTCTTACATCGTGTGTTCCGACTACCTTTCTCTCCGCCTGGCTCATCGCAAGTCCAGGCCAACGAAAAGGATGCGCTCAGGGAATGGCATACGCATGATGGTATGTTCTCTTTCACGCTGCTGCCTTCCAAGTCGGCCTATGAACCGAAGGAATCCGAACGCAACCACCTACGCCTATCAACACGAAACTCGCCGACTTATATGAGCTCATTCAGGACACACAAGATCCATGGATGCTCTTTTTGTGAGTGCGAGCCATACGATATGAGAGAGACGCCTCAATTTGCCAAGAAAGACGAGCGCTGTTCCTCTATCGTCTATCTCGACAAGATGATGCAATCGACTGTATCCTCTCTCACCTCGCTTCAGTACCATGGAACTGGTCGGCCTGGACTCTTCTTGGGAATTGCATCAATGATCATCAACAGGTGAGTGCGTGCGTGCGATCGAAAACTACCCGCGGGACTCATTGCGAGTAGTTTTCTGATCTCCTGGAAAGACTCCCGCTTCCTATGACCCATCCTGTGGTATATATCTTCGTGGTCTACACGATGAACAGTCTCTACACGTCGACTGAAGCAGAGCTGGACCTGTGTGCGCGGCTTCTGCTGTCCTTCCCTCAGAGCCTCTTCATCATGGGCCTACGTGCGAACGCTTTCTACAATCTTCACAAGTATCCAGAAGCGGAGGCCCAGTTTGATGTGATGCTCGGGATTGACCAGTATCGCACAGACGAACTGGAGGTGCTCGTCCACGTGCTCTACGCGGTGGAAAACAAGGAGCGGCTGTCCGTGCTCGCCCAATTCCATCTTGTCGTCAACAGGGACCGCCCGCAGGTGTGCTTTCTGCTCGGGTGCCACCACTCGCTCCGTTCAGAACACGAGAAGGCCGTCAAGTACTTCCGGCGCGCGACTGAGCTCGATCGAACGTTCTCCAGCGCGTGGACCTTCATGGGAACCGAGTTTCTGGACATGGCTAACTATCATGCCGCTATTGAATCCTTCCGTCGTGCTGTTGGTGAGTAAACGCGCTCCGACAACCGCCCGTTGATTTTACCCGTTCTTGACAGACGCCAACCCGAAGGATTATCGGGCGTGGACAGGGCTGGGGAAGGCTTATGTGATGATGGGCATGCCCCTCTACGGATTGCACTATCAATCTCGTGCACTGCATATCCGGTACGAAGAGATCGCTGCCTCTGCTTCGGCATCAACTGAAATTCTTTGCGCAGGCCTGACGAGGCAGAGTGCTGGGAGGATCAAGCGAATGCACAAGAAGCTCTCGGAAAGTAAGTCGAATCGTCGCAGTAGGATCAGTCTTCCCGACACGCATTACAGAACAGACGAGGCAATATCGAGTTACCGTCGGGCGTTGGAAGCCAACGCGCCACATCCCACGAAAGTCTTCGTCCGCCTTTCGCAGCTGCTGAGTCAAGTCGGGGATAGCTCCGGAGCTTTGACATATGCGCAAGAGGCGATCAGGGCCGCAGAACTCAACTCGCAGCCCGTGGAGCAATACGCCAAAGCTCTGGTCGCGGTGGCCGAGTTCCAGCTGCGGCAGCCGACGGGAGACTGGAAGCGCGCGCGGGACTATCTCGAACGGGTTCTGGCCCATACGTCGCCGTCGGGAGACGACTCGTACCACGGCAAAGCGCTGGAATTGCTCAAAATGGCGAAAACAAAACTGCAGATGCGCGGGATGATGATATAGACGTCTCAATGTACACTGTATGAACCGAGCACGGAATCTGTCGGGCATGCGAGGTCCGTATTCCCGTGTACGTCAATCAGATTTGCGTGTATTCCCTGTTGCTAGACAGGGACCCACTTCCCTGGCAAACATGAATCCATCGATCTCGTAGTGGAATCTGTCGTTTCGCTGCTACATATATCCCTCTTCGTCCATATCGTCCCAAGGCCAATGAGCGTGAATCTCCTCACATTCCTCCGCCGACGCATTAGCCAACGCCTGCTGCTTCTGATCTTGCAGGAACGCCACGGCATCCTCGTAGTCCTCACTGAGCACCCAGCCCTCCTCCCTAATGTTTCCCGCGTCCTGTACCGCGTTGAAGCCCAAGTCCCCGATAGCCAAGGCTTCATCGAGCGCCACCGTGGCGCGTACGTCCTCGGCTTCGAAAGCGATGGGACATGGCACACCGTCTTCTACAAGCTCTGTCCATTTTTCTGTTGCTTGGATGAGAGAAAGCTTCAGCTCGAGAGTCTCGCCCTCCCACGGAGCACCCGCCTGCGCGAAAAGGCGGCCGCGAAGCGCGTGCAAGGGGTCCGTCAGGGCGGTGTAGTGGCGCTGGTTGCACTGTTCCGTGCTCGTGTGATAATGGTAGTTGACTACGCGCTGGCGGTAGACATACTCCTGTTGGTCTCGCTCGCCCTCACTCAACGCCTCGAGGTTCTCTGGCCGATAGAGCGGGGTTGTAGATTGGGAGATGTTGTCGTCGTGGCTTTGGAGCTGTTGTGGAACGCCAGCGAGGAGAAACATGGGCAGAATAGAGGCGTGTTGCCAATCGATGAGGCTAACAATTTCACAGCCTGTGTCAGGCGAGCGGGCTACGATGATATTGTCGTAGCGAAGGTCTGGATGGCGGATGCAGAAACGGCTTTGAGCCGGGTCCTTGGGGAGGAGGAACGGCGCGATTTCGATGAATCGTTCCAAATTCTCCACGTGGGACAATGGCGACTGCGGCCTGTTCTGGTATCCAAACCGCCGCTGACGACGAAACGGAAGGATTGGTTGCCCGAACTGCGTCAGATAAGCCATTTCCTTGCCCGCTGTAGCCATCAGCGCTGCTTCAGCGCTTCTGTCTGTAGCTCCCAGTGAGTGCGGGGACACGAAAACAAAGGCCGACGACGTACATGGTCCTCGATCCACATCAAGCTTCGCTCTCCTCCCGAACCAAAGCGGCACCCTCGTATCAGGCCCGACGCAGAATCGCGGGTCCTCCAGCGGTATGCCCAGCCCAGCGCCAACCTTTTCCAAGTCTTTGGTGAAGTAAAGACTCCCGCCAGCGGGAAACGGCAGCGACATCATGCGTGACTCGAGTTCAGTCAGCTGGCGCACGACAGAAACCACTTCCTGGTCGCTCAGGCCACGCCAAACACTGCCAAGTGTAGTTCCCTGGACGAGCTCCATGAGGATGTATGGTGTTCGAGCAGCGTTGTCCGAATCGGCGGAGTAACCGTATATCGTCGGAACAGGCAGCCCGGAGGAGCGCATGTACTCAATCGTGGCCACCTCGCTTGCGACAGCGTGGTACTTTGGGACGGTCGCGGGGTAGGGAACTCGAGCGATCATCTGCTGGCCGTCCCGTAGAGTGACGAGGAAAACGCGGTTGAATCCGCCCTCGGCAAGCTTCGAGATGCTGACGACATCCGCGAAGCCTTGGTTGACAGACTCCGCTGCAAGACGCAGAAGCTCGTCGACGTCGAAAGCAAGTCTCCGCTCCTCCTGCCGAAGTGTCTCGTTGTAGCTTGACTATAGAGATTACAGCACGTCAGAAATGTGTGCGACGGAGGAGCTTACACCCAACGTCCCATGGTGTGGTTGAAGAGATTGGGGTGGGAATCCGTGCTGCTCAGGGTAGACATGGCGCGAGATGGCAGCAAAATTTTCCTAGCAGACACGAAGCAGGGGAAGAGGGAGAAAATCGGTCGCAGGTTTGGCACTTTGCACCTCGTCCTCCGAGTCCCAAGGAAGAGCATTTCAATATAGGGTGCGGTGAGGAAGTGGATGACCAAGGGTTTCGATAGTGGTAGGCACGCTATAGTGGTTTCAGCCCAGTTTTCTCCAAGTACTGAAAGCGCTCAAGTGAGAGTGTGGGCGCGTATGAGCACATCCTAGTAGGTCAAGCACAGCCACTGTCGTATGGGGTTTCCAAAAGCGGTCAGGGGCGCAGAACTCAACTTGCAGCCCTGTGGAGCAATACACAGAAGCTTTGATTGCAGCAGCCGGATTTCAACAGCGACAGTCTATAGGAGACTGAGACGCGCCCGTGACTATCTGGTCCATACGCCGTCAGGAGACGCTCATACCCTAGCAAAGCGCTAAAATTGTTCGAAACGGCGAAGAATGATGCAGATATCGCCGAGTTGATACTAGTGTACATGTCGCAAGTCCATTCCTTCCCTCACAGCGTCGGTCAGATGCCAGCCGTCCGTATCTCCATGCAGATCAAACAAGTTGGCACCTCTCAATCCCTTCTGCTTGACTAGATTGCCCTTCAATCGCAGCGACTGGCAGTCATCAAACGACACGACTTGTTTGGCGGATGACGATTGCAGAAACGGGGTGCTCGAGCACTGGTCCCAGAATTTGGTAAACCCACCCCCGCCGATGAAGTCTCTCTTCTCGGCGTTGAGCAGCAGTGCCCCCTGAGTCAAGAGATCTCGAAACTGTATTTGGTCTCCGTCTCCAGTCAGTTGGACGGTCCCAGCGTCATCCCGAGTCCGCAGACTGGTCGCCTGAGATTGAGACACATAGCCGTAAGCAGGAACACCGAGAACGAGCTTTGAAGCGGGAAAGCCAGCCTTGATCCACGCTTTGATGGCACCTTCGGCATTTTCGTCAGCTTGCGTTGAGTTGCCACAGGTGTCGGACAAGGGCGCGTTGGGACCCGGGTCGCTGGAGGCTGCGGCAGCGTGTCAGAGCGCGCAGAATACAGATGAGCACTACTGACACCCCCATATATCGTAGTTCATCAGCAACACCCAGTCCAGTACATCTGCAAATTGAGTCACGTTTTTCAGGGGTTGCCCAGATGCGCCGTAGAAAGGGGTGAGGAGGACGGCGGCAGTGATCACGGCGGTGTGCGGCAGGGAGGAACGAAGCAGTTGAAGAAACAGCAGGAAATTGGCAGAGTCTTTGGGGCTGACTTGATTTGAGCCCTCGCCTTGATGGCCAGGGTATTCCCAATCGAGGTCAACGCCGTTGAGTTTGAACTCCGAGTAGGTGGACACGATACTCTTGACGAATTCCCGTCTGTTCTTGTCGGTGCTGACCGCGGAAGAAAAGTACCTGGGGAGCGATAGAGGCCATGAGAGATGATCATTGGAAGTGAACACGATAGAGTTTAGTAACCCACTTGCTCCCAGTCCAGCCCCCGATGCTCAGTTTGACCTTGGTCTTCTTTGCATGGGCTAAATTGACAAGTTGCCGCAATATTTCTGGAGCGCCAGAGGGGTCGTCCCAAGAGAGCTGGAAATCTTGCGTGGGGATGGCGAATGCGAAGTCAATCCAGTCAAATCGGCGGAAGTCGATCCTTTTGGGTGGCCAATCAGGGCCCGCCCAGTCCGGATAGTACGCCATCATCAGAGGTGCAGACGCCGATTCCGAGGACGGCGGCGAGAGAAACTCGGGAACTGGAAGAAGGAACGGTTCTTGTCCGTACTGGAGAGTGGGATCGGGAACGATGCTCGTCGTGTCGTTGCTCGCATTAGCTGATGAGGGGTCAGGGTACAGAGGAGACGTCGATTCAAGAGTGCAAAGCCCAGCCAAGGGGTGGAACAGTAGGAGTGGATATATGCCAGTTCTCATGGCGGCGGCGGCGATGAGTGATTATGAGTCCGGCATCTTGCGGAGGGTCATGTGACTCTCAGTCCCTCGTCTCCTGGTCACATGCCCTCTCACCTCTTCCGCGGAGGTGAAGTGTCCCGTTACAAACATCGCACCCTCTCTTGCACGCGTTATTCAATCGCATTCCGTCGATCATTTAGGGCTTGGACGCGGATGAAGATCGCCGCTCCTTGGGTCACATGAGGTAACTTTCGCGTTTCTCGTCACAAAGCTGTCCACTCGGCGACGAAATCCACCTGGAATTCAATGGCCGACCATGCGACAGCCGAAAACGTCTGACGAGAATTGATCAGGGTGCAGCAGCAAGTGATGAATGCGCACCCCTCTGGCCAGTTCTGCCTCAGCAACCTGTATCACCCATGATGCGATCTTCATTCTCCCTTACACAGTTTCGGCACATGACCGTGGCGTCTATTAATCACCTGCGAGTCTGCGTCTTCCGCGCCGTGCTCGACTCTTCTGAGCTGTGTGATGGATGTGTCTGAGCTGTGATATAAGTGGAGTGCCGTGCGAGGGAGCTCACAGCGAACACATCTGTTATGTTTCTGCGCAGTGTCCTGACTACTTTTCTGTGTGCTGCGGCGGCTCAGGCCTTCAGCTGGACCGCCACGCCCTTCAACCCGTCGTCTATCCCTTTGGCTGTGCGCACGCCGTACCTCAGTGCATGGTCCGTGGCGTCCCTCGCGTGTGTTCGTCCTGTGGAGCACTGCTGTTCATAGGCTTCCTCAAGGCGCTGGAGCTGCTCTGAATGACGTCTGGCCCACGTTCTGGGACGGCCAGGTTCGTGTGTGACGTCATGCGCTCGGGCATTCACATGTTCAGCTTGCGTTCAGATCCTTGGATGGGCCGGATTCGTCAAAGTCGACGGGGCCGCCTACTCCTTCCTCGGAGCTCCGGGTGTGCCTGGTGCTAGCTTCTCCAAGGCTGTTCAGAAGAGTTTCTCTGTCTGTGCTCTCTTTGGGATGCAGGATAGGGATATCTTCGCTGACCTGACTTAGTTTACCTCGACGCAAAGCACTTTCGTGCTCACTGCTGGACCGGTAGACATCCATGTCAATTTTCTCAGCCCCGTCGAGGTTGGTTCGGCGATGAGAGACTGTGTCGGACTTCTGACTGTTCTGGGTTAGCCCAACGATCTGCTCAAGCAATCCATTCCGTTCTCCTACATGTCGGTATCAGCAGGTAAATGCCAATTCGATCAGTCTCCTCCCCAGAAGTCCTGATCGGCGCAGTATCGAACAACGGAGCCTCGCATACTGTCCAAGTATACAGCGACATCAGTGCCGAGTGGACCTCGGGCGACAACGGCTTGACTGTCAACTGGAACTCAACCACCTCGGGGACCAACCTGATACACCAAGTCCAACTTGTGAATCCCTCGGTGTTTGCGGAGGTGAACGATCACACTCAGTGTCAGAATATTCTCCAGCTCCACTGTTCTTCGCCATTGAAATCTTGAACAGACGGTTCCGCCTTCTACTCCACGCCCAATGTCAGCAGCATCCCTGTAAATCTGTAAATCCATGATCGCACACTCACAAGACGCACAGACCGTGGGAGCCACTTACCAAACTGGCGCGGATGTTGCTGTCCGCGCTCAATTCATCAAAAACGGCGCTCTCGCCAACACGCTGGACACCAATTTCCGAGCCATCAACAATAACTGGCCCGTATTCGCATTGGCGCACAACCTCGGCACCGTCACGGCGACGCTCTCGGCGCCAGTGGTCTACGCTGTCGGCCACGTCCGGGATCCTGCGATCCAGTACATCATTGCCGGTGGTGCCACGCAATCGCGCAGCTCGTACTTTCTCAGTCAAAGCTCCAGTGTCTCTGCCACTGTTTGTCGGTGCCTCTCTCACCTCACACGTGACTCACACGTGCATCTGCAGATCGCAAGCTTCCTGAGCGATTTCCAAGGCGCACTGGGCCGAGCCAACACGTTTGACGCTAAAGTACAAAAGGACGCCTCGACAATCTCATCCGACTACGCCGGCGTCGTGGCTATCTCCATCCGCCAGGCATTTGCGGCGACGGAGATCACCGTGTCCAAGACCTCCAGCGGCGCGTTCAACACCTCGGATGTTCTCGTGTTCATGAAAGGTGACTCACTACTTCTAGTCCGCAGCCGCATTCGAGGCTCAAACTTGATTACAGAGATATCCAGCGATGGTGTAAGATGCTTCTATCTGCATAGTCGAGTGCTCACACCGTTCAGAATGTCAATACGGTCGATGTCATCTCTCCGTCGTGGTCAGTGCCACTTGAGACCGAATGAAATCTTGCGGCTGATCGCCTCCAGGCCGCTCTTCCTGTACACCAACCCAGCACTCGGCAAATTCCTTTTGGAAGGTCTGTTCCGTTACCAAGCCAGTGGGCAATACCCGTGAGCAGCATGCTTCCTGTCGTCGGAAAGGCTCTGATTGGGATGCGCAGTAACAAATGGAGTGTGCACGATCTGGGCGCGTCGTACCCCAAAGCACTCGGGCACAATGATGGAGGAGACGAAGCTATGCCTGTCGAGGGTAAGCCGGTGTTCCTTCAGTTCAAATTTCGTCCACTCATCTAATCAGAGAGTGGAAATATGATCATAATGGCCTTGAGCTACGCTCAGAAGACGGGGGATCTGTCGCAGTTGAAGACTTATGTCAGCTATCCCACAGAATCGCGCGTCTGATTTTGACGCTTCTTGTGCAGTCCGCGCTGCTGAATCAGTGGACCCAATTCCTGATCAGCGACAGCTTGATCCCAGGTCAGAGTCTCTATGCTTTCTGGTCACGTCGTTGTTGAACAGCGAGACAGCCAATCAAATCAGCACTGTTTGGGCATTCATTTCAACCAACCTCGTTCATTTGGATGACGATCTACCACTAGGATGACTTCGCTGGGTCACTGGCCAATCAAACAAATCTGGCGATCAAAGGAATCGTAGGGATCGGTGCCATGGCCAAGATCGAAGCGCTGCTGGGCAACTCAGCTCAGAGTGCCAACTACAGCGCAAGCCACCACACACTTATCCCCGCACATCCGTCTGATCCACGTGTAGGCCATTGCAACGAGCTATGTTACGCAGTGGCAGAAGTTCGCCACGTCCACGACCGGTGCCCATCTGACCCTCAGCGTGAGTGCCTTGCTGACCGTCGGCGCATCGACTTGCTCATCCGCTCTGTAGTATGGCGACAATGCTAGGTAACGAGCACTGTCACGCATCTGGTCGCAGTCCACTAACCCCATTGCAGCTGGGGCCTCGCCTACAACCTGTTTGGGGATAAGCTTCTGGGCCTCAATCTGTTCCCCGCTTCGGTGTACAACGAGCGTACGTGTCGTTTCTGCCGTGCTGTGCTTTCCTCGATACTGATGTGTATCAGAGACGGCCTGGTACCAGAATCACGCGAGTGAGTGCCTTTCAGCTGCGGATACTCATGCTCCCCGCTCAAACTGTTATCAGATGCTTTTGGAGTGCCTCTTGATACCCGGTGAGTGGCGTCCCCTCCAACGAATATCCGTCCACGCGCTACATCACGGCACAGCCACACCTACACGAAATCGTGAGTCATCTGGGCCAGACTCTCTCGGAATGAAAGTGAAACATGAGGTAGGGATTGGCAATTGTGGACTGCGGCCGTCATGACCTCGACCTCTGTGCGCGATATCTTCATCAGCGCCGTCAAAAAGTGGGTGTCAGATGGGCAATACAATGGCGAGTCTATCAGGCCAGATTCTGGAGATCGTGGTGGAGCTCATCCGGAGATTCCAGCGCCGTTTGGAGATTCGTATGACACAGTGACGGGCGCTGTTGCCGTTGGCTTCAAAGCGCGGCCGGTCGTGGGAGGACATCTTGCCCTGGTCAGTCGGTGTCCCCTGTTCTGATTCGGACAAACGGATGCTCACTAAATGCAGCTCGTCGTTTAAGGTGTCCGTGTGTACCATAGCGTAATATCCAGTACAACAAGACATCTTCTAAGATTGCTAACAATACAATAAGGAAGGTCGCAGATCGGTCGCAGATTTGAACATGTGAAGTCGAATACAAAAGAAGGTTTTTGGTTGGTTGGTTGGTCTACAAGTTGCGCAGATCCCGCAGGATCGTCGAGAAGTCCTCTTCGGTGTACCGCTTGTGATTCCGCTCCCGCACCCATTTGCGCGAGACAGGTGAGATGGGCGAGGTCGTTTCGCGGCCGGGCTGCCATGTGTAATACGCCTCCTCGCTGGGTTCATCCGATGAATCATCATCGTCCTCGCTGTCAGAATGGCTGAACGTCAACTTGGGTGCCGCAGATCCGCAGCTGTCCAACACGATCTGGACAGAATCTCCGAGCTGCCGCCGGAGCTTCAGCTTGCTCTGATGTTGCGCGGTCCGGGGCGAAGGCGGCTCCGGGATCTCAGCCAGGATCCGATCCCGCGAGGCCCTCAGGGACGACATGCGCGGTGGCCCGCGTCTTGGGGGCGGCGGCGGCACGAACTGCGGCATCGACGAGCGCGAGCCAGCCGCAGGGGGAGTCGGCGGCAGCGGGTCGGGCCGCGCGGGGGCGATCGGGCTATCCGGGACGCTAGGCAGCGGGCGGAACAGAGACGGCGAGGTGCTGCTGCTCGACGAGCGGCTGTGGATGTGCCCTAGTGCGGTCGGGGGCGCCGAGTTGGGTGTCGCGGGGATGCGGGGCAGGGGCCGGACCGTCTTTCCCAGACGCGCCGCGTCGGCCTCTGCTAGCTGGACGTCGATCGTCATCGGGGCCGGAGGGCGCAGGCTTCGCGCATTTCGCGGGCGCGGGGGAAAGAAGGGCAGCTGCGGACAGACGATGTCGCGCCCGTCGTCCGTGCACAGCGTCCGCCGCCGGCGATTCGACGTCGGAGGAGTAGTGTGACTGCCAGAGTCGCTCGACCGGGTCCAGGGCGGCATGGGTGAAAAAGTGAGTGAGTGAGTGAGTGGATGAGCGAGTGAGTCGGAATCAGCGCAGCCAGGATTTATCCGGCCCGTATTTGTATGGAACGGGAATGGCGACAGACAGGCAGCCACCTCGTTTGAATTCGGAGCATCCCAGTGTGGTTGCAACCAGACCTTTGTCTCGGCTAAATCAGGGTCTCGATCAAAAGCCAAGTGTGTGTGCATTGGCGCGGGACCAATATCGACTTGGAGCAGTTTGGAGTCGATTGGAGTCGTGGCGGCCAGAATTTCCACTCGCAAGTGGGTCTCTTGAAATTCCAGAGGAAACTCAGCTGTGTGCACTTGGATCGTATTGCATCCGAGCCGGATCTCGCTCGAGAGCTCAAGCGCCCGAGTTTCAAGTTAGCCCTGAGAAAGTGCAGCCACCCACTGCCACACGTCAAAATTTGGAAGCAACTGCCTGCCACACGTCACCAAATTGATGCGCCTGTGTGGAGTATTGATGCGCCCATACCCCGCACTCCCAATGACAGCAGGCGGATATATGCACTGTTGCTTGCGGTCGGAGACTGCATACACTCGGGGCATGTCGGCAGAGAGACGGTGATGCCTCCCGCAGTGATGCGCCATCGCTGTGGTTACGTGCTTCATGGGCAATCGGCGGTGTTTCGAACGAGGTGATTTTCGCCCAGTTGGTGCTATTGGAGCCCTGACCGATTTCCACGGTTCAGGGCATTCTCTCTGTCCTTTCCCTGCCCTGGACACCCAGTCAATCCAGGCCCCTCTGCTGGCAACGGATGCACTCGAACGAAGTGGAATCTCGCCGCCCAAAACGTGCTGTGGCGGTTATACGGAGGAACGTGACAAGACGTATGTCAGCGTTATATGACGACTTTCTTCTGAGTGTGCAACGCCGCAAGATGCTCATACAGGATACGCCCTGCATCGGGACGGTACCTGTATCCACGAAGAGCGAGCTAGAACGTGTAGAGGAGTGTGTGCACATCTTCGGTGGAAAAGCCGCGTTCGCCGATAACATAGTCCCTCTTGCTGAGAGTGACAAGTGCCGCATTCGCATTGGCAGCTGCGAGTGAACACTGCGAGACTGAAGTGATCCGGAAATTGATTGGCGTGATTCTAAACAGAGACACACACACCGACGCGTCATCCTCTACTATTCGCGTTCAGCCCCCCTCAGCCCAACATGCCGCTCGAAGCCACCATGCTGATCATCGACAACTCGGAGTACATGCGCAATGGGGACTACATGCCCACTCGCTTTGACGCGCAGTCCGACGCCGTGACCACCGTCGTGCAGACCAAAATCGACTCGAATCCAGAGAACACGGTGGGGATCATGACTATGGCAGGCAAAGGGTGAGCACATCCCCGCTCCTATCCCCGCAAGCCGTCCCGTCATGCGCAACGCTAATGCGATATAGTCCGGAGGTACTCGTAACCCACACAAAGGACATGGGCCAGATCTTGCAAGCAATACACACTGCGTCGTCCAAGATCGGCAGGGACAGCGACATCCCCACCGCCATCGCCATCGCTCAACTTGCGCTGAAACACCGGTCGAACAAGAACCTACGCCAGCGCATCATCCTGTTCGTCGCGTCGCCGCTAACGGGGGCAGGAGCGGACGAGAAGGGCATGGTGAAGCTCGCAAAGAAGCTGAAGAAGAACAACGTCGCCGTCGACGTCGTGTGCTACGGGGATGGGATCGAGGAACCCTCCGAAGACGGAAAGACGGTACTCAAGTCGTTTGTGGACAACGTGAACAGCAGCGACAACTCGTAAGTCGCACAGCGGATCTGTGATTCTAGACGCGTGCTCATTCCGCGGAATTTCAGACATATTGTAAATGCTGCGCCTGGGAACGTTTTACTTTCTGAAGTCCTCATCACTTCCCCCGTGCTCGCTGCCGACCGTATGGCCGGCATACCCGACGATCTTGTCCCCGGAGGTCCCGCCGGAGGAAGCGGAGGGGCAGACACCTCCGGGTTTGAATTTGGCGTCGATCCGAGCCTTGACCCCGAACTTGCCATGGTACGACATCATTCTCTGGACCTGACCTGGCCTTGGCGTGCTCACCACTCCATGTACAGGCTCTGCGCATCTCCATGCAAGAAGCAGCAGCTCGAGAAGCTGCCTCCGCCCCGGCACCGGGTCCTGAAACCTCATCGTCATCTGCTCCTGCTGCACAGACGACATCTGTTCCTGCTGATCCCACGGACGATGACGAAGAGGCGCTGCTGAAACATGCACTGGCTTTGTCTGAACAAGAACAAGATGTTGATATGGAACCCTCTGCGACGAGAAGTGCTCTAGATGGGGCCGAAGCAGATGCTATGGACGAAGATGATGAGGACGAGGACGAGGAAGCGGCCATTGCTAGGGCAATAGCACTGAGTATGGAACAGGACGCTGCAGATGCGAAAAAGTAGCCCTCTATACTTGAATGGATATCATTTCTTCATGTTTAGGTTCGCTCATCATGATATACTCACAAATACTGGAACGCACAGACAGAACTTCAGACAGGATGGATCTGGTCGATCATACATTGCACCCTTCACTCAGCTCAGAAATAACTTTACACTAAAATTTAGGCAAGGATCCATCGTTGTTCATATCAGACCTGCCGCACGCAACTCGTCATGCAGACGCCGTTCGTTGCGCATAGCCTCCCGGATCTGGTCAGCTCGCTCAGGGTCCGTGTCCTCTGGAATCATGAATGATGTATCGGGAGTCACCGGGGTCAGTTCATCTTCCTCAGGAACATTCTGGCGCGGCCCAAAACCGAAGCCCTGCCTGAAAAAGTCGGATCTCGATATCCCTCGCAAGCCAAACCGGCTTTCGAATTGCCCAATGAGGGGACCTCCAACAGGGGCTGCAGGTGCCGCACCCGATCCTTCGCGTTGGGCGGCCAAAACACCGCGTTCCCATCTCTTGACACGCCAGAATCCGAGCACAGAAGTCAACAAGATGAACCATCCAATGGTCATCAGGAAGAATGATAGCCACTGCGGTGCGATGGGAAAACTGGAATAATTATAAACACATCGTCACTCACCTCGCTCGTCGCATCGGCCACGATCTCATTGGCTTCTTCCTCTGTGAGCGAGGGCATGCCTTGGGCAGTTCCGTTGTAGTAGGCCTCGGCTTCAGCAGCGGTGGCAAAGGTCGGGCGAGGACTGGGCCATCCCCACGAGCTGGTAGCATCTGCAGCAGCTTCACCCTTTGTTCGCAGAGCAAACCCTACCAAAATATGAGCACCGTTCACAGTAACAGTTATAGACACACCATATTGGATCAGGGTGACGCCGAGACCAGCCCGGGATCCCAAACGAGCTGCATGCGTGGTGTGAAGCAAGCTGGGGGTGGTATGATCAACATTTCACTCAATATGAAAAAACCGCGCTTACTAGGTGAGGAGAAAGCCGACAAATTGGAAGCTGATGGACACCAGCATGTTCCAGAAGAAGCTGAACAGCGAACCGCTTGGCAACGAGTCGATGATGACTTCTCCGGCGATGCCAGGGGCAAAGGGCTGATGTACAGTCAGTTCCACATCCCAAACATGATGTGTAGGAGTTACTCACCGCATGAACGGTCGTTTCCCAGTACTGGGGGACTGCATCGGCCTGGGCGGAGCTATACGAGGGTGGAGCTTCCGAACGAGTCTCTTCGGGCACCAGATAAGTGTCGTCGCCTGTCCAATCACGTTCATGTCAAGACGAGTCGCGAAGTTGAGATTGCACGTACCATCCTGGATGCGTACGGCTGGGGTTGGCTTTGCCGTGACGTTGGCAAATACACCATCGTTATTGTTCCCGATGACGTGGGAATGTGATCCTAGACCGAATCGTTGGACGTAGTGGGTTGGCAGGATGGCAGTGGCAGTGCGACTGAACCAGTTCCGTCGGGGCCCTCTAGCGGTGTCAACAGATACGTTGGGTATGAGTCCATTCGAGTTGCCAAACTCTGTAGAGCATTGAAATGATATTCTTCGCCTAGAGGTGACGACGCACCGTTAGGGAGAGCAAGGGCCGAAGGCCCGGGAGGAGATCCAGGTGGAGGGTAATCGTAGTCCACATTCTCGAAGTCGTATGCACCAGGAACATGAGCAGAGGGGCGGGAAACATGAGTCGAGCGTGTGGGGGAAGTCGACTGCGGGTTCAAGGGACGAGATTCGTCGTCTGCGTCAGCATAGTCCGCTTCATCCTCGGAGTAGTCGAAAGCAGCGTCCATCTCGTCGTCGGCATCACGTTCCGTGGGGAGGGGGGCATACCTGCCTGGCATGACAGAGAGAATGAGAACGAAACAAGAAATAGAGCAAGAGTGAGTGAGTGTGTGTGGTCGATAAGAATGAGGTGAGACGAGGATGTTTGTCTGAGTTGTCTTCGTCAGCCGCCACCGCCGAACTGTTCCATCAATATCCATCTGTCACAATTTCGGCAGTGCATAACTTGCTGCCAGCCAGCGAGCAGTTCGCCGTACCGACGCATAGAGTGCTCGACTGCCCTCAAAATCTCAACCCATGCGCTCCTTCACTTTCTTCATCTTCGCCGTCCTTGCTCTCCTCTCAACTGTGCTCGCATGGGAGAAGGAAGACCATGAAATCTTCGACCTAGTCAGCGCCATAGAAGCGTCAGAGGGCAAGGGGACCACTTTTTACTCGTGGCTTGACGTGTCTTCAACCGCTTCAACTCCCGAAATTGCGCGCGCGTACCGGAAAAAGAGTATGGTTTTGCAGTGAGTGAGCTGGCTGGCCCATAGCTCGTTCCCTGACGGATACATCCTTGTGATCAGTCCCGACAAGAACCTGGGTGACAAAACCATCCATGAGCGATTCGCCAGGCTGGGCGTCGTCTCTACCATTCTCAGAAACAAGGAAAGCAGGGAGAGGTGCGTACTGGAAGGACTGTGTGTTCTATTCGCCTCTTAAACCGTACTCAGATACGATTTCTTCTACAAGAACGGGGTACCTGTCTGGCGAGGCACTGGTTACTACTACTCACGATTCCGACCTGGCCTCGGGGTGATGATGAGCTCTCTCAATGCCTGTTACTGAAAACTGACGAGGCACTCCAGAGCGTCTTCATTTTCCTCGTATTCGTCACCTCTACCTTCCACTATATGGCTCAGCGTGTCAACTACAAGAATGACCTGGAACGCATCGACCGAATTGTCAAGGAAGCTCAATTAGCCGCTTGGGGACCGAAGTTGGTGCCCATTGATGGTCAGCGCAAGGTGCGCTATGAGGTCAAGCGACAATGCGGTCAGATGCTAACATTACCCCCCTTCAGGTCAAAGTGAATTTGGGTGGGCAGGGAAGCCAAGGCCGACTGATTGACATGGTAGTGGACCTGGATAATGTTTACATCGTATGTGGTATCACTCTCTGGACGAGCTCAGGCTCATTTCTTCCCCGCAGCTTGACGATGGAGAACTGCATCTACTTGACTCCTCCACTGCGACAGTGCCAGCAGTAGCGAACACTTGGTTCATCGCACTTGTCCGCTCGCTTTACGGCCAGGCCGTCTCCAGCTTTTCTGGTTCAGAATCTGCTATCGCGGCTTCTGCTGCTGACGGCGACGATACGTCATCGGTATCCGATGGTCCTGGCAGCGGGACGGTCACACCCAAGGACGAGATGGCTTCAGGCAAGCAGCGCAAGAGAAGCACACGTAAACGGTAAACTGGTGCATGGTTCAACATGGGTTGTGTAGACATATAAGTATATAATCATGAATACTTACTCCATTACCCACAGGATAATTATCTGTCGCGATGTAAACTGTTGGACTCTCCTTCGCGTCAAATCCTCTGCTCGAGTCTTTCGACTTTTCGATCACGTGTACGCGTCTCGAAGGCCATTTGCTGTCTCAGACTATTGCAACTATGGTTCATCTAGAGTCATAGCTCTGCCTTAAACCATCATGCCTTCAAAGTATGATTCGTCTCCCTCGTGCGCGAAAGATTCAACGAAGGAAGCACTACGCTTTCACAGTGCAATTGTCAATCGCGTCAATTTCCAATACTGCCTCGGCTTGAACATGGCTGCGACGACTGACCGTTCGTATTGTATACGCCCTCTTTTCATTAGATTCCACAATCTCGAAGGAATTAGGGAAGAGAATGCGATGCTGGATGCTTTCGTGGAACAAGAATGTAAACTGGGAATCACAACCAAAGAGCAAGTGAACGTGTATCGCGCTCGCGCCTTCTTCAAGGTAAGATTATGGAACTCTGCAGAGCAAGAACAACATGTGTGTGTTATGAAGACATATGAATAAAGACAGTGGACTAAGGTATGGAGCATGGGATACATAATCAACGAGCGCAGCCAAGCAGGATCAACCGGCATATACAGTCAAATCGGGGCAACAAGGCTGGTGGATCCCTTGTCCTCAACGCTGCTTCGGGTCTCTGCAAACAGAAGCTCGGATCAGCTCGAGGCAAGACAACGCTAAGCCGACTCACCCCTTGCGGTGAGCAGACTGCGCATGCGACGGCAACTGTTCATGCGAGTCGCTATCATATCATCGAACATGTGCAAGATGTCTTCGGGTCTGGCGGGGCCCAATCGGTGTTCCGGGTAGGCAAGTCGAGGGCAGGAGGGGATGCGGTGATGACGCCGGCGGGCCACTCCGTTCAGCTTTAGTTCCAGCGATCTTATCTGTCTGCGCCAGTGCAACCGGCGTACGGCCGCCGACTTGATAGATTTCAAAATCGGAGAATCTTCTTCCTCTGGTTTATCGTCGGACGACGGCGCCTCTGGTTTATCGTCGTCAAGTTCGCCCATGTCTGACTCGTCGTCAGAGTCCATGGAGACGTCAACACGCCAGGTTTCGACCCAATCAAGTTGTTTCTGATAGAACGAGGCAAGGTCTTCCAGCCTCGTGAGCAGACGCGTGGAAGCAAGGGCGGAAGAGGCTGAGGTGGCCGGAGCACAGGTCATGGCTGAAGAAAGCGGATACAAAGCTGAACGGAAAAGCGGGGGGCGAAACACGGATGGGGAGTGCAAGAAGGCCGCCATGGGGTGCTTAAAATGCTGTCCGTGTGTACGGTCTCGGTAGTTCCACAGGACAACATGGTCGTCTAGGCAGAGTCCAGCCAAAGCGCGTGACGGGACCAATTAGGTTACTTGCTCATGATCGCGTCGGCTTATGTCAGCGGACAACTATCAAATGTGGCTTGCGAAGTTCCTCGTCCTCGCACCCTTGGTCTGGGCTGCAGACTCCTCATTCCGCGTATTCCATCGGATATACGAGCCCGGTAAGCCGGAATCGCCGTTCGTTGCGCGGGGCACTCTGCAAATCGGCCAACGTCTCTCGTTCGAGACCGCGCCATCGGTTGCGCAGGATCTGCGCGAATTCGCCGACCAATTCGAGAGCCTCGCTGGGGCCTTATATCAGGTCGCTCTAGAGTTGGAGTATAATGAAGCGTCTCCCTCTGGTAGCTGGGATGCAGTCTCCTCTGTGAAAGTCGTGAGTCCATAGGCCAGTCTCGACTGCCGCAACCCTCCATGCTGAACACATCCAGTGTCATTTGCATCAAGCCACTGCCGAGACATTCCTTCTCCACACAACTCCCACCGGCGAACCGTACGCTCTAGACTACTTTGTTACTCCCACCCCACACAATGGCGCGTGCGCGAAGAAAGTCAAGAGCTCGGCCCCTCTGCTTTCCTTCGCTGCCAATATCGTCAATCTCAACTCTTCGGTCGTGATCAAGTCACCTAATTTGCCCCCATTGTGAGAACATTTCATACGCCGCTTGAGCTCTAGATCTGATAATCGGCAGATTGGAGTTGAAGGCTCCACAGCCAGTGACTCCCGAGGGAGAGCCGGTCGTGCCGGTCCCAGAGAAGACCCTGTTCCAGAAATATTGGGTGCGCCGGATATTCGCTGATTCCGTAGCATGGATTGACAATCTCTGCAGTTGTATGGCGTCGCGATCCTTATTGCTCTCTGTGCGTCGTGCGGTCTTATTACCTCTTTTCGAAACTAACACATCTGCAGTGCTTTCCGGTGGAGGAGAAGAGGAAAACGCGAAAAAATAGATGTTATCACATTGCATTTGTCGTTCTACATACTTCTCTACGCGGCCCAGACATATCAAGCGTCGTTCGTCCAGATCTTTGGCATCTTCTTCCTGAACGGTTCTAGATTGAACTCAAGACTGGAGCACGGATACCCAATCTCGAACTTTTCCAGGACGCTGGGATGCAGAATCCCCAGCGAACCGAGTTCGATGTCATTCTCCAAGTGCAAGGCAGCCTCGACTTCCTGCTTGATGGCTTCCAAAGCACTCTGCTTAGTAGGTGGCGGCCGGTAGAAGATCTTGGCCGCCCGCCCCGGGAAGTACATTGCGTCTAGAAAGCTGTTAGCCCACGATAGACCGAACAGCAAGACGCCCACTGACCCGTCGTTTCTTTGATATAGTATCCCGTTTTGGCGGTGTAATCGTGGCTGGTGATACGTGGAACGTCGAGCATCTTCATGACGCGATCGAGCAATCCATGCACAACCTCGAAGCCCGCTGTCTTGTTGCACCAGACTGCGGCGGCGTGGCGGATGTTTCGCGCTTGCCGTTCCCTCGACGGGTCCTTGACCACGACATCGCTTGTCTCGAAGATTTTGATAGGCAGGGCATGGGATCTATTCTCGCGAATGGTCTTGAGCAGCCCGGGGATAAGAGTCGTCCGCACAACCTGGAATTCCAGCGTTTTGGGGTTGGCAATCTTGACGACCGTCTTGCCATCATCCTCATGATTGAGGAAATCAAAGTTCTCCTCATGGGAACACTAGGGGCGTGGGCATCAAATCGACCGCTAGAGCACAGCAGATATGGATAACGAACGAGAATCAGTGGTAGGACCTCGACCCATCCAGCCAGCGCCCACTCCCTCCGAACGACATCACACAGCTGACCAATCGCAGAGGGCTGTCCGACAGTCGTAGTCGCCGGGAAAGACAGAGGGAGATTGTTGAACCCATAAGCAATGGCAGCGTCCTCCATGATATCGCATTCGTGGAAAATATCTGGTCGTGTGGACGGAATTTCCACTAAGATTTCGTCTGCATCCGAAGGCGAGACCGAAGCCTGCAGCGACATTTTCCGTAGAAGGATCGAGACCTCGGCCGCCGAGAGGTTCAAGCCAGTGCATGAGTTGACGTAGGAGGCGTGCGCAGTGGTCTTGCGACCGGCCAGGTCAGGTGTGATCCTAGGTGTACCGTCTGGTAGAATCACTTTGACAGGCTCGATGCTGTGGTGCAGTTCAGAAGACATATCTTGGTCCATGAAAGGAGACACACGTGAATGCTTCCCCGCAGTACTCTGAGAACATCGTAGCCACCATGTTGACGACGATATCCAGCTTGGTTTGGTCCGTCGCGGTGCAGTCAATGAAAACGTTGCGGGTGTTCAGTGTGATCTTGCTGTGGTCAGAGTTGATGATTGGAGGCATCGAAAGCACGCGGTCCTTCGAGTCATAGATGATAGGATACACAGGGGAGTCTCGGATTATAGGAAGAAATTTGGCCAAATGTTTCTCCGACTGAGATCCACATCAGTCGAGACCAAGTGTGCAGTCGAGACGAGCGCACCTCATAGACAGTCATCAATTCCTCTGCCGTGAAGGCCTTGTCCTTGTTCAGAGGAACGAACTTGATGTCTTTTGGCGCTCGGGCTTCATACCGGAACGGCTGCTCCAACGTGTCTAAATCATGCGTCCCAATTGCAACCAGTTGCCGCCGTCTGCAGATGTTCTGATGCAGTTTGTCTTGAAGATCAATGAACGATTTGTAAGAGCTCGGTGTGAACTTGACGTTGCGCAGGATCGCTCCAGCGAAGAAGGGCCGGATTTTGCTGGTCTGGGACTCTCTTAGTACATCATCCGCGTTGTAGGGAACGCGTCGCGTCACACCTCCGAATCCACAGTGATCGTGAGCAGGTTTGCTTCTCCTCCAGGAGGTAAAACCAGCCTGTATCGAGGTGCCTCCGACTTGCCCAAGAAAACACGAAGTGCGCGTGAGATTCCCTCAATACAGAGTAGATCGTATCTGTGTTAAGTGGTGAACCTTTTCGCTACGCGAGTTGTCGCCAAGTAGTACCTGTTAGCCGGAATTTCGATTTTGAGTTGCTAAGCAAGCGTAAGCGTGGCGAGGCGAAATAGGCGATAGATATTCACGGGAGGATCGGTTGGCAAGCCCTTCTTGATCGCTTCCTCGACTTCAGCCGTGGTCTATATCATCGTCAGATTTGAGTACGCCAGATATCACAGAGCAGGCGTACATCTTCATCTAGCTCCAATCCATACTCGAAACAAAGGTGGTCGAATTCCTCAGAAGCTGGACGTCGAGAAGCGAATCAAACACCATCCGATGAGAGAGCAGGCGACGGACAATATTCCTGCCCGAGTCTTTCAAAGAGTTCGGCTTTGTTGACTGCGACGGTCGGCATGGCGGTATACTCGTCGTGACTTGTCTATACAAACGCCGGGGTCGTAGAGGTCGATGTCGAGTCAAAAGTCACTGATCTGATTTCGACAATCTCTACGGTCACGTGTCTATCATCTGCCCAATCTTCCTCTACACTTGAATCTACTCGTATGAAGTACGTCGCGTTGCTGAGCGGGGGAAAGGACAGCTGCTATAACCTGCTGCACTGCAAGAAAAATGGGCACGAGCTGATAGCTGCTGCGTCGTTGGGGCCAGAGCCTGGCAAAGGCGAGCTGCATCTCGATTTGAAAGAACAGGTCTGGACGGCGATGTCCTGCAGAGGAACTCGACTCGTACATGTACCAAACTGTCGGCCAAGACGCGATCGAGCTCGTTGCGCAGGCACTGGACGTCCCCCTTTACCGACGGATCATCGCCGGCAACGCGGTCGAACAGGGATCTGAGTACGGCGCGCGGAATAACCATGAAGGAGTTGTGGGGGACGAGACGGAAGATCTTTATGAGCTCTTGCTGAACGTCAAGGTGATACCCGAGTGCTTTTAAAGAGGTCCTGGCTGGAACGATGTCCCATAGACTCACCATCCCGACCTCGAAGGTGTCTCAGTCGGAGCGATTCTATCAAACTATCAACGCGTCCGAGTTGAGCATGTGTGAGTGAATTCTGGCGCTCTGTCCTCCCATGTTCTTAATGGCGCGCTTAGATGCCGTCGCCTTTCCTTAACACCACTGTCCTATCTCTGGCAACGCGACCAAGGGGAGCTAATGTCCGAGATGGTCGAAGCCGGAATGGAAGCCATTCTGATTAAAGTTGCTGGGATAGGACTCACTGTGAAACATCTTGGGAAGACGCTTGCCCAGATGCAGCCCACCTTGATCAAGTTGGTGCGTGTCTGCCCATAAGAGAGTCGCGAACGCGCAGACCTATCCGCACAGAATCAACTATACGGTGCCCACATCTGTGGAGAGGGCGGTGAATATGAGACGCTGACTTTGGATTGTCCGATGTTCAAGAAACGTATCCACCTGTAAGCTACTCACCTTCCGATCGTCCTCAATACTCAAAATTGTCAGTATCGAGGTTGAACCCGTCATTCACTCAGACAACGCATTTGCAACTGTAGCCTTTCTACGAATCAAACGTGCGGTTTTGGAAGAAAAGGAAATTGATGTTCGCACTCCCCGACAGCCTCCCCTTCTGGACGAACCGCTCGATGTCGAGTCAACACCACGCCCCGAGGCGCTAGGAGGTGATGCGCCAGTGTCTCTGGAACCTCTCGGTCGCGACGAAACGCAAAGCAAGCAATGCGGACAATGGGTATCCGTCTCCAATGTTTGTGCTGGACCCGGCGTTGAAGCAATAGAAGACGAGGTCCTGCGATGTTTCTTGGGACTGAAGGGTACGTCTGTGCTTGATATCCCCTTGCGTATAATGCAGAACCGCTTCAGACGAACTGTTTCGCTATGGACTCGACTTTGCTGACTGTGTCAATCTCAATGTTCTGCTTTCCTCGATGGAACTGTTTCCGAGAATGAATGCAGTGTACGCAACCTTCTTTGGCACAAGTCCACCTGCCCGGGCTTGCGTTGCGGTCGATCTGCCTGGGCCTTACCACGTGAGGCTCGACTGCATCGCCCACTCAAAAACAGAGCCAAGAACTGCGCTCCACGTCCAAGGCTTGAGTTACTGGGCTCCAGCCAATATCGGGCCGTATTCGCAGTCGGTGACGGTGAGTTCTAGCTCCGTTTATGTCTATCGTGTCTCACCGCAGGACTAGATCGGCAACCGAGTTTATGTCTCTGGCCAGATCGGATTGGTACCAAGTAGCATGACGATGCCCTCCCCGCGTTCAGTCCAACTGGAAACCGCGCTCTCCTCCCAGCATGCGTCCCGAGTGGTCGAAGCCCTGCGCACCACTTCTGGGAACTGGCCCGGTCGGATGCAGCTTGCGATCTTCTGGTTAGCCGATACGTCCCATCTGAAGATCGTCGCGAATCAAAGCCCGGAAGAAGCGACACCTACGTTATTTGTCGTAGTCAAAGGCCTGCCGAAAGACGCGCTGGTCGAAAAGCAGATCATGCTGCACACGGGGTCCACTCAAGTGACCGACGATGGAGAGCTTGTCACCCAAGATAGGAAGGGTCGGTTCAGAGCGGGTGAATCAAGCTCCGGAGTGCATTGGCAAATATCTGAGATCGAAGACACACCATCGGCTTCTATTCTCTTGTGCGGCCGCTATGGCGGTATGTCATCCTGTATCGCGTAGATGCCGGCTGACTCTGGAACAGATCCCATACAAACTGAACTAGATCATCTGCTAAGCCAAGTCCTGTCGGTGAAGATGTTTTACATCCCAGCCTCGACATCGGCCGATCTGTACGACAGGACACGCGACGCTTTCGGTGCACCGGTCATCGGCATCCCATGCAGAGCAATCGCGACTCGAAACAGGGACAACTGGGATTACGCACTATGTATTGTGACATGAAAAATGATGAATATCGACCCTTACAACCAAAAATTGTCCATTTCCGAATCCCGTGCACTTACAGATGCGCTTCCTCGCGCAGGAGCATCATCTCTCCCAGCCGCCTTCTCATCGCCTTTTCTGTGGGCGTCGGGGCCACCTTGCGGGCCAGCATCGCCCCGAAAAGCGTGCAGAGTCCTCCGAAGCGGAGGATCCACGCAACGCCGTTCTTGCCGTAATACGTCGAGTCTTCTCCGGGAGCCTCAGCTGGGCCATCGGCCAATCGGAAGATGATGCTAGTCATGATCGCCACCTGCAAATAATCATGAGAGATGTCCAGTTCAATCACGTAACCAACGTACGATGAATTGCGGCGCGACAATGGCAAGGTTGTGCACCCCGAGAATGGTCCCGCCGGCAACGCGGGCCGCAGCGGGGACTTCGTCGTCGTCGACAGTGACGTCGAGGGCATCAACCGATCTCCGACGCGCCAACAGCAACGGCTGGCGCTCGTCGTCGTGTCTACGAATGAAAGCTGCCGGCCCAGACACAGTTCGACTGTGCGATGGCCGGCGCTGTAACGGCGGCGGAGATGACAAGTCTTTCAATAGCTGATGTCTTTCTCAGCCACGACTGGTTAAGAAAGATGGGACAACAACGGACCTCCATGATGATTGCAAACGGAGCCCACATAGCCACTGACCAGCAAATTCCGATCAGACTGATGAACACCGTCGCTTGAGCAACAGTCTTGACGAAGAACGTGGATAAAGTCAACACCGTGAACAGCAGCAAAGCACCAGTCCAGATATTCCGCAGCAGGAAAGGCATAACAGGGAGCTTGAGCGGCCGGCCTCGTCGGGCAGCATCCACCTTCCACTGTCGGACAGTCTCCTGGATACGAAGCAACTCAGCGTCCGCATCATCATCTCCTTGATGCGCCATCAGCCGCCGATCTCTGTTCGCCAAATGCGGCAGGATGGTGCCCGACACAACAGCAACTGCTTTGGTGTGAATTCCGGTTATCAAAGCAGTTCTGAGAGCGCATACCGATACTGTAGAACAACATGGCCAACTCTCCCTTCCGAGTGGCAAGATCGAGATCGGGCTCTGCATCCAGCTGCTGGGCCATCACTTGGCCCACATAGGTCGTCGCATAGAAAAGGAATGGGAACCATCCCATAAACGCAAACAGTTGCACGTAGCAGACACGTCTGATCGGTCGAGGCAGATTGACGATCGCGGTCTTGACATTCTCGAAAACCTCTTTCGCCGTTCTAAACAGCAGCAGTTTGTGTGTCAGTAGACAATCGCGCTTGTTTGCAAAAAACCTACCCCTTCGACTTCTGTACGTCTTTCCTCTCCTGCTCTTCATGGCAATAACAGGTTATCCAGACAGTGACCACAAGGATGATAACGCAGATCACACAGAATTTGCGGAACTGGGTACCACCCAGCAAACGAATCAGAGGAAGTCAGCCAAGGGAAGGAACCCTTAATGGAGGATGAGGAGCTTGAGAGGATGAGGGAAAAAGTGGACCCACCGAAGCCGAAGCCTATGATGTTCCCGGCATTGGTCATCCTCCCGTGCCACGCATTGCCAGAGTTCAATTGGGCAGCAGGAGCGACGTCGAGCAGCAGATTTCTCAGCGAAGCTTGCAGCGCGTTCAGTGCGAAATCGAGGATGTAAAAGCAGAACACAGCGATTCCGATAGCTGTATTCGCGACCTAGACAAACTCAAGGTCAGCAAGATCCATAATGGTAGGTAGAGTGGACGGAAGCTCGAACCCAACGCTTGCGCTTGCTGTCCCAGTCTCCATCGCCGACGTCGAACGCGTCGATGACGAAGGCAGCTATCGCCTCACAGTACGCGAGGATGAACGTGGAGACGACCAGTCCGACCGTGGAGAGCACGATCCAGAACCGGCGCCGGTACTTTGAAGTCGACGAGTCTGAGATGGCGCCTGGGACGATGCGAGTCAGTTTAACCCACCGGCCCAGGGAGAATGCGGGGAAGGAGATACGTACCGATGACAGGCTGGGCAATCAATCCACTGATGGGCCCGGCTAGCCACACCAATGAGGTCACCTGCTCCGAGATACCTGGTGACGAACGGAGCATGAGTCGTCGACATTAGGACTAGTGCGCCGGGGCAAGCAGACAGAGCGCACCGAGGCTGAGGAGGAACGGAGTGCCGTAGCTAGAATAGACGAGGTCATTCGGCTGTAAGCAGTGGGGGCTGCCAAATAGACTCACCCCAGTTCCACGGTCCACGCAATCTGCGCCCCACACATCGCAATGCTCAGCGTGATGAGGTTCCACGTCGTCAGTCGTCGCTTGGCCGACGCCGAGTTCTTGCTAGCGTTCGTGTTCGTGCTGTCCTCCGGGGCAGGGGATTCGGTCCCTGAAGGAACTGCATCAGGGGAAACCCCTTCTGCTGGCGCCGCGCCGGGCTTGGATCGAGTCGGCCAGGGAACCTGGGTCGTCGGATCTTCTTGGTCTGCGACGGGAGGAATCATAGTAGGAAGGACGCAAGCTCCGCCAGGCGAGACAGCCTTATGTATGGTAGCGCGTTCCAAGCAGGTGAGGAATTAGGCGATCTGAGCACGTGTCCGAGTCCATATCTGTCCAACTAGGCCGACTTTCAGGCGACGTTGGTGAACCCGGTTGAACGGGCCCCGGAGATGAGAAAATGCTATATGGAATGTAATATGTATACACTGGTGTAGCAAATACATAAATACTGAAGGAGAAGTAGTACAATGTGAACAACACAAAGCAGGTGGATGGAAGCGGGTAATAAAGATAGACTAGAGTTACATGGTCAGGGACTGCGGACTGAAGTGGCTGACAGACCCCGTCTATGATTCGGGGGGTCTGCGCTAGACGGCGGCTTGTTAAGTAGATGAAATGCCAGCCGCCGTCCCGCAGTTGGCGTACTGCTGTCATCGGGATGTGCAAGCGGCGGTTCGGGAAACTGCGCGTATTGGCTTGGCGGCCCAGTGTAATTCTCCGAGTCTTCGAAGAGCGTTCGATCGCCACTGTTGATCGTCCTCGGAGAATTAGATATGGAAGAAGAGCGGCCAAGCGTCGGTAACGGATTCGTCCCAGAACGCACCCGGCTCTCTGTAGATGAAGGGACGGCAGTGATGATGTTGAGCGCCTCCGGATGTGTTCGCAACTGAGCAGCCGACGCGGATGGCCGCAGTCGCCGGGGCGTCACAGATCCACTGCCCTCCACACGAGAAGCATCTTCTTCCGCAATGGGTCCCGGAGAAAAGAAAGAACCATTCTGTGATTGTTATCGGCGTTGGATGTCGAAGCGGTTCCTTGGCTTCCAGACCGTGTGCGGTAATATTTCTCTCTTTCTTCTGCATCTCTCTCTCGCATCCGAGACAAAACCGGCGATTGAGTGGACGCGGGCGGTGGCTGGCTGAATGGAGAGTTTCCGCGCATTTTGGAAGGTGATGTGGTGGAATATGTCCCATTGCTTGACGATGGAGCATGAGGAAGGAGATACGGATGCGGTCCATTCGATGGCGACGAAGATGATGACTGGCTTCGATTGCCTGGTGCCAAGCCATTACTGTCAACTTCGCCGCTGTCCGAAGTTGTCGTGGTCCGACTCGTCCCGGAACCACTTCGCATCCGTGTCGGCGATTGTATCACATCCCTCGCCTTCAGCTGAGTTGGTGTCGGTATGGTATGTCCATTGGCACGCGCTGCAGCCTGGGCAAAGATCGCGCGTCGGGTCTTTTTGTTATTTTCGAATTGCAATCGGACTGTGTCTTGCAGGGTATCTTTAGTGCTGAATCTATGCGACTATTAATAGCGCATCAATCAGAGAACGGAAACGTACGAGTAGGCGTAGTCTGAAGCGGTGAACCCATCGTTGTTCTTTGCTGCATGCAGACAACCTCGCTCAACAAGGAGCTGTACGATCTGGAACGGAATCATTTACTCGCACACGAGGGGAACTGAACGATGAACGAACGGCAATATGGCCCCAAGAACTTGCGCTGCGAAAGTATGAGTTATGACACTAGGGCAAAGCAGCGACGTAGATGACCCACTAGTGTAATGGGGTGTTCCCCTTATTGTCCGAAAGATCAACGTCCGCCCCAAAGTCACAGAGCATCTAGGAGGGGGGAGGATACAGATGGGGCCCCAATCAAAGTATATTACATACCCTGGCCAGCTCTTCGTGTCCTTTGAGAGCTGCAGTGTGAAGCGCCGTCCGCCCATGCACGTTGGACCAATCGAGGATGTCCGGGTAGCGGTCGTAGTACATTCGAGCCATTCGAAGTGCAGCGCCCATAAATTCGGCACTATTCGGTCGAGAAGAAGAGGAGTTCTGGTCGGCAAGAATCATGAGGATGGTGTTATTCTCCGAATCCTGGGTTGTGGATCAACTACGAGATGAGCCGCGGGTAAATGTCTGCGCACCTTGCTGAGTTCAGCGTCATCGTGTCCGGAGGACATCAGGTACTCGAATGTTTCCTCATGGCCGAGCACTGCCGCCCAAGCGAGCGAGGTGTAGCGACGAGGAGCAGGGTCGGGGTTTCGCATGTCCGTCCTTTGGATGAGGCGCTTGACGATGAAGAGATTGTTCTCTGCACATCGTCAGGGAGGGGTAGAGGGGCGACAAAACGACTGACCTTTGACTGCGCGGCGGAGACGGACGGTAGCATCCTTCTCCGCCATGGAGGGAATGAGTGGAGGAGGCAAGTCTTGTTACGTTTCGGGATTTCGGACAGGACAGGATTGAATGATCGCACACACAGCCGCTGTGGCAGTGGCAGTGTAAAGCATCTCCATCAGGCACCTGTTTCTCTTATTACCACTTCAATTGAGAGCTTGTCCATGCCTAAAGTGGTATCAAGATCCGCTGTCTGTATGTTTCTTTCGCTCGACGTTCATCGTTGTCACTAATAGTCTCCAGGTCTCGACATCCACAGGAGGTATGCTCCGTGACAAGAAACCGATTGTCGCCAAGTACTAATAATGTCTGATGCCAGCCCGTCCCACTGCCTCCTCTGCAACTGATCTACGCGTATATTGTATGTCTGTATCAGAATGCACACTCCAATGATTCTCACAGCGCTTAGATTGTATATGTGGCGAATTCATCGTGCGTGTCGTCATCTCCATCTCAACAAGAAGGGCCGAATACCTAATTTCTCACCCGCATTGTCCTAACCGACAGTTGGTCATCGACAAGTCTCTCGCGTCGTTACCGCGCAGACCCACGGACGGAGCGATCATCATTCGAGCACAAGACAATGGCGATGACGAGAAGGCGCGGGTGTTCAAATTGAATGCTGTGGTCGGAGATCCCATTCTGGTGGAAAGGTGCGTGCATCTGTTGCCGACAGTGAGAGATGGGTCCGTTCTGAACGCATCTTCCAGGACTGGGGGTCACGAGTGCCAGTACAGATTCACCTGTCCACGATGTACCCTTCCCATTGGCTACCAAGCGACTCCGCCACCCATGAAATCCGGACCATACGTGTATCTCTTATCTGGAGCGCTGAGTCAAGTACAGGGTCAAGTACCTGCAGATGCTTTCGAAGGAGACGAACAAGGGGAAAGCAATAAATGAACATGATGGTTACATTCCAAAAAGTTGATTCATTCTCCACAGTAATAGCAAGTAACAGCTACTTTATCTAGCGATGCGAAAACGCAGATTCTGCAAATGCAACAGTCAGCAAACGTTCTGAGTGACAGAATATTGTTCAACGTCGCCAAAAAGGTCAGATACCGTTGTAGAAAAAGTCTGTTCATGACAAAGGTTTTACACCAATGTTAACACAGTGTGAATAATGATGTGCATCATATAGCAACGGAGAAATGGATGGAAAGAGACTAGTCGGGGGAAAAAACTCACCATGGTCGGGGACAAATGTCAACAACGAAGTGATGGCTGTCTTTATAGGCCTTTCTATTTGGCCTTGCTTGGCCTTGCTCACGTGTAGACTCTCCGCTTTTGGGTGCGTTCAGCGCTTGCGAATGTGGACGCGCGGCCTACGCCTGTGCATAGAGCGTGCGAAGATTAAGGAAAGCTCGTGGTTAGCAAACAAACAGGGAGAACAAAACGACAGCTATAGCTACAATGTGTGTCTATTCGAGACTTGGTCCATAGAGAAACGATGATATGATACACAGTAATAGTGCAAGTGTACAGGCAAAGCAATCAGATATAGTGTTCCAAAGGATTAAAACCCAGAGAAAGCGTGATCGTACAGCAATAGAGTCCTACAATCCGAGTCTCTCTTTCAACGTCCGATCTCCGTCGTTTGCACGAGCGTTCGGACTGCGACCTGAGCCATTATGTCTGTCTGTCCGCCGTCCCCCGCGTCCTCCGCCGCCCGACCTATTCCTGCGCTCCTTCCGTCCATGATCCCTGTCCCGGTCTCTGTCCCGGTCTCGGTCTCTGTCCCGGTCACGAGATTCTGGCTCTCTGCGCATCTCACCATCCCCATTCATGCGATTAGAGCTCTGCCTGTGGCGTGGGGACGAGTGGGTCCTATTGTCGGGCCAAGCGGAAGAGCCACGCGAGTACGCGTGGTTAGAGGGTGGCGCATTGGCATGGTAGTGGTTGGGAGGCGACGCCTTTCCTGGGGGACCGGCTCCTGCGTGCGACGGTGCAGGTTCGGACATCCGGGGTTTCTTGTGTGCCCGAGGGCCAGTTGGTAGGAACTTGGATGAAGGACCGAGTGAGCCCGACACGCTATCGTTCGAGCCGTTCGCAGCGTTCACGTCCGACGCGGCATAATATGCATTCCGCGGAGATCGTGAATGAAGATGCGATTCCGACGCAGCAGTGGCGATTGTCTCGTATGCTTTGTCGAGCTCGTTTCTATAAACAATACAACGTGGTATTGAGCATCGCTTCAAATTGAGAAGCGCCAAGAGCACTCACGAAAGAGTGTGGACAGCATTATGAGACTCTGAGCATGCATTCAATTGAGCGGATGTCATGCGCGCTAATTTGTGACATACCCCGTAAAGCCTTCTCCAGGCGTTCTACCAGCCGGCGCAGTCCAGTCACCTCCTCTTTCAATTTGCCCGTTTCGCTTCGCTTGAGAATCTCGTACAGCTCATCGTTCTCCTCTTGCAAGAGGCGGACGCGTTGGGTTAAAGCAGATACACTTGAACTCGGCGCAGCATTGTTCGACGAGAGCAAAGGATGGAGTAAAGCGCTGAGAGAGGGCGGGAATGGTGTGGGCTCCGCTTCATTTGGAGGCACAATAGAGGCGTCCGGTTTGACTAAGACGTGTCTCCGCAAACGGTTAACTTCGTCCTGTGCATGCACGTTAAGCACAGTGATGATGGAAGAAAAAGGAGGAGGGCGCTGCGTACGGAAATTTCCCTGTATTGTACGCCGCGTTTGAGAAGCAGACTCTCGAGTTCAAGTTCGCGTGAAGTGGATTCATGGGTGTCCATCCGAGGGAGAATGCAGACCACCGTGTAGCGCGAAGTGACGCGCGCGTCACGCTTGTGTCACTCCGTGTCACTGTTATTACGAACAGCAACAAACTCCGACGGCGTCAATAAAGTATCCGGCATCAGCTAGTAGATCACAGGATTGATTTCAACCAGAAAAAAAAGCAAGATACATATGACATTGTTCAAGAACACGGACGGTGCTTTGTATATGTACAGTTAGGTAGACTCGGGATACTGTCCTGGTACAATTATTACCACAGGCGGTACGATATAAATAATATCTGTGACGCTCAGACGTGCTGGTGGTACAATTGGCGACAGCGAAAATAGCATATGAATTACGTGGAAGGAGGGTGGATGAGCCAAAGGATGTTGGCGTCGTCAAGGAGAGTGTAAGGTAAAGTCGCGGTCACCGACATCTGATCGTGAGGACACGACCAGTGCGGACACGGATGGGTTGGGTTAAATGTTCGGTCAAATGATCTTGTCCTCGTCTTCTCGCAAGCACCATCAATCAGGCTAGAGCGTGATAACAGGCGTCGTGCGCTGCTCCGACGAGTTGTGGAGGGCGAAGTATGTCGCGCATGTCATCGGTGCAGACGGAAGCGCTGTGGCAGCAGTGGAGGCCGGAGACGCCTTCGCAGCTGGGTCCGCACGACGAGGCGATGTCGACACCCGCCGTTTACGAGCTGGTGCTGAACCCGCGACAAGATCGGGGATGACACCGAACTGCTCCCAAGCAGGCAGGTAGACGCGGCTCGTTCGAGCAGTGGTCGGAGGGGCCGCATGGATAACTGGTTTCTTGTCGCCCGGGGAGAGAACAAAGTCGGGAACAGGGGGAACAGGGGGTGGAGGGGAGAACGAAAGCGTCGGACTCGCCGGGGGAGATCGGTAGGGTACGGCATATGATAGAGTACGCTTAGCCGGGCGCCGGAAATTGGGATCCGAGGGTGATGGGGGCGCAGTTGTCCTTGGCGTGCTCGGTGCAGAGCGGACCGGCCTCGAGACGGGTGCGCTCCTAACACCAGAAACATTTCGGAGCTCTCCACAAGAGCGCATAGCAGTGAGTGAGCGCTTAGATTCGACAGGGAGCTGCTGTCGTGTGGTCGAGTTGTTTTGGAGGCTCAAGCGGGAGGGTCGGGGAGGATGCCTTCGGGGAGCAGGGAGAGGTGATAAAACTACATCGGGGGAGGGACTGCGTGGAGGAGGAGAGTCGGGTCTGCGACAAAAGTTCATGAGTGTGAGCGAGGTGGGGAGAAAAGCGGAGAAATAGAACAAAGGACCCACAGGCGCAGGTGGGCTCCTTATATGTACATGGATCGCGCGGAATCTAATCTGGCGCGCTTAGCTAATTTGCGGAAGTTGCCGAAGCGGCGTCTTTGACTTCCCAGGCTCGAATTGACTCTTCTTCAGCTTGTTTCTGTCAGCCAGCCTGCTTCTGCTTCTACGACTTCGAAAGACCTCGTTCTTTTGCAGGGCGGAAAATGCAACATATCGTCCCACCCTTTTCGTGGAGCTCTGGGGATTTGCGATTTCCCCATCGGTGAGACTCCGACGTTTCAGACGGAGCTTTCTCCGAGTGACTACTGTGACTGGCAGTGGGAGGATCTGTTCGTCCTCTGCCTAGTGGCTCGCGGCTGACAGGACAATGGCACGCGGACTTGCCACCCGGCCTGCCGCATTACTTCGAACTCGCGCTCGTTTCGCGCCATTGTTCTATGGACACAGACGTCAGCTTGGAAACGAGTCACTGGAAACGCATTATTTTCTTAATTTGACGCGCCTCGTGCCTTGCCGCATGGCTCGCGGAATCGGGCTCAGGAAGCGAAAAGAGTCACTCGCAAGTCACCAAGATTTCATGTCGAAACGCACGCGGCCCCAGCTGCTCACGACCGTCAGACCCGCTGACCCAACCCAAACTTCATGGAGATAAGGCCAGGTAAATGACCGAGATCCACAATCTTTATCAAACATGGGACACAGCCCCAAGCGCTACACGGTCTGTTCAGCCGGCTCAAACGCACTGCCGATGTCGTCAAGTGGATTGTGCGCCGACGGTGTTCCTGAGGAATTGCTGAGATATCCTCACTGGTAAGTGCTGTGCCAGATTGAAATCCTGCCAGGCCAGTGATAGATGCCACCTCTCGTCTCCATTGAGCATTCAAATGTTTGAAATTGGTTACATAATGTATCTGCGAATTTGCTTCGCTGGGACCCACTACGGGACAAGGCGTGGTGATGGGCACGGCATGTTTGATGACATGCATCCCGGACCATCACCAATGCTGACTGTCAATCGGCCAGTCCGATATCACGCCAGTGGTCAGTGTCCCCATCCATCATCGACTCTGGCATCGCACTCAGACCCGCAGGCACCAGGGGATCGTCGACGGTCCCGCGACGAGATAGTTGATTTTCAATTCCACCAGTCTGTCGAGGCTCCAGGCACGGTGTAGTAGTAGAGACTTGCCCCAGGCTAGTCCCGAAACATGTCGGGCTTGACGTCGCGCAAGCCGGGTAGATCGGAAGACGTCCCAGTACCAAGCGATTCGAGAATTAGCGAGCTGCTTCCTATAGGTGGGTAGCAAACCCATATTGCCCGGTTCCGAGCGTAGGTAGCTCTAGACCCACAGGCTGGGTAGATTCGATTAACCATAGAAACTACCCGGCGAAAACACCTGCCCCAGATTCAGAGGTAAACGGAAGTCGTTCCGCTGTTGCTGGCCACTGCGTCCCAGGCGATAGACAGGCGCCGTTTTTTCGACCGGCGCAGAGGATGCGCGAAGGCTTCAGCATGAGATCCACTGACAGCATGTAGGCCAAAGGTAGTGCTCCGAAGAGCCAAGCACGGACTACATGTCCGAGAGACGCCCTAGTAGAGTTGTGCGAGATTACGATGGTGCGCCATGGGGGTCCCCATTTGGCGAAAAGCATCTGCAATTGGAGCATATCGTCAGCCTTGAAGCTTGATCTCAGCCAGAGGCATCTGACAGCCCCAGGGTCGCAACGTTCGTGCTCGATATCTGATAATGCATTGTCACGAGATGAGCTTCGCATCAGGACAATTGGAACTAATCCTTAAAGACCGACGGCGGAGAAGAGCACCACCGACTCCCGCCGTCTATCGCCGACTATAACAGCAAAAGGCTTGACTTTCAAGAAAAGCTTGGGCCCATATATGCGAAGATAGCATCAGCCGACCAACGTGGACGACAGCGAAATCCTGTCTTTGTAGACGTGGCGATATTCCTGATAATGAATTAGGGATTACTTAAACAACTAGGTTGAAGTACCTCGAAGAGTATGGGCAGAGCTTCTTCAGCTTAACGATATTAGCACTCCGAGGACTGCTGGAATACACAATCAATTCTCCGCAAGCATAATCCGCGAAAGTTGCGGGGTCGTCGGCCGGTTCCCTGGAATCGAAAGCTTCAGGTCGACCCAAAGAAGCAATGCGAGGTTGGGGATTTGGAACTAGGACTCATGCGCCTATCTTTAGTCACACGGTGGCATCCACTGGTGGCTAGCGCTCAGTACTCAGTACTAGCGCCGATTAGTAACATGAGTGAAGCATCTGTCGTAAACCCTAACCTCGAGGGGGAATAATGCTGTAGCTTCCTCGCATCGATGTCAGTCTCGATACGCAAAGCAGTCGCAGAAGATGCATCCTCGTTATCACACATTTGCCTTGTCACGGCGGATGCAGGGCAATCTGCGGAGACCCTGCACGATCACGCCGAGCTGCCTGGTTTGGTGTTCGCAGTCCCCTACGTGCATCTTCCGACAACGTGGGCGTTCGTCTTGACCGACAGTGCGAGAAATGATCCGGTCGTGGGATACATCGTGGGCTCTACAGACACGCGGGCGTTTGAAGCGAACGCAAAACAAGATTGGTGGCCGCCACTCGCAGACAAATACCCCCCATCGGACATGGTGCGCGAAGCAGACAAGCGTTACGCGAATCTCTTGAGAAACATGTTCGTTGCGGACGACGGAAATATCAAGTTTTCGCCTGCGCACTTGCATATCAATATCTTGAAGGAGTATCAAGGAAAGGGATGGGGCCGCAAACTAATTCAGAGAGCCGTAGACCATCTGAAGGGAGAAGGATTGAAAGCTGTGTGGCTTGGGATGGATCCGAGAAACTTGGAAGCGCGGAAGTTCTATCTGCGTGTGGGGTTCATGCAGTTTGAAGGCGCTTCAGAGCACGCTCTCGGGATGGCTTTCGAGAAAGATGTAATTTGATCAAACATATACAAAGTCAACTACCAATGTCTCCTCCATACCGCGAACAGGACCCTGCCAGGGACGCGTTTCGAAATTCCAACGCCTCTGCAAACAATCCCGCCGACTCTGCTGCGAACAACTCTAATATTTCAAGCTCTGATCCGACGAGAAACGTCCCGCTACATCGAGAAGCTTCACCTCAACCGCGATATCCTGCAACACAAACTACCCTTCGCTCAGGATCCATTGAATGGAATGTTCCCACATATGATGAAAACAGGGCTGGGCGAGTCGGCGATACGGACAGCATTGAATTTCCGATACGGCGAACCACGGCAAATACCTTATCCCCGTTCGACAGTGACGCGGACCTTCGTGGCGGCTCGCGGGATACCCTCATAGACGACGCATACGAACCTGCTCGGAAGCTCTCTTTCTCGTCCTACCAACATCCTTACGACATCCCCCCTCCCGCAAATGCTTACTCTGGTGCCCCTCAGAACCTGCAACCTCGCTCTTCTATTCGCCAAAGTGTCAGCTTCTCTGAGAAACCGCAAGTCCTCGAGTATGATGAAGAAGCTCAGATAGACGCAGAAGATGATCGCGCCCTCAAACGTCGCGGGGTGCTTTCCAACATGCTCGACCTGTACGCACTGCAAATGGACTTGGACCCTGCAACTGGAAAACCTTTCGAAGAGTCGGCTCAACCCCCCATCAAACTGCCTCAACGATACACCCCGCGGGCCAAGATCAGACGCATGGACTCGGATGCCTCAGACCATTCGGATATTCTCGACCCCGACGACCCTCGCGTCACGGGCGTGACCGCTCAAAATCTCGAGGACCCGGCAGATATCGACAAAAATGTACTTCGGCTTATGGACTACAAGTCACGTCGCAAGCATCTCATGCGAGCCAAGATTGAGTTCAATGTAACCTGTCAGTTATCCTTTAAGTGTTGCCTCGGAACCGTCTCTGATGCCCGTGTCATCCAGCCATGATCAATAGACAGGATTTCCTCCTGAAACTCGCTCGCTCGCTTATGACTTTCGGTGCCCCCTCCCACCGCATCGAGTCCCAGCTGAAGTCGGCCGCCCGTATCCTCGAAGTCGAGAGCGAATTTATTCATCTTCCTGGTGTCATCATCTGCTCGTTTGGAGATCAAGAGCTCGGCTGTTCGGAAACTCATTTTATCAAGTGTGGCGGCAGACTTTCTCTGGGGGCTCTTCACAAAGTTCACGTGATCTACCGCACTGTCGTGCACGACGAAATTAGTGCCAAAGATGCGGCCGAGCACTTGGAGGACCTGCTCCATCAGCCTCCGCTCTACAGCATCTGGTTCCGATGCTTTCTTGGCTTCTGGCTGTCTCTTTTGATCTGCCCCTTGGCATTCGGTGGCTCGTTTCTCGATATGTGGATTGCCGGTAGTGGTGCATTCGTCCTGTCGTATCTCCAGCTCTGTGCGGCAACGAAGAGTGCGATGTATGCCAATGTATTCGAGTGCGTCTCGCTATACTATCTATGCCGCGTGATCTTACAGTCCTAGAATCACGATCGCGATCTTTGTGTCCTTCCTGGCCCGTGGCCTGAGCAGCATTCCAGGTCATGTGTTCTGCTACACTGCCATCTCTTCAGCCGGCATCATCGGCATTCTGCCTGGTTATCTGATATGTGAGCTCCCGATCTCATTCCTTCTGTTGAATCCTTTCTTCAATGTGTCTCCCAGTGAGTAGTTCATTGGAGTTGGCATCGAAGAACATCGTCTGCGGTAGTGTAAAGATGGTCTATGCGCTTATCTACACGCTCTTCTTGGTTGGTCCTTTCTCTCTGTTGGTTGATGCTTTGGTGCTCAGATCGCGCAGGGTTTCGGCCTTCAAATCGGGTCTGATTTCTACCTGCTTCTCGATCCTTCGGCTCGAAGAGCGCTCTACGATCTTGCTGCGACCCTGAACACTGCGACGACGCTGTCCGGTTCTTGGCTGGCAGATAACAACACTGCGAATTCGACGGTACCGCAAAACGGGACCTGGACGTTCGTCAGCGTCATCTCGCCGCATTCGGAAGATCTGATCGAAGGATGCTTTCGGCCTCGGTCATTCCCGTGGTATCTGCAGCCGTTTCCGCCGTGGTGTGCGGTATTCATCGTCCCGATCTTCTCGCTGCTGTCGTCCCTCGCAAACCTACAACCATGGAGAAGCAGACAACTCCCTGTGATGGTTTTTATCTCGTGCTGCTCGTATGCGACCAACAAGGTCGCGAACCACTATATCTTCAATCGCTCAGATGTTGTCTCTGCCATTGGTGCTTTTACGATCGGGTTGTTGGGCAACATCTACTCGCGCAAGATGGGCGGGACTGCATTCACGTCTATGGTCACTGGAGTCTTGTTTCTGGTGCCGTCCGGTCTTTCGCAGGCCGGGGGCATCACGGCGAATGGCAATGGGATCGACATCGGTGGCGCGATGATCTCTGTTACCATCGGCATCACTGTCGGGCTCTTTATGAGCCAGGCGCTGGTTTATATGTTCGGGCAACGTAAGAACGCGGCCGTGTTTTCTTTCTGAGATTCGTGTAGAACCTATGTATATAGTATACTGGAATGTGACCTATGTATGTTACGGTGGTGGCTATGCCATTCTAGTAGGATGCAACCGACCGTGACCTCAGATGAACTAAACCTGGTGTTCAAACTTGTATCTGCTGAAGATCTCTCTGCTGCCATCGAAATCGAGAGCCAAGGCATTACATGCTATCAAAGGATGAGCACTCTGATCCTGATCCTATGTAGGATTTCCTCCTGATGAAGCAGCGAGTCTAGAGTCGTTCCAGTAAGCCATGAACAATCCTTCTGCTTCAAGCAGTCTAACTAGCGCTTGGAGATTCCGCCAAAGCGCTGCTGGGGATCTGTTCCTCGGCGCTTACGCGGCCGACTCAAACACGCTCCTCGGCTATGTCTGTTCGACGCTGTCTCCCGACGAATCTCTTACGCACGATTCGATGTCGACCCACGTCCCCGGTGCATCCTCCGTCTGCGTCCACTCTGTCTGCGTCTCCCGTTCTCTCCGGGGCCGCGGAGTCGGGCTGCAGCTTCTGAGAGAGTACGTCGCGAGGCTGGAGGAACGATACCGCCGCACGGACGTACCGGTGCCGTATCGCCGGGTGCTGCTGATTACGCATGGTCATCTGCGATCGTTTTACGAGAAGGCTGGGTTTGAGTGGGTCGGACCGAGTCGGGTCGTCCACGGCTCGTTGTCGTGGTACGAGATGCGGATCGTTCTGGGCAGCGACGGGGTCTGAATCACTGGCGATCGTGGTAGTACACGGTAGATAGAGACAACGGAGTTTACAAGTCCGGGTATAATCTACTCTTTTCAGATTCTACATTTGTCATTGCAGGATCTGCGCCATTGAGACGACGGCAGAAACAACGAAAAGAGTCGTCGTAGCTCTGGTGATCCATTTGGCGAGTCCCTTTTTCATAGTTCCCCAGTTCCTGCCAGTCCGACCTCGTCTGGAGGTCGACGCGGATTCCAGCGCGGCAATGTCGTATTCTTCCACAGCCGGCGAATCCACAAACACATGGTCCAATAGAGCTTGAACGAACTGCGAGCCATCCAAATACGGAAGCGGCAGCAGATTGAAGAGAAACAGCGATAATGTGGCAAGTTTGAGATATCTGCACGGCGCCGTGATTCGAGCCAGATCCCGCATCAGAAAGGGACTTACTGCCAGAGAAGAGCAAGTGATGTGTACAATCCGACCGGAAGGAACCAGAACCGTGGTAGCAGGGCGCCGATTTGCACTGCGACCAATCTCAGGGCTCCGATCGGAACAGGACAGGACAGATTGGCACCTTGCTCGTAGATTTCCACCGCTGGACCATTCCAAAGCACAATATGATCGCCCGATGGCCCTCGCAGAGTCAAGCGTAGTAGATTAGTTGACTTATCGGTACGTATGCAGTGGTGACCGTCGGCGCACTGGCCATCTTGCTGACAGCGGGGTGTGGATTCGGACGTAAGAATGGACACAGCGTCGTGGCACTCCTGTTGTTGCGAAGATATCCAACGAAGCATGACAGAAGAGAGGATTTATCGTGGCAGCAGGCCGAGGAGTCTCCGCTACTCGCGGCGCACCACCCCGACGCTACTGGGGGTTGCCCATTCAAGTACAAGCTCCAAATGTCCAAATCTGACCCTAACGAGGTGTCGTCGAGCTTCAGAATGAGCGACCCTACAGAAAGGTAGTTTCGAAGGTCCGAGTCCTGCGACGAGAGTCAGAACATAACGATGTGAAGCATTGTTACGGACAGAATCCACACCGAAGACCACTCGGCCCATATCTGACACGTCACGATAGGCCACATCGGTCAGAAATGCGCCAAGCTTCACTCGATCAATGGCAAGAAGAAAGATCCAGAACACCAGGTTGTGAAATGGCCCGGCTCCGATTATACGGGCACGAGCAAGCGGGCTCAGTGTCTCCAGCGCCAGAGACGGAAACGTGACAAATGCTGCGGGGATGACAACGCTGAGGGACACCCCGGTTGATAGAACAGGGATCGCGTCTCTGTCAATCGCTGCATGAGAGGCAGATTGCGGGAAACGAGAAATGCACACACAAAGCTGCGGAGCACGCATGGCCCAGCTCGTGAACTACCTGCGAAAAAAGCACAGTCGCCATCATAGCCGGTAAATGGCTCATAGGGACAGTGACGCCGGGAATCTAGGCATAAGGTCAGTGGGTGCGCCGCCGGCCCGACGGAAGGACGTCGCACAAGCGGTGTCACAGACATGGACGAAGCATGCGGTCCGTTTGGCGCATCACCAGAGTCGCGTCTATGCAAGTGGGGAACAGCGGCTGCCGGTGCGACCGTTCGAATGCACTCCCAGCCCAGAAACCCTAACGACGTCAAAGTGCCCAGCACGCCCGCAACGACGCCCAAGTTATAGACCACAGTCAGAAGAAGCGCAGTCGATGTCGCAGCGAAACTTGCTTGGTGGCTCTATCATGGATGCCGTTGAGTGCTGAGGTCTGGATGCGCAAGTGCAGTTGCTTAAGCACTACTTGGGTCGTCTGGTTTTGCCATAAGAAGCCTCGCGGTTTGAGCGCAGTCGACACTCGAGGGGTCGGAAGCAGCGACTCTGCTCGGCTTCGCAGGGATAGATAGTTGGCTATGTGAACGCCGATCCAAAACAAAAGTAAGAGCAGGAGAAAGCCCATTCGCGATCACGTGTCTAGGCTCAGACGAGACGGTCGCATAGGGTCGTACCCATGCAGTCAGTGACTGAATGACATCGATGTCAGTGTTTGAACACGAATGCTTGCACTGAATGTCGATGCTTTGCTGACTGCAGCGAGCATGATGACAGGGACCTTAATGCATCGTGTACACCGTCATTTACAACAAGCCTACAATGCTTCTGCGGTTATGCCCAGGACGACATGCGATTTCAGTCCCAAGCAGCCATTTTCTGGAACATGATGCATATGAGCCGTGATATGTACAATGTAAGGAGCTACGAAAGGTAGAGCTACATAAGAGGACATGCCTGTGAGACAGAGACGAGAGGTCGCCGCTCACTGCAGTCGCCGCTCACCGTGTAGAGAAATGACTGCAAAAAGGATGTGAGCACGACGCAGAAGAACAGAGGGGATGGAGGATCATAAAGCCATGCATGTTATATCTTGTATCGCCATGGAGCCTTAGGCACTCGGGGGATTGACAGATTCGATATAGTGTATAATCATTTCAGGAGGGGACGGAGGCAGGCACTCACCATTGGCACCCAAGAGCACACACCGAAGCAATCTTTCTCGACGGGAAGAGGACAGACTGCAAAAAACGACATGATCAACGTTCCGAAAACAAAGAGACAAAGTGGTCAGGGAAAAAAGGTGCGATCATATCCAGCTTGCGACAGCCAGTCACCGACAATAAATATGGCCTACGGCCCATCTCGTACGCGCGCAATCCAGGCAGTGAGACTTACGTGAACGTCCCGGTTGTGCGCCCCCGAATGAGCCGTGGAAGTCAAGAGCAAAAAAGCGATGTTTGGACACTTTGTTTGTCGGCCTTTGTACTGTACCCCTTCGTATGTGATGCCGCCATCATCAACTGGCACCAGTCGCACGTCGACGACCGAGAAACCGGCACTCGGCCAAACCGCTCCTCTCCAACCCCCATCGGACGCATCTCGTCGCATTCCCGTGACCCCCGCCGTGCTTCGGTCCATCTTCGCGTCTTCTCGGACACCGTATGAGGAGCGGTCGATCTCGCGCGTTGCTTTCTTTCGGTTAGGGTGCTGTACGGGCCTGCGACGCGTTTACTGACATCCTCAGATTCTCTGGCTTCGCTCTTAGCTGCCTCTTTATCTCTTGGGTCGGTGCTCGCAGCCGCGGCGGAGCTCTGCTCAGTGTAGTATAATACGGCCTGGACATTCAGGTGTATAGATCTGCAGCGCCTGCGCGCTCTGAAATGACCCCGACTACTTTGCTCGAGGATGCAAGTGCCCCTCCGCCCGCATATGCAACCAAATCACCTTGCATAGGAACCGTCACGCCAAGGAGCTCGTGAAGGTTTGTCGTGACCATGGCAAACGCGTCGTCCTCACTGAGGATGTCGTTTGACGCTGCGATAGCCTGAGGACGTGGTTTTTACGCGTTGTGGGTCTTGGGAAACGAAGCACTTGCCCATGCGAGATCAAATCTCAGATTCCGAACATCCTGCGCTGAAGAGGACTTGATGCCCACTTTGACACGCGCCTGAAACAGTCTGGATAGCGTGGTCTCGTTCGTCAACGGGGGTCCAGCGAGGCTGAGGAACTTGAGCAGAAAATCCTTCTAGTGACTAGGGACTGACGATCTGCGGGTCTCCCAAGCTTGTATCATTGGCTTGGCTTGAATTATAACGCCCACGTTCGCTTTGCCTGCGATGAGAGATGAACATCGTGTCACAGGAATCAGTAAACCACTTGCTGATCTCGTCTGCGATCAAGTGGGCTTCGGCGGCACCGCTGAAAACCATTCTCATTCTCGTGCCCAGTTGGTTCTCGACGTCGTCTTTCATGATCAGCAGCGTGGACATGATGTCGGCGCTTTCTACGTCAATGACGAGGGGAATAACGCCCTGTACACGTTGGGATTTCTCGCACATCAGCAGAGGGTGGACTTGCCTCGGCCGCTTTCCTGAACCATCTTCCCGTCTCACTCTCTTGCGACTCCCAGCCATTCAAGAGCCTGCGAAGAGTGGCGATCTGTGTACTGACGCTCACCGACTTGGCCTTCGGATCCGGCCGATGAACCGCAACGTGCAGAGCCGTCGACTTTTGAAGGAGAGCACCCCGCTCCATGGGTCCCATAGTCCCTGTCGAGACCACGGTCGAAACAGCTATGCCCTCTCGCGGAGCTGCGATTGCTGAAGTCACCCCCGACCGGTAAGCAAGGCTGGATGCTGATGAGCATCGGGACCAAACGCTGGCAAGACTCGCTCACAGTGCGTGTCGAGTCCCGAAAACAAGACTGTCGATGGTGTTCACCAAGGCCGTAGGGTCATGGACGATAGACGGGACCTGTCCCTGAAACGGATCCATAATCTGACCATCGCCGGTCGTGAGCTCATAACGCATCTCTTCCAGTCCCAGCGACGACCCGAACGTCGTCATGCCCGGCACTATCACCCCGCCGAACAGATCTATGGTTTCCGCAGCCAAATCGGCAGGGCATTGATCACCGACGCAGACGATCTTGCCTCGTTCGACAACCACAGTGTTGACATCGCCTGTTGATTGGCGGCTGAAACCAGTGAAACGGCCGACATTGACGAAGGCTATCCTCCCCTTCTCCTTGCGGCTAGTCAAGGGGGGCAAGCCATCCGATTCGATAGCTTCCTTGACCTCTTTCTCCCAATTCGGCACGGCGGGAAAGTCATGTAAGATCCTGCTCTGCTTTGGTGCTCCGACGACGTCGAGCATTTGGGGCTGTCCGTCGATCCAGACCCGGATTGGCCGAGCACCTAGTTGTAACGGATTGTAATCCCACATGACAACATCGGCATCAGCTCCTTCGTACAGATTGCCGATGCGATGGCTCAGACCGAGGGCTTGAGCGGGGTTGGATGTGACCGAAGCCAGGGCCACTAAGGAGGGCAGACCGAAATGATGCGCTTTTTGCGCTTCTTGGATAAGGTATCTAGAGTGAATAGTCGGATGGTTTGTCTGCAGATTCGTTAGCCCGCAGTCCACGGGGAGAATCCAATGCTTACCTTGAGGATGACAGAGATATTGGCGTCGGACAACACACGGGGAGCAAACTCAGATCCTCGGTACGATGGCAGATCGTACCCATGGTCGGTCGAAAACAGTGCGACCGTGGGTGGGCCATCCCAGGTCTGGTTGAGCAGACCTGGAAGTAGCCAAGCTTCGGACGCGTGCTGGATAGAAGAAAGAGGAAATTCGAACTCTCGGCTCAACTAGTCATGTGTCAGCGTCGTGCCGTAGGAATATTCAAATCAATACCCGAACTAAGGCGTCGATATCGACGGCCGTCTGACAGTGACTTGTGACCTGGCTTTGTTTCAGCTGCTGTTTAGAGAGACATCCTCTGCCAGGATCCAATGTACCTTGACCTTGCCGCGAAGCACATCAACAAGGATATCGTATCCTGTCTTTTCTGGAAACTCTGATCCGTCCCAGAGACCAGCTTCAACCTGAGAACAGAATTGGTCTTGCGCCACTTTCACGGCCCGCGCTTCGTTATAAGCAGCCCTCAAAGTCCAGATGACATCACGTCGATTTCCGTAGTCCGACGGACCGCACGATTGTCTAGTGAATCATTGTAAGACACGCGTCCATCCAAGAAACCACGCACTGAAGATATAACCAGCCTTGGCCATCGCCATGCTCAAGCACCATCGAACTCGGTGAGCGCGATACTGTGGGTCTGAGTTTGACGACGATTGGCTGACCGCCTGGACACCCATGAAATAATGTCAAGCCTCAAGGAACTACGCCCACCAATGATGCTGGAGCCCGAAGCTAGCACCTGGGCAGAAGTGACACCGCCTGCGACTGCATGTCGGAATGCTTCATCGTGTGTATTGAGCCCATCAATATTGCGGAGCCCAGGAGTGAAGGGGCCGCCCGTAGAGTCTTCGTCTGATGCGCCTGTAGTAATATTGAACGCTAGGCGTGAAGCTGGTTAATAGTCTTACCAGCCAAGAAGGGCGTGCTCATCAGTCCAAGTCGCGTGTCCAGATCCACTAATGACATCAGTGAATACGCCGGTAAAGTCGAATACTGTCTGCATAACAAACCTAAGCCAGGCGTAACCCATGCCCCTTCGGCATCAATGACCGTCAAGTTTGCGGTCGCTGTCAAACCCAGATGCGCCAGCGAGCTCCCGATGTTCTTCAGAACCCCTTTGTCGAGGTAGATATCTCCATGCATGACTCGAGTCTCGTTGCCCTGGCCGACGAGTAGCGTAGCGTTGGTGATCAGAGTGGAGTTTGTGCCCGGCTCGTAGCGGTCAGAGACATCCCGTTTGAAGAACTGAGAGGAGGGTCCGGGGGGTGAACCGTTAGAGAGACACCGCGCACGGAGTGTCTCGAGCTGTTGCAGATAAACTGGTGTCGTATCTCGCGGTGGTCCATCCTGCCAATGGCTGGGTGTGAAAACCAAGAACGTCCGACGAGCACCAGAGAAGATGCCGGTTAAGATTGACAAAGAAGCAAGGACGATGAATAGCAAGCGAGGAGAGACTGGATAGTTGGAGGGCTTCATGAAAGGTGTGTCGAGGGTGCATGGCACGTTCCCTCAGCGTTATTAACGCTCACTGGCACGCTCTTCACACCTGGCACGCAGCATGCCTTGGATACTGAACATGAAGCTCTTTCTCATAATGATCAGCTTTTGCACAGTCGGAGCAAAGTGCCGTCATATAATCCGGAAATGGTGGAGATTCTAGAGGCGAGCTCCGAGATTTCGAAGACTTTAGAGGCCTAGGTGTCACAAGATGTGACTACACGTGAACGTGATAGCCAAAGCGGAACGATGGGACTGAGTTATCAGCCGGTGTGGAACGAACACGGACTAGACGAGAGAACCAGTACGGAAAGCGAGCAGCGACCTGGAGATACTATTCTTAAAGTACACCAAAAACAGAATAATTGAAAAGAAGAGCTTGACAAGACTCAGTGACCACCTCCCATCATCCGCATGCGATCTGGGTGAATCGAGGGTCCGTTCGAGGGCGGCCCTGGAGGTCCTTGGTTCATGTTCGGTGGAGGGCCGTCGAAGCCACCAGGGGGCCCACTGGAATTATTCGGAGGGAAGGGAGGCATAGACCCGGGCGGTCCATTCGGAGGGAACGGTGGAGGACCTGTGCGGGTGATCAGCCAAGTGCAAAGCGAGTGAGGCGGGTGGACGCACCACCAGGGAATCCTGGCGGGCCCATGGGCATGCCGTTGGGTGGGAATGGCGGGGCGCCCATCATGGGTGGAGGGAATGGGGGACCACCACCGGGAGGGAACGGAGGACGGAAGCCTGGGGGAGGGAGACCGAAGCCTGGAGGAGGAGGGCCGCCGAAACCTGGCGGAGGAGCGCCCAGATGCTAGACGAGATAAGTCGCTGATAGAACACACTATGCACAGTACAGCACACCTGAGGGCCGAATCCAAATCCACCTGGGGGAGGCCCGTTTCCTGACTCGTACGCAGAGGTGATTTGGTCGATGATGTTTTGAGCCTGATCATGTCCCAATGCTGTGATGCTTGTTGAGAAACTGAAACCGGACGGTAAAGATCATTCCATACAAGCGTAGTAGTCTCGAACATTGGCCAGATGGTTCCTTCCGCTGTTGTGGGCCTTGCGTACTGGAGAAGAGTTTGGTCTAAAACCCACGGCTTGAGAATCACAACGCACCTGATGTGGAGTCGTGGGTCAAAAATACATCACAATAGTCGCAATAGTGTTTCTGAAATGGAATGAATGGAGAGAATGGAGAAGTAGATTGCAACGTACGGGCATCGTGGTCGACGGTGGAAGTGGAAGAAAGCCTGCCGGCACGTGAGTGATTGCCAATTCTATTCTGGCCCGCGCATCGTGACATCTCTCTACCTTACTAATTCTGAAATTGAGGACTGACCTGCAACTGTCTCCAGCTCCATGGGAGAATTGAACGAGAGCGCTATTCGCGCCTGGCTAGGGTTGGACGAATCGTCACTGCCCAGTCCAGCAGCCTCACCGATCGAATTCCTAATGGTCAATCTCAGATTTCTTCCTCCGCATCTGCTGCAGTCCTTTTCAAATATCACCTCACCCAAGGACCGTTCTCGACTCCCTGCAATTCGAAATCGTCGACTTAAATACTCGGCGGCCGCACCAGAGTTGCGGTTCGCCGCTGCTCGCAATAACTGGCCGCTGTTATATGAAGGAACATCCCGGCCGACGAAGCCTGGCGGCGAAGAAGAGAAAGCTTGGGTTCAGAACGACTTCCTGGATGGACGGAGGAAGCATGTTGGCAAGCTTGGAGAGCTGTTGAGTGGATATGAAGATGAGGTACGTGATCGAGCTTGTCAGCGCGCTTCGCTTATTCTTCTTAGCGCGAAGGCGAGCGACTTCGTGCCCTACGACGCGAAAAGGCAGAGGCAGAATTTGTGCCTGAAGAGGAAGAGGACAGTGACAGCGACGACGAGGGCCCTCTTCCACCTGAAGAACCAGTGACTGAAGGGGTGGCGAAAGCATCATTTGAACGCTTGATTCGAGAACGTTTCATATATGGTCTCCTAGATGTACGCCCCTTGCCTTGGTCCACATTCTCAGAAGCTGATGAGCTGCGCAGGGTGTGGATTACGATAGAGTGGACTGGGATGAGAGCTTAGATGGAGACACGGACAGGGAAAGTGAAGAAAGGTGGTTTGATGAAGAGGAAGAGGATTGAGTCTCCAACGGGGATATGTATGTTGTAACTTCACTACAGTAAAAGATCAATAAGATGCGCGTATTGCGTTCGTCAGGGACGCTTTCCTGGTAATTATTTCTTCTTTGCCATGTTAATCCTAAACATGGCAACTAAGGAAACATTTATCAACTGCCCATCTTGTATGGTCGCTCGCGCCGTGCACAATTTCCCAATTCGTCTCGTAGGCGTTGAACTCAGTTGATGCGGTCAACGAAAGCACACGCAAATACAACCTTCCCTCCTTCACGCGTAACACTCTCGGCTTCACTACATTTGTTTTCCTCAAGGGCTGGAGCCTCACGCTTTCCTCGGCCCGGGGCCTAAGAACAAGTAAACCCTACCTTCGTTGCACTTTCCCAAAGATCAGCTATGAGCGCATCTGAAGTACGGCTTGGAAACATAGTCGAGGTGGCCGCGGGGCGTGGTGTGGTTCGTTTCATGGGACCGACCTCTTTCATGGCCGGGAAATGGATTGGGATCGAACTATACGAGGCGAATGGAAAGAATGATGGATCTGTTGCAGGCACTACATACTTTGCCTGCAAGCCGGCACATGGCATCTTCGTGCGTGCACAACACATCAAGGGAATCTTTGGGTCGGAGATTGAGGTGCGTTCAACGATTTGAATCAGTTGTTCCGTCATTTCTCACGTACGAGGAATCGAACTGCAGCGACCTGCCCCAACCACCCGCCCGTCCATAGGTCATCAGAGAACAAACAGCTTACGAACGAACTCCATCCGCCCTGGATCTTCGATAACGACATCGCCGTCCCCGCGCTCGGGGAGTCCCGCTAAGCCCACTGCAACCCCGTCACCCGTACTAGGATCCCCCTCGCCTTCCAAAGCTCGCAACCTGCTCCCGCCCCGCAAATCTTTATCAAGCTCGTCTCCACCGGGACGGAATGTCGAACCGCCCTCGGTGCGAACTAACGGCATACAGGCTCCTGCGGCTGCAGCTGCAGCTGGCCCGACTGTCTCGTCGCCGCTGACTATGGCTCCAGCACGGTCAATTTCGCCGCCTGCTCCCCCCGAACCAGAACGTCCCCCATCACCCGCCCGCCCTTCCGTCAGCGAACAGGAGCTACAAGAGCTCCGAGTGAAAGTGCGAGTTTTGGAGGCGAGGCGTTCTGACGATTCGAAGCGTCTGAAAGAATTGGAGGACCGCGTGTCGGAGAATCAGACATTCATCGCCTTGAAACCCAAGCTGCAAGCCAAACTCGCGTCACTGCAGACGGAACTTGTTGAAGCACGCAGAGAACTGGCTGATGCAAAACAACTGGCGGACTTGTCGGAAGGGCGTATCCTCGACGCTCACGAGCAGCTTGAGATGGCGATGTTGGACAAGGAGGTTGCAGAGGAGCGGGCCGAGGCAGCCGAGGCCGAGCTCGAGGAAACTACAGAGAAGTTGGCTGTTGTGCAAGTCGAGTTGGATGTCCTCAAAGAAGGCGGCGCAGTCCCTAGTGAGGTCGAAGATGAGGAGGAGGAGAGCGAAGAGACTGGTGAAAAGAGCCATCCCCGAGTCAAAGATGCGCTGGCCTTCATCCAGCTGGAGAAACAGAACGAGCGTTTGAAAGAGGCCCTGATCCGTCTTCGGGATATGTCGCAGGAGACAGATCAGGATCAACGCAGACGCATCACGGAAATGGAAAAGGATCTCACTGGTGTTGAGGAGCTTCACTGTGCGCTGAATGAATTTCCCATGCGGCTCGTATATCTGACATTCTGAAGTCAACTATGAAAACACACAGATCAGACTGGCAGACGCTGAAATACAGATTGAGGACCTCAAGATGCAGTTAGACGACGCTCTCGGCGCGGAAGATCTTCTGGAACAGCTTACGGAGCGCAATTCCATGCTCGACGAGGTGCGTGCTGAACTCCTGCTCTATCCATGTGCTTATAATCGGTAAAAGAAAATCGAGGAAATGCGCATCACGATTGAAGACCTGGAAGCGTTGCGAGAGTTGAATGACGAACTTGAAGAAAGCCACGTCGAGACTGAACGGGCACTGCAGGAGGATCTTGGTTTGTATCTGCTTCGACGACATGACAACAATGCTCATTCCCTCTTCCAGAATCGAAGGAAACACAAATTCGAGAACACGTTCGACGCTCTGAAACATTGGAAGAAGCTTGCAATGATCTCGAAGGGACCATTGGCCAATTCCGTGAGCTTGTGCTGCAGCTTCAAACGTAGGCGTTTCTCTCTCTCTTAGGCAGGCACGTTTCTGAGTCTGTTTTATAGCGAGCTGGACAGTCTCCGCGCGCAAACCCAAGTAGCTCAAACCGAGTCCCAGACCGCCGCCTCTCAATCTGCGGCCATCATGTCGCTGAACATCAAGCTGCAATCCTCTGCCTCCAAGAACCAGGCCAAGATTATCGAATTGGAAATGAAGCGGATTGAAGTCGCTGAGACCCGTGAACTGCTCAACATTGTTCAGGTCAGTATCTACTATCAGTTGACAGGGAACACCCAGATTTCACTCACTCCCACCAGCCATACCTGCCTCAAATCTATGTCGAAACAGACAGTGACGCCACAAGTTGCTATCTGTTCTTCCAGAGACTGGCGAACAAGGCCGACCTGATCACAAACTTGGTTTCTCAGAACAACGGCTTGCCTGATTCTCTGAATGGCTCAGTCTCGGAATCCCTTGTCGGAGTCTGCGATGTGCGTCATGAAATGCATGCTACCTCTTTGTGACTGAATTCTATCACAGATGCGTGGTCGTATATCGGCTCTTTCGATCCTCTGCAAGAGATTTGCCGCCATCATGAGGCGGTGCGATGTAGAATCTTTCCTGAACATCGGCCGTCTGTACCAGGAAATCGCGCCCATGGAGAAACGGATCGACATGCACATCGATCTCTTGCGTCGAGATGAGTTCCGTGAAATGGAATGTGTGACCGATGTTGTCAAGTGCGTATCCAGCTTCCGTCACGCTTTCCAGACTGATGGTGGGCAGGATATCGGCTCAGTTCGACCATCTTGCGGAGACTTACTTTGCTGGATTCGATCTTGATCTCGGCGAAAGGGAACTTGGCTACCTTGTCTCGTTCGACATGGATCTCGATCTCTTTGCGGCATCGATTGGTCTGAGCAAGACTTCGATTTCGAATTTGCTTCAAGATGAAGGTTAGTTGGGCCAAGTTATGATTAAGAGTGTACACCTGACCGTGGAGGCAGAAACGGCTCAAGATCTCGGTGGATACGATATCGATACCGAGCTTTTCGAACCACTTCAGCGTCTGCTTGACCAGTACAAGGGGGCTAAAGCCGTGTCCAAGTGCGCCTTGACGTGGTCGACTGATCTCTTCATCTAATCTCTCATCAGGAAGCTAACTAAGCGACTGGATGATTTGCTCAAGGACTCTGCTGCGCTCAAAGCGCATCTGGTTCCTCAGATGACCGCTCTCAGTAACTTTGTGCCAGAATTAGTCAACTTTGGTATCTCTGTCAGTATTCTCTTCATTCATTTGAGAACTTCAACTCATCGCCTGTAGTTTGCCCAACAAATTATGCCCCACATTAGTGACGTTCGGAGCTCCAAGACTCCCTTCCAACTGTCGACGGTCATGAGCCTTGCGAAGCAGATTGCGTCGTCAACGGTCGCCAAAGATCTCAAGCCTGGTGTTTCCGTTTGGGAGGCGATTGGAAACTCGATCACCCAGTTAGTTCAAGACGGATCTAAACTGCTTCCTCTTGTGATGGAGGCAGAGAACACGATCAAATGTGAGCCATTTTACGATGGAGCTCTCCTCGTCACTCAACCATCCCATAGTGACCGGTGTTTCACCGTGGGTGAGGCGAGTCGACGAAGTCAAGGCTAGCTTGGCAGTCAACCTGGAAGCGGAACGCCGTGTCTCTCAGCTCAACGAAGAACTGCAGAGTCTTGTACGGACTCTCAAGCAGAAGGATCAGCACATCCAAGAAGCAACCGTCAAGAACGATCTGATGGAGCGGAAGATGGAAACCGTCAAACGCCAAGCCGACTCGATCACGGAGAAGGACAGCATCATTGCCGACAACAAGCGCCGACAACGCGAGCTTGAGGAAGCGCTTGAACAGGTCCAAGGGGATTTAGATGTCTCCGAACAAGAGCGAATGAAGTTGAAGACTCTGGTTGCTAACGAACAGCGGCAAGCTCCGGGCGCAGCTGCTCCAGAGCCGGAGAATGTTCCGGTCGAGGCCAATTTGGAAACGTCGGTCTTGTTGGATCAGGCAAGTGTGATGAGTCACGGATTACGCTGCTCTCTGACGTGCTGCAGATTGACGCTCTCCGCGGGACAGTGCGCTACCTGCGGACAGAAAACTCGTATCTCAAGGGTCAGGATCTACTGCGGGAGATTCAGACACTCCCCTCGCTGCCAGAAACCATCAGTCGGTTGTCCACCCCGCCATTGGATCCATCTGGATCATCAGACACCGAAGACTCGGATTCCGACGATCAACCCCGTTCACCACCGACTTTGCGCTCCCTTGCGACGGAGACGAAGCTGCTCTACCGCGATGTCATCCAGTTCTCGTCTGCTCCGCGTGTCGTCGACCTGGCCGCCCTGCAAGCCAAACGGGCGCAGGCCAGTGGTGGTCACGTGTGGATGCGCAAGAAGCACATGCCGGCACAGCAAGTGCTTGAGCGCAAGATGGAAGCAGAGCGGCTCAGTCGCCGGGTCAAGGGATTATTGGATCGGACTAATGGGTTTGCGGTGTAGTGGCTATCTTATTCGCTTTGTTTATGTTCTGGATCTGGTTCTATACCCCCGCATCTCTATCCACATTTATTGCACGCTATTACTGCAGTACTTTCCTCACACCTTGTAATTTACGAAGACCTTCCATCATCGCCATCATTGATCACATCGGGGCATCAAATTTTGGCAGGTGGAGGAGCCTGCGAGCCTCACTGCTCTGCGCTCACCTATGGCTCGCGCCGTGAGGGACGACCGGAGTTCGGACTCGCTGCGACCTCCCTGTTGCCATGTCCTCTTATTCCGCCCTCATTACGCGGATATTAACCTCGCGAGATGCAGCCACGGGACACTCGCTTAGATCTGATGTTGATTGAACGCACGGTCGGCGGTCGCTTGCCACGCGCCGGGACAGGAAAGAAGTAGACGGACGGGCTCCGGTTCTCTCAGGCCTCTCTTGGACCTATCCACTCGTTTGCATGTTTTCTGACTCCAAGTCGTCGTCCGCGTCCTCTGACAGCCTCTGGAAACTCCCAGCCCTCCGGCGCCGCACTCTGTTCGTGGGATGTCTCGCACTCGTCGTGCTCTCCGTGGGCGCGTTTTCGCGATATTTTCTGTACGCGGCAGAGCCGCATCCCATTTCTGCACATGTCGGCATGAAGCTTCGACCCGGGCTGTTGGTCGTTCCGCCTGCGCCAGCAGAGGATCCTCTGGGTCCGTCGTCTGTGCTGAAGGGCCCGCCTACGCAGTCCTTCCGGGATAATCTGAAACCTGGACAGAAGTACATCACATCTTGGACCTCGGCTGGATGGAGTGCGTCGGCGTTGAATGGCTGCTTTTTTGTGTTGCTGACGAGGATGTACCACAGCGAACGACGTTATAACTTATGTGGGTGGTGCTCAGCGCCGTGGGCCGCCTCCCAGCTCACGGACTATGCTAAACTCGGCCCGCAGATCAATCTCATATATCTCGGCCTGATCACTGACCGCATTCCAATCATTCCCCCATTCCTTCCTTCACACGTCGGCAGTCATGTGCCGCCCATACCATTCGGAGAGGTTTTTGATGTCCCTCGATTACGCAAGGAGCTTGGGGTTCCGGTCCTCGAATGGAAGGACGTCAAAGTAGGGATACCTCCGGTGCTTCTAATTACCCCCGGTCTTACTGACTGTCCTCGCCGCAGAACTCAAGCAGCCTTCTCATCGAGGAGCTGGGCTGCTGGAACTTGTGGGAAGCAGTCCAAGACAGTGAAGCTTATCCACGACCGAGTCGGCATCCCAGGGAACTCGGGCTCGGTGTGTTTCAATTTAAGTACCATGTCCAATCGTGACTTACATTCCCTGAAGACATCTCGTATACGAAGGCTCCCAATTGGATCAAGATGATCCCTGACTCTGCGACCGACGTGTGTAGCGACAACCAGACTGCATGCACGCTTTGTTAATCCGACGTAATGCAGCGCCACAGCACCTTCTGGTCCATTGCGTCGCTGGCATTTCCCGAAACTCGCAATGCTCACCTGGTTCCTCCATTGCCCTCTCCGATCCGTCAAGAAGCGCTATCCCCCGATGAGGATCTTCTCTGCTACGACTACCGTGAGTCTCGCTGGGAAACCGATCGACTGTTCGCTGACAAGTCGCCAGTGTATTATGTCTCCGCACACAGAGTGGGTTGAAGGATCTCACGCACAATTTTGAGTGCTAAAACACAGACAGCCTTTCGAGTTCGGATTCGACTACAGGTACGCGGCCAGTCTAGGTGGCGTTCATCGTGAGTATCTGACCTGTGTGGAAGCCCGGCGTGGCGATTTGTAGGCACGCATATGCACTGGACACCGAGATTAGAAGAACTTGCAGATGACTATCTGCGCCTTGCTCTCGGTGTCCCCAGCCACGAAACAATTCCTCCTGTGTGTGCTGATCAACTTTATTTGCATTTGACTCAATCTGGCTCGCTAGTTTGTCTCTGTGCATGTCAGACATTACGACTTTGAGGCATTGTGCAACGACCTTCCGACCGAAGAATGCTGTACGTGCATGCCACAGACATTTTTTCCGTACTGAATGAGTCCCGCACACACCAGATGCATCGCTGCCCGTCATCCAGCGAAGAGTGGAAGAGTTGAAGGCCGATGTGCTCACGCGGCAAGGGATCAGGATCCACCACGTCGTCTTGACTAGCGACGAGCGCGATCCGATCTGGCAGCACGAAGCCGCACAGCTAGGTTGGTTCACCCCCGATCACGAGACTACCGGCCAGCGCTACGGGGAATGGTGAGGCCTCAGAAAAACAATGGCCGCTCCCGAGATGCTTATGGAGAGTCTCCAGGTACCCTGTTCTCATTGACGCAGTGATTCAATCCAGGGGCGCAGCTTTTGTCGGTACAGACCGATCAACGATGTCGGTCATTGCTGGTAAGTCCCGATCTGTCTACACGGTTTTTCTTTGGAGCTCAACCGCAATCTGCGCAGGGCGCCGTGTCGAAGACTGGCAAAAAGGACCCGTCGTGCATGTCAAATGGGGCACCCCTTCCGCTGATGATCATTGATTTTTTCTGGGCATGGATCGGGGTATTTTCGCTGAATCCGCATTGATTTGTACTGTTGTAGCACGGCGTTTATTATGGGACATTTAAGTACACCAGATGTCATTGGTTATTGGTTAGGAATAAGTGAGGTACCAACTTTGTACTACGGACACCCTAGTAAATACAGCTTAATTTACAGCCTTGCGAGCGCAAGCTATAGTTTACACAGCCGGCCCGTAGTGCCAAGAGACAGTTGTACGCATCTAGCCGCTCCACGAAACGCTGTTACGTACTTGCGTCTCCGCAATTCCGCGGCAGCCGACCAACGAAGGCAGAAGTCTGACGGTCCGACACAGGATGCACAAGCTTCAGAGACAGGAAAAGGTGCCAAGCAGTCGCCAGCCCCATGCCCAGCCGATATTTGCCTCAGGGGTGGTTCCAGTAGTATCTGGGAGGTCCGATGTCCGACTCAACGGAAGCTTTCGTAGGCATAGGCGGCGGCTAAATGCATGCTCAGTCACCGGCCAGAGCCCCAGCGCAGAAAACGGTGCGTACCTGGGCTAGAGTCGAAGCCATGGACAGCACAGGCGACGGTGTCCGTGCCTTTTCGCGCGCTGCCGCCCGTCGTTCTCGCCGCTGCTGCCGCTCCTCCTCCTCTTGCACTAGCTGCTTCCTCCATCGTTGCTGTCTCCGCCGGTGCCAGATGACAGTGCCAATGATGAGCGCAAAAACGGCCACTGTGGAGTAGTCAGTTAGGAGAGGTGTACGGCAGGTATGAATGGGTTGGACGCACGGAGAGACACCGTCACTGCGATCTCCCATGCTGCATCCAAGTGGCCATCCTGGCTGGAACTAGGTAGATTTATCGAATGGTCAATAAGAAGCAAGAAGCGGGGTGTTTAAGGGACGCACTCTTCGTATTGCCTGAGTCGGAGATACATGGGGGAAGATGGATGAGTTTGCACGGAGGCGGTGTGAGGAGGGACAAGGCGGAAGAGGGCTGCGAACAGCGGCTTATATTGCGTATGAATATACACAGAGCCAAGACGTTGATAGTTCTTGGCCAAGCGAACAGAGATTACCAAGCCTAAAACCCGTTCGGCGCGCTCCGCCAAGGAATGCGGGCGGCTTTTACAGTCAACGTAAGCCAAGGGCGAGACTAAGGTGAGGATACGGGCAAATGCCGAGTGATGAGCGTGGGTTCAGAGCGAAGACAGCCTTGAGGATGGCCAAGAGGACTGAGCCGGACTAAGGAGGACTGAGACATATCTGTGGTTGGCACATCAAATCCTCGGCGTCCACGCATGCCAAGCAAACGGGCATCTCCGCCCCATCGCACTTGCCCTCTCTAGAAGGTGGGCTGAGTACTTGGAGATTGTCATCTGGGCTTATTTGTGATTTGTGATGTGCGAATAGGCTTGCGCGTGCGAGTGGGTGCTTGAAGAAGAATGCAATGGTCACGGTCCATATGAGGCGGACCGGAGATTTATGAAGCCAAGATCTCCAGGCGGGCTGGTCTTGCTTGGTCCCGCGCTGCATTATTCCTGGCTCTCCAATCCGATTCGAATTCCAAGTGACTCGTGCTGTCACTGCTGGGGGCGAAGCAGTTTCGATTTCTGTTCAAATTGCAAAAGCCTCGGATATGTCCCTATCAATGACCGTCATGTGATATGTCACGATCGCGTAAGATCACACTTCGGTCACCTCATTGGGCTCCTACATCCCAGCTGCGCTCCTAAGTGAACGCGAATTATCTTGGCGTCCAATCGAAATGACCATTCACCGCTGGATGAAGAATTATGAGCAGCGTCCCACCATAAGTGTGTGTCAATTTCAAATCGATTGAGGCAAATGCGGACAGAAGAGGCGAAGTGGACGAGTGGCTAGAGTATTGAATGCAACATGAAAACACCGAGCACTTCAAGTTGACCAGGAGTCCACCATTTCTTCCCAGTGCATGGTTTCCAGTGCCAGCCGGGTGCCAGCTCTTGTCATCGTATAATCATCTCGCGTTGACTACATGCGTCCTACTTACCTAAGGAACTCACGGCTGGTGAGGCGGTGCCCATCCCGGAACTTACCGGCCCTGTCTCATTGAGGACTTCCCCCGCAGTTGATATCAACTTCCAATTCATTCTGCTTTGTTGCCCACCCGCACCTTGCTTTGAGCTGACGTGTATCCCGGACTTTCCTAGCATCGACCCACCCTTGTACCATGTCTGACGCGGACGACTTTGTCAATGTTTGGGCTGCAGCGGGCGCTCCAGAGAACACCTTTCATCAGGCCTGGTCCAAGGACATCGCTGCTGCCCCGCATTCCAGCCCCGTACTGCAGGCATTCAAGGCGCTCCGTGAGATCTACCCCGCTCACTCCATTGCTGCCACCCAAGGAAACATCCTGGGCTTCCCTGGTCTGCTCTACTCCCCGCTCGCAGATGCGCCCTTGGTCTCCCACACGATGTTTATCCCCATCGCGCGGTCCGGAGGGGGCGTCAAGGGCGCTCTGCTTGATAGCATTCAGTTTGGCGCGTTCACTGTAGCGTGGGATGTTGGTCGCTTTCCCCCAGTACCCCTCCATTGTCTCAGATGCTGTTACAGAGTTATGACTTCATCGTCTATGTCGTCAACGTGCGTCTGGATCCCATTTCCATTGATTTGGATTCTTACCGTACTAGTATCCGATCGGCCTTGGGACTACGACTACGCATATCGTCTTGCACGAAGGTAGGGAGCCTTTGCGACCTGAATTGGTCTGATATCGAGCAGGTCCCGTCGAGCCTGCGCGTTCCCTGATCCTCAACGCCGGAAAATGGAGCCAGGAGCTGCATGAAGAGATCTGGGTGTACAATCAAGGTTACTGGCAAAAGGATCCGGCGTTGTGGACCAGTGTGCAGAAAGCGTCTTGGGATGCCATCATTATGAAAGACGGCATGTCTTGCTGGTTCGAGAGACATGTTTCTAGGCTGATGTGGTCGCTTCAGAGTTCAAGAAGGCTATTCAAAAGGATGTCTATGGTTTTTTCAAATCAGAGGCGGTATATAAAGACCTGGGCGTCGCATGGAAGGTCCGTGCCCCTGCTATCCTGATGGGCGTCATTGAATGAAGCTCAGCGTGGGCTCATCATGCATGGTCCTCCAGTATGTCTCAGGCTTCGTCTATCTATCTGGCCTTGTCAACTTACTTGCGTCTAGGGAAACGGGAAGAGCATCACCATCAAAGCAATCATCAAGACATGCGATGCCCTCGGGTTTGCGCCGCTGTATGTCAAATCGTTCCAAAGTACGTGTCTTCGAATGAGATTCATACACGTGCTGAATATCTCTAGACTGGGCCGGCGAAGAGGCCGCCATGCAGGACGTGTTCGACAAAGCACGTCAATTCTCGCCATGTGTCATCATCTTGGAAGATCTGGACGCGCTCATCAACGACGGCAACCGGTCCTTCTTCCTCAACCAAGTGGATGGCCTGCAATCAAACGACGGCTTGCTGATTATCGGGACAACGAACCACTTTGATCGTTTGGATCCGGGGCTGAGCACAAGGCCCAGCCGCTTTGACCGCAAATAGTGTGTACTTGTCTTATCCAGTCGCTCCGTTCTGATCATCTTCCAGTCTGTTCGACGATCCCGACAACGAGGAACGCGCTCTTTACGCCAAATATTGGCAGAATAAATTGCGCAAGAATCAGGAGATCGAGTTTCCAGATGCGCTGATTAACGAAATCGTTGATCACACGGAACAATTCAGTTTTGCATACCTGCAAGAAGCCTTGTGAGTCGTGTTCATACTTGTGACTTCTGGCTGGCTCATCGCATTCTTTCAGTGTTTCAACTTTGGTCACTCTCGCGGGTTATGAAGGCGAAGACAAGCCGAGCTTCAGGGCCGCCGTGCTGGCACAAATCAAGGAACTCAAAAAACAGCTGGATAAACCTTCCCAAGGCAGCCAATCGGTTCCCGCTGGACCCAACTTCCGAGTGCTCTTAGACAGGCTCGCTTCGGCGAGAAGGCCGCAACAGCGCTTGAACACACTCGAAACCCCTGGACCTGACTTTCGAACGCTGTTGGACAAGATGAATCTTGAAACACTTCGGCCGACGGACAATCTGTATAATCTACAGGCATCGAGCGATGCCGACTTCCGTGTGATTCTCGATCGTCTGCAGGGCGTTCAGACTCCAGATGCTGTCAAATGGCTGGAGAGTCTCCTTCCCAAGCCAGGCCAGCCGATGTCGACCTCGTCATCAGCTTTGAGCGCTTACGATTCTTCGCTTACTTTGGTCAATCTCAATGACTAGTTTGCATCGATTGTTCTTAATCTGCAGGTTCTACAAGTACAATTGGATTTAACATTTCCTTTGGGTTCCCCTAAGCCACTGAGACGAACGCTCTATAGATTGTCAGACCGGCGTCACTCGTGTAAGTGATATCCGTGTCTGCGCCGATGAAAAAGACTTGTCCAAGTCCTACATCGAGAGGGGCTGATGCACCTGGCCAGCTCACCGCTCCGCTCCCGTCCGTAACGATGGCGAGACTGGGTCCAGAGATTGCAGCATGCTTGTCCGACGCGCCAGCTCCAAGAACGACTTGCACAACAGAAAATTCGGGTATCGGGGGATCGTACAGCGTGCTTGAGGCGCTATCTTGAAACGGCGCAGGCTTCACGACGTGCTTGCTCGGGGGAGAGGCCTCGTACGTCAGGCCCGAGATGAGATTCGGTACATCGCGCAGCTTGGGTGTCAGTCCGGCCCGGATCACGTTGTCTGAATTGGCCATGCATTCCATGATATCTAGCGAGCGGGATGAGTCTCGTCGTCAGCACCGATTCGCAGATTCTGAATGCTCACCTCCAGTGATATACGCGTGGGGCTCGCCAGCACCAAGGAAGATCGCTTCGCCCGGGCTGAGCTTTACATAGTTCAGTAGGTATGCACAGAAAATGCCGATGTCGCCGGGGAACTGGCTGTCGAGGCGGAGGACCAGGTCAACCACATCTTGCGGCTCTCCATCAGACAGTTTTCCGGCCTTGTAGCGCCCAACAAGGCTATCGAGCTTCGACTTGATTTGTGCCTCTTCGGCAGTCATCAACGCGGCAAAGAGATTCTTGAGGGCGACCTTTTCCTTCGGACCAGTCGGGGTCGATGACTCGGAGATGGCCAGGAACGATTCCGAAATGGATGTCGGGATCAATGAGTTGAATTCGACGGTGCTGCGAAGGTGTTTGGCGATATCGGGGAGGGGTAAGAAGCCACACAGTGCCGTGAATGGTGTCAGGGCCAAGGCCATCTCAGGCTTATGGTTGTCATCTGCACGGAGTTCAAGACAGGATACCCTACAGAGCCAGCGCAGGCGCACACCTTTGTAGACATCAGGCTGTTGGGCGAACAAAACCTCCGCTGTCGCCTTGTCGGGATGCGTTTGGATACTGAGCGCCTTCTCTATCGCGAGGACCTTGAAAAGAAACGGCAGGTTTCCACTGGCTGCCGCGAATCGATCGATGACCGCTTTGCCGATGAGATCAGGATGCGATGAGAGATAGTCGGACAGCGCGACCTTCTCGTCATCAAGGAGACGCGATGGGGACTTGGGATGTGTTCCCATCCAAAGCTGAGCGGAATCAGTCCCGAGCGCGTAGAACGCGATAGGCGAGAGTTACTTCAGCATACGGGGCATCTTCCTGCAGAACGAAACCAGGGATGTGCGATGACGATGCGAACTGGGCGACTTTCGAGATGGATCCGATTTTGCCCCAGTCGTATGTCTGGGTTGTCGGGATGATCTTGAAAACGGGTGTAGCCATGGCTGTGACAGATAAATGCAGAGATGTGGTCGACTCTTTGACGTTATGGGGCCGCTGTCGTCTCTGATCTTGCTTAAGGTCATCGTTGGAAAGGTTGCTCTCGATCCAGCCCACCGTCGGCTTTGAATTCTCAAGTGCCGCTTTCTGGCTGTGTGCTCTTGAGATCGGCACTGCAGTGGCCAGTTGAGTGGGCGGATTGATCAGAGTGGTACTATCAGCGAGGTACGTCACCGCCTCCGGGTTTCGCAATGCAGATCTCCGAGTAACACAGTTTGCATCTCTCCCGCTTATCCCTCCCTCGCGGTGTTGTCGGAATGCCATTCACCTTCTCTCTTGCGCCACCCCTCGGTCCCTACTCAGTCGGAGCGCGTACTTTTACTCAACGTGTCCAGCCATCAATCCAAGTCGGCCAAGCCAAGCTAGCCGCCACCAATGAACCCGCGCTTCTCTTGAACGAAGTTGCCTTCACCGCGTACTATCCCGCCGCCGTCTCAGCTGACGCTCCCAAAGGGTTAGATTGGCTAATCAAGTACGTCGTCGCCTTGGTTTCAGTTGCCAATCGCAGGGTTGCGTATCTGTTCCTTGGCCAGGCCCACCCGCGTCTCACACGAGGGATTCGCCCGCTTCTCAGGGCTTCCCCTGTGGCTCCTATGGCCCGTCCTCTATATCTTCGGCAAATTCATCAAGATACCAGCCTACGTCAACGCGCCTCTCTTGAGCCCGCCGGTAAAAAAGCAATGGCCGCTCGTAATCTTCTCGCATGGGCTGTGCGGAACACGTAATGCGTACAGTCAGCTCTGCTCGACTATCGCGGCTTCAGGGCGAGTGGTGCTGGCCGTCGAGCATCGGGATGGGACGGCACCGGCTTGTGTCACTTCGTCGGGCAATATCTTCTATTACCGAGAATCCGATATCATGTGAGTCGACCGGAAAGAGCATCCTCGTCCCTCTCTCAAACCCATGTTGCGCTTAGATTTCCGAACTCGAACAAGGACGAGGCCACATCACAGTCTCCTCCGTTTGCGCTTCGGGCTGAGCAACTGGAATTCCGACGGCATGAAATATACCGAATCTATCAAGCTTTCCGCGCACTAGTCTGCGATAATACACCGCTGGCAAGCATAGACGGAGGGACCCTGGACTCTTCCTGGTTCTCGACGAGCGACCACTCCCTTGTGGATTGCGATACCATCTCCCTCGCTGGACACTCGTTCGGGGGATGCACAGTCGTAAGTCGCATCAATCTCAGCTGGACAAGATCTTGAATTCATCTCACCCAGCTTTCCATTCTCTCAACACCGCCTCCTACACCGAGCACCCCTCCGCTCCCTCTCAGTCACGTTCTTCTCTACGACCCATGGCTTGAGCCACTACCGACGCCGGGACCCACTCCGTGCCGACCGCCGGAGAAGATGGTGGTCATGAACTCACAGGTGTTCACGCTTTGGAAGGACCATTTCTCACGCCTAGTGGATGTTGTTTCTGCATGGGCACCCGAAGGACGAAATATCCTGACATTCGGTGGGTCTCCATGTCGCTTTCTTGGTTCCGAACATCCCTTTACTCAACGCCCCGCTAGTTGGATCTCAGCATGCCGCGTTTTCTGATTTTGCTGTTCTCCCCTTTTTACGCAGAAAGTCGGGACTGTTGCTCATCAACCGTATCTCGACGCTGTCGTTGGCGTTTTTGGATGACAGTTTGGACGAGGAACTGCAAAAAACCCGCAGCGAAGCATGCAGACTCGGGTTATTGGCAAATTTAAAGATGGTCGGCCGAAGCGGGCGCTGATTGGGGATACTGGGGATGTTGTTATACATTAGAGATGTGGCTACCAGTACTTCACGATTAATATAATATAATCACAAGATCTGGGTATTCTGTTGCTGCATCTCCTTGGGGCATCCTGATCTCGCAGTGTGACAGGCGGAGTCTTGTGCCTTGGCAATGGCCCTCCTAAGGAACAGATGGTAACAACACTCCGTATTTCAAGTGGGAGATTGGTTTAATTGGCGGTTCTCGTTGTCCAAAAAAAGTGGCTCCAAGCTACAGTATATAGACTGGTGACCAGAACGACGACAAAGTTGGAAACCACTACCAAATGTCGAGGACGCTGACGCATCAGAGGTCGACGAGCTGCCCACCTCCCACACTCAACGCTCTTTCTCCAGGTGAAAAACAGCGTCTGATCCGCTCGACGCGGAAGATCCGGAATCTGCTGGGCGAGACCCCTCACTTCCCAGAGGCGTCGTTCGAGAGACCGAGAGCATCCCAGTGTCTCGGGCGAGCAAGCCACGACTCGGCTCCTCCTCGAATGGAACGGCCTAGACACCGTAATCGTGAAGCGGTCGTCCTCGGGGCGTCTCCGCAAGTGATCGCATTAGACAGCCCTCGCTGCAGCGCCCAGGCGTCCATCAGAGGTTCCTCGTCCAGAACACCTCCCATCTCTCGGCCATTGTTGCTGCTCCGAGTCCAGTCCCACGAAACCACACATGCACCAGTCCTGCTCGATCCCACACTGGTGAATCCGGGCCCTTCATTTTCGGCCCTCGTTGCGTCGCATCCGTTGCTTGCATCCGCCGTTGCCAGCCGATCCACGGACAGCATACATCGCGAACGAAGAAGAAACAAAGCATCCAGGGTGATGGGCGAGCCAACTCCTCCCGTCTTGAGGGACCGGGTCATAACAGAAAAACTTTTCCTGAGATTCGGAGTGAACAATCTCGAACTCGCGTTGGGTCCGAAGCGAGCTTGTTTCCTCCGTTCAGTAACCGTGTTGCGCCCCGGACACCTTCTCCAGTCTCATTCACCAGCCCAGCCTCGAGCATCTGCTCACCCCGCACTCCGCCTGCATCCTCGTTTATTCATCACAGAAATGCATCTTTCAATACGTTGTCGCCGGCACCGACATCGCCGCAGAGAAATGGCATCAATTGGAGCGGCGAGTGGAGCGAAAACATGGACGTGGTGGCACGTAGACTGCGCGAGCTAAGATAGCGCTATCAGAATTGGACTTTTCAGACGCACCTGTTCGTTGATTATGGACTGAGGGGTTGGCTGTAGTACGGTGCTTGTGATTGCGGAACGAATGTGCGTTCGGGAGATCCTTGCATTAGCAGCCGTGGGTTTATGGTCTCTGGCGAGGTTGGTGCTACAATCTTCGTGGATCTTGAGACGTAGGATTTCGAGAATGTGATGGGGCTCGGTAGAGCTACGCTAATTGGCAATCCCTTGTCGACAGAAAGTGCATTGGGCCCTCTCTGAGCTTGTGAGGGAGCAAACGAATTTGCAGATTGTGAAGACGTCGGCGTGTATCCTTGAGATTTGGGTGATTGAGCATCCTCCTCAGAGCTATCCACCCATCTCAACTCTCCACTATACAGGTTCAGCGACTTGGGAATGTTTCCTGGAGACAAGGATGATGAGGTATCTCCAATGTCTTGCGTGAGGTGCCGTTCGACGGAGTCATCAGAAGCGAGAGGACTAAACGCGTTGGGATTCCCGTTGGCTCGCATGTGGTTTGCCAGGAGAGTGTTAAGATCCGGAATAGCGGGATTGTCAATTTCTTCGTCGTGTTCGCCTTCAAGACCGATGTCTGATATCTTGGGAGTGTTGCCGTGATGATGTAAGAGGAATGAATCGTAGGAACTCAAGCTTGAGTCCTCTGCAATTTTGCGTCGCTTCGATGGTCGATTGTAGTCGGTCGGTGTCTGTAAAGGTGTCTCCATGCGCGAAATGAAGGGAGAGATATCCGAAGAATGGCTTGGACTGGTCGCCGGCGGAGATGGAAGGCACGAATCATCTATTCTTGATGAACACACAGTTATGCGATCGAGAAGAGCGCACTAACTAGAAGCTGATGATTGGGTGGCTTCTTGCTGTTTCTCAGGTTGCGAATATCCGTTGTAGCTGCTACCCGAAAGGCCCTCGCCAATGCCTTCTTCAGCACGAAGCAGCAAGGCTAGATCTTGCAGTTCACAAGGCTTCGTCTCCTCAACGTGTTGTGCAACATGATCAAGAAGTCTGTCATTTGTTGAGAACACGACATTACACCACTTCCACCGACAGGGATGCGTTTGTGAGAAGAACTGAGACATGGTTGAGTGGGTCTAGTCCAAGGATAGGATATGTTTGCACTTGTGTACGCGTTCTGCCTGCTTGTCCTTCCTTGCTTCTTCATTTTCCCTAGGCATCTCTCCGGATCGTTCTGACCACCTCGCATATCTTTCGTCCTACTACTGCCTCTGGACGCGATGGAAAAGACTGGAATCCAAGAGCCATTCGATCTTGTCCGACTGTCTCTCTCTGAACGCGTCTTTGTCAAATTGCGGGGCGATCGGGAGCTCACGGGCATTCTGCATGTGCGTTGAATCGTGCTGCTCACTCCTGTCTTTCTACAAGCGAGCTCAATAAGCTGTTGTACAGGCTTACGACGGGCACATGAATTTGATTATGAGCGATGTGGAAGAGACTATAATGATCGTGGAAGTGAATGACGGAGCGCCTCCAGGCCAACCGGCCACGGTCAACGTGAATTTCTGACGGTAAAGCGTGAAGCAGAGTGCTCAGCGTGGTTTGCAGGTGGCCAAACGAAAAATGGACATGCTGTTTGTTCGCGGGGACGGAGTCATTCTGGTACAGTTCACTTTACCATTGGAAGACCGACAAGCTCTGAAAGCCTAACGATTTAGGTTTCTCCGCCTTCGCGAAATTGAGGGGCCGTGCCTTACGATTCTTGCTGATATGCTCTCGGCAAATGTACAATATTACAGACTTGCAGGGCTACTGTACACACACATAGATTGAACGCCAGATTCTGGGGATGCGGTCAAGACACATGGGTAGGGGCTGGATCGGCGGATGGAATCGGGTCCGCCTCGCCAACGACTGTCCACGGCGAAGATATGCCCGACGACGGGGTATCAAGTTGGACGGGGTGAAGAACCGGCTGTGGCGGAATCGTATTAGGAATTTCATCGTCCGGTTCAGGAGCAGCTTGCCCAACAGGCCATGTACTGTCTCGTAGCCAAGATGAATGTATTATCTTGATCTGTGTCATATTTCTGAGAGGAGGTCGTTTAAAACGTGGTGACAGGCGTACAACGAGGTGCATAGGAAGTCTGCGTCTGAGTTTCCCGCCTGCATTGAGCCCATTCCAGATCTTTTCAACGTGATTTCTCCAGATCTCGTTGCTTGTCAGGGCATCGGGAGAGGAAAGAATGCGTTCGAGTTTCCGGCGAGAAGATGATGGCTCGAGGTCAGGCGTTCGTATCGGATCCGTTGGGGTTAGCCACTGCATTCGACGAGCATGGTAGAATTCTGGGCCCCACGTGGGTGCAGCAGCAGTAGAGGATGTCGAAGAATCGGAAGATTCGGATGAGGATAAAGGGTCGTTGTCCATAAGCCAATGAGACTCACGTGAGGTTTCCTTGTCCGACCTTGCCGTGGGTCGTGCCTTACTTCGTTTCTTGATCCCCAACCACCACCATCGTTTCTACACCATGGTCTACAAACACAGCAATCCATCATCTCGCTCGCTGTCGGACGATGAGGACGATGACCAGAATGTTGCCCAATACGAAGATTATAGGGACACGCTCGTGTTGTCTCCGGCACAATGGGCGCGAAACAAGAGAATGTCTCTTGTCCAGTCTACCGCGCCGCTCAGCCCCATCTCTCGCATTCCTTCCGAACTCTTAATCCAAATCCTGAAGAACGTTCACCTGGTCGCCGACCTGCACTCTGCGCTTCAAGTTTGCCGTACATGGTGCGAATGCTCGGTCGAGCTTCTTTGGCACAAACCCGCCTTCCCCCGCTACGAGACGTTGACGAAGATGACCACTCTTCTTGAAAGAGCGGACCAGACCTTCACGTATGCGAGCTTCGTCCGTCGACTCAACTTCCTCTCTCTCGGCAATGATCTCCGGGATCGCACTTTCACCACTCTTGCTCGATGCAACCGGTTGGAGCGACTGACGCTCGTCAACTGCGACCACATTTCCGCCGAGGCGCTTAACCAGGTCCTACGGTGCTTCACCAATCTCGTAGCCATTGACCTTACCGGGGTCATCAATACCTCTAATTCGGCTATTGTTGGGCTGGCAACTTCAGCACCACGGCTACAAGGAATCAATTTGGGCGGCTGCAAACGTGTTTCCGATCGGGGTATCATCTCCCTCGCCCGTCATTGCCCACTTCTTCGGCGGGTCAAGTTGAGTGGTCTGGAGCAAATAACCGATCGGGCCGTTTCGGCGCTCGCTCTGTCGTGTCCCTTGCTGCTCGAAATCGACCTCAACCACTGCAAACTCATCACGGACATCTCGATTCGCGATATATGGACTCATTCTAGCCACATGCGCGAGATGAGACTCTCTCATTGCCCGGAACTCACCGACGCCGCATTCCCAGCCCCGGTGAAGGCGGATGGAGGCGACGTGCCAAATCCATTTCCTACAATCATCTCCACAGATGAACTTGCTCCACTTGTGGTCGACGCTACTTTTGACCATCTGCGCATGCTGGACTTGACGGCCTGCACCCAGATTACTGACGACGCTGTCGACGGAATCATTTCTCATGCACCCCGCATTCGCAATCTCGTCTTGTCCAAATGCGGGCAGCTGACTGACCGATCTGTGGAGACCATTTGCAAGCTGGGCCGGTACCTGCACTATCTTCATCTTGGGCACGCGGCAAAAATCACTGACCGATCAGTGCGTACTCTGGCACGGTCGTGCACGCGTCTACGATATGTTGATTTCGCCAGTGAGTATTGCATCTTCGGATGAACCCGGGCTGATCGGAATCTGACAGATTGCGTTCTTTTGACCGATATGTCCGTTTTCGAGTTGTCTTCGTTGCCCAAATTGCGTCGTGTGGGATTAGTGAGGGTCACCAATCTCACTGATGAAGCCATCTTCTCATTGGCCGAGCGCCATGCGACCCTGGAGCGCATACATCTTTCCTATTGCGATCAAATCTCTGTGATGGCGGTTCATTTCTTGTTGCAGAAGCTGCACAAGTTGACCCATCTCAGTCTGACTGGAGTTCCTGCTTTCCGCCAGCCGGAACTGCAGCGTTTCTGTCGTGAACCTCCACATGTCAGTGAATCTATTTCCCCATCCAGTCTCTGCTCACATGTTCCATAGGAATTCAGTTCCGTTCAACAGATGGCATTTTGTGTTTACTCTGGTAAGGGGGTGTCGCTATTACGCGCCTTCCTTACAGAACTATTCGATCATCTCACCGAACTGAATGGGACGGATGATACCGAAGAGGAGGAAGAGGAAGACGATCTGCCCGCTGATGAGCTGTACCGCGAGGAAGATACACCGGATCCAGATGCGGAGCATTTTGAGGGAGAGGACGACGATGAGTTTGGATCTCGGAGGATGTTCTTACAGCTGCAGCAGGTCGCATCAGCTCGTGGGCACCGTGGCTCGACTTTGCCCACCAATCCTCCAGTCTTCGATGGCGCGACCCGACGTGTTTTCGCAACTCCGGCTGGTGATGTCCTCCATGGACGACAGTTGGGTGTAGCCGACATGCTCCCGATCATAGAAACTTCGCGCTCGCCGCCACCCATCACAGACCGTAACACCATGCACCGGACCGAAATCGGACACGGCAGACACATCCCTCGGCGTGGAGCCGCGCAGACTCCCCATCCTCGGCCACCTCTCGTCGAGTTCGATTCTTCCGCGTCGTCGGTCCCTGTTGCTGGACCTTCTTCTGGGATCACTCATCGGTCAACCGCACCGACTTCAGCATCATCGAGTGTGGTGTGGCCTTACCGCGAGCCCGTGTCTCCCGAACACGAGTCTGTGCTGCAGATCGAGCGCGAGAGCCGAGGCCGCAGTGTGAGACGCAGCTTGAGGAACACTATCACCGCAGCGGAGCATCTCATATTCGGCCGTCGGTCGCCGCCTCCTTCGACAGACGACGGACATACTGTCACTCATTAAATCCGGATTCTTTTCTGTCTCGAAGCATTTTCTACCCCTCCTCGCTGTGTCAAACATGTATTTAGGACCAACACTTGTACCTCCATAAACTATCCTCTCCCCTGCATAACTAGTTACTAGTAGATAGCGTGTGTCTGCACGTGCATGAAAAACGAACCTTGATCTAAGCGACGTCCTCGATTATCAGCCTTAGATCTGACTGTATCTCTGACTCAACCACTATCTCCTGATTGCTCTCGCGCGCACTCTGACTCCCTACGTGTCTCGTTCCCAGAGCGTCACGAAGCTTGAAGGAACTGTCTCGACCTAATGTCTAATCCTGCGAAAGTCGATCCGGCGCAAGACCCCGTCGTGCCGCTGCTGACCTCCATAGGTCTCAGCCAGCCCAAAGCTGTTGAAGCCGCCAAATCACCCAAGATCGCGGCTGAGATAAAGAGCATCATCGAGACGTACGCGCTGCACACGCGATCGGAAGCTGAGAAGCTCGACGACAAGCAGGCGGGACTTATCGTGGCATTTGCGGGACAAGTGGTCAAGGCATCTGGTAAAATTACCGAGGAGGGGCGCGCGTATGTGGTGCGCAAGATTGTAGGGGGTGGGCTGAAGAGCGTGGATCAGGTCAACGGTGCGTGTGCCTCCTGTGGTTCGTGCTGGCCTTAGGCTGAGAAAATCGAATCAGTCGCGTCGAAATATGTGGAGACCCATGCCTTTCCTATTGACGAGGCGGACTTTGACGCCAGCTGCGGTGTAGGCAAGTATTCTTTCTTCTCTGTTCACGACATCTGTTCATCGAAGATATCTCTTTGAAACGCAGGATTCAGTATCTCTGCAGAAGACCTGTACCAGAAAGCCTCTGCCGTGGTTGAGCGTGTCGGCGCTACGAGCTGGGCAGGGCTCTCTCAGGTTCTGACTGGAATCCGGGCGGAAGCCGATCTGCGGTGGGCGAACATGCTCGATGTGAAGAACACGGTCGAGAAGGTGTTCTTGGATAAGTTTGGACCTAAGACGGCTGCTGTGAAAGCACCAAAGGCCAAGGTGTGTTCCATCCAGTACTTGTGTTACATCGTTGGCTGAGATATCGCAGAAATCTGCTGCTCCATCCACTGCTGACGCCGCCGCAACGACAAGCGAGTCAGCTGCGAAGGAGGAGTCATCAAAGCGATCGACGTTCGATGAAGGTTTCCTCAGCTCGTTCCACAAGCCAGGCGGAAACCCGCAGATTAAAGCAGAGCTTCGGGAGAAGCATCTGGCAGCAACGGGCGGCAATGTTTACACGCGTTTCCCGCCAGAACCGAACGGGTACCTGCACATCGGACACTCGAAAGCCATTTTCGTTGATTTCGGGTATGCTGCGCACCACGGGGGCCATACATATCTGCGATACGACGACACGAATCCGGAAGCAGAAGAGGCGCAGTACTTTGAGAGCATCTTGGAGATGGTCCGGTGGCTCGGCTTTGAGCCGTGGAAGATCACGTATTCGAGCGACTATTTCCAGCAGCTGTACGAGCTGGCTGTCGAGCTGATCAAGAGGGACAAGGCATATGTGTGTCACTGCACTCGTGAGTTCGTCGTTTCGATGGGACTGGGCGGATGCTCACGCCACTTGCAGAGGAGGAGATCAAAATTTCTCGCGGAGAGAAGAGCGGACAGCTTCCCAAGGCCTGCGTCCACCGGACACGACCCGTCTCCGAGTCTCTCGCTGAGTTTGAGAAGATGAAGGCCGGATTCTACCGACCCAAGGAGGCCAACTTGCGGATGAAGATGGATCTGACGGACGGGAATCCGCAGATGTGGGATCTGACTGCATACCGGGTATTGGATGCATCGCACCACAGGACACACGACAAATGGAAGATCTACCCGACCTATGACTACACACACTGTCTGGTCGACAGTTTCGAAAACATCTCGTGCGTGAACACTTTCTGTCTGCGTTGGCGTTGCCTTGACACTGCCGCAGCCACTCTCTGTGCACCACAGAATTCGTGGCGTCCCGGCAGTCCTACGAATGGCTCTGCGATGCGCTCGAGGTGTACAAGCCACGGCAGTATGAATTCGGGCGACTCAATCTGGAAGGCACGATCATGTCGAAGCGGAAGATCCTCGCCCTTGTGCAAAAGGGCTATGTCTCTGGCTGGGACGATCCCAGACTGTATACTCTCATCGCTCTGCGACGGAGAGGCGTTCCCCCGGGTGCCATCACGTCTTTTGTCAGCAATCTGGGTGTCTCCACCTCGACGTCGAACATCGAGCTGGCGCGATTCGAGCAGACTGTGCGCCAGTACCTCGAGAGCACAGCTCCGCGGCTATTGATGGTTTTGAAACCGCTCAAAGTGACCATCGAGAATCTGCCAGACGACTATGTTGAGATGGTGGAAAAGCCGCTGCACCCGAAAGTGCCTGCTCTGGGCACGAGCAAAATCCCTTTCACAAAACATATCTATATTGACGCCGATGATTTCCGACTCGAAGACTCGAAGGACTACTTCCGTCTCGCACCCGGGAAGACAGTCGGGCTGTTCCAGGCACCGCACCCGATCACTTGCACCTCGTTCAAGAAAGATCCCCAAACGGGCGAAGTCGTCGAGCTGATTTGCCGGATGGAAGACATCGCCAGCGTCAAGAAGCCGAAAGCGTATATCCAATGGGTCGCAGAGCATGCGCCGTCGGGGAGTCCCGTGCGGATCGACGAGACGCGGATCTTCCACCAACTCTTCAAGAGCGACCAGCCTTCGTCCGACTTTTTGAACGACGTCGACCCCGACAGCCTCGAAGTCGTCAAGGGCGCGATGGTCGAGATCGGATTTTGGTCCCTCGCGAAGCGGTCGCTCGTCGAGGCCCGGGCAGAGAGCAAGGCCAGGACCGACAAGGCGCTGAAGGAAAGCGGCCAAGCTGTGGTGGATGACGACACACCTCGCGTCACTGCCGAGCAGCTCGTCGGAAAGGAATGTATCCGCTTCCAGGGCTTGCGCGTTGCGTACTTTGCCGTCGACAAAGACTCGCGATTGGGCTGTCTGGACGAGCCGGACGACGTCCCGCCTGCGCTCAAGCAAGGCGATCACATCGTCCTCAATCGCATTGTCAGTCTGAAGGAGGATTCAGGCAAGCACTAGTTGTCTTTATCAAAGTAGAAGGAGGCCCTGTTCCGATGTATGTAAATAAGTACAGAAATTATAACGCGTCTACGGTTCCGGTTTCTTCGAAGCCTGTACAGCAAACGACGAGCGCAGTAAACTCCCGTTCTGCTTCCCTATGCCCAAACGATTTAAAACTTCTCTCACTTCATCCGGTCTCGAGGGCGTCGGCCGGCGCTTGGACTTCGTCCGGGAGCGCGGCTGCATCAGTCGGCTTTCACCCCCAATCGAAGAGGCATGGTCCAGTGTCGACACCGACGGAGGCCGGACGAGAGCCGGGTTGGACATACTGCTCCGGCCCTCAAGCGCCTCTCGCAGATCAGTCACCCCGATCCCACGAGTGGATTTGGCCAAGCTCTGCAACGACATGTTGTCGATATGCATCAGCGCTGGCGTGATCTTGAGCAGTGGTGAGACCCCGTCGCCCCTGACCGTGGACTCGAAGGTCGTCGACCGCTCCACGGCTGTGCACACGTCAGACGATTCTTGTCGCGGTGATAGTTCGAGCGGGACTCACAGTCTCTCAGCGCCCATTCTGGTGTCCATTCCACAGCCGAAAAGCGCGCCAAAAGGGACTGCATGTCCAGCCCCATCGACTCATGCACCGCCGGACACGCACAGATCGCATACAGCGCTTGCTCCGAGCTGATTCCCGTCCACAACTTGGCGTCGCCGCCGCTGGGCACAGGAATCGGCTCATATGCAGGATGCATCGCAAAGTCGAGGTCAGGTGATACAGGTAGATCGTCTCCTGTAGGGACAGTAGCCAATGCCTGCAATCACGCCTTCAGTGGGACCCACAAATGTCAATCCGAATGAATATCTACCTTGTTGGCCAAATCCACCAAAGCAGCGCATTCCCAAATCTGGCCGATGGTCAACCACACTTTGGCAACCACAATCCTCAGAGCGTTCGCTCGCAACACGGCTTCCGGGTCTGCGCTGTCAGACAACGCTGTGGCTTTGTCGAGTGCGAGGAGCATCGGTACCGACGTGATGATTCCACGAATCGGGAATTCCCTGTGCACTGTACATAAAATGGACACCATGTTTCCGTAGTCGGACAACGATGCCGAAGCACCGGCAGAGATGCGAGACGGTGCGCGTTCGAGCAGTCGCTGCACGACAGAGACCTTCCGCGCTCTCGGCACCTGCGAGCTGACCGAACGCCGACCGTGGCTGGGGGCATTCAGTTCCGATCCTTCCGATGCAGTTCCTTCTGGCTCAGACGTAATGGGACCATTGGACATGGATCCCTCGGGAGTGGCTATGCCCAGCGTTGGCGAGGTCGCAAGGGCATATACATGGGCATGGATAGCATTCAGAAACTTGGTTCCAAAGTCGCCCATATTCAGGAGTACCGAGACATCCGCCGAGTGGGGGAAAGGCGAGTCCACGATTCGTCGTATGCGTTTGACACCGCCGCTCTCCGTCTTGTCCCCCATTGCAGGAATCTCGTGCTCGAGGTAATAGATCAGGCCCAATGAATAGTCCGCCCGCACACCGTAATCGCCGTTACAAAGGAGGCTCAGAGTGTCTTGCCAGATGTCAGGCGGCACTTTGGTTCGCCGTGAAGCACCGTGCGCGCTCAGGTCTGGGTTTGCTATCTGAGACGCTGGCGAGGCTACTGGTAGAGACGACGATCGCCTTCGCCGAGGAGGATCCGCCAAAGAGCGCTCCTTAGCGGCTTCAACCTTCTCAGCTGAGTGGATGAGACCAAGCAGCCCGCTGATCAACGAACGCAGGGCTTGAGAGCGACTCTGCTTGCCCAGACTAAGAGCACCCTGAACCTCGACGGCCACTATGCGGTTGATTATTTCGCCCTAAATGAAAAGATTCAGCAACACAATCCACGACTACGAATGTGACACTAACCGCAAGGTCTTGGATCTGGTCAGAGTAATATACGTGCCTTCCTAAGGACGATATGCACTCTACGAGTGCAGGTATCAGCGGATCCCCGTCCTCGAAATTGGTCCGTAGTAGCAGGTTCATCAGGTTGGAGATGACATCAGAGGTGGAGAGATTTACGAGCGGAGTGCTCGAGTTGAAGACAGCTGTGACCATCGACGTCAGGGTCATCAGCATGAGGGGATTGCTGGCGTTCTGATTTTCACATAGCCTTTCCACCAGCCATGTCGGGATCGCATATCGATATTGGTATTGGGCCCACTCCACCGTCGTCTTCGCAAACCAACAGCAATGCTCAGCCTGATCCCATTTTTCCAACTCCAGGGTCAAGCTATCCAGTGAGGCACGCATGATATGTCCCAGTTGGCTTCCGCTTGCATGCTCGAGCAGACAAAACAACGCTCGCAGGGCGGCGTTTGACACCTCCGATGAGGATGGTCCCGTGTCGCCGTCGACGTGGACATGAATCGAAGCTGCTCGTCGTTCCAATGCAGGTCTCGTCCGGAATTCAGCGAGATACGGAGAAGCGGGTGCCTCCTTGACTGCGTCTGCTCTGTTGGACAAATGAGAGGACTCCACGATCGAAGCTCCAGACTTACTGCTGCTCTAACACGTGTATGGGTGCTTGGAAAATCGTATCCAGAATAGGTTTCATCATAACAGCAACTTGGGCGCGGAATTGCACAGAGTCGTTATACAACGCTTCGGAGTTGAGAGCTCCTGTGAGCGCGGCCAATCCAATCAAACGCGTCCTACACGTCTCTCGGATCAGAGGCAAAGTAGCAAGATAGCTGGACGTACCGATTTCGAACCTCCTGATCCTTGGATTTTGAACAACTCAGGTCTGCAAACGTCGCTAACGTCGAAAGGTACTCCTTCGTCATATTGCTGTCGGCGCCGATCAAATGTCCGTCCGTAAAAGTCGTCCATGCCGTGAACTACAGACGTCAAGTCTGAGCGTGGAGATAGGCTGCCAGCGGAACAGAGAAACGCACCACACTAGCAGCTCGCGCCACAACCTCGAGGTCGCCCGGCACAGCATTGACCGTGGCAGCAATCGAAGCGATAAGTGGTGGGGAGAAGAGACCGATATCGCGTCTACACTCTGTGGCCAGGGCCCGAAGTATAGCGAGTGTTATGAGTAAAGACCTGGTTGCTTCTGATTGATTACGAGAACAAGGGATGAGAAGACTGCTAAACACGTACGCTCTCATGCGCATGTTTCCGGACTGAGCTTTCCTAGCCTCTGCCTTGACCCGTTTCTCCAGTTCGCTCCCAAACTTCGCCAGCTTGCCAGGATGATTCGAGCTGAAGCACACATTGAGAAGACTGCGGTTTGAAGGAAACGGCCACAGACGCATAGTAGGTCAAACGGCTTAATTCTTGGGAGTTGGGAGAGTAGTCGGGTCCGGCGGTCAATAACTAGGGCGACACAACGTCATGACTATGAGCGCTCGTGGAGCTCCAAAACGGGACATACGGAAGAAGTCGGCGGATAGCATGAGTTCAAGAGTGAAATATGATTTGGAGTGAAGAGAAAGTTCATGTAGTTGGCGATTAGTTGACAAGATGAGGAGGTATTAGGAGCGCCCGAGGGGCGTGCAGAATGTACGAATAGCCTGGAGTTGGAGAAGCGTGGGAATCACTCACGTGCTGAGCATCTCGCACATAAATTTGCGATCTTCCCAGTCTTTTGCTTGTACAACCACGGTTCGCACATCGACAAGGTGAGATTTCAAGTGTCCCTCAGCAGCTCATCCTCTTTCTTTTTCTGTGATGATATTATTGCTGTGCACCAGGCCAAGTCTGCAATGACGACAAACACCCTGGCCCGAAATCTACGCTCTCGTGCCCTGATTCCCTTGCCTTTTCTCCTTTGCATCCCCGTTTGGACCGTGTCTGACTTGTTCCCAAGTGAACGCTTCTGTTTTAGCAAATCTATGTGGAATTAAAGTATCGTGAGTACCTTTTCCGGCCGCCTCTCCGCATTCCTGTCCCATCTCGTGATGAGTTTTCGCTGTGCACCAGGCCAAGTGCATGTCATTGACATGTGCAACGACGACAAACTGCCTGGCACTATTATACGCAAACGTGCCCTGATCTTTTTCCTCTCCCGTCACTCTGGTATCTGCCGATCTCGAACTGACAAATTTCTCAGTTCTATTTTTTTTTTGTAGTTTTGTTTCTTTGGAATTTAGTGCTGTCTCCAACAATCGCATTTACTAGTCAATTTCAAATCAAGTAGTTCTAGTAATATATTATTGTTTCCAAACGAAGTCAATTCGAAGCAGCAAGTCAAGCCGGCCAAGGAAGTTGCCCAGTAACGAAGTGCAAGCACGAAACGAAGTAAGCATGTAGTGGGGGAAGTGTAGTCACTGCTAGCAGCGCAGGGTATCGCTTTGGAATATACACAAAGTATGGGGCTACACGGGGGTTGCAGCCAAAATACACTGGAGATGATGATGAGATGCCAATATATCAGTGTGAAAAACTGCAATTCAAAGGAAGGGATGATCCTGGCGGATCCATTGGAAACTCTAGAAAGAATGTGAGCCGCGGCGCCTGTGCCCTGCGAGAGCAGAGCGACGACGGTTCCGGCGGGGTTTGCAAGTAGGCACATGTGAAGCGCTGGAGGTAGCACTGCTGGTGACTGTCTTGGTGGAGCTGGTGGTTGTAGGTGTAGAAGTGGTGGTTGCCTTTGTCGCCTTTGTCGAAGTCGTCGAAGTCGTCGAAGTCGTGCGAGTGGTCGCAGTCGATGCAGCCTGCACTCTCGCGGTAGTACCAGCTTTCGGAGAAGTGCCCGACGACGATGACGATCCACCCGTGAAAATGTCATTCTGTGCGCCTGTAATTCGTTGAGCGTCGAGCAGATCAACACAAGCCAAGCCATACCGTCAGGGAAACCGCAGTTCGCGTTATAAGCAGGGCTTTTGAACTCTCCAGCATTGTCATATCCGCTGACTTCGATGTTGTTGCCATCAGCCTGATTCCAGTAGATCATCTGCTTGGGACCCTGGATAGAGCAAAGGCTCAGCTCAAGCTCAAGGACAGGTGGCGAATGGCTAACCTTGGTACAGGAGCTGGGGTCATCTTGGCACCACACCGGCGGCTGGGGAGTACCGACAGCCTTCGTCGAGGAGGCTCCGGTGACAGTGCAGCGGTATGGGAGCATATACATGTTAGGCTGTCCACAGCTGGAGCGGAGGCGTCAAATGGTAGATTGAGGAGCGGGTGAGGTCCACTCACCCGTTAGGAACCTAGTTGGCAACCAAAGATTCAGGACTGCTTTGATTCGTAATGATATTCAGGAACATACCCATCCCCACTATGCATCATGTCAGAAATATGGCTACTGAAGCAGGTTCGAACACTTACAGCGCAGATACAGCCACCTTTCGGGCAAGCGGGGAGGTCAGCCGGGACATCGTAGCTAGTCACACGTTTCCAGGGAGTGCTGAGATATTTTTAATTTTGAAGGTCGGAATGTCACTGATCAACCCACTGATAGCGAACGGTAAACACCGCGAGATTATCTTCCGTAACCGCTTTAATATCGGACTGCAAAGAATCAGTCACGGAACCTGTAGGATTAGCGCCACCTACGGTGTAGGAAATAGCAAAAGCAGTCCCGGCCGCCATAGACTGGTTCTGGGTGTGCACTATGGGTCGCAAGTCAAGAGAGAACACGAGAGGGAAAAAGGGTCGAACTGTTTGGGGAGATGATACAGGTGTCCACATTCTAAAAGCGCAGTCTAGAGCAGTATTATGACCGATAACCAGGGAAACGTACATAATTTTCTGGGTAAGTCTTGCCGTCGGGCCAGTCCGAAGCGAACTTTCCACCGAAAGATAGGGACGTTTCGCCGCGGTTGGAAGCGATTTCAACAGTGAACGAACCACCAGCAGGCCTGTCACGGAGGATGAGATCAACCGCAGCTCCAACAACATCACTTACAGCTCGAGGAAGTCACCTGGAGCTGGGGGGAAGTTGTCGACTCCATTTACATGGTGGACTAACGTAAATTTTAGCGCACTGTACGTTCGTTGCGAGGGAGCAGACGTACACCACCACTGAGACTTGGGGAGCTGGAAGAGAGGATATACAACGTCTTCTTGGTTGAGGTCGTTTTGCCCAGAGACGCCCTAGATGAATAATCGCGTTGACTAGACTGCGGCCCTCGACGATTTTCCTCGACTTACACCAAGAGCATACATGCCCTTCGCGAAGGCTGCTAGATGAGCGTTGGCTACGGTCGCCACGAGCGCCAGCACAAGGAGAGACGCGAACATCATCGTTCAAAAAGGAGAGTGGGTGCCAATAAAGGCCGAGAGAGTGAGGGAGAGGAGGGAGAGGAAGAGGAGGTTGCGGTTAATCTGTGATTCGGTGATTTATTCGGTGATGCACTCTCAGTGCCATCAGGATCACGTGCGTAAATGAAATTACGCATAGAGTTGACAGATAGGGGTCCCGGTCTCGGCTTAACCCTGAGAGGAAGCCCGGCCCCCGTGCCACGTAGGAGGCGAAGTACAACTGGCAGTGTTGGCTCTACAGCTCCGTATTGGAGGTCCTTCGTAGACTTCAGTGAGCTTGGAAATGACATTGAATGTCAAAGTAACCAGTTTGACCGTCTTTGCGCGAGTCCTAAGAGTGTCCTGAGTCGTTAGCAAATAGTTCCGCATATTGCGATCTAATCTGATGGTGGGGAATGATAAGATTGTGTGCAAGCATTTTGTGATTGTGCAGTACCACGTGAGTTAAAGTATTCACGTGACTATCGCACCCAGAAATCCGCACAGATTACCAACTCGTTTTCCAGTTCCCAGTCCAGTACGACGTTCTGTGTCCTGCTCGTTCATTCCCCGCTGACCGACAACTTCTTGCAGAAATATGGCTTCCAAATTGCCAGCTGTGCTGAGCGCGACCGAGGAGGAGATTCAGCTTCTGCTGGCTGCGCAGTGCCATATCGGCACGAAAAACTGCGACAAGCAGATGGAGCCCTACGTGTGGAAGCGTCGTTCCGATGGTACGCTGCCCTTGACTCAATCGCTTTTCACCGTTATGAAACAGGTGCATTTGCTCAGGTATCCACATCCTTAACATCGGCAAAACCTGGGAGAAGCTCGTGCTTGCTGCTCGTGTCATCGCTGCCGTCGAGAACCCCAACGACGTCTGTGTTATCTCTGCGCGTCCCTACGGTCACCGTGCCGTCCTCAAGTTTGCCGCCAATACTGGTGCCCAGGCCATTGCCGGCCGCTTCACCCCCGGTTCCTTCACCAACTACATCACCCGGTCGTTCAAAGAGCCCCGCCTGATCATTGTCACCGACCCTCGCGTTGACCACCAGGCCATCCGGGAGGCGTCGTACGTCAACATTCCCGTTATTGCCCTCTGCGACTCGGACGCACCGCTCAAGTTCGTCGATGTCGCTATCCCCACGAACAACAAGTCCCGTCACTCCATCGGTCTCATCTGGTGGCTTCTTGCCCGTGAGGTCCTCCGTCTGCGGGGCACAATTCCTCGCACTTCGGACGGCTGGAACGTGATGGTGGACATGTTCTTCTACCGTGACCCTGAAGAGGTCGAGAAGCAGCAGAAGGAGGAGGCCGAGGCCAAGGCTGCCGCCAACGCTGGAACTGAGGAGCAGGCCCCAGCTGAGTGGGACGTCAACGCTGGAGCCGGTGGTATCAACCCGGGTCTTGTCAGCGACGGTGGTTAGTACCAGATTCGGCAGGGTTTGATTTTCGCTCATAACATTCTCAGGTGCTCTTGACTGGGCTGCGGACTCTGCCGCACCTGGCACAACTGACTGGGCCGCTGAGCCTGCTGCTGGTGGCTGGGCTGCTGAGCCTGCAGCAACGAGCGGAGGAGGATGGGAGTAGGTTTTGGTGCTGTAACACTATTGCCTACAACCTCAAAACATATGCACTTACTCTCCATGGGTTTCGCGTAACGTACTTATGATGCATGATCTCTACTATGGCCAAGGTCTCCACCATCTGAGTCTGCTATGTTGCTTTTATAGCTGCAGAAGACCATGGGGAACAGGTTTGATGTACTGTATTATATTGTAACATCTTCGACTGTGGCGTCGTATTCGGAGGGCTACAGTCTTTGGGCATAGACTAGTGCTTCAGAACGGAGAATTTGTACGTCGATTCCCAGTTGTAAGCGCGTTTAGGGCCGTAAATAGGATCGATACCGAATTCGGGATTGTTCACTGCATCTGCAGCAGCAGTCACCATCTGCCTCAAACTGGATCTGACCAACGCACCGATGAATGATTCCTGCTCGACAACCAGGCAAGAATGATCCGTGTACGAATGCCCGGGTCCTCCTTGGGTGGCTTTGCGTGGGATCGGTAGGTTGGGGTTGAAGATGCCGTTGCAAGTGTAGACCTGAAGACGTCAGCATCCGGGGAGTAACTCCATTCGTGAATCTTACCTGTAACGCCGGTTGATCTGTGGTCACTTCCAGTCTAAAGGACTGTGATTCAGCTGCATTATTTCCGAGTAGGATGCCACCGACTTGATCCCAGAATTGACGCTCCACATCGAGAACACAGGATCCCTTCCGTTGTTGCGGTCGTAGATCCAGCAATTGTCGAATCCGACGCAGTCTGTAGACAATGTCAACGGAGAGGGCACGTCAAGACGATCCGGACACGCACTGGTGCCGCAATACTCTGCGCCTGTTGTCGCATTGACGGCTGCACCCAACGACTTGGCCTTGCTGAAGTCCAGCGGCGTGCCTCTGGTTGGAGTCAATTTCCCGGTCGGAATCAGAGCTCCCGTGGTCGCGACGATATTGGACGAATCAAATTCCAAGAAATGCCCAGACAAGTCTTGCGTCTCTTGGTAGGCCTCGAGGTTCCAATAATGATGACCGCTGAGCATGATCGGAGTGAGTTCGGAGGCGGTTGAGTGCATAGTGATCTTCCAAGCCGCCCCTTCATCCAACTGTTCTTGTGTAAGTCAGAGTCGATTGAATCATCGTGCATACTGACAGTGTACTTGACGGTGGTGTTCACTGTTCCAGGAAAGCCCTGGGTGCCATTGGGATCGACCAAGAAGAAAGTGACAGAATTTGCTTTGCGTTCGAGGACACTCCAAGGGCGCTGATCGTAGCCAACCAAACCACCGTGGAGAGTATCGGTACCGTTGTTTTCATTCTCGACAATTTGGAATTTCTTTCCGTTGCCCGAAGCGTCCTTTGATATGGGAATCGTAAACGTTCCGTTTCTGACTTGGTTAGATCGTCACTTTATATCCAGCATCTACTGGAGCGCACCTGATTCTATTCGCATATCTGCAAGAATGCGCCGAGATGAGTGAGCGCACACAACACTGAAACTACCGCTCACCGTCCAACTACGGGTCCAAAATACGGATGACCTTTCGCTTGACTCGCGTAAAGTGTCTGTGAGAAGATCAACTCTGCTACCTCCTGTGCCAAACAATCTCACGTGGTCATCGAATCCCAGGAGGATGTCGCGAAATTTCCCATGCTTGTCTTTCACCCAAAAGTTTGTCGTGGTCGCCCCAAAGCTGCGAGCATCAGTACTTTCAGATGCAGTCAGTAGCAGAATAGATGGTTCTCACGCCATCAAGTGAGCTCTAGCTGAGCCATCCGGCGCCTCAAGCTCAATCGGTGACAGCGCAGATGATGGCACGTTCTATGGAATTGGGTGAGCAAGGCTAGAATACTGCAGTGTCAACAACTGAGTCACGCACCGTCACACTTTGAGACAGTGCACCCAAGACCAGAGCGGTCAGCAACAGCAATCGGAATGTCATGGAGAAAGAGAGAGGTGGTTCTGCAGAACACCAGACCTGCGTTTTATGCGAACACCGCGTTTTTCAGAATGCATTCCTTCTTCTGATGCGCTCTGACACCCTGGGGCATCTGAGAGAACCAACACAGGTCACAATGGCGGTCATAAGACCAATGCCTACCACTGCAGGCCGCCCGGCGCGCTTGCTCCCGTGATTGGACTTCTATAGCGCGTGCACTGCGGTCATATGACCGTGAATGCGATCACATTGCAGCATCGTACAACATAAAATCAGACCAGTGTGTACCACACGTCATTTCTTCTTCTGGAGCATCTCGTATACGTTGCTAGTGGTCGTGTTCTTGACAACAGCGTATTCCCTTTCGGAAAGTCGCTTGCCGGCACTGATGCTGTCGGTAATCCAAGTGGGCCGGACAACATATGGAGCTCGGCCTCGGGATTTGAGCAACTTGTCGGTTTTAGACCCGCTTAGTTGCATAGAAGTTATAATATGAGTAGCGTTGCTCGCAGTGGGGCTGCGTAAAGATAGATATCAACCAAGACACCAGGCAATTCGTCGGCACTCACAGCACTTCCCCACCCAAGGACGCAATAATCCTCTTCATCTCTAAATCCGTTGTGCCGTCTAAATACCCGTTGATGTAACACCGCACGTTCATCAACACTTGCGGTTGGTCTGGCTCCAGGCCTTCCTTCGCTTGGACATTAATCTTCTTCGTCCGAGACTTCAGATACGCGCGACGCCCGGACGAAACACCCTCTGCAACTTGGTGTCCGGTCGATGTCGAGGTGACGGGGGCTAATGGGATATCAGATCATGTTTGCCTTGACTCGAAATCCGAACCCCAGTCGGTCCTCCTCGAAGAATCGATGACCCAGGACTCACTTGCACGTTGGCCACTGTCTGAATGCGTGATAGGGTTGGACTCATTTCCCAGCGTCGACAACAGAAATGCTGTTACAGCGGCGCCAGACGGCTGAGACTCGCTGAAACAACATTGGGCGCACGGAAAAAGAGCAAACGATGGAATACCTCGCTTTCGACGCGCCTTTGCCTTTGATATCTCTTAATGTGTAAGGCTTGTACTTTCTTTCGTCACGTTTCGTAGTCTTGTCGGGGGCGTTCGTTGGAGTAGAAGATGCACGTGAGTTGACAACAGGAAAGTATGCCTCCATGTGGTTATCGCAGCATCCAGGGTGTCCGCAGAACGCGTCAAGACGGCGAGTTGTTGTTTCAGATTCAAAAGACAGGGGGATGCCCACGTGAGTGAACGTGAACTAATAACCGGTCTCACGTGACGGTGAGGCTTACCCGAGTTCGAGACAATTCACCTCAAGCGTCTATGCATAATTGTACTAACGAGGAAAATGATGTCGGAATATGTCCAAGTGCTGCAAATACCAAGCCAGGAGCCCAGCTCGAAAGCCACCATGAGCGATAGATATGAATCATGATGATTCGATTTTCAGCGCCGTGTCTGATCGGAGAAAAAGCGTTTGATGCGTGCCATCATCCACTTCTGGTCTGGTTGTAAACGATCGTTCTCGATTCGCACCATGTCCAGCCGCAGGACCTACAGAGATGCTGTCGATAGCCTCAACTCTCTACAGACAAACGCTGCTGCTCTGGAGGTCGTCCGAGCGTCTGGTGGGCGGTCCAGCGCGTTCGCGATCCCTGAAATGATTGAATACCTGGGTGTTATCGGATACAAGGCGTGTTTGCCCTCTCTGTAGCCACGCCAGCGTTAAACCCCAGTAGCCCGCCGACCTGAATGCTCTGAACGTCATTCATATCACTGGGACTAAGGGCAAGGGATCTACGAGCGCTTTCACGGACAGCATTCTCCGGACGACGCGCCCCGAATGGAAGATCGGTGGGTCGTATATCTGTGCAAAGGAGCGGCTGTTGAACTTTAGACGTGGCCTAGGTCTGTACACCTCTCCACACTTGGTCGCTGTGCGGGAGCGCATCCGCATCGATGGCAAACCGCTCTCTGAGGACGATTTCGCCAAGTTTTTCTTTCAAGTTTGGGATAAGATGATTGAGAACAAGGTCTGCGCTGCTGATTCCCCGTTAACCCATTTCTGAAATGCTCCTGCGCTAGACTCGTGTAGAAACAACTCCACAGATGCCAGGGTACTTTCGCTTCCTGACCCTCGTCGCGTTCCACACCTTCTATTCGCTTAAAGTCGATGCGACGATACTCGAAGTTGGTATCGGTGGTACCCATGACAGCACGAACATCGTTCCAAGACCGATCACCACCGGTGTCACCGCTCTCGGCATTGACCATGTCAGTGTGCTGGGCAAGACAATCCCGGAAATAGCATGGCAAAAGGGCGGGATCTACAAAGTAGCGAGACTCGCCTTTATCCTCATGGATCCTGAGCTCACGATCTGTAGGAAGGAGTCCCGGCGTTCTCCGTAGATCAGCCCCCGGAAGGTCTCGAGGTTCTGCGACAGCAAGCTAAAGATCTTAAGGCAGCGAACTTTACCGTCGTCCCCGTCATGCCTGAACTATGCACACTCAAGCTTGGTGGGAGAATCCCATCTGCTATTCTACCTCCAAAATGAACGCTCCCCAGGATTGGCCGGATCGCACCAGATACAAAACGCATCGCTTGCAGTCCAACTGGCTAAATCGTTCCTGGACGTCCGAGGGCACCCAATACCTGAGGGCCCTCTTCCAGAAACCTTTTTCCGGGGTTTGGAGAATGCACGGTGGCCGGGACGATGCCAGACAGTCGAAGATCCAGTTCATCCGAAAACAACATGGTACCTCGATGGAGCACACACTCTCGAGAGTCTGGAATTTTGCATCCAGTGGTTCGTCAGTCCGGGTGTTGGACTTCCCACCGAGAACAGCAAGAAGCCAACCCGGGTGCTGATCTTCAACTGCACGAACGGCAGATCTGGAGCTGCGTTTCTCGAGCTGATGTATACCCACGTGGCCTCCCGCTTGGAAATGTTCGGGTCGAAGGAATCTGTCGAGACATTCTTTGACCAGGTGATATTCTGCACGAATGTGACCTACGTCGACGGCGGCTTCAAAGGAGGTGCGTGACTTGTGCAAGTCAGCTTTCTTGTCTGACGTCTAATTTCCGTTGCAGATCTCACCTCACTTGCCATCCCCCAGTCTGATCTGACCGAACTCAAGACCCAGCACCAGCTCGCTGCTGCTTGGTCAGCGCTGGCCCCCGGTTTCCCTGCAGCCAATATTCACGTGCTGCCGTCCATCGAACACGCTGTCAATGCCGTGCGCAAGCTGGAATCAGAGCAGGAGCAGCTCAGTGTGCTCGTGGCAGGCAGTCTGCACCTCGTCGGAGGTGCCATCGAGGTCGCTGGGCTGTCGTTTTCGCTTTAGACTGACTGACTAGATCGCTTTCGTATATTGCTATCATCCATGCCTTCAACAGGTTGTAATACACTATGTACTCACTAGATTATACACTAACGCCTATTCCGGATCGTCTCTCCGTGAAATGAAATCGCCTGCTTATCCAGGAAGTCGCGGAGTTGAACCCGAAAACGGCCACTGCATTTGTTGTCTCCTCCAGCAATACGAAGGAATGTATCAAAATGAATGGGCTTTTTCGCGTCAAATGAACGTCAAAACAGAGTAAGATTCCAAAGCGGGCACATACCTCGTAACGGAGAATTCTTTGGTACAGGTCCCAATCATCCATGATCCTAGTCCTCAGATCGCTCTCCCATTTCTCTCCGAATTCGTCTTCGATTGCCTTTTTCCTCTTCGCCCTGGGTTTCTTGGCCGCAGGTTGTACAATTGGGGTTTGAGTGGGCTCGTAGTGAAGGATAGCGGAATCTGCAGTTTGATCTCCGATGGGTACAGGCTTAGGACTCCGGCGACGTTTGGTCTTGGGCGAATTCTTCGGGGAACGATCGTTTACGCTGAGGGCGGCAATGGATTTGAGAAAAGCAGAGGACTGTCAGTCATTAGCACACTCGAGAGCGAGAACCAAGCGACGCACATCGGATTGCACCGGCAAAGCGTCGTCGTCATCTGAGTCAGAGTCATACCCCCATCCTCCACGTTTGACTTTCGCACCAGCGAGACGAGAGCCCAACCTCGATGGTGCGAATGGTTGCGTCGCTGGTGGCACGTCCGTGCCAGAAGCCTCGCCACCAGAGAAGTGTTTTTGAACTGTGGTCCCTCGGACAGCCAGACGAGGGGCCAAGTTGGATGGCCCGAACGCTTGCGTAGCTGGCGGCATATCCACAGCCATGTCTTCATCGTCCGACAAGTTTCCGTGATCCGGAAGGCCTTCAACAGCCTGCGTCTGGATTGGAAAGCTCGATCCCCCGACAGCTGTTTTGCCAGCCAAAAGTGTCTTAGCTCTGTGTAGTATGTTTACGTTGTTCTCTGAGGCATCCTTGATGTGGTTGACAGGCTGCTGCCGTTTAGCCTTGCGTTTGGGCGCGGCGCCTTTCACGACTTCGTCGAGCAGCGTGGAGACTACGGCGTAGTGGCTTTGCCTTTACCCTTAGACGAGCTTGATTCGGCGGGAGGTGTGATGTCCAGCCAGTTTTGGATCATGATCGCCACGACCTCTTGCGAGTACCCATTCTTCTTCGAGCAGGATCGGATGTGGGCCAGTTTCTGCACCGAGCCCTTACGGACTGTCCAAGCTAGGTCGCAGCTGACGCATTTTAGAAGCTTCGCCAGTTCCGCTTCAGAGAAGTCGGCAGGAGCAATCTTAACGCGCTTTTTCGCAGCTGCCTGACCTGCCTTGACGGGAGGTTCTGGGATGACCTGAATGCTTGATGAAGAGGATAAAATGGTAGACGAGGAAGCTCGGGATTGGAGGGGTCGAGGATTATTGTATGCGAAGCGTGCCAAGTTGAGGGGAGGTGGCAAATCATCATCATGGGGATTACTATCCAGCTCGATGATTTGGGTATGAGGAAGAGAGATCGGGGATAGATTTGGGATACTTGAATCTAATGGCGTTGTAGCACGTGGGGCTGCACGAGTGGGAGAGGGTGTGTGGGCGGCTTGGCCTATGTCTACGCTGCTCATACTACTATCTGCAACCTCTTTGTGAGAGAGAGAAACTTCGTTAGAGCAGATGAAGCGCACCGCTTATTGCAATCACCCTCGAAGACGACGCAGATTTCGTTACTGACAGAGATTCTAGTGGGCTGGAAGCAATGCTTGAATCTTCCCATCCTGATGAGCCAAGCTGAGAAGTGCGAAAAATCCGGAGACGAACCTGAAATATCGATGATTGGGACTGAGAGAGCCGCCTCCTTCATGGCGAGTTTTCTGCGCTTGCGTTCAAGCTTCATTGTCTGACGCAGGGCTTCGATCTCAGGTTCGGAGTCCTCAACTACTTCATCCTCTCTCGGGCGGTAAGTCGCGTGCGGAATAGTCGAGAAATCGAAGTTTTGCATGACACAGTGGCGGAGAGGTCGAAAGACGCGCCAAGTGGACCTCAAGGAGGTGGCAGCGTTCATTCAGCGGCGCGTGTCACACATCCCGTGCGCCCGTGATCGTGACGCTTGACTTGCCCAGCCCGCCGCCCCATGCTCTCCTACTGAGGCTTTCAGACTCCAGTCCCTCCGTCTATCCACAGCCTATCGTACACAAGCTATCTCACCGGCCGCAAATACACGACCATTTCCTATCCCGGAGCTGTATTCAACGGCGACTTGTTCGTGAGACTTGAATCATGAATGAAATGAACAGACCCATCGCCTCGGGGCCCACTGTGCAAACAGTCTCCACCGAGGAAATGTACCAGGTCATCACGGGGGCGTCATCGCAGGATCCGACCGTGTTCCAAGCGTCGGGCAAGCGCCTCAAAGAGATGCTCGAGATGTTCGGTGCCTACGACGCGTTGCACGAGATCGCCGCGCAGAGAAACGTGCCGGTCGCGATTCGCCAGCAATCTATCATCCAATTCAAGAACGCTGCTTTGCCGCACTGGCGCTCTCGAAAGTGGGTCTTCGATCTCCTGCTCAGATGGATCTGGGTTGACATGTAGGTCGGAATCAGGATATTGTCCGATGAGCAAAGAGTGCGGATCCGCCAACGGTGTTTCTCGTTCTTGGACGAACCGGATGAGACGGTATGTGGTGGATTATGTCTTTGTTCCCCGCGTCTCAGTCGCCGTAGATCGCAGACTGCAACCAAGTCATAGTTTCTAAGATTGCCAGAATCGACTTCCCTGTTAATTGGTACGCCACTACCGAGCCTCAATCGTGCCCGTGCTGAACCTTTGTAGGTCCAATCTTGTGGACGAGCTACTTAAAATCATCGATACGACCCTGACTGCTCGGTCGGCGGACCCTGCCAATGACAACCCACAAAATGTTCTGGTCCTGAAACGAAGCCTAAAGATTTTCAACGGGATCATCAAAGAACTCGCAGCAGTGAAGATGCCGTCCGGTGTCAAAACGATGGCCATGGCAAGTCCCAGTGCTGATCCTCGCCGGCTTTCCTTTAATTTATATTATCGCAGGTGTTGACGAGAGCACAAGGCCTACTTGCTGGATATTATTCCGCGCTGATGTTCTCTTCATACATTACTCCAGATATGAGTGCTTCGCTCTCCATTCGTGGCAACAACGACATCCTGCTTGCGCACCTCGTTTACAAACCTCTCTCGAAACTGGCTGTTTGGCTGTGGAACCGGTTGGACAAAGGCGGGAGGGAGGGACTCGATCTCGAAGCGGGACGACTATGGGTACGGACCAGTTTCCTTTTGGCTGTCCTGATGATGACCTGCACATATCAAAGGTCGGGTCCTTTGTGGAAGGATCCAAGAGTGCGCTGCAGCAATTGGTGGCGTGGAGGATAACGATTCTTCAAAGTTACAACACGAATCCCTTTGCCGTAGCAGCTGCCGACACGCTGACACGACATATCCGGCTACTCGGGAAACTCTTCAGGCGATTACAAGAACTGTCCGCGGCAAGATTCACCACAATCCCTTGCTCCGCAGAGCTGGTTGCATACTACTGGCAGCAAGTTGTCCAGGCCACGCAGACCCCTGCGTTGATCAAAGGTGGCCAAGAGCCGGGTCATTTGGACGTAGTTAGTTTCTCACGGCCGATTCTCAGATTCACCAGAGGCCATATATCCTGTGCGCTTTCTAGTGCAAGGAATGGTTCTGTTCAAGGAGAATCTAGCTCAATGGAAGCCTGTTCGGAACGACGGCAGCGCAAATCCAGCTTGTGCGTGCCATTTACTGCTCAACCATACTGCCAGGGCTCAGCTCCTCGTTCGTCAGCGTTATCCGCGGACGACGTACGCAATGCTATCGAAACCTTGATAACACAGTTCATGCCGCTAAAAGAAGCAGAACTGGAGGGCTGGGTGGCTGATCCCGAGCAGTGGGTCAATGACGAAGTCACGGAAAATGACCAATGGCAATTTGAGATCCGGGTTCGTGAATCTTCGCATACAAAGGGATTTGATCTTATGCAGACGCAGCCCTGCAGCGAACGGGTTCTCATGCAGCTTGCTACCCAATTCCCCGATATCGTTCGCGTGCTATTACTGCAACTGTATAACAATAGTGCCAGTAAGTGCATATGAGTTGTCCCTAAGTCCTACGTCATCTTTGTACAGCTCAGATCGCGAGTGACCTGGCCGGTGTCGTCAAGAAAGAGGCTTTGTACTGTGCGATCGGACGTTGTGCCCTGAGGCTGAAGGATGCGATTCCGTACGAAGCATGGCTGCAGACAACTCTTGCTGAAGAAGCCAAAAGTACCAATCCAGCGTATGTCTTGGTTTTCTTCATTTGGGCTATTTTGTTCTCACTTGTGCAGTTACCCCATTATCAAACGTCGGATTGCATGGTTGCTGGGAAAATGGGCCTCTCAACAGTGTATATCACCGACAAATCCTCTCTTATGGCAGGTCCTGATGCATCTGCTGCGGGACCGTGGACCAGGAAGCGATCCTGTCGTTCGACTAACGGCTGCGTTTGCTCTCAGGGAGGCTGTTGACGTGAGCAGATCTTTCGTTCGTGCCAAGCGGCAGCAACTAATCCTCCCCTCAGACTCTCGAATTCGATATCAATGTCTTTTCCCCGTTCCTTCCCGATGCTGTCTCCGAGCTGGTCCGACTGCTGGGAGAAGCCGATACCCTAGAAATCAAGCGCAAGGTGGATTACGCTCTCAATGTCGTCATTGAGCAATCGGGAGAGAGGGTATGTCCGCTTGTCCGTTTCGTTATGCTATGGCCTAATGCCGTTGAAAGATATCGGAACTCATGCACATTATTGCCACTCCGTTGCCAGATCTTTGTACGTGATTCCAGCATATGATCTCCCGAACTTGGCTAAATGAAGGTTTCCTCAGGGATGGGTGCCACTGCAGCAGAAGACTGGCTGTTCAAATCTACTCTCCTTGAGACGTTGGCCAAATTGGTCGAGGTGGGCTGAGCGCATTCTTCGAGATGTTCGCCCTACTGATCTGCTCTTAATAGGCTATCAAGGCTAAATCAGCGCCTCTGGCAGTCCTTGTGCAGCCTCTTGTGACCGAAAGTCTTGCTCCTGGGGCTGCAACACATCTCGACGAAGACGCGATGGCGCTCTGGGTTACGTTCCTGCGCAATGCAGGAACTCTCCCTGGAGATTCCCCAATGCTAAATCTGTTCCCAACTGCCATATACTATCTTTCCAATCAGTTTGATATCCTCGGCAAGACGCTCAATATCGTCGAGTCCTACCTGCTGCTGGATTGCCCCCACATTCTGCGAAATTTCTCGCGCGACCTTTTTGCTGCATTTGTCAAAGCGTTGCAGAGCTCAGCGATAGTTGCCGTGAACTCCAAAGATATCTTGTTGACGATTAACCTGATCGTGCAGCTGGCGCCGGCAGAGTTGTGGGGCGAAGCGATGCATGCGACGGAGCTTTTTGCGCATTTGATGTCGAATGTGTTCGAAGGAGAGTGTGGGGCATTGCTATTGACCGAGCATATCTTGCTCATGGCCCGGATCGTCATGGCCGATCGGCAGATGTTCTTGCAACTGATGAGTGCCACTGCGACACCCGCATTGACCGAGCAGAAGTTGTATGAGAAGCTGTTGGATCAGTGGTGGGGCACTGTGAGTCATGTCTCCCGGTTATCTCTGGCTTTTGATGCTGATGATTGAAACGAGTGGGACAACATGTCTGAGCCGAGGTACCGCAAGCTTTCGGCTATGGGGATCGCAGCATTGGTGTCAACCGCACGGCCCGATGTCCTGGAACGTTTGCCCGGCGACATTTTCAACATCTGGACCGATGTGCTTCTCGAGCTCAAGGAGGCCCAGGAGGCACCCCAGCAGGAATTCGAGTGGGCGGCCATCTCATCTTATCCTCTCTGTTCTCGCTGATCGTTATCTTATCTCCAGTACTAATGATGGCGATGCACAGCCACTCAATCTGTTGCGCCATTGGGAATTCAACGAAGCGCCGACGACGTTCTATGATGGCACCGAGGGGACACCAGAGTATGAGCGTCGAAAAATGGTAGGCTGACGGTGTCATGCAATTTTATCGCTGACCGTCGGCAGGTCTACGAGCGGGATCCTGTGCGGACCTTCCAGCTGACTGCATACATCCAAGAGCACCTCGCACAGGCCCGGAATAATTGCGGACCGGACGCATTTGACGCGAATTATTTCAACAAAGCTGATCCTGCAGTCCGGGAGATGATTCAAAAGCAGTTGTCGTGATTATTGAGCAGGCGCCTCCGATGAGGATAGAATTGCCGTCGACTGTAGCTTAGTTTTTGTGCGAAGAGGAATGCCGTTTGTTCTCCGTCAAATATGCATGCCGCATCTCAAAGCGAACTCGATATGCATAAATATACCCAGAGAGGGGAGTTCGCCATTGAGTGGTGATGCGCACCGCCACCGTGACATCATTCTCTTTCTCATCTCTGTGTGGTGTGAAAGGCACGACCAGATCTGCCTCGGCTTCAGTGCAAGAAAAACCTGGCTCTCTCTTGTTCTGCCGCCGTCAAGTCGTATCGGGCCTGGCTTGGAGAGAGAAACTAGTGACCTCTGTAACGCGTCGTATAAGCACATCCTGCCACAAATCGCATTGAGAGTGCAACGTCTTGGGACCCAACATTGATGTGCTTGGTGTCCAGGTTGTCCGAGACAGTTCTTCAGCGAGCATGGTCCTCCGCCAGTGCATCACATCCGAAGAGCATGCAATCTGCGCCCCTCCAGCTGTGCATGACGGGGCTAGACATGCAGTCGCTTTGGGACACCTTTCGGCTGTGAAATGGACACCGAAATTGGCGCTTGAAAGACTGGGAGTCTCGATGTGCCGCGGCACCAGGAATCGTCCGATGCGTGCACAACCGTCACACTGTCCGAGACGTACGACGACGGGATCTCGCCACTTCGAACCATCTTCCGAAACGTCCTTGCGGAACTGGGGTGATTACTGGAGTCACGAGGTTGTCGAGATGTGAGCAGCGAATGCGAACGGGCTCTCGTTCGGTTCCGCCGTTTGGCAGTGCATTGGAAGAAGGGAGTAATGTTCCGAGTTGTCTGGGTCGGGGCCAACAGAACGGCAGTTCACCGCGCCCATCATTGCTTTCCAGGCTGCTAAACGGCTGAAACAGGAACACTAGACTACTTAAGATCCCTGTAACGGTCTACTGCATTTAAACAACACAAGAACTGGATCTCTCCTCCGTTCTTCCAGATGCGGTCCAGTCCGATGATTACGCGACTGCGTTTAGTCACCCCTATAAGTGGGACCACTTTTGATATTTTTTCGGAGGTTCAAAAGAACTGTGTCAGACCGCTCGGTGCTTGGCAACCACCATGGATTTCGTCCTCGACATTCTCGACACCTACGTCCTGGACGACCTGTACGCCAAGGTCATCCCTCTCTCCGCATTCGTGCCTTCCGCCAATGCTTCCATTTCTGCTGCTGCCTCCTCCGCTTCGCAATGGGAAAAGATTGTGTCCTTCTTACCCCGCCCTCCCATCTCCATCGACGACGCGTCGTACTCTACTGTCGCACGATCTATCCAACTGTCCGCATGGCCACGGGACTACATTCCGCGCCAGCTGCTCTCACTGAGCGTGTTCACACTCATTGGGATCCACCTGCTATACTTCATATTCGCGTGGCTCTCGTACAAATTCATCTTCAACCACGAGATGCGGCGGCATCCTCGGTTCCTCAAGGACCAGGAGAAGCTGGAGATCCAGAGCAGTCTGCGCGCATTCCCGATGATCACACTGCTCACACTACCATGGTTCCTTGGTGAGGTGCGGGGGCACTCGCGCTTGTACGATGGGCTGGACGATTATGGATGGGCATACCTCATCATCTCACCGTTCATGTGCGTCTCCACGAATCTACTTCGAGTGACAACGCGAACTAATGCACTTCACTCTTCACCGTTAGTTTCCTGCTGTTTACCGATTACTGCATCTACTGGGTCCACCGCTGGCTGCACATCCCCTTCTTCTACAAGCGACTGCACAAACCGCACCACAAGTGGATCATTCCCACGCCCTACGCGTCGCACGCATTCCACCCCGTGGACGGCTACTTGCAGAGTGTGCCGTACCACCTCTTCGTCTTCATCCTCCCGCTGCACCGGCTGCTCTATCTCGCGATGTTTGTGTTCGTGAACTTCTGGAGCATCTTCGTGCGTCGATGATCCGCGGGTGCGGGCGTGCTGCTGCTGACCCGCTTTGTGTGTGTTGTAGATCCACGACTCGGATATGATTACGGGGCATCCGCTCGAGTCTGTCATCAACGGTCCTGCCCACCACACACTGCATCACATCTACTTCACGGTCAACTACGGCCAGGTGAGCGGCATTCGGTCTTGTGGTCCCTCGGCTGTGTTCCTGATGCGTGAATAGTATTTCACATGGGCTGACCGCGTCGGGAAGTCCTACAAACAACCACAATCGCATCTGGACCCGCTGCTGGAGGTCAAGAAGACGGAGTAAAAAGGCTGCGTGCTGAGTTATGCATATATATGATTATAGAGAATAATGGGCGCTCTGTCTTGATGCATTGTAATACCACTAATCAAATACCAAACATGCTGTGCCATCATCATCCTCTATTTGCCGCCTGCTGTGCGCTGCTGATTCCGCGAAGCAATCTTCCGTCGCGCCTCCTCGTCGAGGTTCGACCAGAACGCGATCTCTTGCTGGGACTTGGGATGGGCGCCGAGATTGGCTGCTCCCTGGGCTTGTCATTAGTTTGATCCCCGCCGAAACACGCAAATACGCACGCTGAGGCCTTGCAACAGTTGCTCGTAGATGGCGGATTGCGCAGTGGCTTTGGTGATCGGGTCCTGGTTCTGCTCCGTGTGCCGAGCTATCAGCCTTAATAGCTCTTGTCTCAGCCGTAACAGACTGGGCCAATTTCGGTGAATGGCGGCATCTTCTGAAGCGAGACGAAAACGCACTTGGAAAAGATCATCGTCTCCTCGGCTTGATCGGTCAAGGTCACGAATGAGTTGAACATCGCCGTGTACCGCTGGCTTATCTGGTGACATTTTAGTTGTGTGTCGCCAAGACTGAAACAGCGCTGATGCTCACGGTGGCGACTAACGCGTCGGTAGTCGCAACAGCCCGGCTAAAGTAACCAGCGGTTGCTCCTTCCGCTAATCTCTTCATAGCCTCAACATGATCGGCCATTTCTTTCTGGAAAATCGGCCACATCTTCAACCGCAGTGTGAACACAAACGATTCAGCCGGCGGACATCCGCGCTTCTGGACTTCCTCCATGATGCATTCCGTCAATCGGATGATGGTCAGCAGCGGCACAGTAGGTGGCATGGGCTCGAGCGCAGTCGCAACAAATGACTCGAAACCAACATGAGCAGCGGCACCAGGGTGTGGATAAGGCACAGACATACTTGGATGTACTCGGTGACAGGGTCCATGATCTGCTTCCAAATTGCGTCCATCGAAGCCTGTTCCTCCTTGACAGAAGCTGCGAGTGAAGCCAAAGATTGCATCCCATTCGCACTGATCACACTGGACGCACGATGCCTGTGGCGGGCCGGACCACCCAACTCTGAACCCGCGACGGACAACCGCCTGCTGGCAACCGCTGGTGATAGCAGCATGGGGAAAGCGCTTCAGTCTCTTCCTTCGTGTCGAACAGCGGCTCAGATGTGAAGAACGTCGAGATGAACGTGTACTCGGCTGTAGAGTTATCCATGAAGACCAGAAGAAGCGATCGCACTAGTGCTTCAAGAGGTGCTTTCTATGGCGGATTATTCAGAGACAGTCAGAATTTCAAGCAAAGCAACCAACAAAGTTCTTGTCGTCTGCAAGGAAAGCGAGTGTGACTGGAGGCCCTTCTAGTTTGGCATACGCTAGCCGATCGGGGTCGCTCGTTGTGTCCCCGCTCACGACTATGGTCTCTAGTTTCTCTAGGGTGCGGGTCTAAAGTTCTCGTTAGCTTCGTTGCTTGTGCTCACGGAGACGCACCTTCACCCAGCCCAAACTTCTCGCGTATCTCCGAAATCCGGTCTCATAGTACAGACGCGCAGCGCCGACGTAGGACCGCTGCACCTCATTCGCCACTGTTGGTGCTTGCCGCTGGAGGAACGCGAACAGTGGCCTAAATTTGATGAGAACCGATGTCTGCATGACTTGCATGTTAGTCGTGACATTGGATCTTATGGGCTGGAATAATGCGAGGAAGAAGGCACGAAGCTTTGTCGCGGCCTGGAAATATCGTTGGATACGACACCGCTGGGCTGGCGTAGACGACGTACCACTATCCTCAATCCTTCGATCACTTCTCCAAGATCGCGGGCGGCCTTGACACGCGTGCGGTGCTTCGCTGTCTCCAGCCGTCTTTCAAACTCCTCGATGCCCAGTATCCAGTGCTCTCCCACTTCCGAATCCAGAATGAGCGCGGCAAGATGTGGTGGGATGATGATGTCTGTGATGAGATTCGAAAGTGGTTTCTCTATTTTCTGGTAGCGCACTCAGCACACGAGCTACTGGGAACTGGGAGTGACGGCCTACCCTTCGGCTCTTGAGCCTATTTTCTATATCCTTGCTCCGGTCTTGCAGGTCCGATATTTGCCCGGACACTGCGGAGAGGTCTTTTTGGAATGTGGATAGAAACGTTTCGAGCGAGTCGAGGAGGTTGACGCTAGTCTAGGATGGAATTGTTCAAATATGAGGCCATCCGGAGTTCGGGAACACTGAATGACTGACTTGCACTTGATCATGAAGTTCGACATATTCTCGAGCCCTAGAAAGGTCTTCGGAGCGTGAACGCTATTGTAAGGCGGTCGGACAAGTACACACGGAAGCTAGACGATGCCTGGGAAACATTGGTACTCTGGGCTGTTCTACACCTCTCCATCAGTGTCCTATAATGTTGGAGAGACCATACCAGTTTCTGACATGGGAGTACTTAGCAGAGTATGTGGTAGGTGTCATCAATTGAGTCGCGATCACGTGAAAGATGTCCGGATAACGCGTGATTTGTATTAGCGCGTTAGAACTACATTCTATAGATGATAATCGGCCAATCGAGGTGCTCTCGCTTCCCAAAGTCTTCCACAGCCCATTTGCAATTTTCCAGTTTCCTCTGGCGTCCCTATGAAGTTGGATGTATCCTGCAGGTCAACATGCGGCTGCTGATCGGGGCCTGTGGGGTCTCTGAAGAGAATCCAGGACCACTACAGACAGATTTTTCAATGAACTTCTGCAAGACCCATTCTGAGTGCTTCAACTCACCAAGCCTGTGGTCATGTGTATTCCAAAAGGACCAGCCACGTATTCAGCTGTCGCAGCTTCGCCAGCGATCAATGATTTGATGTTCTTGACAGCGACTTCGATTTGTCCAAAGGCAGATCGCGCATTCTTGTTTGCGCCGGTCCCAGCAACGTCACCCACAGCAAAGACGTTTGGAAACCTCTCATCCTGGACCTGCATCGTGGGCTTCACACGGATGTATTTGTACTCATCAATGAGATCAGGCGAGAGTGATGTGATCAGAGAGCTCATGGGAACCGCGCCTGTGCACGAAATCTGAGGACAGTCAGCCTCCAACTAATTCTGGGATGAACAACCATACGGCGACATCAGCGTGCAATTGCGTTCCATCCGCCAGTCCAATACTGTAAGAAGGACCTGTCACCGGATATCGGCCAGAAGCGGGTAGCTCGACCCGTTGGCCTAGTACGACTTTGACTCCTAATGATTCGAGCTTTTTCGAGACGAGCGAATGCAATTCAGGATGGAACCGATTCATCAACTGGTCGCGCGAATGCACGAGTGTAATGTTTTTGGAGGGATAGAATTCTTTTGCATCCGTCGCAGTCTCTTAAAGCCGGTCAAGCACGAAGCAAAGATGTGAACGACAGCACGTACGGATTCCAGAAGCGCCTCCGCCGATGACCACAACCTCAGACGCGTCTTTCACGCGTCTTTGCAAAGCTTCCTGGAACTCCACCTCCTCTGCCTTGTTGTGTGCACGCGCCGGATACAGTCCTGTTCCTGTCGCGATGACCAGATATTCGTACGGTATCGAGTCCCCTGAATCCAGCACGACTCTATCGGGGAGAACCTGGGCGACGACACCATGCACTACGGAGGTGGAGCCGGAGGGCGAGGCGTGGAACGCGCTGGTGTAAGGGATATATGCTTTGTGCGCAAATCCAGGCACAATGCTGATTCTAGGGAATGCAAAGAGGTGCTGCGCGGGGATGAGATTTGAGCTTAGTAGTAGAGCGGGCAGGCTTCCTAACCTCGAAGTGTGAATTCTTCTCTATGAGTATCGTGTTGTGCGTTTCAGAAACCTCTGCCGCGATCAAATCAACGAACTTCAAGCCTGGTTCAATACACTTAATGACCTATTGCTGCAAGAGACGAAGGACCAGGGTACTTACCGACATAGCTGCCGCCGACCACGACAACGTTGGGTTTGTTCAAAGTCATGAGAGCAATATGTATAGATCCGGCAGACAAAATCTTAGGGCGACGACGAAGACGACGGTGAGGGACAAGTTCGGTACAAGCATTGGGCGGATCTCAGAGTATAAGTACAGGTGATGACATTGGAGGCTTACGCGGGTTGCCACGGGCTGACGAATCTTATCAGATAAAATGACACGACATTTGACATGGCCGCAGTCGAATTAGCTACACAAGCGCAGAACTAAGGGAAGAAGTACTGAAATGATTGGGCGGAGGAGCTTGCTGACGTAGTTCTGAGGGCTCAGCAATTGTTTCGCGAGAGTTACCGACAGTCGGTGGTACACCCCCTTCGTCCCTCTCTTCATCAGAATCTACACCCAACACATCCGTCTCGATTTCTCGGTCATCGGAGACCAGAGATTTGAGAACATCATCGATATCAGCATTCGATTCGCGGGTGTTTGCAAGCCAATGCTTGCTGATCATCCAGCGGGAAATTCCTTTAGGAGGAAGCGGAGAATCTTCTTTATGAGGTCCGGTGTACCGCTCACGTCGGCCAGCCCCACGCTTCGGGCGATTCTCGGCATCGGCGGCGTCTTCGGCGTCCAGGAGTTCGTAAAAGCGTAACAATCGTGCACTACGCCAGGCATAGCCCCGCGCGGTGAGAGGGCCAGAACTCCGTGGTCCGCCAGGGTCACCGTCAAAGTCCGACTCTTCGGAAGACATGCACTCCACTTGCATTGCCGCGTCATAGGTCGTATCATGGAAATCGTTTAGCTTTAGCCGCGCATTCGCACGGTTGCTCAATTTCTGAAGCAACCTGAATAGAGTTTCTTGACAAGCTAACTGGACGCGCACCGTGTTTCGTCGATGGAGGTGCCTCGCTTTTCTGGCCTTGGCATCCTCTCGGTCCTTCAGCCTCATAGCAGCATCCACATCACGCTGAGCTCGGAACTTCTGACGGAAAGTTGTGAACGCTTGCTCGAACGCAGCGTCTACGACCTTCTTGTTGAATTCTCGTTCAGGGACATGCTTATACATCCGCCGACGTTCCCTGATGTCGTCTGTAATGCGTGCTTTCATCCGGCCATTGTGAGCCGACTGCTTGCTTGTTTTATCCCATACAAATCGAACAGGGTCTGAGGGTTCCAGGTGGTCTCCTTCTTGATGCCCGTCAGGGAGGTTCTTGTCGTCAGCCATCTCCATGAGAAGAAGAAAGTGTTCTCGCATGGCACGCTGAACTTGATGACATAGGTGACGGATGAACGCAAATGAGCAACTCACGTGAATGGTAAGAATACGCTTATCTCTATGGTCTAGTCGCCTTGGTCTAGATCGCGAGCGCGATGACGAGCTTCCAGCATCGCGATCATCTTCACTGCTGCATTCGGCACGGGACCGTTTTCTCCCGCGAGGCCGATGTTCCTGGGTGTGATGAGTGCTGGACGATAAGGTTGCGAGCATCGGAGGGAGGTCTGGAGTAACAGGCTCAAACGAAAGTGGAGAGGGATAATTGGGGGAAGCTGTCGCCGAGGGAGAGTGTGTGGCATTGCCGAGCAGATGCTGGCGCGAAGAGCCTTGTACAAACTGTGCCGGATGGGAAGACATCGCGTGAGGAGAGACCGGGGAAGACTGTTGGATTTGAGACTGAATTCGAGGTCGCGTAGGAATGGTTGGCGGGACCTCTACAGCGACGGAAAACAGAGGAGAGCGGTTCGGGCTCAGATGTGCCTTCAGCTGGGAGATCTCGTTCCGCATTTCAAGCAGTTTACTCTCCATCTCCACTTGTCTTTGAACGTATTTCGCCTCCTGCTCCTGCTCCCAAGCGAGGCGACGCGTCCGTTCAAGATCATGGGCCTGTCGAGTTGACGCGACCAACGCAACTAGCTCTTGCACTGCTGTCAGAGCACCTGAGGACGGATTGAGGCGAACACGACTGATAAATTGGAACAGGTGAAAGATCTGAATAGCGAGAAGCAAACCTTGGCTGCGGCACTGGTTCGCTTATTGCATGTTCAAGCTCACTTCGAAGTTGCGGTGAAGACTGATTAGACAAGGTCGGAGTGGACGTGGGTGTAGATGTCTGGGCACTATTCGCAGCATGGATTCTAGGTCTGGAATGAGCTGCATGCGGGTTGAGGGCATCGGACAGTTCGCTCGTCGGCATAGATGATGCGATGCATATGGCGTGGAGGAGTCCACTGGATGTCGTCACAATATGTGCACACAGATCCATCAAAACGCGTACGCGTCCCTCTTGACTTATACACCTCCCCTGCTTGAAAACTCTGAACAGGCCATGGATCCCGAAATGGAGCGCCTCATGATGATGCAGGAACGTGGAGGACAGCAGAGGGCAGATGCCACTACGCCAGACAAGTGCGTCCCAATCATACAATACCGAGTCGCGAAACTGATGCAGACCTCAGTGGCGAAGTTGTGCACATCTCTTCTCTTGCATTGCTCAAGGTTCGCTGCTCTCTATCCATACGCTTCTTGCCTAATCATGTCCAAGATGCTCAAACATGGTCGTGCTGGTGTACCTATGGAAGTAATGGGACTTCTATTGGGTGAATTCGTGGACGAGTACACGATCCAGATTGTCGACGTCTTTGCCATGCCCCAGTCGGGAACGACAGTCAGTGTCGAATCCGTTGATCACGTCTTCCAAACCAAGATGCTCGAAATGCTCAAACAAACTGGACGGTATGAACCCTCGAATTGACGATGTCCTTAGGCTCAAAATGGACATATTCCAGCCCTGAAATGGTCGTCGGCTGGTACCACTCCCATCCAGGTTTTGGATGCTGGCTATCCAGTACGGACATTAACACTCAACAGGTACTGTGACAGCAGATCTTGTGTGTTCTGGCTAATCACGCCGTCCAGTCCTTCGAATCTCTCAACTCACGTGCCGTCGGTGTTGTCATTGACCCAGTCCAATCTGTGAAAGGAAAGGTCGTCATTGACGCATTTCGCTTGATTAATCCCCAAACTGTGCTGAGTGGCCGGGAACCCCGACAAACCACGTCTAATATCGGGCACATCAACAAGCCCTCGATACAAGCACTGATCCACGGCCTGAACCGCCATTACTATTCGATCGCCATCGCATGGAGGAAGACGGACTTGGAGCAGGCTATGCTGATGAATCTTCATAAGCGTAACTGGACCGAGGGCCTCAAGCTCCGAGACTTTGGCATGCATAAAGAAAGTAACGAGAAGGCAGTCAAGGTCTGTTCTGGTTCGCCGGGCCCAGTCTCGGTCACGGCCTGGATCGGCCATTATTAACCACTTTCCTCCAGGCAATGCTCACCCTGTCGGAAGCATATAACAAATCGGTACAAGATGAAACGACGCTTACGGCCGATCAGCTCAAAACGAGGCATGTCGGGAAACAGGACCCGAAACGGCATCTCGAGGAGGCCGTTGAGAAGGCTATGGGAGACCAAGTCGTGCAGAACCTGGGCACTATGCTTCTCGCTGAATTATGAATCTGATGTTCTTCTCGTAAGTACCACCCGGAGTCGTTTTCGATGGCATTCCAGTCGCAGTCCGTGATCACGACCGTGAATCAGCAGACCCGAAACGTGTTGAGGCAGATGATGGGAATCGGAAGCATATTCTATTGGGGCATCTGTGGCTACTGGAATGTAGATAGCCACTCTCTCAGCGGACCCTTGTCACTCCGATGCCCAGACGTGCCCTAGCAGCGGGGGGAGCCGAGCGTCGAATGTTCCAAGTGAATGGCGGCCAAGCCGCAGGCGGGGCGCGTAAAAGCCAAGTTCAGATCATTGTGTTGCGTGGTCTGCTAAGAAGGGGAATCACACCCATCATCTTTGCACGCTTTATAGCTTTGGCAATACGGCGCTGACTTTTGGTGGTCAGTTTGGAGGAGTTTCGCGGATAGATCATGGCCATCTCAGACATGTAGTGTGAGAGGACATCGGGTTGCAGGGCGAACTTGATGGGATCTATCTGCAGTTTGTAGAACACGTCGGAAGTGCGCGCGTCGCGGGTGGTGGGCGCGACCTTCGCAGTTTTACGTCCGAATCGTTGGGGTTTAGAGCGACCTTCAAGACTAAGATCGTAGGGTCGTATGAACTGGGTAATTCTTCATCAGTAAAGGCATAGGGACCTATTTCTCGGTAGGGACACACTTGGTCAGCGTTGATGAGTTGGTATTCACTAGAAGGAGCATTTTTCGCTGTTGGAGTACTGTGAGCGTCTGTGAACATATCCTGCAGCAACGAAAGCACCCGTCTTGCTCGCGGCCTCCCGCTGATTTTTTTTTGCACCCTCCTCCCTGAGTGTACTTTGGAGCTGATCCAATGGGCTGCTATCATTGTGTTGGGTGGGCGTAGCGGAGAACGGCCGCCTGCAAAGACCACGGCCGAGCGAACATGCGCCACGAAAGACGCGTAGTGATTGCATGAGTTGGTTGAGAAGGTGATTGGGACCCCGAACACTCCAAGTGATCCAAGATTTGTTGGCTCAACTTGGGTCACCCGTCAAAACCGAGGCCACCCTTGACCACTCCCTCTCCTCCAACCGTCTGCTCTATCCTGCAGTTGGGACGCGGCCAGTCTGCCCTCAGATCCGCTCATGGCGGACTCTGTCCCCAGACGTCACCCGCCGCCTAGTCCCCTTATATTTTCTCCCGAAACTGTCCTCTCTCCTCCCCAATCTCGCGCAGGCACACATGCGTCGTCGAGTTCGAACAACACCGTCTCCATGCCCTTCGTGCGCAGGCATGTCACCCGACGTCTCAAGGCTGCAAAAGCAGAATGCGACAAGGATCTCCAACGCATTACCAACAACATCACGGTATTCTTCGAGGAGAGGCTGAGGGAGGTGGATTATGAGACCGAACACGAGCTTCGGGAGCGAGAACGAGATCGCGAATCGCAGGCAGGAGACACCGAGTCATCCCGAGATCCGTACAGTGATCTTCGGTCGGCGCTCATGACCGACGACGCCAGCTCTGACGGCGGCTACGAGGCGGAGTCCGAGTTCGGTCGACACAGCCGTCAAAGTGCGTACCTTGATGAAGACCCTCATTCGTCATCTGGTCTAACGCATCGGTCGTCATCGCCTGGTCTTCACGTAGCTTCCAACTCTTCAATGAGTCCTGGATCCTTACGCCGACAGAGTGCCACGCCCTGGGACAGGGACCGTCCGCTGTCTTCTTCCGTATCGTCAAGTGCTATTTCCTCCAGCCCTGCCACCTCGAGCATCCTTCTTCCTGAAGTCCCGGGTCTTACTCGTAAATCCAATACGAGCGGTAATGCTCCCACCTCATGGTCGAACCCTGGCATTCCGTCCCGCCGACTGTCTCGCACCCTTCACATCAACCGACCCTCGCTTTCTGGACACAGTTCGCGGTCCACATCCCGATCACGGTCTCCACTCCCCCCCATGTCCAGTCATGCGAGTTTTTCCGAGTACGGCAATCCCACTTCAAACAACCGCAGGTCGTCGCGGATTCTCATTGACGATCCTGTCGATCCAATTATGTCTGCATTGTACGACCTTATTTCGGTTGCTACCGAGATCACGGACATGTCAGTCCAGCAGTTGACTGCTCAGCCGAAAATCTGCGAATCTCTCGTGCAGAGGATCCAGAACATTGGTCGAGCGTGGGACGATCATCCAGACTGGCATGGCCGGAACTGGTATGTGCAGATCCTGCTGGCCGTTGCGAGTCTCAGCCGTGTCGTCGAATGGTGGGAGGCCGAGAAACAATTTTGGAACTTTCAAGATGACGACGAAGACGGCGAGGAGGCTCTCATGTTCGTGACAAAAGCTGTCGAAGAAGTCGCCCCCACACCGACTGTTCGGCGCCCGCCGGAAGCTGACCCTGAGGCTTTCCGGCTCAGCGCCGAAGAAGATGCCAAGTTGAAGCTATCAAGGCCACCTAGTCACAATAGAAGGTCGCGGGATGAGAATCCCAGAAAGGAGCCGTCGGCCTCGTCGCTAGCCAACGAACCGCTTCCTCGTGCTGGTTCTCGTCTCGTCCCGAACGAGTCAGCACGTGTCCTTGCCACCGAGCGCTTGCGGTTGCAGGCTGAGACTGCCCAGAACCAGAATATCGTGATTGAGCTGAGCTTGGATGGGGATCGTTTCATTTGGATCAATTACGCCTGGCGTTTCGTGGTCAGGTGCGTGGCCTGCCTTCATCTTTGTGCATGGCTCATTTTACTCGAAGATCCGACCCGGAAGAAATGGTCGGAACATCACTGTCTCGACTGCTGAGTCGGGGGACCGGGACGTGTTCCTTTACGCGACCAAACATCTGCAAGAGGATGATTCGCACACTGTTGAAGTGCGGTTCAAGCTGCAAGTGCACCCTGAGGATGACCGGGATGTAAGTTCCTCAGGAACGCTGTATCAGCAGATGGAAGGGAAGGGGATGCTTATGGTCAACCGTGAAGACGGCGAGCCATCGCACACAATGTGGGTCATCAAGCCAGTCGCCCCGCCTCATCATGAGCACGACTCCCCATCAATCACATTGCCAGAGGAGACCGACGAAAATTCCGGGTTTTTCGTCGAGCGCGAGCCCCCGACGCCGTTCCCTTTCACACAGCCTATTTGCACAGATCCCATTCTGTGTCGGATATGCGAGTCTCAGATTCCCCAGTGGTACTTTGAGAAGCACAGCGAGACTTGTGCTGAAACACACAGGCTCGAAGCCGAGATCTACGAGTGCAACGAGTCTATTTCTGAGCTGCGGAATACTATCCGGGATCTCTGTGCCACAATGGACCGCAATTCTCCTGTCACTACGCCGGAGTACCGCGGGATGCCCATCTTTTCGCCGTCAACATCTCCGGTGGCATCCTCTCCGTTGCAACTCTTCCGCGCTGCCAAGATGCAGCGCGTGGGTGTCAAAAGAATGCAGAGGCAGTTGCTCGATCAACTAGAAGACATTCTGCAAGTGGCGTCTGAAGTTGCGATCCCGTCACTGAAGGAAGAAGAAGCCAAGGAACCTATTGAGCGACAGCGGTTGCTTTCGCCCAGTTCTGAGCGCAAGATGTCTCAGATCCGCAATTGGAGCAAGCCTAACACAGAGGACCCGGCTCTTGGCCAGCTTGTCCAGGATGCGGAGAGGATCATGCGGCAGAAGCTAGATGGGGTCGCACGCCTGCAAAACACGATGCGCTATGCAGAGAAGATTTGGCATGAATGGGAGGAGCGCGTGGGCCAATTCCTTGGTGAGTTGTCGTCCGACAGTGAAGACGACGGAATCAGCGACGGGGAAGACAACGTGGAGGGCGGGGAACAGGAACTTGCTGCCTCGGTAGATGATGACCACTCGAGCACGACATCCGAATACGACTACCAGGACGAAGCAGGCTCTGATCCTACCCCGATGGGCCACTCCCCATCGCCCAGTACGGATTCACGCCCCAGCCCATCCCCGGGACCCATCACTGCGACCTCATCGGTGACGTATCCCCAGCGCCAGAAGCTGCAAACTCGTTCGTCGACACCGTCCTCTGTCTCGTCTCCTCTCGCTCTGGCCGCTCCGATCGTCGCGCCTTCGTCGCCAGAGGATGTTCCTCCTCCCATGAGCCTGGATGACACCGAGTCGATGCCCCCTCCGCCGCTCCCAGCTTCGGTCTCGGCTCCAGTTCCCGTCCCTCCGCCATTGGCCATCAAGACCCGGCATTCCCACGCAAGTCTGTTGGCCATCAGTGATGCATCATCCGCCAGCTCCACGCCGCCTGTCTCGCCTTTGATCTCTTCCAAAGAGAATGCACTCAGTCGCGAGCCATCGACTCGTCGCAGTCACCGCCGACATTCAACAGCCGCGAATGGTCAGCCCCCGATCTCGCCACGCGCTCCGTCGGCCGCTCCGCTGTCTCGTGCGTCGCCGGCGTCGATCAAGGACTTCGATATTATCAAGCCCATCAGCAAGGGCGCGTTCGGGTCTGTGTTCCTGGCCAAGAAGAAGGTGACGGGGGATTACTTTGCCATCAAGGTCCTGAAGAAGGCAGATATGATTGCGAAGAATCAGATCACCAACGTCAAGGCTGAGCGGATGATCCTCATGAAGCAGGCGGAGAGTCCGTTTGTCGCCAAGCTCTATTTCACCTTCCAGAGCAAGGACAATCTCTATCTCGTCATGGAATATCTGAATGGCGGGGACTGCGCTGCCCTCATCAAGTCGCTGGGATCTTTGCCCGAGGAATGGACCAAGAATTATATTGCCGAGGTCGTGCTGGGTCTTGAGTACCTCCACGAACGAGGGGTAGTTCACCGGTTCGTTCTAGGAGTCTTTTTTCGTTGACTTGCACACTGACTGCTGTGCCTCAGTGACTTGAAGCCAGACAATCTGCTGATCGACCAGCATGGGCATCTCAAGTTGACCGATTTCGGGCTTAGCCGGATCGGTCTTCTGGGACGGCAGACCCGGGAGAGTCAGACGACTCGACCGACAACACGTTATGGCTCGAGGTCTCGCCCGCCATCGATGGACGCTGCATATTTATCGTCGCCTTTGATTCACGCCGAACACAGCACTGGAGGTTCGTACTTCAACAATTCGTCAGCATCGGGCTTCCACGCCGGGCCCCCGCCTTACTCCCCATCTACAGACGACATCAGTGAATCAAGTGACTCTGGATCGGGTCTGCACTTCCGTCGGACGGGTGGTATCTTGAGCAACGAGAGTCCGCTGCAGTCCTTTGCCACTGAGCTGACCACGGACTTGCGCTCCCACTCGCATTCGCAAACTGCTGGCACCCCTCCCGGTGACCAGAAGTTTGTCGGCACACCAGATTATCTGGCTCCCGAGACGATTCTGGGCATCCGAGGTGATGATGCGGCAGTCGACTGGGTATGTCAACGTGTTGGTTCCCTGTTCCACAGCTCATCGTCTTCTGTAGTGGGCACTGGGCGTTATCACTTACGAGTTCCTGTATGGGCTTCCGCCGTTCCATGCAGATTCTCCAGAGAAGGTTTTCGAGAATATTCTCTCTGGCAACATCGAGTGGCATGACGAATGGGTCGATTTCTCGCCCGAGGCCAGAGATTTCATGCAGAGGCTGTTGACTCGTGACCCCGCCATGAGACTTGGCTCGAAGGGCGCCGCTCAAGTCAAGGCACATCCGTTCTTCCGCGGCATCGACTGGGACATGGTCACGACCACCGAGGCTGCTTTCATCCCTCAAGTGACCGATCCGGAGTCCACTGACTACTTTGATCCCAGGGGAGCCATTCCCCAGCTGTTCCCTGACGATGATCAAATCGCTGTCGGGCAGTCTGCGCTCAACAGTCCCATCGCGGATCCGTCGCCCGCCAATCACGGGGCTGGAACGTCAGGCTCGGACGACTCCAGTTTCGGCGCGTTCAGTTTCAAGAATTTCCCCGTGCTGAAGCAGAAGAACGACGATCTGATTCGCAAGCTCAAGACCGACCAGATGGCTCCTCTCACCCACACTCTGTCGGACCCGATCCAGTCACACTCGCGGAAACACAGTGTGTCGCACCGCTTGAAGAAGCCGCCGAGTGTGGTGACGAGCCTGGACTCGAAAGTCAGCAACGCCACTGGTCCGCCGTCGCCCGCCACCTCCAACTCGTCGATCGCGTCGTCGCCTTCTCGGTCGAGTATCCAGCCGTCGACCCCTGGAAGTGCGGGCGGGCATTCACGCAAGCCGTCTGAGTACGGCGCTGTGGAGCGCTTCAAGCTCAATCAGCTCGACGCCGGCGCCGATCGGCGAAACTCGATGCCGAGTCGCCTGCGAACAGCCTCGGTTTCCAGCGCCGGCGATGCATCCGGCTCCGAGTCGTCGACGGGAGTTCATCACGAGACTCCCCCGTCGTCTGTGGTGTCGATAGACTTGCGCAAAGGCCCTGATCCCAATGACCGCGCCGTCACGTGTCTGCTGGCGGAGGACAATCCCATCACAGCGAAAATCATCGAGACGTTGCTGATCCGGCTTGGATGTCGATGTGTGGTGGTCGCAGATGGGTCTGAAGCCATCAGCGTTGCGATGGGAGATATCAGTAAGGCGCTCTTCTGCTGAGCGTGGCTTTTCCCGGGCGCTGATTGCTTTCCTGCTTGCAGAGTTTGATTGCATTTTGATGGACTTGCACATGCCTGTCTGTGAGTAGCATATGGTTTCCCAACGTCGCAGTCGCTCATCGCTTGCAGTGGATGGAGAAGGGGCCGCTCGATATATCAAAAGCACCAACAACAGGAACACGACTACACCCATTGTTGCTGTCACTGCATACAGCGATACAGATGCCAACGAGGGGGGAAATCTGTTCTCCGCCATAATCTCCAAGCCGCTTCAGAAAGCTGATCTACTCTGTATGTGATTTTTGTGCTGCTTGACGCCGACGCTGACCTTATTTCTAGCGGTCATGCGCCAACTTGGGTTTAAAACGTCGACGATGCAAGGGGTGGGAGCCACGAAAGTGACCGCGTCGCACATAATATCATGACCTGACGATCTACACTCATTATGTCTCTTTGCATGCATCCTCATCCTTTTGCTTTCCAACAACATCATTCGCACATCACACACATTTCCTTTCTCACTCCTGGATGTATGATATATACTTAGGCATTTTGCGAGTAATCTTATTTGCCTTGTTGCAAGGGGCTTTCGGTTTTTTCAATACAGGCACAGCCCAATCGCTGGTGATGCCATTGGGCAAGATTAGACGACACTGCCTGTTGATCGCTAACCACGATGATGGAACCTTCACGGGTGGGCAGTGAGCCAGCCTCTTCCGTCGTCAGCACCCGAGCGTGCACTCACACATTTTTCTGTCAGCCTCTTGGGATACTCATCATCCAGATCCTCGCGAATCACCCGATCGACGCGCCCGTGCGTATACATCTACTGCTACTTCGATCCCCACCTTCACACCGTCACTCCTCCTCCTCGCCTCGCACGCACCGGATGCGCTGTGTATGAACCCGCTCGAAATGCCGACTGATGAGAGCGCTGCATCGACAGCGATGCCTATGACGTCGTCCCCGCCAAGTATCTCCCCGCCCCCTCTACCGACAGCCCCTATACCTTCTCGAGCGCCCTCTCCGGAGAACTTCCAGTCGAGTCTGAGACGGGTGAAGACCGTGCCGCCGCCTGTCCCACCTCAGCATGGAGCCAGTGATGTGGAGAGACCACCGTCACTACCACCCAAACCGTCGAAATCGATGTGGGATGAGACTGACTACGAGCACCACCTTGACGCACCGTCAACACGGCCGAGCGGCTCCCAGCCAAGAACCTCGACGCCTCCCCCTCCATTGCCGCCCCCACTGTCTCCTACGTCACCTCTGCTGGCGCACGACGACGTGGACGACGCGGCCGAGCTAGCCGAGCTGGCTGCGGCCATGGCGCTGTCGCAGGCGGAGACTGCCATGCGAGAGCAGATGTTGAGCCAAGAGGAAGCCGATATCGCGCGCGCGATAGAAGAGTCGATGGCCATGACCTCTGGCGCGCCCCGTCGCACACATACTGGCATCCGACGCCCAAGCTTAACTCCTTTACGCCGGACTCACGCTCGGGCCAGGAAACGGCCATCAGCGCAGCCGGGCCGAGCTCGTCAGCACCTATCACGCCGCAAGCCGGGGTGGTGTATATGGACGACGCGGCATTTGCGAGGATGTTGGCGGAGGAGGAGGATAGCAGTGAAAATGCAGCCGGAATGGGGGCCGCAATGAATCCCGATGACCGCGAACTTGCGCGCCAGATCGCGCTCGAGGAGGAAGCGGATCTGCGCTCTCAGCCGTCGGAGAGCAGCGCGCTTGAGCCCCCGGATTTGATTCCGTCACCCGTCGTTGGAAGATCCCAGTCAGATAGCATACTCGATGCACCTGCACTTTCACCCGTTTCGCGACAGACAGCGTGCGACCTGCCAGCGCCAGCAATTTTGGGCGCCAATCTTTTGTGTCTATTGGTAGCGAGGACAGTGACTCACGGCTTACGGGTACTAACCACTACATTGATGCGGAATTGTTGCTGGGTGTCTGTGAGTTTCTTCGTCCCTCTCCGCTTCTCAGACTGATAATGCCAGCACTTGCATTCGGGCCGCCGTCCATCACGCCGGTATTGGTCCCAATGTCAGGTTCTATACCGAACATTATATCTCTGCCCTATGGACGCTGTCCGCCCCTCCATCTCCAGGCGCCCAATTGGAGGCATCTCATGCGATTGATGGCACGGCTAAGCGGGACGAGGATCGAGCCGAATGTCGAGGCATTCACTACATCCCGGTCCGCACAGCTCCATCTGCGTACAGTAGTGCAATTCGTTCGGGTGCTTTAATCTCCATTCGGCTCAGACGAATGGCTGATATTTTTCCAGCCTCATCTCACTACGCAGGATTGGCGGACTGTTCTGTGGTTCACAATTGACCATCCAGTGCCTGCCTCGATGCCTGGGGCCAAGAGATTCACGACCAACGACCCGGATGTTCTCCCGTGGTCTTACACGCTGTCGACGCTGCCGGCCTTGCTGCGTGACAGTTCCGACACGACGCTCTCCAAGACATATACGGTCCCGGCGACTTCCTCCGTACCGTACCCGGCACTGCCGGTCTCGTTTCCGGATCTGATGATTTATCTACAAGCTGCTTTGGAGGAATCACGGAGGTACCTGAATGACAGCAGCAGTAGCATGCGCAAGCTGGCGCGGATGGTGGAGCTATGTGCTGGAGGAGAGCCCAAGGTCGAAGAAGAAAAGAGTCGGATGCGGTTCTTGAGGAAGGTTATCCCAGGACGGAAGGAGAAGAAAGGGAATCGAGGTGGAAATGAGGAGACTTACGAGCTGGTGACCCCATTTGTTTTGGACGACTATGGTCCTTGATGTATCGTTATTTTAACATTGTATACCTACTAAATGAGTACATGGATAATACATGGAGCAGCTAAAATACAGTCAATACCCATCTTCACTGACCAGATCCCAGCCGTCTTCGACCTCGACTCGATCCCGCTCCTTCTTTTTCGCCCTGCGCTCTTGGTTCCTCTCCCTCTCATGGCCTCTTGAACTGGAAGATCCCGAAACGGTCACCTGGCGGCCGACGCCGCCAGTGACAGCAAAGCCTCGGCGGCCAGCCCCGGTCGCCGCCGCCTGGAGAACATGCGCGAAGTCCACCGGAAACAAAGCTGGGCTGGGCGCTGGCAGTCGAGACATGGCGTTGCCGGCTGGAGGGGGGAACATTATGGGAGGCGGTGGCAGTGCCGGCGCAACGGGGAATGCGCCTGGGATGGGGATGTGTCCTAGACTCGGTGTGCTGGGTGACACAGGCGCGATGGCGGTCACTGTCGCGTGCGCACGTCTCCCCAGTTCCGGTGCACAGCACACAGCCCACAGAGTGCTCAAGGCGTCCCCCGCGTGGGCAAGGGGAACTGTCAGACCCTGACTGTGTGCCAGAAACAAGACGTTGTAGAGAAGCATGGCGAGCGCAGTGGTAAATTGGGGTGTGTTCTCTGTGTCTGCCGAGGGTTTGATAGGTTTGATCGTCGCAGTTGAAGACGCAAGCTGTGATTCCGACATGGATTCGGACACAGACATCGCCAAATCCGCCGCGTTCCTCTCCACCATGAGATGTGCGGGCGTCGCTGGCCCCCCACCTTCCAAACTGAGATGCAGTGGATGTCTTGCTGTCCATCGACCCCATCCGCCCAGTCCAGGTCCGATCCAGGGCACACCCACACCCAATTTGCCGCCCTCCCACTGCACGTCGAACGGGAGCTTCACACCGAGATAGAGGCTGAGCAGACCAAGGAATTGTACGGTATGACAGATTACTGCGTTGATGTGCTGAGGTGGGTAGCGCCGGATGTCGCCGGGCACAGGAAGGATGAGGTCCCCGATCGTCCATTCTCCCTGTGAGCCTGACTTGCCTCCGATCGGTGGGCGACCCCCGACTTCCACGACGTTGAAGACGTCAACGAGCTCTTGCACTAGGCCAGCACGTGCTCGAGAGATGTGGGCCGAAAGGTTCGCAAGAGCAGTGAGAGGACCAATGAGTGTCGGAGCGGTGATGGTCACGTTGGACGGCACGCCGCTGCTCGAGAGTGATGAGACGAGAGTGCTCGCGGCACCTAATGTCCTTCGCCGCGCAGCGAGTGATTCGCGCAGGGTACGCAGGCGGTCGCGCTCTGTGGTGCGAGGTCACCCACCACGTATCTAGTCAAGAGACCTGACTTACTCTTGTCGTTGTCCTTCCTCAGTCTAGACAGCGCAGCCGTGATCTCTTCCACTCTCGACTGTAGCTGCGCTACCCCAGCCCGTCTCGTCCTTCCGCTTTCAACCATGCCGAGGGCTTTGTTCGCCTTCGCAAGCTGTTCGTCGCGCTCCAATGTGAAATGCTCAGTCTTGAGCCGCAGATCGCGGGTACTGTGTGCGGTGTTAGGTTCTTCGGCGCAGAAGTGAAAGAGAAATGTGGAAGGGGAGGAGCGGGTGGCAACGAACGTACTGTCCGTGGATGCATTTTGTGCAGATGAAATGGCGCTGCCTTAGCTCGCAGTTCTTGCATTCCATCCACTGAGTCCAAATCGGTCCGTTCGGAGTCAAGAGATTATGCGTAGTCAGAGTCGGCGTCACGATCATCATTGCGCGTCGTCAGCCTGCCTTGTCACGGTGGCGGTGAACGGAATCACTTCTGTCGACCTTTTGATCGCGAACTCATCCTCACCAGAAAAGTCGTCAAGCGCGATGGCCAATGCAACTCAGCAGCCTGTCTCGGTCACTATCACGCTGGAGGAAGAAGGTCTCTCTATTCTTTCCGGGCAAATCTCGAGTCTCATGATGATATCCAGACCGAATCGTCAATGCCCGCATCATGAACGATGACAAGCCTATAAAGCGCGTTATCAAGAAATTCCACAACTACACTCAAATCTCCCACCCTCCTCCGTTTCCTATCATAACAGTCGCATCACCAGGCAGCGCGGCGACGCAGAGCGCAACGCCACTAGAAGATGCGCGCGAGGCGTTTCTACTGGAATTGACGTCCTTCGAGTTAATGTTGAGGAAGAGCGTGATGATCTGCGAGGCTGAAGCGAGACAGGTCGATGAATACGAAAGGGAGACAAGGAGAATAAGTGCGTTCTCCCCCATTTCGTCTGGAACCGGTGAATGAGCTTTCGACAGATGACGAGCATGGGACATTACGCGGTCAAATCGAACAGTTGAAGACTGCCCTCGAACAGGAGCAGCTTATGCGCAAGAGAAAGATGGAGTACGAGTTTGTCGCTGAGAAAGTGAATACACTCCCAAGTAGGGAAGAGCTGGAACTGTTGCGTGTTCTATCACCCTCTGCGTGTTATCCCTCTGACTGCTACGATGTACAGGAGTATCAAGTCTCTCGAAAACGACATGGCCACGATACGGGATGAACATGAGAGACAGAACCGGGCAATTCACACTCAAAAGGCTGCTTTAGATGCCATTGTCACCGACTTGAACGCGCTGCGATCGTTGGGTCCAGAGTCTGCGGCAATGAACGAAATCCCTCCAGAGGATGCAGAGGTCCCTGACGTGGAACCTGCGAAGATGGAGATATCCACCAGTATGGATGTCGAGGAGGCGGGATCTGAGCCTGTCGAGCCCAAAGGAGACGATATTGAAATGGGAGAAGTCGAAGAACCACCCGAGATCAAAGCCCACCATAGATCGAAACAGCGACTGGAGGAGCGAGAAGAGGGAGAGGCTAGTGACCCCGAGAGTAGCGACTTGTCCGAACCCCCAGACGACATTTGAATACCATTCTAACTAGCTGTAGATCCCGATCCGGGAGCTCATGGTGGCGGCGGAAGAGTTACTGCCATCAAATCCCGAGCGCAGGTTACTTCCTGCCCATACTCCTCCGCTGCCAAATTACCGATGGCAGTCATGACTTGCTTGGCCGACTCGTCGACGTCGTCGTCCCCTCGGTAACGGGCTGAAAAATGATTGAGGATGAGACGTTTGGCTCGGATGCGTTTGGCGAAGGCGCCCGCCATCTGAGGTGTTGAATGGCCCCTGGAGCGTGTTCTCTTCTCGACGCTCTGGAAGGTGTCCGACTCCTTGGCCTCTGATTCGATCCCGGGCAGATGTGCGTTGGTCGCTTCATGAATGAGCAGGTCCGCGTCCATGGCCATCGACGCGATTGGGGAGGGATTGTTCGTGTCCCCGAGGATGACTACTTTGCGACCCGGTTTTCGTGGCGGGCCGTGCAAGATGGTTCCATCAGTCAGCTCGACACTGTTCCCCTGCTGCAGTTGGCTCATCACGGCGATGGGGGTGTTCGTCCTCTTGAGCTCTGGAATGTACTTTTTCGGGTCCATCTTGCCCGGAAGAGACTTTTCTGTGATCACGTATCCGATGCATGGAACAGAGTGGTAGATAGGGGCGGCTGATACGGACACGGAGCCGTTTTCGAGAATGTTGGACCACACCCCGTCAATTTGAGGGATGTTGCGGCCAAATGGTGATTCGGCACGGTGTCGCGGAAGAGCGCAATGGTCCCCGTTTGGAGGATCTCGGCGAGAACGTAGTTCGTGGACGACGTATGCGTTGCCCAGCAGGGTGTGGGTGTACGTTAGAATGGAGCGCACGTACCCGCGTGTCCCCAATGGCCCGTAAATTCAACGATCTGCGCAGGATCGGTCAATGAGATCAGAGAAAGTTGGAAAGCTGATATCGGCGCACGGGATTGTTCACGTCGATATGCGATCGAACGTCCTCTGCTCCGTCCGTCCCTCCGTGTCCACCGAGAAGGCCTGCAAGAAGAGGGCCAACACCAAAACAATGATCCCCTTCACCCACAATCAGTCGGTTTGAGTGATAGTGACGAGTAATGCGCACCGTGTAGATGCGTCAGAAATATTTTCTCGATCTTCCCCATCTTGACTGCACTTTTTTGTAGCCTCGACTGTGTTCCCTCTGCCCGAATATTACACCCCAACCCGGAATCAAAGAGGCCGAGTGTACCAACCTCCGCAGTCAAATAACCAGACATCAGCCGAGAGGCGGAACGCGAGGGACGAATGGACGCGAGTCGAGGATGGTTGCGCAGAGGCAGTTCCGAGGAAGGTCACTTCCATATCCAGTGGAGCTTTAGCACCCGCATTATCTTTATCGCTCTTTTTCGATTTGGGGGTATTAGCGGGCTTGGTCGTCGAGGCAGATACTGCCGTCGAAGCCATTCTCTGAGTGATGTGAGAAAGAAATCAACGACAGTTGGGTATTGTCACACCCGCGCAAGTATATGTTTAGTAGAAAGAGTTGAAATGACTCCGACGCTGCGAATAAGAGATCTCATGCATGTGCTCTGACTCGGAATGCTCGAAACTTGAAGTTTAATGCGGTGGCATAAGTCAAGAAGGTGATAGGCGTTATGCATAACGAGAGCCTCAATACTCATTTCTCCGTTCACGGACAGTCATACCTGTAGAATATGAATTTCAGCCAATCTCTAGTCCCAGTTTCAGTGCAGGGCCTGAGTTGAGTTGCAGTTAACATTAAGAAAAGAATTCATCAGACGGCGCAGCAAAAGTTGTCGGTAGGGTGGATCGAACACCCGGCTGCTCGGAGTTCGACAAACGACCACAACGAGCTGATTTAGCCACTAATCGATACCGACTTGAGATCCCGACCATGACCAGGTAATGTGTCTTGCCAATATGTCAGCTACAACGCTCGCTTCGTCCGCTTCAGTTAACCTTATTAAACCAAAGATCGCATCTAACATCAGCCTACGCTAATAGAATCAAAGTCGAGGAGTCGGATTACACGCTCTTTATCATACATTCATGCGGCTACAAGTGCATGGAGATTATAGATCTCCTTGCGAACTAGATAATAGACCTGTGAAGCACTTCCCTCTAGCTCAACGTTGCCTCCAGCCGATTTTCGCACAGCTACAGACTCCTCAATCGCGTCTGTCCCGGCCATCTTCCCAGCAGCGGTCCCACAAATCAGGATACCTTCTCCAATTAGTTCAGAGGGCACTCCGATTGTAGCTAAACGGGCTTTGAGGGCCGTCAATTTGAGCTCGCCGATCATCGTCGAATGAGGCAGCTCTGCTTTTGCACGGGAGCCTAACATCCGAGGCTCGGTCATGCCGCGTGCTGCGTCTTCAGTACAGAGGTGTCAGCGACCGGCTCGAGGACTGGAATCGTCGAGTTTGAGTGCGCTACGACGCGGCCAGTGACGTAGCCGACTTCGTTGTCCTCAAAGGTAGACATTTTGAGCGAGTTGAGCAGTTCGTCGCTGATGGAGATGGAGAAGTTGTTTGTTTGATGACCAATTTGAATGCTCTCTCCTTGAGTGGGAGAAAGATGTCTTTGGTCATCGTGCGGATGTTGGCACAGCTTTCGACGAGATGCTTTGCCGCATCACCGGGCGCATGAACAATGATCTGGTGCGACATGAGACTGTGCGACCAAAGACTACCACCAACCACGCACCATCTTCCGAGGATTGACCTGAGGGACGATGGTTTTGACTGCCCGTCCGTCATTGAGTCCGTCCATATCTACAAACAACAGTCTGCACGCCATTTGGACCTGGACTACACTGGATATGAACTTTGAAGGTGGTTCCTGCACAATCTGTACATGTGCTAGATCAGCATTATGAGAAGTCATCGACAGACAATGAGCGTGCCTTTGCTTCATCCTCCGCCTGCTTCTTTTTCCGGTAGTTCTTGACCTCTTCGGACTCGGCCTCCTCTTCAAGCACTCTCCCCTTACGCAGCCACATTGCCACATCCACGGTTTCTCCGTACTCGTCCACTCGCCGTTTCTTTTCCACGTACGGGAACATTCGGAAACGCTGTGCCTGTCCGCCCACAGTTTTGAAGAAAGAGGTCGATTTAGAGACATTCCCTTTGAGATAGATGTCAAACGACAGGAGCTGTTTCGTCAAGCCCTCTTCGCCGTCACCAAAATCGGCAGCCGCGTCGAGACTCTTCTCGGCTTTTCGCTTCTTTCCCACAACGGAGTCCACGACCATCTCATCTACATCCCTCACGTCGTCGTCATCATCGTCAGAGTCGGCGTCGTCATCAGAATCGGAATCAGAGTCATCTTCATCGGCTTCCAGCATGCGCTGATTGCGTGCAAGTTGAGCTTGATGAGCTGCCTCTTTCTCTTTGGCAGCCTTCTCTTTCTGTAGGTAAATATCGAGCTCAACGCCTTGGAGAGGAACTTTTGATTTAACCTGGATAATCGTGAGCATTGAAACCGCGCAGCAATGGATAATGCCTCGTACGATGAGGTCGATTGAGGAGTCCATCATGACATTACTGCCGATCCTTCCCTTGTCCCATTTTGCCTCTGCTCGCTGTCGATCATTCCATTGGTCAAAGAGCGCGCGTCCGAGTGTGCCTTCTTCGCAACGAGAGGTGAGCAGAACCACGTTGTTTGCAATTCTGGCGAAGTCTGCAAAAAGACTGCGAGAGGAGCCATGGGATAGGGACATTGGTACAGCGAGAACGAGTTTAGGGTCCGTTGAAGAATAACGTTGGATCAGTGCTTGTGGATTCAGAAAAAACTCGAGATGTCTGCAGATGCAAAGTTGAGAAAGTGGCATTAATTTTACAGAGTACGTACTTGAAACGGAGCGCAAATGCGCCTAGTGCATCTTCGTCGGCTTCATCTTCACCGCCGCGTCGGCGACGACCCCGGCCGTGGTTTTTATCCGTGCCATCTTCTCCAACATCTTCTTTGCTGACCGTCCCGCCAAGCCATTCCATCATACTTCTCACGAAGGTAAGCATTTCATTGCCCGTACGAGAAAGCAAGCAGATGGGAAACGAAAGTCGCGAATACTTCCAATGTTGGTCCAGAAGGATGAGAAGCTCGAGCAGTCGCGTGCTAGAGTCACATGGGATGAAGACGGAGGATCGGGATGATGAAGTCAAAGTAGAAGTTATCGTATCTATCACTAGGTGTGAGCAACTGGATGAGCAGAGGCAACGGACGCACCTATAAGAGCAGCATCTCTATCTCTCTGCTTGCAGTTGGTGACCAGCGTCCTCTCCGCATCTGTGATAAGCAAATCCGGTCGTGCGAGCGGTTCGAACACTCCCCCGGTGGACTTGTTCATGATGACCGCGCCGTCGAGATGTCGTTCGCGCATGTGGTTCACGTTCACTGCATACAGGATCGTCCCAGATGACGGTGAACGGATCTTCCACATGGTGCCTCCAATGGTGTGACCAGCATTGAAGGGTGTGATGGTCAGACCCTGACATTTCCCTGTAGCAGCTTGTGAACATGGCCAGTGAACTTGGAATGAGATGACAGTACCTTGCAAACGGGTCGGCTGAGAATACCGCAGAGTGTTCATGGAGTCAAATGCCTCCTGAACCTCTTCCAGCGAAGCGACATATTTTCCTTTTAGCTTGTCGCGTTTCCGGGGTGTCGGCGCGTCCTCCTCGCCCTGCTCGTCCTCCTGCTTCACCTCTTCCTCCTCATCACCCACATCTTCCTGCTCCCGGATCCCTTCAATATCCTCTGTCGTGGCGATGCGTCCCATGGCTTGGACAGGCAGACTGGTATACGTCGGCGCTCTGAGGTTCCATCGCGAATACGCATAAGCGTAAAGACCGCAGTGTGCAAGGTCTCCGTGCGAGATGAGCACCAGATCAACAGTCGGCGCGCATCTACGCGAAGGGGAAAAGTCAGATACCGCCGCAGGTAATGCCTGTATCTTGAAACGCACTCGCGCAAGGCTCGACAGTACTCCTCCCAATGAAAGCCAGTTCCATCCTCAGTCTCAGCTTCCGGACACCAATCAGGCGAGCCACAGTCTAAGAGGATCTTGACATCATCCACCTGCAGAAGATACGCTAGTGGGGTGGTCCGTGAAGAATGAGCTGCGCCTGAAAGTGGTGTGAAGGTGAGCATGGACGGACACAGATGCACTCGCCCTAGCGGGTAAATTGAAGGGTTAGGGTTACGCTTAAACTTCACATCTTCCAGGCCAACGCAGGGCCAGGATCATGATACCAGGAGAGGCCAATCCCAGCCCTTTGAAGACCCGGGTGATGGACAATTTTTTTAGATTCATGAAGAAGTTTCGGAGCTCCATCGGAGAACTTGATATATCAGAGGAGATACAACACTTGATATTACGCCCCAATATTAGAACCAAACATGTCCTTTACATATTACATATAACTTGAAGCTGTGACACAGATATCAAGCGTCCATGCCCTGGCGAGCTACAACAGCGGACGAGTCCGCATCGCGAGGCGGCGGAGAAATATACGGTGGAGGAGAATGTAGCGGGAGTCCTGAGTCACCTTCGGGTAACATGCCAACTTGGGCCTCGAGCATCGCGATTCGCTGCTCCAGTGCGCGTTCTCTGTTGGCCCGAGACCCTGAGTGGTACGGCGAGATAGGTGAGCCCGCAGATGGGGAATGTGAGCGAGAGCTACGCGTTCCGCGACGCGCACTACCTCTGCTCGGGGTAGCGTTGGTTGAAATGGGAACAGGCGGAACTGGTGGCACCTGGGGCATCGATGTCAAGGATGGAGACGATAAAGCATCGGTCGCGGTGATAGTAGCCCGGGGCAGGCCTTGGTTTCGCACAGGGCCTAATGCACTCAAGGACGAGACATCGGGAGATGACGCTACGTGCAGAAATGTTAACTGCTGATGATATCTTTTTGGAAGCAACCACGGACCGCTCTTTTCCGAAAATGGACCAAGGCTGTCAGATGGTGGTCCTCCACTGTCAACTCGGAACGGCTGCGCTGCTGTCGCTTGATTCTGCTCTCGCTGACTTCGCCGTCTTGCCATGATGTAACCCAGGAATGCCAAGACAAGGATCAGAGCGACGCCGCCGACGGTGCCGCCGACAACAGGTCCAATGCTCACTTTATGAGATGAAGGAGCATTGACGTTGCCGGTTTGAACAGGACTTGCGCTCCCCGAACTAGGACGACACGTCGGTACGATGCAGATGAAACCACAGACTGAGAACCACGCGCACCTCGGTATGGTCACGCCTTGCCTTGTCGTGACCACCGCGTAATCGAACAGCGCAGTCGTCCCGTTGCTCGGCGTGGCATGCAGCGTCCATCCCACAGTGTGGTCCTTGCCCGGATCGAGGTTCACAGCCGAGAAAAAGAGCGAGTTAAACACAAACTGGGCCGTGCCCGTGTATAAGTGAAACCCGTCCGGATTGCCGTCGAGCATGAAGCTGATGTTAGCAGGGTTGGTGAGATCGATTCCGTATATGTACACTGCAGAACCTGGAGACGATCTCAACGCGCGCGCACAGGCGGATGCAAGCAAGCGGCGGACCCTGGAAGCTCAGCGTCCCCGCACTGTTGTTCGTCCCGTCATGCCATGTACTGTTCCACGCACTGCCCATGGGGGGTTGAGCAGAGCAGTACACGCATGCGTGGCCAGGGCTTATCGCGGCCCATGGTATCGCAGCTGGATTGGGCACTCCCGCCTTCTCGGACCATGTGAAGTATGTAGCGTTGCTGTCATCGATCGTGGTGTTAACGAGCACACCAAGCGTCGACGAGGGTGCGCGGGGTGTTATACGGAATGGATGCGACATGTAGCGGGGTCCATGTGGAGCAAAGAGAAAAGGCTGCCAGAAGAGATCATACTAGTTGACGCCAGTCCAGAAGGAGGTGATATAATCAAACGATGCACGCGCACAGCCGGAACAAGTGCCATATTCGGGACGGAGTGGTAGATGAGAATCACGGGATGCGTGAGATGTGAATTTTATTGTGAGGGCATAAACACAACACAGAGCTACTGCCCGGAAGAGACCGACTCCGTGTATGCGTAGCTACCCATCGAGGCCATGGATCCTGACAGGTCTGTGACATCCAAGTCACTGCTGAATTCGTATTCGCTTTCGGACATTTCACTGCCGGACAACTCTGTGAGCCGATCGGCGCTTTCCACAGCCTGTGCGCATCGCAGGCATTCCCATTTCTGCTCGTCGTCGGCCGCCGCATCATCCGCTCAGCGATGCAGTGATAGCAGTATACGTCTCCGCAGGATGCGGCGTACGGTGTGCTGATGGGATGCGGCGGGGGCTCCGTCTCAGACTCGGGTGTCGAGCTTGGTATCGAAGATGCTGCCAAGGAAGTAAACGCATTCATCGGCTCGCTGGGGTTGAGACTGTATGCAGCGTTTTCGGCGCAGATCGCACATTGGTCTTGAGGAAGAGCCCAGTACTTTCCCCGCGTCACTCGTGTCTTGGTTTCTGCTGAACGAGTCGGCGATAGCAGAGATGTGATAGATGTTGGTGACAGCAAAGCAACCACACGAGATATTCGTCGGCGCATACCGCGACCGCTCAGAGAGGCAGAAGGAAGATGAGGAATTCCTGTGTTCAATAGTGAAATGAGAGCAGATACAACAAGAATTAGCCACGTACAGTGAATGCATGCCAGACCATCTGCCGATTCATAAACTCGTAGCTGACGTCCCTCTTGACTAGCCGTTGGACCGGCACAAGCCGCATGTCGAGCAACCTGTCTGTTATTGTCCGATATCTAGACTCGATGTATAACGGTGAATATTACTAAGACACATATGCAACTCACCTTCCATCCCACAAAAAGTGCACGAAACTCAGTAAGGCGAACATTGAATGGGTCGACTCCATGGAAGTCAAGATATCCCAAGCCTTTCGACGACGATCGGACGAGGGACGGTCCGGCCAGGCTTTAGAAAGCGCGTGGGCACGTAGGCGGGAGTGGAGGTAGGGCACTATTATCGTGAGAGTGGCGTGTATGAGAAGGGTCCGGCGCGGAAGACCAGAGGCTGGACGAACATTAAGCCATGCCTGTTCAACACGCTGTTCACTCCATACACGCACGCGTCAGAGGCCTCGAACTTTTTGGCACGGTATACCGTAGATCCTGGAGCTTCGCGCCGTAGGTTGCCCCCGTGTTCCACATCGAAAATCGATACAGCAGCAGCTGCAGGATGAGGGAAAGCTCCGGCTTCCACTGGGGTGCGTCAAGGGACTTTTGGACGGGGTCCTGGAGGAGTTGGACCAGCTCTTGGTCCAGTAACTCGGCATCCAGTTTTCCCACGCGAATGGTCCTCAAGGGCACAGGTGGAAAGTCCAGCGAGCGTATCTCAGCAATGCGCGCTTGAGCCTGATTCCACGCTGATTCCATCGCGGCGGTGGGGCGAGCAAATGATATGTGAGAGCTGGCCGGCGCGTTGACGCTTACCACTTGCGGCCTTGGTCACTTCCCATGTGATATACGTCCAGCTCACACGCGGGAAAATGAATAGAATCCATCAGATCATCATTCGACCGATCATTGCTTAAGATAAGATTAGCTGGAGGTCTCTTATTTTTCAGTGAACCTGGAAGGCGATTGGGAAAGGTATCGATGGGATCAAGAATTTCAAGCATTAAAATGGGGTGCGGGCGATAATTTCCAACTTTCAGAACCGCAACTTAGAGGGATGTAGGTCCCATCAGTATTTCCGATCACTAGAAATTTCATAGATCAAAAATGCCAAGAGAGACAGATTGTGGCTTGTACTCATACCACAGCCAGCTCACACGAGCAGCTCACGACCCATGTCCAGTCTCAAGAACGGCGTACACTCCTCGGTCGACGATGATGACAAGGAGCTCCTCGCGATGGGCTACGTCCCTTCGTTCAAGCGGGAGTTCTCAAATCTCGCAACGGTCCGTTCCTGGGTCGAATCGAAAAAAATTGACTGAAGGTCTGCAGATAAGTTTCGCGTTCAGTATCATGGGTCTCTGCTCCTCGATTGCGACGACGCTCAACACACCGCTGCTGCTCGGCGGTCCTTCGACGGTCGTTTGGTTCGTCTGCTAAGCTTTCCGTTTTTAGCCACGACCGTGCGCTCATACGAGGCGACAAGGTGCTGGATCCTGGGCGCAACGATGTGCTTCACCCTCGGTTCCTCTATTGCCGAGATTGTCAGGTCAGCAGATACTATCTTCACAGAGGGCATGTGTCTGATTCCCTATCTCAGCGCGTTCCCGACCTGTGGCGGTCTGTACGTACAACTCATATCGGTTCTGGAGATCCCTTCACACCCATGGTCAAAGATACACCGCCTCGGCGCAACTCACGCCCGTCAAATACCGTGCAATCGTTGGGTGGGTGGTTGGATGGCTCAATATTCTCGGTCCGTATGTCACTTATCTGCGGTGCTTGAGGGGACTCAATTAGTCTCCACAGGTCAGATTGCGGGTGTGAGCTCCACAGAATTCGGTCTATCAGGGATGATTCTGGGTGCAGGTGCGTTTTTGGATTGATCTCCCTCCCGCTGTTCTTCACGCGTTGACAGCTGTGATCGGCCAAGTATGTGATTTTTCAAAAGAATGTATTAGTGAAGTTCACGCGTCTCCACAAGGATGGGGCCTTTGTCGTGACTCCGGTATGTCGTCTCTGTGCTTGGGTAGACTTGGTTGCTGACTGCCTGCTCCAGGGCAAAACCGTTGGCGTATTCGTCGGCCTTCTGATTTTACATGGACTGCTGGTCAGTTCTCAGGTTCTAATCGTTGTCAATCACTTATCATATCTGCAGAACTCGGTCGGCACACGTCATCTTGCTCGATTCACACAGTACTTCGTCTTCGTCAATCTGGGTGCCACGATGCGCAAGTCTCCTGTCTTCGAACTTACGGCTTCAGTCAGCTCATTGACGGACAGTGATCATCATTGTGCTGCTTGCGACCACTCCGCGAAGCGAAATGCATCCGGCGTCGTACGTGTTTGGCTCGGCAGGGCTAGTCAATGCCACAGGTGGCTGGAACAACGGACTGGCGTTCCTGTTTGGTTTGCTTTCGGTGCAGTGGACTGTGCGTATCATTGCTGTATCGCTCGGTTCTCGCTGAACTCTCTGCTACAGATGACGGTCAGTGTTTGAAGCTTCGAAGCACGCTAGCTTATCGGTGTGCTAGGATTATGATGCCACTGCCCATATTTCGTACGTGTTTTGCTCCATCCCCCTGTAGGCTAGTCTCACCTTGTTCCAGCGAGGAAGTGCGTCGAGCAGCATATGCAGGTAGATTATAGGATGTCTTTTTCAGCTGTTTTGGTGCTAATGCGTCTCGTTAAGCCCCCGCCGCCATCTTCATTGCTGGCGCGTCGTGCTCTTTCTTGAATTTATTCCACTAACACGGTCTACTAGTCGTCGGAACCGGTCTTCTTGGCTGGCTGCTAAACATCGTTCTCGTGCTGTGTTCTGGTGATCTGTGAGAAATCACTCCCGATAGCATGGATTTGAAACTCACAGTAAGCAGTGCACTGCTTCCCGGTCCCTCTGGCTCGGCATTCCTCCAGGTTTGCTCCACTTATAGCTTGCTTATCGTGGTCTTATCTGCTGCCAGATCATGACTCTGAGGATGGGCAAGACGGGAGCTCTCATCTTTGGGTGCTCGTCTGTCTGACAGCCTTCTTTGTCGTGCAGACTGCTCTGCAGGCGGTCTCTCGGACCGTCTTTGCATTCAGCCGTGACCAGTGCGTCTTGTGATTCTCACTGGGAAGTCTCAAGGTTCTCACGACGCGTATTCAGCGGCTTGCCTGATCGAGGCTACTTTGGGCACAACTCCAGATTGACTCAGACTCCGTTGCGATCAATCTGGCTCTGCACCCTTTTCAGCATCCTTCCTGGACTACTGGACCTGGCTTCGCCCGCTGCTGCGAATGCCATCTTCTCGCTGACGGCGATTGCATTGGATCTGAGCTACATCATACCCATTGGTCTCCGGCGCGTGTTCCAGAACCACCCGGACGTGCTGTTCAAGCCGGGGCCGTTTTACATGGGGCCCGGGTTCCTGGGCTGGTTCGCGAATATCGCGTGCATCACGTGGACGCTGTTTGTCTGTGTCGTGTTCTCGTTCCCGACACTCAAGCCGGTGACGCCGCTGAACATGAACTACGCGTCTGTGATCACCGTCGGGGTGATGGCGCTTTCTCTGTGCGTGTCGGTCTGATTGCTCGTGGAACCCATCATTGATTGCATCACTTCAGCTTCTGGTACGTCGTCCACGCGCACCGCCACTACAAGGGCCCGACGTCGAACATCGGCGAGGCTGCGGAGGACAGCGAGTTCTACGAGAAGGAGAAGAAGGGCCAGATGGCATAGATGATAAAAGCTCAACCTCAACCTACACTGGAATGGTTCAACCCTGCAGGGATAATACGAGTACTACTTATACCACAATAGTCAAGCTCAAGGCCCCGTCTCCGGGCCGTTACCTAGGTGACATCTATGCAGAGATCGTTTAATGATTGGGGTCTGTACGAGAGACTGTCAGGACGCCATCGTTCTCGAAAATGCTTCCCGCAACCTCCACACTCAATGACTGCAAGCTCAAACTACACTCGGCACGAAACATTGGCAGAACCTTGGGCAGCCAAGCGTCGCTCGCATCTTTCAACTCTTCAAAGCGGGAGTAAACCACGTCCAAATAATCTACTGGTACAACACTTGTAAATTGTTCCTTATCTAGCACTTACAATTTGGGGAACTTGGTCGCGACGAACTCGACACCCTGGAGGACAAATGAGAGACTGATCAATCGACAAGAAACTAGACGACTTACAGTCGTGATGTTGGTCTGGAGCTCAGGGATGGCAGCAGTGACTAGCTTCACTTCCGCATCGGTGATCTTGCCCAGCGGAATAATCTTGGAAACACCCTCGGGCTAGAACACAAGCCCATCAGCTTTCGAATGGTCAGATCGATGAACGAAGACGTACTCCAAGTTCGACGTTCGAAGAGAAGAACTCGAGCTCCTTGCCAAGCTCGCCCGTCAAGGTCTTGGCACCAGCAGGGTCCGCAGAGAGGGACACAAAGGTGGGCACGACAATACCCTTCTCACCCTTGACAGCACGGATGACCTTGCTGGCGAATTCAGCACCAGCGTAAGCCATCGAGAGAGTCGCAGATCCGGCTCCGTCCTTGGCCTTGACGACCTCGTCACCACCGAATTGGATACGCTTCACAAGAGCTTCGTAAGCATCTTGAGCCAAGCTAGTCGGGAGAGGGTGCGAAGATTGAGAGAGAAGGGGGACAATCTATCCGTAGAGCTGAGCCCCAAGATCGAGACAAACATGGAAAGACAGCCTACCGTGACACCGCTGTGTCCTCCAACGACGGGGACCACAACATCCGGAGCAGAAGAGGGGTTTCCGATGATCTCCGCAACGAAGGTCGAAGCACGAACGACATCGAGGGTGGTAACACCGAAGATTCTGCGAAAAGATGAGTTTCTCTACAAAGATGGCGACGTGATCACCCACCGCTTGGGGTCAAAGACGCCATGCTTCTTGAACACCTCGGCGACGATAGGAACGGTCGAGTTGACCGGGTTTGAGATGACCAGAACAAAGGCCTTGGGGGCGGTAGTCGCGATGGCGGTAGCCAGGTCGAAGATGATTCCTCCGTTGATCTAGCCGATGGCAAGGTCAGCGAACGTGTGCTGAACGCGTCGAAGCACAAGAAACTACCTTGAAAAGGTCATCTCTGTCCGACGGAGCATATGATCAGGCTTCTGTCGTAACAGAAACACGCGCAGGAACACACCTGGTCATCTACGGGTTATCTATCAGAAGCGCACCAGGCAGAATGCTAATCGACACTCACTCCAGGCTTACGAGGAACACCGGCCGGGATGACGACGATTTCGGCGCCGGTCAAAATTTCCTTGAGGCCCTCGTTGGCAGGGAGCTTGCCTACCACGACGGCAGGGGTATCGATGTGGGACAGGTCAGCGGCGACACCAGGAGTGTTGACGATATCGAAGAGACCGAGCTATTTGGGGTTTAAATTCTGCAAATGCGACACGTCGACGACAACAGAGACTACGTACGCTCGTAATGAGAGGGTTGACCTTCAAAAGGAGCGAAAGCGGTTGGCCAATACCACCTGATCGATAGAGTCAGTATTACCGGATGACTATTTGAGAGCCTGTAGCACACCTGCAGCACCGAGAACAACAGCCTTGACCATATTGATAAGTTGAGGTGGTGGTGGAAGAAGAGAGTGGGGTACTAGCGAGAGCTATCGATCATCTACTTACATCAAGGTGTAATCAACACGTGACCCATAAATTCTTGGACCGAGTCAATACCTAGGTAACTAGCATGGCGGAAGGTCTCCAGCAGCTCATCCTCGACACCCTCGAGACGCATGGATCTATTGCGGACACACGATCTCTCACAATACCAGGGCAATCCGCGCCTGCGGAGTCCCAAGATGCTCAGATCACCATCCTCGGCGCCTTGAACTCGCTTCTCAGTCGCGATGTTCGTATCCCAGAGCCCTCTATGTCAGCGAAAGTAAATTCCATTTCAGATGGTTAAATTCGAGACGAACGAGATCGTGTCCCATGTGTTAACGCCCGAGGGATCTCAAATCGCTCTTAACGGATCGCACGAAGTACGCGTATGGAATGCGCTTCCAGTGAAAGGCCAAGGCTCTCCTGTCACTGCGGTACAGCTCAAGAAGTTGGTCGGCGACGAAAGCGCCAAGGTCGGTCAAGGGCGCGCGTTCAAGAATGGATGGATAGGGAAGGAGGGTGACGGTTTCGTCAAGATCGTGCGTACCGACTGCGCATGTCGGCACTACATATCGATTGCTGACAACGAATAGGCGTCCAGTGTCCAAGATACTACCCAGATCGACCTACTGGAGATTCAAGCGTCTGGAACGCTGAAAGCAGGGGAGAAAACGCTTGCTGATCTTCGCAAGCGAAAACTTGCTGTGCAAAGGTATCAATTCACCGTGCAACGGATCAGAGGACGATAATCGAGCAACTTGGAATGCAGGAAAGGTCAATGGTTTGCTGTACAAAAAGGTCCCGAATTCAGCACATCGACTGCCAAGCCGGAAACCGATCTAACAGTCGAAATGCTTACATCGTGCGCAACTGACTTTTCAAACGGATTGGGCTCATTCTTTCCCAGAGGAGCTTGGAAGACCTCTAGTTTCAAAAAGTACAATTTCGATGCTGAGGGAGCTCCCACACTTGGAGGATCGCTGCATCCCCTCCTCAAAGTGCGAGAAGAGATCAGGGACATCTTCCTAGAAATGGGGTACGGGCTCTAAATCCACTGGGACTGGAACGGTGCTGATAGCAATCTCCTAGTTTTGCAGAGATGCCGACATCATCGTTCGTAGAGTCTGGTTTCTGGTGCTTCGACGCTCTTTTCGTACCTCAACAACATCCTGCGCGTGATCTTCAAGACACTTTCTATCTCTCAGGTAAGATATTACCGATCATCTTTGCTTACTCGCTCACTGTCGTTCTTCCAGATCCTCCGCGGTCGCTGGATCCGGACCCAGCTTATTATAAACGAGTGTCAACAGTGCACGAGCACGGTGGATTCGGGTCGACGGGATATAGGGCACCTTGGTCGCATGAAGAAACGACGAAATTACTTCTCCGAACACATACTACTGCCAGCTCAGCACACATGCTCTACAAACTTGCTGCACGATGCCGAGGTGAAGATATGGAAGATGACGATCAGCCTCTAACCAAAGGCGGCAACTCCAAGGATGGTTTCAGACCCGCCAAGTTGTTCAGTATCGACCGTGTCTTCCGAAATGAAACCACCGATGCAACACATCTGGCCGAGTTCCACCAAGTGGAGGGTGTTGTTGCCGATCGCAATTTGACTCTGGCGGATCTCATTGGGTTCATGAAAGTGTTCTTCAGCAAGATGGGCATCAAGCATGTCCGCTTCAAGCCTGCTTATAACCCTTACACCGAGGTTTGTTTAGCTTTCTGAATGGAGAGATAAGCGCATTGACTCCAATTAGCCCTCCCTTGAAATCTTCGCTTTCCACCCGATGTTGGACCGGTGGGTAGAAGTCGGAAACAGTGGTATGTTCCGTCCAGAAATGCTCGAGCCCATGGGCTTCCCCAAGGATGTCCGAGTGCATGGTTGGGGCCTCAGTCTGGAACGCCCTACAATGATCCGGTATGGGATCAACAACATCCGGTTGCTTTTGGGCCACAAGAACTCTATCGAGGGAATAGAGAACTCGCCTGCCCCCATGTTGTAGATGATAGACAATGTAACAAAAACCTTGTACTTATCTTGTTCGGGAGCCTCACGACAAGTCACGGGCCGTGATGTGACATCTCCGCGCTCGTGACATGATTGACAACAAAGTTTTCTACTCCAACGGCGCACTGCACGCGGTGCAGCAGTGAATGCGCTTTCACACATGCTCAGCCTCAACAGGCCCTCTTTTCACGATGACATGATGACCATACGCGGTCGGTTACCTTCCAAAGACGAGTTCCGTCGGCTGCGTCATCTCGAATTACAGGAGCCGCTCGACCCCGACCGCCCTCCCATCACCGACGACACATTGTCAGAAATATTCGCAGAATGTCCGCATCTTCAAACGGTGGCTCTGTCGGCTGCTTCGGCAGTTTCTGACAGGGCAATCGTGTTACTGGCGGAGCATGCACTCAACCTGGAATCGATCGACTTGAGCGGCTGTTACCAAATCACGGATGTCGCGATTTTCGAACTGGGAGCCAAATGCTCGTCGTTGCAGGGAATACTGCTGAACAGAGTTGTGGGGTTGACGGACCCGTCCATAACGACGTTGGCCAAGACGTGCTCACGACTTGCGGTATTGGAGCTTTGCGATCTTCCATTGCTCTCGGCGAGGTCTGTTCGGGATATCTTCACTTTCTCGCGGTAAGCTTATAGAAATGAACGCGAACGATTCTAAGCCGTTCTAGGAAGCTGCGGACTCTGCGTTTGGCTGGGTGCCCGCAGTTGAATGACAAGGCTTTCCCGGCTTTGGGGGCGTTTTGGGCACCGGAGCCGGTGACGTATAGCAACAACCTGGACAAGCCACTTCCTCCGCGTCCGAGCAGCTGGCTGGACGTACTACCGCCGCTGGTGTTGCGTCATAGGGCGGACAATCTGCGGATATTGGATTTGTCCTTCCTCACGGGCATCACTGATGCAGCAATCGAAGGCATCGTGCATTTCGCACCCAAGATACAACATTTGCAACTGTCAGGTTGCAAGCAACTCACAGACAGGGCACTCGAAAGCATATGCAGGCTCGGAGCTCATTTGGATGTACTTATTCTTGGCCACATCGGCGGTATCACCGACCGGGGAATAGTGTCGCTGGCGCGGTCTTGCACAAACCTTCGGTGTGTCGACCTCGGTTGTGAGTCAACTCATGAAGCTTCTGCCACCGAGAGATTAAAATTCTTCTCATTCAGTTTGTAGAAATCTCACAGACATGTCTGTGTTTTGTTTGGCGGAACTTGGCAGCATCCGCCGTCTCAGCCTAGTAAGGCTACACCGACTGACCGATATCGCTGTGTTTTCTCTGGCAGAGCATGCGTTGGATCTGGAGAGGCTCAACCTCTCCTACTGTGACCGGTTGACCGTGCAGGCCGTGCACCTGCTCACGAAGCGGCTATTGAAGTTACAGCATCTCTCAGCGACCGGGATCCCTTCTCTGATCGATCGCCCCGGGCTCCACCGCTTCTCGGATGCATGCCCCCCGGTGCGCATTTCCACTTGCGCGATGTGTTCCTGAGGCTCATAGACCGGGCAGGAATATGACGATGATCGAAAAGCAGCATTTCGTGTCTTCAATGGGGAAGGCATTTCTGGATTTCGCAATTTCCTTAATAAGGAAGATGATCGCCGCCGAGAGTCCGAGCGACGGAATATACCCTTCGCCCCTCGCTCCGACGATGCGTTGGATTTGTATTAGGCCATTAGAAATAATAGGTTATCTAATCTGCGTGTATACAGTATCACTTACATGTCTGTTCTGGCCCCAAAAAGGCAGGAGGATCCATCACGAACGGTCCGAGGCATTGTTGGCGGTCTTAACCCACGATGACAACCGGAATGTGGAGGAGACACAGGCCCGTCTCACCCTGACCCATTCTGACACCGACGACATAAAAGCGCACAAGGGTGGGACCTGTCAAGCTTTCAAGGACGGCCCCTATATGGCTCCGGGGCGAAACTTGTAAAAGTCAACCCCCTTGTTCTCGCGCCGCGCTCGTTTCATTGGCATCGCCTATCTCTCTCATGCACTCGTCTTTTCGCGAACGACGTATGCGCCATCCCGCTCCAGAGAGGCTCACTATCTCTGGCTTCCTTCCTTTGCCTCCTATCACAGCGTCGCCGGTGTGCACTCCCACAAGCACGTTGAGCCTGGGCGAAGTCCTCGCAGTGGGCACCCCACACACCGCCGCTCCGCATTTCGTGGCCGAGGGCGGGTCGTTACGCGTCTACCCACTTGGATCTCGACACCACCGACTCCGCCTCCCAGGCACATCAGACGCTCAGTGACATGTATCGTCCGACGGCCGCCACAATCTCCTCCAGTCCTCCCACCCTCTGCTTCCGTGCCTCTATCGTCAGGTCCCATCCGTCACATCCCTTCCATACGGCCTCGTGCCCGCTCGGACCCTCAACTGCGTCGTGTGTCGGGCGAGTTTGGCTGCCGGTCAGATGTATCAGATATCAGCAGCGGGCTAGATTGGCATGTGGAGAAGGCCAGGGATGATGTTCGGAGGTATCACGCCCTCATGGAGCTGCTGTCGTCGGAAGTCAGATACTTGGAGGACTTACGGGCTTTACTTTGTGTACGTATTCGTGCTTCGATCCTTCTCTCCCACTAACCCGAAGATGTAGATATATCTGAACGGCCTGCCCACACTCTGTCGCACCTCGTCAACGGGTGCGTTCGGCCGCACATCGCGCAACAATTCATACACGCATCTTCCGAAAGCCAACGGCTTCTCGGAGCCAGGTCTCCATCCCCTCACCTCAATTCAGACTTCGCCGAGCAAGCAGCCGAAGGCGTATCGTCCCTTGTTTGCCGATTGGGAAATCAAGTTGCTCACACGGAACGCGAAGGAAGTCTTGCGTCTCCACGAGAACTTTGTCGCCGAATTGCGCGAGACGATATCTCCGATCGGATTTGTCATGGAGGAGGAGCCTTCGCCGGATCAGTTCGAGATGAAGATGCGCATCCGAAACATCGATGCAGTAGTGGGCATGGTCTCAGCCAAATTTGCTACAGAGGCGAGTCCCTTGCCGATCTTTTCGGGGAAGTTCCTGACCAGATCTAGGCTTCACGTTTTGACGCATACCAGTCATTTTGCACTGGACATCCAGAAGCATTGCAAGTTGCGCAAAGAGCTCAGAGCCAATATCCAGCGGAATGGGATGCTTTCGAACAACAATGTGCTGCTGCTATCGCTGACGAACCGCTCCATCGAGCCCCTTCGTCCACTCGATCCTGCAGCCCTAGCGAAGAACGTCCGCAACCTCGCTCGAGAAGATCATCTATCGCGTCACTTGACGGTGCTCTCCGGCAGACGCGGGCGCGCACAAATTCGAAGGAGAGCGCAACCAAAGAAAAGTCACGTCGCTTGCTCTTCCAGGATTACTTGATCAAGCCAGTGCAACGAATCTGTCGCTATCCACTACTCCTGGATCAGCTCGGACCGAGCAAGAAGATGCGCCGAATCTCGCGGCCATCTTCGTCTCGGCCGCCCGTCGAAGTTGTCGTGGAGAGTGCGGCCCAGGCTATGCGACATGTTGCTAGTGCTGTGGACGAAGCACGACATCGACAAGCAGTGAAATGCAGTCCTCACTGATCGCATCGCGCATTGCGGTTGCGCATCCTTCTCATGCAATATCGCATATGGCATCGTCATCCGTGTTTCCTCCCTTCCAGATTCTCACTCCCAGCTTTCTCTCTTCGCTTGGCACGTGCCTACTCGCTGGCTCTCTCGATGTGATGCACTATCACTCTTCCAAGCGGCAGAACAGCGGACCGAACATCAATGCAAAATATCTTGGTGCATTTTTGTATCTTGGAGGATATCTTATCCTGGTCAAAGTGATCAAGGGCAAGGTCTACGAGCCCAGACATTGGTTTTCGCTGATAGATTTCGAAGTGGTGGATTTGGAAGAGGAAGACAGTGCGTCTACTGTTTCTCGCTAGCGGCTTGTGCTGATTTCCTGAATCGCAGCGTCCCTGCCGTGCACTTTCAGACTCACATGCGAGGGCAACCAATTGATCTGACCGCTGCATGTCAGAGAGAAAAGGATGCTTGGCTGAGTTCTATCCGAGAATCGAAGCTGCACCCTCCTGCTTGGATCAACGAGCCTACGTCGAGCATCCATCTCGATTGCAAAGGCGAATTCATTGCCTCGACACTCGATGGCCCATTCGAGATCATCAACGCACTGCCCACCATTCAGTCTCTCCCGGAATTGTCGAAAGAGGATGGGTTCCCGGATCTTGCTGCATCGGTCTTTGCGGCCTTTGAACAAAGCCAAGCTGAAGGCCAGGCCGCGAGAACGGGGATAACAGCGAAGAACGAGCCAATCACGAGCCGAAGATCATCGACGGCTTCCGTCAGGGCCATTTTTTCTGCCAGCTCTGAACCGGATACAATCGTCATTAGACGATCGTCTCCTGCTGCCAGGGCTCAGGTCGACTTGGCTCTGCACGACGTCATCTCGGAACCCATTCTGGCAGCAAGGTGCACCCGGATGAGCTGTTCCAGGCTCCCAAAATCCTGCGCAGCTCGTTTACCCGCTCCAACTCTGCGTTGAGTTTGACTGGGCTGACGAAGAATCGGCTGTCCCGACACGAGAGTGTGCGAGTGCCCAGGCGGAAGAGCCAGTCAACGGACGAAGGTGGCAAATCACCGTCGCGACCGACATCGCTGAGGTTGAAATCAGTGAAACGTCGACCGAAACGATTGAGCATCGTCTCTGCCTCGGAAGCGGAGATTCTGTTCCAGACCTCTGATCCCTCGACCGTCTCGCCGTTCTCGCAGTGCTCGTCGCTGACCTCCAGCCTGACCAGCCCCACGCTTGAGACGCCGCCGTCGCCCGTCAAGCCAGCAGCCCCGGTAGAGTACTACATGACTCTGACCCAAGGCATCCTGCGCCGACTAGGCAAGTCGGCCCGGCATCGGAGAACGCGGAGTGCGCCGCATGACCAGAACCAATCCCCGGTTTTGCCCGAGATGGATTTCGGGGCAGCGTTGTCTGCTGAGGTGGAGCCGCGTGCTGCGAGTCCGGTTGTGGCTACGGCGGAGGCTCCGCGGCGTACTCGGTTTCTTTCGTCTGAAACACCCAACACTGACCCTCGGCCGACGAGTAAACGGAGTTCCATATTCCGTCGGCTGAGATAATTTTTCTGTGTGGATGCACGTTCATTTATTCATTGCATTCATTAACCATGCCACTCTTTATACCGCAGCAACTAGTCGATACCCATCATTTCTTGTATGTACATACGTATATTTGCGGTTGGTAGAAAACAAAGATCAATCCGGAACGAATTGGTGGGACCCCTCAAGCATCACGTGGAATATCTCCGCTTCAGCGGAAGGTTTGCACGTGATAAATACAGGACGAGAGATTGCAAGATTGAGGCTACCTGTTTGAATTACGCACTCACAGATGGCGGAGAAAGACGTGCATACTGTCCGCTAACGTGTTCGCGTCTATGTAGTCTCGGAAGCTTCCTGGTATCTAGTTACTTGGCGTACTAGTGCATCAGCTAGCATGAATGTACTACTGGGTACTTGTTTGTCCTAAAACAAGTCAAGTTCACTCCTTAGTGCTAGTGTGAACCTATCCTCTAAATCCCCTACTGAGGCCTCAAACCACAAGTTCCGACACTGAGGAATCAATGGTGGACCCATTGGCGCAGTAGAGATATCCGTAGATCTCCCGCAGCGTATCGGTAGAGAACCCGAACTGCACGCCTCTCATTCAAATCCAGTACGAGTGTGGCCTAAAACGATCTGGGCACAGCCCTCCATCATCGCCGTATTCATGATGAGCACACTGTATGCGTTCTTGATGGAAGCCAGGCGTAGTTCAATTATCTTGCATTATAACATCTAAGAGAGTATCGTGAAACGTCTAAAATACATCATCACACATCATCATCATAAAGATTACACATATTACTCCTCAGTCGCCCGCGCCGTAGCCGCGAGCCGGATATCCTCGAGCGAGATCGACGAGTGCTCCGCCATGCCGCGGAAGATGCCGTGCGGCAGCTGGTACAGGCGCTCGGGGGTGTCGAATTCCGCGATGTGCCCCGCGTCCATGACGCAGATACGGTCGTACGAGATGATCGTCGCCAGCCGGTGCGCGATGCACAGGATCGTGCGGTCGCGGAACTCCTCCGCGATCGTCGACTGGATGTTCCGATCCGTCTCGTAGTCGACGCTCGCGGTCGCTTCGTCCAGAACGAGAATCTTCGCGTCCTTGACCAGGGCACGTGCGAGCGAAACTAGCGAGCGCTGCAGGGGGAGGGAGAAATGAGCGACAGTTCCGGGATGCCCATGTGCCACGACGTACCTGGCCCACAGACAGATTCTGCCCCTCGTCTTCGATGATCGTATCCAGCGTAAACTTCGCTGGCCCGTCCTCGCCCTCGCTCGTGGCCTGCTTGCTGTTCTCGAGCAGATACGAGCGGCGCATGGCGTCATACAGAGTGGCGTCGTCGTGCAGGTTGAACGGATCGAGGTTCGACCGCATCGTGCCAGAGAACAGCAGCGGCTCTTGAGGATGATGGCCAGTCCGTTTCGCACGTCGCCGAGACCCACTTTTGAGATGTCAACACCGTCGATGACAATCGAGCCGGACGTGAGCTCGACCAGACGGAAGAGAGCGGTCTGAATGAGAGTGTAAGCTAAAAACAAGATCACTAGAAGCATGCACAGACCATGATCGAACTCTTTCCAGCACCAGTTCTGGGTCGATTCAGTACAGGTCGCATTCGACACAACAAGACTCGCACCGTCCCACAATACCGATCTTTTCACCTGCTTTGACGTGCATAGAGATGCCCTTGATCACAGCAGGTAGCTCCGGCCTATACTTGAACACAATCTCGTTCATCTGGATCTCTCCTTTTGACGGCCATGGCGCCGCAGGCTTGGCCTCGGGGATCTCGTTCGCAGCCTCTTGCTCGACGGATTCCGCGTAGTGCACCACCCGCTCCACAGAGTTCATGTCGTTCTCGACCTCCGCGCTCTGGCGCACCATCCATCCGAAGGCCTGCTGGACGGTCAGGATGTACGAGAGGATGACACCGCTTTGGGCCGGCGAGATGGTGAAGCGCGTCCCGACGGCGAGCATCGCAACAATGAAGCTGAGGGAGCAGCCCAGGAAATCCAAGCGCACTCCCAGCCAGCGCTGGTTAGTCACAGTCAGCCAGTACGCGCTGATGGCCGTGTGTGAGTATCACAGTCCGAGACAACAGACAGGCTGCTCACCGGTTCTCCGTGTCGACTAGTCGCTCGTTGTCTGACAGGAAGCGATCTGAGACTCCGTACGCTCGGATGGTCGCCATTCCCGACAGACTTTCGCTGAAATGGGTGTACAGCGAAGACCGCAGCAATGCATCTGGAGACAAGCGTCAACCAAGATAATCGAGACAAAACTAAGCAAACGCACCCAATCGCTTAATCTCGCGAGCACTGGATCGATAGTACAGCGCAAAGTAAAAGTACCCGGCCAAGATGCAGAACACGGCGATGAGGAACCAAGGGATGATGATCCCGATGAGGATGATGGCTCCGATGATGTTGGCCATAGTCGCGAAGAACATACGCAGCGCCTCGCCTAGTGTACTGTCGATGGTGTCGCAATCCTTGGTAAAGCGATGCATGATCCGTCCCAGAGGCGTGGTGTCGAAGAACGACATCGGCTGCAAACAGATCAGTGTCGGTCACAGCGGATATTCAGGGCGACTTACAGCATTCATCACACGCGCAAGCGCACTCTTGTGCAGATTCTGCGACGCGTAGTACGTTAGCAGTGCGAAACTGCTGCCCATGAAGAAGAACGTGATCGCTTGCGAAACACCAAGGACGGCGTAGATGGCCATCTGGAAGCATCCGATAAGCAATCGTTGAGAGAATGGGAAAATGACGAACGTAGAACCCTTGCGGACGCGGCCACTTCCTTTCCTGCCAATACACCAGCCAGTAGGAGCTCATCACATTGGATCCTTGCAGGAACACCAGAGACAGGAACAGCAGCGGCACGATGTACTTGCCGTTCCCGGCCTGGATGTACGTCTTGTAAACATGCATCGAGATCGCACCGATGTTGCGTTCCTCCGCCTGCATCAGAGCAGGGCCGGGCGTGATCTTTCTCACGGGACCGACTTGCGCAACCGCCGGGTCGGCTGCATCCTCCACCGCTTCCTCGTCTTTGGTCTGCTGGTCCTGCGACCCAAACTCGGCGACAAAGCGCGAGAACTCTCCGTTCTTCGTGATCAGCTCGTCATAGGTACCCCTGTGCTTATCTTGGTCAGCGTCGTTCCCCGGGGCGAGATTCAGATTGCACTCGCCTCTCCGCAATTTTGCCGTCGGCGAGGGTGATGATGTAATCGACATACGGCAGGAAGTGCAGCGCATGCGTCACGAGGATCCGGGTCTTGCCCTGCAGTGTGTTTTGCAGGACGTTATGGAAGACAAGCTTCCCGACGTGTGCATCGAGAGCACTAAGAGGGTCGTCGAAGATCTGGATCGCCGTGTCGGAATAGATCGAGCGGCAGATGTTCAGACGCTGGCGCTGACCACCAGACAGCGAGATACCCTTCTCGCCAACCTCCGTCATGTCCCCGTGTGGGAACATTTCCAGATCAGGGACAAGACATGCGTCATTCACCGCCTTCCAGTACCGATCCTCTTCGAACTGAGGGATCAAATCAGCTCAGAAACGTACAGCTGCAGTTGGGACGGAAGACAACGCACTGGCAATCCGAAACAGATGTTATCTCGAATGGTGGCATTCTGAATCCATGCCGTCTGTGGACAATAGCCGACGCTCCCACCGAATTTGACAGAACCCGCAGTCCGTCGCATTTCTCCGATCATGCCCTGGAGTAGTGACGTCTTCCCACTGCCAACCTGGACAAGCGTGAGACACCGTCGATTCAGCAGAAACACCAATCCCAGACTCACAGCACCGACGATAGCAACAAGCTGGCCCCGCGGAACGGAGAACGAGATATCTTTCATCTCGAATATCTTTTCCTCGCCCTTGACATCCGTTTCCGGGACAGCAGTCGCGGCCGCCTTCTTGCCCTTGCTCTTCTTCTTCTTGACGTCTTCGGTTTCGGGCGGAGGCGAGTCCCACATGAAAGTGGCGTTCTCGACTTGGACCGCGACGTCGAGCGAATCGTCCTGCACTTTGAACTCCGAGAACGTTTCTGCAACGAATACGTCATGGAGTCGATGGCAAGCGTTGGCCGCATCGGCGATCGAGCTCAGCGACACAGCTAATGAAGAGTCAGATATCAAATAAATTCACTCCAGTAACATTCTTACGCAAGCTGCCAGATAGTGAGACTCGGAAATGAAATTGTCAAACAACTATGCACTCACAACATAAGAGGCATGCGCAACAAATTGAACAGCGTGAGCGAGGCAAAGACATTGGCGGCGTCCAGGCTGTGTCCGGTCAGCGAGTAAGTCACAAAAGCCAACACCGAAGCCAGGGCTAGAAAAGAATGGGCTCAGTAAACTCGGTCTATGCATCTCATCGAATGGGCAGATTCACCAGGCAAAGACATCGCCACAGCGTTATTTGCTGACCGCAACAGGAGCATTGAACGGATATATGCCATTTCCTTTTGCCGATAGCTGCTGATCCGGGCCAAAAACGGTGCTTGCCAGTTGAACAGCTTCAGGATTTTCATCCCGCCAAGTAGCTCTTGAAGCAGCTTGGCGCGTTTGTCTGTCCAGATCATCGACTTTTGTCGGAAAGTGAACAGACTTTTCATGGCCCTCGTCTGCGCCGGTGTAACCAGGACGAAGAAGGCAAACCCTGTCAGCTACAAGATGGCTTTAACACAGAGATAGGACTTGGAAGGAATTCACTTACTGCACTGGGTCCCAGGTTGATAAGCTGCTTCTCGTGAGCACAAGGGATTCGCGTGAGAAAAAACAACTGACCAGTAGAACCAGGCAGATGATGGCCTGAATGGGTGAGGTCCAGGACTGCGAGAGTTCTCAGTCTCGAAGCTCCCACGGTGGGACATCAGACTTACCATGTGGAAGAACCCGGCGCAGAAATCGATGCGCGAGACATCAGACGAGATGTGGTTCACCAGTTTCCCATTGGTCAGCGTGGAGCGGGCGCGGGAGGTCAGTCGGAGGGATCGGGAATAGATGGCCGTGATGAGGCCGCCGCGAACGAGGACTCCAGTCGACATGGCACGATAGAAGAAGTGGTGCTGGCACAGCGACCCGATGAGCTGCATCAGAAGCAGCCCGATAGCAAGCCCGATCCCTCGGCCGATCGGAGGCGCCGTCC